AGCTATTTAGTTATAAAATTTAATATTATAATCTATAAAAAATGCCAAATCTTTACGTTATATTAGACAAGATATATTATTATACGGCTATAACATTTATATAATAACGGCAAAGTAAAAGTTATTTTTTTATTAAAAAATTATTATTTATTATACATAATATGATGGTAAGTAATATATATAAAAACGGCAAAACTGGGTTAATATCGATATTAAAAAGTTTTAAACCCTTTATTTAAAATATAACGAAACACACGGTTCTTATATATACAGAAAAAGACATACATTTATAAATATAGGTTTATAAGATTAGAAGCCGAATATTTTAATATATATTTAATTTAGTTTATTATTATTTTCATATAGTTAATAATACGTAATATATTAGTTTATAAACTATATTACAATGGATTTAGGAATTGAAGATATAAAATGTTTTTAAATTTATATATATCTCGTTTATATAACGCTTATTATAAATAAGTATTAAATATAAACTATTTATTTATTGTATATTTAAAAGTCTTACTCTAATAAATAAGTTCTTATAATTAGTATAAAGATCGTTAAAATATAAAAAGATGCTTTTTTAATGTATAAAAAAGTCAGTATAACGTAGGCTTTAAAAAGTGATTATTATTTAATATAAAACACTTCATTGTGAAGATAATATTGCGTTAGATACTGGATTAATAAGTTAATAATATAGTTATAAAATAAAACTTTATACCGATTGTATGCTTTTAACAAGTACAATTAAATATGTGGAATATAAGTTTAACGATAGTTTGTACAATAATAAAAATAGAACCGGGTTATTTAACGTATAAAATTAAAAATATTAACGCGATAATAAATATTGAAATTTAAAAACTTAATACATATGTTAAAGGTTAAATTCGATGTTATTACGATAAAATAGACAAGTTTTTAATTAGCTTTTTATCTGTATAGTTAAGTTTAAGCTTAATAATCATTATAAAAACTAGTTATAAGTAAAACAAACTATTAAACGAACGACGTTTATTTCTTTTAATGACTTTTAAAAATTTATTGAAAGAAAATCAACCCTCTTTATTTAATCTTATAACACTGTTAATAACACGTATATTAAATATATATAGCTTGAAAGCATATACAAATTTCCATAGAAGGTAATTAAAATTAAGATAGTTAAATAAGTAAACCTTGAAACATTATAAACAATAAGATAGATTTTTATATAAATATATATAACTATTATTATATATTATATACTTAATTTTTAAACGTATTTATCAACCGTTAATAATCGTATAAAAGATTGTTATTTAAAAACGACGACTAGTATAAAAAACTTGTGATTTTATAATATTTCTTATAAATTAAATAATCATTTTAATGATGAAGTAAGTGGTAAAATATTTTATTATAAACAAAAATTGTTAACTTAAAATAGCGTACGATTGAGCGTTAGAATGAAAAGTAAAACTTTAATAAAATTAACTACTTATTTATATATGAAGGTAAAAAAGAATTTACAAATATTAAGAATAATATACGTAAAAAATACGGATTTTATATTCATTTTAATATAAACAGTTATAAAAGTATTATAATTTGTTTAAAATATCTCGCAGTTTAAAATAATATTTTAAAAAATAGTAAGAAACTTCTAAATATCGTTTAAAAGATCGTTGAATATCACCCGGTATAAAAGCTAGGTACTTGTGACGAGCCGGTTAAACTATAATGCTAAAGGGTTCTATAGGGTTTATGTTCTGAGGTAAGTCAACACGAAGGACGATAGAGGCTTCTGTCAACTAGAAGACATTCAGATGCTGGGGCTTGGTCTGAACTGGGTTCACTGTGTAGTTGAGTCGTCAGGAGATTTCTCCCACCTTAGGGTTGGCTAAGATGCTTAGATTGATCACTGAGGTAGAGACTGTCTATATATCTGGTTGGGAAATGTCTGTCCTTATATATCCAATCTCTCCCTCACTGATTAGGTGGCTCACCCTGGATCACCGGTGATCCAAGGTGATCCAGTGATCCAAATTCTTAGTCACATGACCCAGGCTCTGCTGGTCGCTCTGTGTACCGTTGCTCAGTTGCTCCGATCTCTCCACTGATCAGCACCCCACTCTCTGGTCAATCTGTTTCCAATCGTCCCTTCTAGGTCTGCTATCAGGCCGCACTGTTCGTTGATTCGTAACATTAGTCGGTCGTGTATTATCTAAAGGCTGCATCTACCTGGTGTGAACGAATTTGTATGCAAATTCGGTACCCACGTGTTGAATGGGAGGCGGAAATAGACACCGGAAGATCCCCAGTGGGGCAGAGACGCACAAGGCATCTGACCCACCAAGAAGACAGATGATCAATCTCTGTACGCTGAAGAAGAACAGCAGAACAAAAAACAACACAATCAATAGGATCCATCAACATCCGTGTATTCAACACCACGCGTCTCACTAGTGTAACAGCTCAGCAGTGGGGCAAACGGTCGCTAGTCGACCGTTCTCCAGCGCGCTCAGACCACTCTGAATCCCTGCACACAGACCACCTTCGTCACACACTCCGAGTCACCACATCTGACATATAATAATAAAAGTATAGAAATTGATAAAAAATATCCCGGACCTTACTTATAAAAGATGATACAGCTTAATTTTAATTATAAAAAACTTTAAACGATAAATTACAACGACCGGATTATAAGCGATTAAAATCTATAAAAAAGTATTAAAATATGACGTAATAAAAAACGATTTTAAAAGTTAATAAAAAACGGTTTTATAAATATTAAACTATAAACTTAATATAGCAAATATTTTATTAGAATTTTTTAATTATACTGGATACTTATTACATAGCAATATTATCCTATAAAAAAACCCATAACAATAAAATATATATAAATAAATTGCTTAATAATTTAAACCGTATAAAATAAAGCCAAAAAGACCTAGAAGTATTTATATAATATATCATGGCTTTAAAACTATAAGTAAATTAAAAATAAAGCCTTTTTAAAAAACTCAATGTTTTAAAAATAAAGATAAATTATTAGCTATACTTTTAATTAGCCTTAATTTTTAAAAAAGGTTTTTACTATAAATAATAATAATAATAATATATTACGTAGCTTAAAGTTTATAAAAAGCATACTTATCGTAAGTTTTTAAATAGAAAGTATAATTATTAATAATTTAAAATCCGATTGGATAATTTTAAAATATTTTGAAAGAATAAATTATTAGAAAGGAAATAGCTGTGAATAAGAAGTTTTTAATAGATTATATGAATGATTTAAAAAAACTTTTGAAAGGCTTAAACATAAGACGTTAAAAAGTTATATTGTTTATAAAGGCCTTCATATATTAGAAAATTAATCCTTAAAGAATAAATGAAAAGGGTGAATAATAATTAAAAAATGTAAGGAAAATACCAGGCTAAATATAATTAAATTAAAAAAGGTGGGGAAGCGTTATAACATAAATATTGAAGCCCTGGATGCAAAACTTACCGTGATAAAACTTGAATTATAATATTTCTTAATAAATCTTTAATAACTTTAACCATAACTATTAAATGATTAGTAAAATAATTAACGATATAACTAACGATAACTAGTAAAATAACCGAATTGAATTAATTGGACGTATCGATTATATAAGCCGATCATAAAAGAGCCTATAGTATTTTAAAAAGAAAATATAAGCGGTTTAAACCAAGAGATTACGACTTATTAAATTAATAAATAAGAAACTAAACCGAAAAAAGAAATCTAGTTTACAAAGTAAACTTTTTAAAAATACCAATATTATTAAAAGGCTTGTTATAGTAATTCAAATTTAGCATTAAATAATAAAAAATAGTTACGATATTTTTAAGCATATTGAAAAAGTTATAATAATAAATATTATATTTTTTATAAATAAACGATCGTATAACCTATATCGTTTAATAAATCTTGTTATACGAATATAAACTTAACGATTTAAAAACGTTCTATTATTTAAATATAATAATAGTTTATTATTATTATTAAATACGATTATTATTAAATAAGGACAATATTAATTTAACTTCTAAAATAATATAATATATAATATTAAATTAAACATGTAGAAAAGTAATAAAATCTAGTTGAATAATTAATTAATTATATATAATTTATAATAGCTACCTGAGTGTTATTATATACGCAAATATTTACTTTAAATACGTTCATCAAACAGTGTTCACCTTAATTGAATATACTTAAAAGTAAATAATATATGAATATAAAAAGTTTATTTATAAATATAATAGAAAATAATAGAAATAATAGTATAAAGATAGGTTAATATACGTCTTTTAAATAATGGTAATAAATAATTTGAAGATTTGAAGATATAAAATATATTAAAAAGTAATAAAAGAAAAGATGATAATTTTTTTAAAAATTGAAAAGATAAATGGGTATAAAAATTTTAAGATAAAAAAATTCTTTCAAAATAAGTCTTTCATATATACGTTGTTATTTTTATTATTAAGCAGCTTTATTAAAAGGGATACCCAATAACCTTATTTTTTAAAAACTGCTTATATGAGTAATATAGGGTTTGACTCTTTTCATTTTCCGATAAAAGATGGTTCTAGCCCACTTAGGCCGTTATACGTTGGTAGTATGTTCTCTGCCGCCTCTAGCGGCGAGGGCATAGCCCATAACTAAACAAACTAAAATACGTGAGAGAATCAACAGACTTGCGCTCTGTTTGGCTCGGTTTTTGCACATAGCCCAAACCCAAACCCAAACCCAGCCTTCTTCCCTTCGCTACAAGCTGCAGCGGTCCACCTTGTGCATTCTTCCCTCCCGAGGCCAGATCGTCGTCCGCTCTCTACCAAACACCACAACACTCTTTCAACCCTCGACTGCGACTGCGACCGATATCTTGCGTCGTGCATCGTGCATTTGCGCTCGCGTCACTGCTACCTTCCGACACTTTCCCCCACTCCAGTCAACCAACCTCAAGATGAAGGGTATGCCTGCCTCTGCCTCCCCAGATAACCAGCATGATAATGTCGAGCTCGCGCGCTGACCTGCTTCCCTCTGAACAGCTCTCATTCTCGTTGGCGGCTTCGGCACGCGTCTGCGACCTCTGGTACGTGGCCCTGCGGTCGCGGAATCTCGAATTTCGAGCAATGCGATCACCCACACCGAGCACCGAAGACTGACAATGTATTCGCGCAGACCCTCACCATGCCCAAGCCCCTGGTCGAGTTTGCGAACAAGCCCATGATCCTGCACCAGATCGAGGCTCTCGCTGCTGTTGGTGTCACTGATGTTGTCCTCGCTGTCAACTACCGCCCGGAGATCATGGAACGGGTCCTGAAGGAGGTCAGTCCCGAGACAGCCCATAATCCGCATGTGCCCCTTTCCCCTTTCCCCGCCGCTGACTTGCGACCTACATAGTACGAGACCGAACTCGGTGTCAAGATCCATTTCTCCCTCGAGAGCGAGCCCCTCGGCACCGCCGGCCCCCTCAAGCTTGCAGAGGGCATCCTGGCGAAGGACGACTCGCCCTTCTTCGTCCTCAACTCTGACATCACCTGCGACTTCCCCTTCAAGCAGCTTGCCGAGTTCCACAAGTCCCACGGTGATGAGGGTACCATCGTTGTGACCAAGGTCGAGGAGCCGTCCAAGTACGGTGTCATTGTCCACAAGCCCAACCACCCGTCGCGCATCGATCGTTTCGTCGAGAAGCCTGTCGAGTTCGTCGGCAACCGTATCAATGCCGGTCTGTACATGCTCAACGTCTCGGTCCTTGACCGTATCGAGAAGAACCGCCCTACTTCTATCGAGCAGGAGACCTTCCCCGCTGTCGTCAAAGACGGTCTGTTGCACTCGTTCGACCTCGACGGCTTTTGGATGGACATTGGTCAGCCCAAGGATTACCTGACTGGCACCTGCCTCTACCTTTCTTCCCTGACCAAGAAGAACTCAAAGCTTCTCTGCTCACCGTCCGAGAGCTTCGTCCATGGTGGAAATGTCATGGTTGACAAGAGTGCCAAGATCGGCAAGAATTGCCGTATCGGACCCAATGTCATTATTGGCAAGGACGTTGTCGTCGGCGATGGTGTACGACTCCAACGCTGCACTCTCCTGCCTGGCTCTAAGGTTAAGGACCACGCTTGGATTAAGAGCGCTATTGTTGGCTGGAACAGCTCCGTCGGCAAGTGGGCTCGCCTGGAGAACGTCACCGTTCTTGGTGACGACGTGACCATCGGTGACGAGATCTACGTCAACGGTGGTAGCATCCTTCCCCACAAGAGCATCAAGGTCAATGTTGATGTGCCGGCCATCATCATGTAACCCGACCTAACTGGTCGATCCCCGCGCCTCTGTGAAACTTGTTCTTTCTCGACACTTCGGATGTATATTTGGCACGGTTCCCCGCCTTGTCCTTACGGCTCATAATACCTTGACGATTTCCTCTTCGACCCTTTGAGAACTCTCACCTCAGCATCTGTTCGGTTTCTGCTTTTCAAGTAGGGTGGCGTTCTGGTTGGACCATCGGAAAAACCCGGCGGTATATGAGCCCAGCATCATGTGGCTTGGGAATCATGATCTGACGTTTGATTCTGTTCTCACGTACAGCATTGTTATTCAAGCCTGGATTTCACTGTTCGTCAACTACGAAGTTCCTGAGATCAAGAACATCCTGGAGAGACCCAAGATCATTTCACACATGCTCAAGGATACACAGAGATTTTCCGACAAAACTTCACCAAGGGAATGGTAGATGATGTTACTAGATGGCACGACCAAAATCTGGTGTGACGGGTGTGGAACTGTGCGCCATACGGCATGGTCTTGGACTGCATGTGCGGGGCTTCGTGGAAACGGAACACGGACATGACATGAAGTCTGTCTTGTTTATGATACCTCGAATTGCCTGTGCCATCAAGGGCCAATGGAGTTATGGCCAATAAGCATGGCGTTGGTGCGCTGAGTGTGGGCAGCAAGTCTAGATATCCCGGAACCACTGCAGAGCTACATAGCAATGAGATGATTCACCTAAGCTTGTTGCCATGCATACGTAAGGGTGCCTTCACACAATCCTAGAATTTAAAATTTGATTTTCGGTATAAGCGCCCTGGCATAAGCAGTCGCAACATAATAAACCATAAATACTGCTTATTCTGGTATGCTTATTCCACGTAAATAATACCACTTGCTTGAGATGTAGGATCCTGCTGAATCAAGCTCTCTAGTCAGCCAGTAGTGCTTGGACTTGACTGTCATCTAAAGTCTGCGCAGCCACTGAACCCGAGGCGTTATCTACACCGCATGTCCACCAAGTAAGGGTTATGGGGTTTGCGGACACGAATCATACACTAGAATCAGCTCATGGATCCTGGGCAAGATCCCAACTAAAGGGCCATGCCAGGTCTGCATGTCACAAGTCCTGAGGCAGCACTAACTTTAAATAAGAATCCTATACTAAAAATAAGTAAAGCAAAATTAATATAATATGGTTTATACCAATTAAGCTACTAATTCTTATATTTCAGCAGAGATTTCAAGATGAATCTATATTATAAATTTATAATTATTTTTAAGCTGAAATGTTCATGTCTAAAGAACGACTACACTGTACAATGTCTATGTCTAAACTGAACTCTCATAAGTCTCCCTATACCACCCGTTTAGCAAGCAGCGATATATTTATCTAATCGAAATAACCACACTGGAATAAGCATGAAGAGTAGCGCATTTAACTAAAGCTGCTTATTCATGTATGCTTATTCCAGTATTTAAAAAAAAATCCACGGGTGATCTGGAACTTTATCAACATGACGGCACGGAGACTCATGAAGGCTGAGTGTACCAGGGCAATGTGAAAGCTATGAGACCCTCACCCTGCTCGGCCTTGGGTACAGTCGCCACTCATAAGTCTCCGTCCGGCATACATCAATGGATTCTTGAGTACTGCTGATACGTTCAGATTGATGGAATGAACGCCCTTACGTAAGTGATTAGCTTTGGTACAGTAACGCACTTTTGATGCTCATTCCAGACTGCTTATTCCGGCCATAAAAGACGCAACTTTACTGCTCGAGGAGCGGCGTACGGAGCCTTTTGGAGGGCTCGGTGTTCTCGTGCTATCATTACCACTGCCAGTCGCGCGACTATCTACCTAGGAGACCGTCTTGATTTATATTTTCTTTTGTTTGATCATAATTATAATCAGAGGCATAGATAAGTTTGATCTGAATGTGAGGAAGCAGATGCCGCGACTTACTCGTCTACTTATTTAACTTTCTATGTGGATATCACACAATGATGCCGCAGTGGAACTGTGGAAACGTTGCCCCTTTTTTAACACTATACGTAGTCACAATGTAGTCAACCATCAGCCAACGACACAAACACAACAATTGAAGGTTCAAGGCCCGCGCGGTGGCAAAAGCGCTCTTCTCGTCTGTGACCTTGCCTTCCGCTTCCCATGTTTCGCAGACAGAGCAGTTATTCATCGGAAGGTTCAGCCACCACTTCAAGCCCTTATCTCCGACAAGAACACCGTCAAGGGAGGGAGATGCCTGACTAAATAATCAACAGTTTGCTTTACAGCGAAACAACATTACAAAATACAGCAAAGCTCGTCGCCCATAGCGTAGCCGTCGAGGTAACATAATGTACCACTGTCTGTAAAAGTATCTATATAAGCATGAAATTATATATCTTTTCCGTCTAAGAAGATAAAGTCTAATACTAGTGATTCAGCGGCAACAGGTCTGATGTTGACCCCCTGGGGTACTGTTCCAGTGGTGTATAGTATTTAAGCTTTTACAGAGCAGCCAATCACACACAATATACTCACACGGGGCCCTGACTATGCGGCGCCGGCGCAGTTGAAGGTGAGCTGTTTAACATATAAGGTTTTCATTTTCCTTCTCCGATGCTTTAGCTGTGGCTGTATATCTGGCCATAAATCTATAAGTATTAGCACCTGGTTTTCTATTACTTACTGCCCGATAAAAAATCCTGCACCCGCAACTCACCATCCCTCCTCCCATATCTTTGAGACCTCCCAGCACCTTCCACCACAACCAAGCAATTGCCTGACACTCTCATCTCGAGATCGTCCCAATAACGACAAGCACTTATCCTCGACCACCCAACAAGCCATCAAGCCATCCCGACACCTTGGCCGTGTCTATATTACCCCCCCATAACTTGCAGCACCGGTTTCCCATCCCCGCCCGACACAAATCCCTGCACCCGCAACTCACCAGCCGACCTCATATCTTGAGACCTCTCAGCACCTTGCACTGCAATCAACCAGGTGCCTAAGCATTCTCTTCTCGAGATCGGCACAATATCGACAAGACCCAGTGTGTATGTTGCTGCTGTCCTCGCTCTCGTAACCGGGTAGGAACAGAAGCTAACCAGATGACTTCTTAACAGCTGGCCTTATCTTCGGCCAGCCAACTGCCCAAGCATTCTCTGCTCCAGATCATCACATATAACGACAAACCCCAGTGTATGTCGCTGCTCTCCTCGTGCGTGGGAGTGTGTAGACACAGAAGCTAACCACATGACTTCTTAGCAGCTCGCCATATCTGCCGCCAGCCAACTGCCTAAGCATTCTCTGCTCGACACCATCACAAGAACGACAAGCCCCAGTATATATCGCTGCTCTCCTCAATCCCCATTGTATGTCGTTGCCCCCTTCGCCCTTGGAAGCGTGTAGGCACAGAAGCTAACAAGATCACATCTTAACAGCTCGTCTTGTCTCCGACAAGTCAGCACGCTAATAGACAACCCAAACAACCAACCAAAACCATCTCCGACCGGTTGAGTGACTCACTCGGGTCACTTCATATTCACAATGCAGCCCCCAATGACCCAAGTCTTGCAAGGCACCAGGTACATCAACCGATATGGGACGAGGACTCCTACGTCCAAAGTCTTACCAGGCACCAAAGAGTTCAGCAACCCGAATGGGAAGAGGATTCGGGAACCCCAAGTCGCCAAAAGATCAACTGCCCCAAAGGCAAAATCGTCCCGGACTGAGTATGACCAGCACGATGTCCACTCGCACCCGCAACACCCGCAGCACGCACCAAACCGGGCATCAAAGGACGGACGAGATGAACAAGAGAGCATCATCGAAAAGATCGAATCGGAAAACCCCAAAGCGCCACTCGGCAGCCCCTCGAACAGCGAAACTGCCAATGACGTCGACCCGAATGGCCTGTGGCCCAACGGGCATAAGACACAACGTGTGATGTTTGATTATTTCAAACGCGCGATCAAACGCGCCCGAAGAACAACTCCCCTGCAAGAATCGAATCACAATCTCCCCAATGGCGCCAACCTCCTCATACAACTCACCGGGGCTGAGAGACCTGTGCAGCTGAAGAAAGATCATTTCAGCGGTGTCATCCGCAAGCGAACCATGATGGATGATATGTATGATCGAGTCAAGGAGGAAGACCCGGAGAAATTCCGCCAGTACAGCAAAAACTACCACAATGCTCGGATGAATTCAAACGCAAACCAAGGCGATGATGAGGACGACGCCGACGAGGAGGAAGACACGACGGACGAGGTTAAGAAGGAGTCGAAAGAGGACTGAATGAGAGTGTATAAACGAAATTTGACAAGAGGACATGAGGACAAACGCAACAACACGACAGTCGATGGTCAGGTCGAGATCAACGGTCCGCGGCATGATCCACAACCTTTAATCGACATGACGTTTCCCGGCCGGGTCGACGTTGGAACGGCCCCGCAACAGGAGGCGTTGAGATGGGACCCAGTTGTGCGGTAGCGATATCACACTGCATGTGGCGTTAGTGTTTCAGGAGAGGATCTCCGGGCGTGGCAGAACATGACAGTTGCGGTGTGGCGGGTGGCGAGTGTTACAACATGAGCTGGCACCCCATTCCGCCATCGTTGTACGGGGTCACGCACGGCATGGCAGGAGATGTATTGTGATGGTTTTTTCCCACTGGGTTTCCCATCCTTCAGCATGAAATGCTGGCAAATGCTACAGCTACATAGGTTTGGTGGTTTGGTGATTTGGTGGTTTGGTGGTGGGCAAGTGATCGCCGATTGTCGCGACGGTGCACGTGGCACAGCGTGGGTAGAGACGGTCAAGGACCGGTGGAGCAAGTGACGCTATCGAGAGCTGCGGGACGAAGCAGAGGGACTCGAATGGTGTCGCATGGAAGATAAAGACGTAATGTTCGTTTTAACATGTTGCGTGCCATACTTCCGGGAAGGCTGAAGCAGCTAGTAATAAAACAACTGTCTCTTCAATCCAGACGTTGCCAATGTGACTATGATGTAATAAGGGCCAAGTATCGTGAAAGCCGGTTTGGTCGGCAGTGGTGGGGTGGTGACTTCGCTCGTGTCCTTGCCGCGACGCGTTATCGTGGGCTCGCGGTTCGGGGCCACAGCGGTCTTTTCCACTCCCTTTGAAGTGGTCTGGTTTGCCCTGGACGGCGGAAGATGGGGCGCCCTCGCAAGCGTCAGGGCTGGAGTGTCATATGCCCCCGTCAGTTCCGCCCTCAGGAACGAACCCGTCTGTCTGCCTGTCTGCCTGTCTGCCTGTGGCGACTCGTCAACAATGCCCAATGAATGGAGTCGAGGTTCGAGTGTCTGAGTGTCTGAGTGTCAGATGTACTTGGCATCCGAACACCCAGCATCCACAAGAACTGACAGGAACTGACAACACTGATGAAGTTCCTACCTTACGGTGCTGCGGGATCGGAAGGCCAGAATGCATCCAATGTGCATGGGAGTGAGGGGCTCGAAAGATCTGGCTACTCATGTGAGACTGGAATTGACTAATGAGGGGCAGCGTCGTTGACAGATTGGGGCTGAACGAGGGCCATGTTTGGATCCTGATGTCACAATTCCCCACTAACGGATCTAAAACAATTCATCAGGACTTGGCTCCGGTGGCCTCGAGTCCGCTGTCAGCTGGAGCAGTGGGATTTCACTGCCAATCAACGCCAAAGATGGGATGGGAGAGGAGCTCCAACTTCGTCTCCGCACCGGGGCCCGTTGGCTTTCTCTCAAGTCTCCACTCTTCAGTGGTGCTCCCCCTCTCCAGCGCCGGGGCCAGCGGTGCCCCCGAGCGGCGAGCGGTTCGACTCTGGTCCTCCCCACTCCCCAGAAGAGACGATCCCTCCCTGCCTGATTCGCCGGGCTCTGCATTCCCACATTACTTGCATGGAGCTGCATACTGTCACCTGTACTGTACTTCGCGCGGTTGACAGCGGTAGGGAGGCACCATAAGTTAAAGTACATAGTGCGACTCTGCCTGCGCGACTTTGCTACCATGAAGCCCTCTCCCATCTCCATCTCCATCTCCATTTCCATCTCCATCTCCTCCTGCTCCTCCACGTCCTCCTCCTCTTCCTCCTCCTATCTCCCCAGTTACCTATTTTCATACCTCTCGCGTCGAACCCTACCCAGACCCCACGGCCCATCGCCCACGCTTACCCTGTGCGCACAGCCGCAACCGACACTATTCGCCCCAACTAGAAGAGCCTCTCCTGGCGTAGCCCACCCCTTCTCGACGTCCACCTGGTACACCGCACGCCGTCCCTATCCAAACTGCTAGGATAAGGGAGACTTGCCTCGCGAGTGCCTTCAGTCCGACATCACCCAAAGACGACCAAGCCCTACGTCCATAGGTTCTGCACCTTACTTCGCGAGCCGCGACGGTAAAGGTGCAATGGGAGACACTCGCGAGCGCAAGACATCTGGCACCGAGCATGGACGCCTAGCCGACGGCGTCAACGGCGTCAACGGCCATGTCGAGGAGGAGAGCTTCATCGGTGCCGTCGATCAGGGCACAACCTCGTCCCGCTTCATCATCTTCAACCGCTTCGCCGATCCTATTGCCAGCCACCAGATCGAGTTCCAGAACTACTATCCACACTCGGGGTATGTCATCGCCCTTGTCTTCGTCCTCGGTGCCATGCCCTATTGTGACGATAAGCTAACGCTCTATCCCGTGTCGCAGCTGGCATGATCACAGGCCCCTAGAACTCCTCGAGTCTGTCGAACAATGTATCGAAAGGGCTGTCGAACAATTCATAACGAAAGGTTACCGCAAAGAGCAGATCAAGGCCATTGGTCTCACCACCCAGCGAGAAACGACCGTATGCTGGGATAAGTATACAGGCGAACCCCTTTGCGAAGCCGTTGTTTGGCCCGATACGCGAACCAAAGACTTGGTACGAGAACTGAAAGGCCACCTGGGCGCAGATAGGTTGTTACAGCTTTGTGGTCTGCCACTGAGTACATATCCCTCTAGCGTGAAGCTGCTCTGGCTGGTGCGCTACCACGACCAGGTGAAAAAGGCCTACGAGGAAGGCCGTCTCGCCTTTGGCACCGTCGATAGTTGGCTGATCTATAAGCTGAACGGCGGCAAGGAGAAGAACGTGCATGTGACCGACACCTCGAATGCGAGCAGAACTATGTTCATGAATCTGCACACCTGTCAGTATGATGATGAGCTTATCAACTTCTTCGGCATCGACCGTTCCAAGGTCGACTTCCCCAAGATTGTGCCCTCTTCGGATGCCGAAGCTTTTGGTACCCTGGCCAGGGGTATACTGGCCGGGACCAAGATTGCGGGCTGTCTGGGTGACCAGTCCAGTGCTTTAGTCGGGCATTGTGGGTTTAGCCCAGGCCATGCGAAGAACACGTACGGTACTGGATGTTTCCTGCTGTACAATGTAGGCACAGAACCGGTCATATCTCAGTATGGCCTGCTGGCTACTGTCGCGTACGATTTCGGCAAGGGGCAAAAACCAGTCTATGCGCTTGAGGGCAGTATAGCCGTGGCTGGGTCTGGCGTGAAGTTCCTAATGAACAACCTGGGATTCTTGCGTGATTCCACCAAGGTTGGCGAGCTGGCCAGGACAGTAGAGGACAACGGCGGAGTAGTGTTCGTCACTGCATTTAGTGGTCTTTTTGCTCCATACTGGATCGATGATGCCAAAGGCACTCTGTGTAAGTTACTCACCCCCAAGCCCGGCCGTTCCTCTTTCAGGACGCTGCCAAGGCGGTTGAAGAGGTCGGAGGCTGATACATCGCAGTCGGCATAACACAACACACCCAGAGAGGACACATCGCCCGCGCCACCCTAGAAGCCACTTGCTTCCAAACCCGCGCCATTCTCGAGGCAATGGAGAAGGATTCAAAGCACAAGCTTGGGGGCGTCGCTGTCGACGGTGGTATGTCCAACTCGGACTTGACCATGCAAACCCAAGCCAACATCATTGGCATACGGGTTGAGCGTCCATCCATGCGCGAAACAACGGCGCTAGGAGCCGCGATTGCGGCCGGCATGGCAGTCGGTGGCTTCTGGAGGGATCTTGAAGAGGTTTCGGAGATCACTCACAAGAAGCCCGGTCGTAAAAACTTCGAACCCGATATGGACAGAAGGCAGGGTCAGAAGATGTACGAGAATTGGGAGAAGGCTGTCGAGATGAGTCGGGGTTGGGTGAGGGATGCAGCGGAGGCTGAGTTTGAAGGCATCGAGCAATCCGAGGTCTAGGTCTTTCGGCGGTTCGGTGAAGTCGCTGCTGTGTGTGCTTCAAGAGGAGAGGGTGAAATAAACGAAGTCGCCTGACATATGGCATAACCGTATATAAGGGAGGGAGAGACAGTGGCTGTGTGGAGCAGGTTGGGACGACTTGCATGGTGAACTGGAGTTGGGTAGCATTTCGCGTGGCTGGAATGAGAATCCATTAGTCTTGCGAGAGACAATAAGTAGTACCTCTGTATTAATACATAATAGACTACTAAGTGATGCATACCTTGGACGTCCGAACGCCTCTTGACATTCCATCGCCAGCCAACCCGCTTGTTCTCAAGAAGTCAGTACACACGCAAACGGTAAGATGTTTCTATTAGATGACAAGGGTATTTGGTGGACTTGCCGCACTGCCAGGGAGGGCCATAGAGAGCGTCGAGAAGCAAGATTCTACAGTTGAGCAAGTAAGGCAGACAGACCTATGTATCCATCCCTTCGTCCCCCTTCCCTATCACCCTATTATCACCACAGTAGCAGAACAAGAGGAAAACAAGGAGTACAAATTGACTCGTCTTTGACGGCACGCTCACAACCAAGCTCCGCCGCCGCCAGGCGCCGGTACTCTGCCGCCAGTAGGGTCGAGAGACTCGAACTATTGCAAGACAGCCCGTGAGGGACTGACTGACTGACTGCCGGTGCATATTTGAAGCTCTTTTTCTTTCCCCCTTTTTTTTTCCCCCGACGGCGTGGACGCTCAGCGAGCGGGCCGTTGACCAGTGGCGGCGGCCTGCTGCTCAAACGGCCTCGGCGGCTAACTGACCCTGACGATCCCGTAGCTGGTGGCCGGTGCAGGGCAGGGAGACGGGTCGGGGTGGGTTATGGGTTATAGGTCCACGAAGCCGGGGTGGTGGTCGTCTGCTTTCTGCGTTGTTCGTCTGTTTTTCCCCTTTGCGACCCTTTAGCGGCCTGCTCGTGGTGTCTAGAGGAGAAGAGGGATGGGAATTAGGTGAGGGCTTAGGGGTGGTGGTGGGCAAATGGGGAAGGGGGAAGGCGAAAGGATACAACATGGCGCTATAGGCGGTAGATAGGTAGGTAAGTAGGTATGGAGGGCTGAGTGGAAGTTTGGGGAAGAAAGGGGCCAGGAAGGCAGGACAGGCTGTTTGTTGATGTCGCTCACTTGAGTCGCCCTTCGCCTTGAGATCTGCGTTTGTCTTGTCGTTATATGTCTGTTCCATTCGCTGGTATCTAGCCTGTGTTGTCACCGTCAACAGGAGCACTTATACCCCTTTCACCAACCCCATGCCTCGACAACTCTGCCCCTGAGCCGTCATGGCACAGGCTATGAATAGACGAAGTACTCCTATCCATATACCACTCCAGTGACCCGCCACCATGTCGAGAAATTCAAAATGGGAAGGAAATAAAAATGGTACTAACCGAATGTCTGAACCCGTCCGTCCCGGTGATTCCTACTGGGGTTTTAAACAAAACCGCCTTGTCATTCTCGACCCTGCCCTCCTTACTGTACTGATAACGTGGCGCAAAACCCTGGTCCCCACGATGTCGATGTCAGGTTACACGCTGCTCCGACATCGCAGTTATCCAGCCTTGCAAAATTTTAATTTTTTTGAAACCTCAATTAATAGAACGAATCCTGCTCGAGCAAGGAACCGATCCTCCCAGACCCCGGACTGGGAAAGGGGGGACCCTTTGTGGTGGTCCACGGTGGGCGTGGGTTGAGTTTTCGTGACTGGTGCTGTGTGATACTGGCTCTGTGATACTGAGCCTGGTGTTTGTGCCTCCGGTGGTAATGATCAGTGCGATAAGTTGTGACGTGTGACTTACGACGAGACAAGAGACAAGAACCGGGATTAGTGTTAAGTCACATGAGTAAGTGCGAACAAGGAGCCTCTACGCGTTGTCTGGGAGAAGACTGCGAGGTTGTTGACAACAAGTAGCATATTTATAGGAGACGACGTGCATTGGAAGACACCGCTGAGATCGACAAACGCACAAAGGTATGTTGTCTACATGAGCATGACAGACCATATCAACCGAGAGTATCTTCTTCCAACCATAGCTCTTGTTTTGGGGGGATTAAGTACTTGGATACTGTCTATGTTCTTTCTCTCCCGACGTCGGTACCCAACTAGAGTACTTTTCGCTAATGCATACTTATGAGAACTCCTCTGCTGTGCGGTTTTTATCAAAAAAGTAGGCCCTATCTGCCTTATGTCCCACGGTACGAAGTCCAAGGCAGTAGCGGGTGCCTCAAAATCTCAAGTCAACTCGTAATCTCATGAACTCATAGCTCTGAGATAGACATTAGCAGTTGACTAATAACTACCCCGGCCAGGGATCAAGGCCGGAGTACTCACACCCAAAACAGACAGGCTCATCGTCGCCAGACCATCCTGACCGGCCAACGATTGCCATGGCAAATTGCGTCTCATCAGCCCCCAGGAGGAGCTACTCCTACCCATTCACCAACAGTCACTCTTCAACCATTTCCAAGACCCAGAAGCACCAAGTTCGCGATATTCAAAACCACGATAACAAGCCAAATGGCCGCAGCCAGCACCGCGACCCACCAGGAATTCGCCATCTTCACGAAGGCATCCTGGTCCACGTCCCTATTACCGGGAGCGTGTTCTGGGTCACTGCCTTGAACACCCGGATGGATATCATTAGAGCCGAAGGCATCAATGCCCTCGGTCTTGTACCGGGCGGGGCCAGGCTGCGTGGCCATGAACTTATTGAAGCACGTGAACCATATGAGGGGCGCCGAGACAAAGGGTAAGACAACGCTGAGAACAACCTGGCTACCGTTAAGCGCGGCATTGAGCTTCTCCCTCCCGGCGGCGCCAGCAATGATGATGCTGGGCGTGATGGAAATAGACCGGGTGATGAGGCGACGAAGCCATGGCTTCATCTTCCACTTCAGTGCTCCTTCGCATATCTGCTGCCCGGCGATCGTGCACACGATGCCTGCGGAAATACCGGAAAAGAGCAGGGCGAGCGCGAAGATGGTGCCAGCCGCAGGGCTGATACTAGCCGAAAGGAGGTCGTGAATGCCGAAGATATCAGCTTCGAGGGCGTCGGGGCTGTTGTAAAGACTCGCGCCAGCCACGATTAAGATGGCGCTGTTCACGAAAAGAGCAAATGTAATGAGTGAGAGGGTCACCTCGGTGTAAGAGTACTTCAGCGAATGTTGAATGGCCGTAAGACTTGGAATATAGTAGGTCTTTACGCCCGTCTTTTCGTCGTTGATACTGTCTTCAGATTCCGCCGGCAGTAGTCCGCATTTGGTATCGTAATCCAGCAGTCGGCTCTGCACAATACCGGAGCCAAGATATAGCGAATGTGGCATCACCTACATGATCGTAAGCAAGACTGTCAAAGGCTCCGAGCCAAATACCACACGCGTCAATTCTCAGGGGCCATAGTAAGACCAGTATGGTAGGGGGATCAATAGCTGGTGGTAATCCCACTACAACCTTTGTACCACCTGCCGGCTCATACTCGAGAAGTGGGAATGGATGAACGTAATAATTGAAGATTCATGATGCCCTAAGAAAACAACATTGTGTAAGAGCAGACGGAGGATGAACTTACAGTAGCACCGAGAATGCCGCAGGCCTGGAAGATACCCGCGGACGTCGTGACGGAGTCGTTAGGGATATAGCCGCGAAAGACTTCACCGGGACTCGTGCCCTTGATGAGCGAGAGCTGGATGCAGAAGCAGATGACCACGGCCAGGACGAGAAGCATGACGAAGAACTCGAAAAACCGGAGGCCCTTCATCGACCCATTAGGCCGGTAGAAGATGAGAATAACCATCACATCGAGGATGGAGAGGGCGCACCCGGCGACTAGGGGTAATTGAGGGATGAGTAGGTTGAGCCCGATGGCCGTGCCAATGACCTACCCCTGAAGTCAATCTCCTGGTCGACGCAGCGTGTCGTGGGGAGGTACTACTCACCTCAGCGATGTCGGTCGCGATGATGGCGACCTCGGCCATGAAATACAAGAAGTAATTGAGCCACCTGGGCAAAAAGGCGCGGCATGCCTGAGCGAGGTTCAAGCCTGTGACGGTGCCCAGCTTGACCGACAGGCACTGCAGGAAGACGGCAAAGATGTTACTCATGAGGATGATGAAGAGCAGGCGGAACCGGTTCTCGGCGCCGGCGCTGATATCTGTGGAGTAGTTGCCCGGGTCGATGTAGGCCACGGCGACGAGGAAGCCCGGCCCGACGAACTTGCCAAAGGTGACGAGCGTATGCGCGACCTTGTGCACGGGAGTCCGTGGGCCATGGGACGGCGGCGGCGGCGCAGGGTTGGCGAAAGCCCTGCTGCCGGGTGTCGAGCCGTCCTTGTTCACCAGCGTTGAAGTCGTCGCTGGCGACTGACCAATAGAACGACACCGGTTGGTCAGATTTGCGGTGGTGGCGGCGCCGCGGTCTCTGTCGACATCGACGCCGGGCGGATTGTCCTCTGCAATTGGCTGGCCCGAGTTGTGCATGCTTCTTGCATCGTGCCCTCTGCGTTCTCTGGAATTTGCGATCCCGTTGAGGTCCTGGTTGGTGACGAGATCGTTTGAGAGGGCGTTGGGGTTCTGATGGAGTCCTTCGCCCTCGTACGGCTCATCAGTCCTCGAGGTCTTGTTCATAGTAGACCTAGACCGGGACAGAGTGCTGACTGCAGCGTCTTCTCAAAAATTCCAACTTGACACGTCCCTGGTGGTCTATTTATGGAGGACCTCCAATTCAAAGAGAGTATACACACTGGGACAAAGGAATTCGATGCTGATGCCGAGGCCGTGGTGCCAACCGAGCCCGAGGAAGGTACGAGACAGAGTAGGGTAGTCGTTAAAGGTAGGAGACGGGACGAAGAGGAAATCGACGTTGATGTGATGTTGATTCGTCGACTCACTGCCGCCAAGGTCCCCACGGAAACCCCAGAGAATGAAGCGGGATGGCCGCATCTACAGTAGCGTCAGCGCCCGGCAAGGTGTCGCCCCTGGGAGTCGGAAGCCACGCTGTGGCTGGACCGTTCCTTCCGATCGCAACTTTAGCGTGCAAACTGCCACGGTTTCTTCCGCATGACGGCATCATCCCGGCGTCGTCAACCGATCACGGCAACACGTGGTTCCTCGGCATCTGCAGAGGTGTGTTGCACATTGCGGGCTCACCCTGTGTTGGCTGGAGTCATCATGGACAAGCGCTCATCTCGCGGCATACTTGGTTGCGCAAAGGTCAGGGTGTACTACAGCCTCTGACCATGGCTTATTAGATCTGCTTGCCAGCGTTGTTTGATCACGATGCGAGCAAACTCGCACACATTGACTTCATATTGGCCATATTGTGCCAATGTTGAACTTGGCAGTTGGTCAAAATCTACCCTCTCGAGCTGCATGCCCGCCGTAACACCCAGCGCTTTCTAGTCTGTCAAATTCACACATCAGGTATTTCACACGCGAGCTCGCCTATTCATGCAACTGAACGCAACTGCTCCAATTTTGTTCACACTTCCTTGCCCGTCTGGCACTCAAATCAGTCGTCCGGTCGTAGACCCAGCTCATCGCGATTTCTTATCACCACCCTTCGCAGCGGCGCGCTCTCGTTCTCTCTTGGCATAGATTCCAGCCGTGAACGGGTTCTCATACTTGAGCGCGATCTGGTACACCACAAACACCCAGGCCGTCAGCAGGATGCCGGCGGGCTTGCCGAACAGCAGCGCCGTGCCTAGGAAGCTGCAGGTCGAGCCGTTGTACATGGGCGCGTCGGTGATATTAAATGGGAAGCCCGTGACGATGTCGTCCATCAGGATGCCGAAGTAGTCGCCCAGGAACGTGCCCGTGATGCCCAGCGCCCACGTCGACGACAGCACTAGGATGTTGCCGCTGGCGATCAGCGCGTACGCCAGCCACTTGGCCTCGGTCGTCTCGAGCAGCGGGTACGTCGGCTGCTGGCGCAGCGCGCGCTCGTAGAGGAGGTCGCGCACGAGGCCGAGCGAGAAGATGGTGCCCGCGAGCGCGTAGCACGCCGTCTGCGATCGCCCGCCGAAGAGCTTCGTGAGCACCTTGTTGCGGTATTCTGGTGGCATGTTAGGACTGGCTGCCGGCTTCCGAGCGGGGTTGGGGGTCAGGGACAAACGGACCTTGCCGGGCTACAATGCTACGCACAGGTGTTAGTCACGCTGGTCTAGAGAAGCATATCGTCTGATTACTATTAAGACTTACTTCCAGAATAGAGGGTTGAAGGCAATAGCGCAGGCCGAGACTTTGGGGAGGCAGTTGTCAGTATGGCGATAGCCCAGTATGAGTGCGATCATGGGTGCTTCAGACGTACGGAGCAAGCTCTTCTGGTTGAAGTCGACCAGCTTGGTGGCCGGTGTCTCGAGGTGTGCCATGATGAGCTAGACTCCAGACGGGTTCTGTTTCATCCAAACTTGGCGCTTGTCAATGAACGTTGAGTTTTCGGTCCTTGGCTCGAAAGAGGTGGCTGCTCGTCGTTGTCGTGATGTGAGGTGATGAGTTGCAGGTTGGGTTGCTCGCCGGCTATAGTCGGCGGAACCAGATGGACGGCACTCAAAGCTGGGGGGCTCCCTGGCCCGGCACTGCGTCATCCCAGTCGGACCCATTCCCCGTTTGCCCGTCAGCATATCCGACCTGACCCAAAAGTATGCGGTATCTCCCTCCACCTGTCTTGTTCCCCGTCGATGGTAACGATGAGCTTTACCCTACAATATTACATAGATAAGGACTAGAATTCGGTCAACTCACTACTAGGCCATCAGGCTTTGCGACGCATATCCGCAGCATCAGCAGTTGAGACTGGTTGAGAAGAGTGAAATATCAAAGATCTTATGATTGGGACTAGATAATGCCCGGGTATCCGATAACCATGCTGACTGAAATAAGAACACTCGACCAGCTGCAGCACTTCGCTTCTTTATCTGCGAGCCCTCGTCTTCTTGGTCGTCTGTGTGGTATCCTCCTCTTCCTCGTCCTGGCCTTTCTTCAGGTCCTCTTCCAAGCCCCATTCTTCCTTGTCATACCAATCCTCGCCATCCGACATGTCCTTGTGTGCTTCGTACTTGGTCCATTGCAGCACCGTCTTCCGCATCCTGTCTGCCCGAAGTAGTCCTTCGTATAGACGCTTTGCCCCTCGACAGAGTTCTTCCTGCTTTTGTATGTACAGCTGCAGGAGTCGCCGCATATCGTCAGCTTCATCCGGCGGAAGTCCTAAATCCCGATCCGGGTGGGCTGACCGCGGAGGTAAGAAGAACGGATGGATGGACAGAGCATCAGAGGGTTCTGATACGGCAGACATCGGCCGGTTGCCCTCCTGATGTGCCTCTTTCCGAACTTCGTGCCTTTGATGTGCGCCACTGGCACCAGCTTCCTGTTGTCCACCCGCCACTGAGCCGTTTGTTACTATGCCGCCGGCGACATTCGAAGCTGGTTGGTCCTGTTTCTCGTTGCCCACATTGCCGTCTGTTTTCTGCGCAGCACTACTCTTCGATGGATCGCCCGCTGTGTTACTGGCCGGATGGTCTTGCTGGCCATCGTCGGATTTTCGTTCGAATTCATGGCCAACGCCTTCCTCGTCATGTGTCAATGTTTCGGTGACCGTCGTGTCTGCATCGGCTTGAGGCTCGGCGTCCGCCATGGAAGTATCGGTATCGTCTAGTCTCTCTGCTTCAGCCACTGCCTTGCTACTGCTAGTAGCGGGCATTGCGCCATTCGTGTAGGCCACCCCGTTCGTCCTGCCTTCGAATGATGTATGCTCCAGCATCGACATGCTGGCGTCCGACTTGGCTGAACCTTTTGCATGATCGACACGTTCCATGTAGTCGTCCCGATACAGCTCGATGTCGTTCGGCCCGACGAACATCCCACAAGGCACCCAGATATGATCACCAACGAGCTTCGTCTGTAGATGCTTAACTTTCCAGAGAGCTTTGTTTTCCTTCTGCATGATGTTGCAGCCTTGCGCGGCAAGTTCCGTGAGGGTCTTCGAGGTATATGGTCGTGACAGGGTGGGACGTGTTGGGAGGTCAGTGACCGAAGTCAGAGGTGCTAGGATGTCTGTAGAGCCCCAGGTCAGCTTTTGGAGTACTTGGGGGCCGCGAAGGGTGTATGCGCACTCTCAAGTCGTACACTCGCGTACGGGTTGAACTCGGCCGCCGTGTCAGCGACATTTTGGATATGCTCTTCGTCATCGTCGCTATCGACTTCGTAGCCTTCGTCGTCGACGAGGGGCGGGTTTCTGCTAATGATAGCTCTTTGGTAGCCGGCGTGGCTCACGATCTGGATGGTCGCAACTTGTCAAGACAGTCTCCCGAATAGAGTAGTCGGGTTTCATGACTTACCTCCCTGTATACTTCTGGCCCCGATGGCGGTGCTAATTGCCCTTCATGTACGAATCTTGCCCTCTTCTGCAGCTTGTGCCCACGGTTGCCCTGGTGGTTGATTTCGGAGTCGGAGTCGGAGTCTATTGGCCCAAAGAATCAGCTTGCTGTAGGTAGGCACGGGCGCTCAGACGTACCGTATGCCTTTCTCTTCCTTGCCTTCTTCATGGCCATAATGGTCTCGGCGAAGAGAATCTGCTGAGACGCCATGGCGACCGACTGCCACGGCGCGCCGCTGCAATCTGTGTTATGTCCAGTAGAGTCAAGATGGCCAAATCGGTTCGCAGGCAACGTATTCACTGTCCCGGTTTCGGTGTGCGAAACACTCGTATGGGGTTCGTTGGGTCAAGAAGATGGTACGAGGGGAGAGTCGTGGTCGTATCTTGGCCGCAAAGCGCAAGTCGCAAGCAGTGTTGCAGTTGATGGTTTTGTTAGAAGTGGTGTCTGTACAGATTGCCCACAAGACAATCGTGTGCCAAAGGCTTGCGCAAGTCTGGGAGAGAGATTACCTAGGTATGGACTTGGAATTCGAGGAGAGAGAGAGGAACACTTTTCGCAATGAAGACAAGAGGCGAGGCTGCCCGCACCCACCGACGCAGCCCACGGCATCTGTCGGCGGAACACAGCTACTGAAGTGTACCTGCTCAAGCGCCAAGCCTCAAGCGTTTCGAGGATTGGTCATTGGACAGTCACACAAGGCGCCCCCACAGATTAGCGATTAGCCCTTTGTTCAGGTTGGCGCAAGCTTGGACCCTTTTGAATTCCAGCAGATGCCCGCCCGCGCCTGCTGCACCACGGGACGAGCTCACCCCGACAAGCCGATCGGAGGTGCTCAGAAGTCACCACTGAAGCCACTAATGATCCCGTCTTAGGTAAGGTTACAGGTACAGCGACTACACATCTTCCCGAAGGCAACCAGCGTTCTTTGCGCCGACCAACTAGACCTGTGATAATTGGTCTCGATGTTGTTATTCTGCTCTACTTTGTACGCTTCGTGAATGCGCATAGGCACCCGAACGAGAGACACCGTAAGCACCGTATATCTGCAGTAGGACAGCAACCAAGCAAGACCCCGAACTAATTGTGTGCTATAGCTGCCACCTCCATAGCTACCTACCTCAGCACCCTTGGTCATGGCACTACGCGCATCGCCTAAATTATGACCTTCCAAGTGCCCTCGCGAGCTCTATCGTCGATGCCTTCCTTGCCCGTGACGATACAGCAATGGACGAATACCCATCCGGCAGCCTGGACCTGAATGTCCCGTTCCTGGTCGTCTCGGGGCTCAGCACCAGTCATAGCAAGCCTCTTCTGACTGATCCCGACTTGAGGGAACGAGGCATTCTCATACGCTCCGAACTGCCTCCTGTCGATAGCCAAGAAGCCAAAGCAGTACTCCACCATATCCAAGAGGCAGATGCTGCCAATCTCCCATGGAGCGCGCGGGACAGTTCAAAAAGATATAGATTCAAAGTGAAGACTATTGGGAGGGTACGTGCTCCCGTCTAGTGGATTCGCAAACGTTGATGGCGTACGTTGCGTGTGGTTACGGGAGGTCCTGACTCTGGCTGTAGGAATTCCTCCTCCCACCGAGGCGTGCACGTCTTCCTGACGACGTTGATGCTCCCGTGTCCGGCGCCTCGCTGCATTCCCCCTTTTCACCGCTCAGTCGCGGCTCGACCCTATATCCGGATGGCCTGATAGATACACGATGGCTTGAAAAGCACCAAGCACTAATACCTAGCGTTTGCTTGTGTTTCTACAGCTTGTCGTCGGACACGACTCTCTCCACTTTACATGACAACCAACTCAAGACCGACATCAACGCTGTTAAGAACGCCATCAGTCGATCCGGCTATAAGTGCCGCTTGGCTGTCGTGATTTTGAGTGATCAGTCGCCTAGCTCCATTGGCCAGTTTCAGGAGAGACTTGATAATATCAGAAGAAGCAGTGGTCTTGATCCCAAGACTTCGCTTTTTGTTGTCCCTACCCGGCGGACCGAGACAGAGCTCGGGACTGCTGTTGACAGTGTCCTGATAGCTGTTTTCGATCAAGCGGTCGAATATTATCGTGACCTAGGCCGACATGCCCGCAAGAAGAGGGCTCGGGGGTTTGCGCCGCAGCCGACTGTGCCACCAACCACTGGCACTTCTCATACACTCTCTCTTCAGGGCTGGAATGTTCGCTACGACTATAAGACAGCGGTATTTGCCGAGTTTCGACAGGAACTGGACGTTGCTCTCCGCTCTTACGAACAGACTTATGATACACTGGTTGGTGCAGATGTACTCGAGACCATTCCAGCTTGGAACCCCAGATTCAATGATGCTCGGCTTCTAGCTGATATCGTAGCTATACGTGCTCTGAGATGTCTACTCTTGACGGGGCAGAGTACAGCCGCTGTCCGAAAGTGGCAAGCACACCGTGACAGGATGAGTGATCTCATCGATCGAAGAGGTCGCGGGACGCAGAACTATGGTTGGAAAGCCTGGGAGGCCAGATGGTGTACTGTCATGGCAAATCTGATCGAGAAAGTGAAATTTCCCGAGCTGGACCCATCAACCAAGGTACTGTTTCGCCCACCCGAGAAGAATCTCTCTGCTGAGCGTCTACAGCCGTGGGAGCTACTCCATCACCCGGGATATTGGTTTCGAGCAGCGGCGCGACATCTCATTGAACGGCGGAGAATGGCGCTCTCTATGCCAGAAGACGACCGAAAGGCGCCAGACGAGTCTCCTCGGTCGCCGCTTACAGGGAACGCTTACAAGTACGACACATTCATGTGTCCCGAGCCTCACGATGAACTGCCCCTCACCGGACTTGGTGTTAACCACGCACAGCTGATCGTTGATCGCTTGACACTAGCGAGGGCCGAGTTTCAGAAGCGGCAGCAGCTCCGGATGTCTGCAGAGTTGGTCCTTGATACGTGTAGAGAGCTGGGGCGATTGAAAGAATGGAAGCAAATACTAGAACTACTCACTCCTCTCTGGAGGAGCATGTCGTTCCGCACAGAAGGATGGTGGTATATAACCGAGGCGCTGAGCTGGACATTAAGAACTGCGGCGGTGGAGGTGGGCCAGAAGGATCTCATTGTCGCAATTGACTGGGAACTTCTGAACAAGTGTAAGTCTGGCCTTCGGGAGGATCATGAACAAGTTTTACTAATTAACTCAGGTTTCTCTAAGCGTCCAGACTGGCACTACGATATAACGAAATCCTTGGATGGAGTCACTATGGACCACCGACCTGCCATAACTATCAACGACGACCATTTAGCTTCATTTCTCCAAGCTTCCTTTGTGTTCAAGAACGAGGAAGGGAAGGCTGGGCAGAGCTGTCCAGCACAACTCTCGATTGTCTCTAACGCATTCCCCAAATCAGCACCGGTGGTGCTAGAAACGATTCGAATCGACTTTGATGGCAGCCTACGAACAATTCACCTCAAACACGATGGTAGCGAGGACCAGACAACGACGTCATCGTCACCTTTACACGTTACTCGAGTGCTTTTGAAGGAAGCGGAGTCCCCTAGTGATGCAATTTCCGACGACGACGCTTCAGAGACAGCTTCTCAAGGAGTACCTACTGCACTACTCGAAGCGGTGACTAACCTGACTCTGCTCCCGGGACAGACACGAGTGTTTGAAATGGATGTTCCATTAAGGGAGCCTGGCGATGCGAAGGCATCTTCGGTCCAGGTCTCAATAAACCCTGAATCATTCTCTCTGAGATGCACAATGAAACTCCGAGAAGCAGACTTGGTGAATCCATGGTACTCACAGTCTTCTTCCAGGAAGAAGATCACGAGGATGAACCCTCAGAACATCAGAATCCTCCCCAGACCTCCAAAAATGGAAGTCAGAATCAACATGCGCGACCAATACTATGCGAACGAGGCCGTCGAGCTGGAGCTAGAGATGCTCAATGAGGAAGATGCAGACGCAGATACCAAACTGGAGGTTCTTCTCCATGGACCTGGAGCCCCCGCTTATACGGTGCGAGTTGCGAATGGGGAAGAAGGATCATCTTCAGGGGATGATAAGTCAAGACGGAACGGGGTCACAGTTGGCACTATCAGGGCATCGGGCACTACAAGGGCTATCATCACATTTGATCCTGTTGATCAGCCTGTTGTCTACGATTTGACAGTTAAGGCAGTGTATCATCTTGCATCGGATCCCGGCACGACAATCTTACAGGAGGCGGCTTACCATCTCAATATTGTCAGTCCGTTCGAGGCTAGTTACGACTTGCTGCCCAGGTTACATCCCGAGTGGCCAAGCCTTTTCGATTACGATAATATCCAGGACTCGGCTAACGAAGATGAGGTAGTCGGTCGCCCTCGAGGGCTCCCGCAGAAATGGTCCTTGGCGACACGGTACGCATCCTTCGCTCATGAGGAAGTGTTGATATTGGACCTGGATGTCAAGGTGCTCGCCACGCAAGGCAGCGTAAACTGTGTAGCATCAAAACCCAAACCCTTGCCACCAGCCGGTCTGACCATCAGTCCGAAGACAATCGAAGAAGCCCATTTTGACCTCGTTGCTCAGAAACTGAGTCTCGATGATCGATCTCCATCGACAGCCGACCTTGCCTTCACCATCAAATGGAGGCGATCGAGTGCTTCGGAAGTGTCAGTCAACACGACGACACTGCCACTCCCGCGCTTCTACGTCACAGTCGCCGAACCTCGTGTTCTCGCAGGTGTTTCCTACTCGACATCCCCCACCCCTGCATCGTCCACGTCGCCCTCCACCTCTATGCCCCAACTGCTCTTCTTCGACATCACCATAGAGAACCCTTCCTCCCATTTCCTGACCTTCGGTCTGATCATGGAGCCCAGCGACGAATTTGCGTTCTCGGGGGCCAAGACCACGACGTTGAACGCCTTGCCCGTGGCCAGGAGGTCCATCACCTACCGTCTGCTGCCGTTGGTGAGAGGGGCATGGATCAGGCCGACACTCGTGGTGCGAGACAAGTACTTCCAGAAGGTGCTGAAGATCATCCCGACGGAGGGCATGAAGAGTGACAAGGACGGCGTCTTGGTCTGGGTACCCCCTGAAGAGGAACCGGATAGTGATGCGGATGGGGCTGCTACGGTTGCAGAGGGCGGCAAGGGAACGGCGCAGAAATCGACTGGGTAGAGTTCCGGAATTACCGTAGGCAAGAAAGAGGTTTGTAAGAGCATTGTCACTGGTTCAAGTAAAGCAATTCAAGTCTGTTGTTCTTTGAGGTTCTCATCAGTGTGTACATGCCCTTTTTGAAGCACCCCTTATTCTGGTGAACCGCGATCCGCTCACACGCTTTTAAAGGCCATGCTCTCTGCTCCCAGATTCGTTTCTACCCAATACCTCTACTCGATTATCCCGAGTGTTTGTGCTCGAAGAGGCCAGCGCTTCACAGCCCATAGACGGAAGACCTGCTTTGGGTTACTTACGATCCTAGGAACACGATTACTAACGCTGCCTTCGTTCCTCCAGGGGAGGTCCGCAGTTTCCATAGGAGTGTGTGCCCTTTGAAAGACCAAGTAGGCTTTCGAGTTTAGCATATTACCTAGTCCCCGTCGTCTTTTGTTGGAAAGTCCTGCTTAGCATATTCTGGCAGTATATTCAGTAAGGCTTGCTCCCCCATTCCCTTGCCCCCCAACCCAAAACGAGCTCTCCGCTCTCCTTGGATCGCTGCCAACCAACAGACTCTTGGTCCAAGGCAAGTTTGTGCCACTTCGTCAAGTTTCTCCTTAGGTTGGTTTAGCATGTGGCACGCACGGTCCGTGTCATACCAGCAGACACCGGTGATGAACGCTTGTGCAATAGAACCAATCTTCTGGGGAAATGTTCTGAACTGTAGGGTTTTCTTGGACGCATGGTCAGGGAAAGTCGTCGCCTATAGTTTGAATTTCTTGATATTTGAACCACGGAACAGATGTACTATCTGCCTGGCATGCTTCTCCTGAATAGGCCCACCAGACGCTCAGAACCCTGGAAGTAACCACGGAATTATGCAAGAATTATTAACCAGGTTTCGTGTTCTGGTATTGTACCATGGCGCGTGCTGAGGGCGGTAGGTTCGCTGTGTTCTCAGGGCTCGATGTACTTCTCAGAAGTGAAAAATGTATGCATATATTAGATAAAGATCACTAAGCCGCAAACATGAACTTCGTAGCCATGTTGGACGTGGTACTCTACCCGAAAGAGCCAGAACATACGCAGCCACATGAGCACACCAGGCTGACCTACCAGCAACTAGCACCAAATTGCGATTCAACAGGAAAATGGTCAGCGCGCTTCTCGACCACCTACAACCACCGGCCTACATCGACTGATCGAGCTCGAGAAAGAAGCGTGGCATAGCCTCAAAGATTGGGTCAAAGCCCAGGCCAACTCATCATCTCAACGAGAGCCCTCGGCTTCACAGTGCCTGCCGTCAGACGACGAGAACGAAAAAGTAGACCGGCAGGTATTCGCAGCGAAGCATCTTCAGGTGGCACTAAAGAGATTCTATTAGCGGCATGTGTCGAAGCCCAAGCGAAAGATGCAGCCTAAAGAATGGGCCAGCTGAAGCGATATCGAGAATTCGTACGACTGTGGTTAAATCGACTGACGATGCGAGGCGCGAGATCTGAGTCATCTGACCCCAGGGAGTCGGATGGAAGGTCCCGTCTAGACCCAACGGGACCTCAGCTGCTTCCAGGTTGGTACCACAGTACCTTGACATGTCGTCATAGAATATGCGGGACGGTCCTTGCAGAGGAAACACCATGAACCGGGTTGCACCTGCTGTACCTGATCAAACGGGAAGCAACTTCTCGTATGCAAAGCTGGAGATCTCCTCAAGCACAACGCATGCATTGCAAACAAAGTGGACAAATATCCGACGCAGGGGCATTTGCATCTGGATCGATCATAGGATCCATTCACCCATTCTCGTGCCCGTTATCGGTATCGTTGATGATGGGTAAATGTATTTCTATAAAAATGACAGGCGGCCTTGGGCTAGTGCCCAGTACCAATGGGGCCTTTGGGGCCCGTGTCGTCTCCACAAGGCCCAGAGAGAAATCGGATTTCGATTTTCGATTTTCGATTTTCGATCCAATGGCGTTGGGCGAGGGGCCGATGGCCAAATTCCAATTGCGAGTCAAGATCTGGGCGGAAACCGTTTCTGCAGCGATCGCCATCATCAGATTTGAATCAGTCGTTTTGGGCGGGTCGATGCCCGGGTCATGCAGTCGAACCCAAATCGGCCGTCCTCTTACTTGCAGACGATGCCTTCTACACAGTAAGTTACCCCCGTACTTTGCGGATGATGGCGTATCGTACGATGCCAGAGCGTTGGTAGGCGTTGATGGTCTTTGTCTCGGGCTGAGAGTCTCTACCACGATGCCCTCTCTGAGACGAACCGAGCAACGGACAACGGGCATCGAGCATCGGGGCGGATGCCTACATGTACATACCGAGGTACTTACCTGATGTATGTACCTTATGTAAGGTATCGAGATTTCAGACTTCGATGAGAGCGACATCCCCACAAAGACCGCCTCACTTCCCAAAACGACGCTGATGGCTACGGTAGCTGCAAGCCGCCAGCCTCCGTTTGGGTGTTCTGGCTGCGGCCGCAGCGTTGCAGGGCTGGCTGGCTCGATCTTTAGATCGCTGGGCGGTGGATCGCCTTGTTAGATCCCGATCATGGCTCTCGACATCGGGTTGCCGCAATCGTGCTGCAGCAACGCCATCCTGCCAGAATCCCATCCTCGATTCCTCATCGCCCGGTGTGTCAGCTTCGCATGACTCAGTCTCTACCCGCCCGCTTCCAACTACCATGTCCTACCATGGCAACCTCGATCCTCCAGTGGTACTCGTCCCCCACAAATCCTCCACAACCCGGGGATACACGCACCTGAAGCTCCCCTTCACCAGACCATACCAGCCCTGCCATACCCTCAATACCTTGCACACCGAAGCGAGAAGAAGAGACATTGGTCGGATGCTCACATTCAACCTATCAACTCCCGAGCTGCACATCCAACCTATCAACTCCCGAGCTTCACGATACCTGAAAACATACCCTTGGACCAGTCGATACTGCCGGTCACCTGTTCAGATCGTACATTATGCTCCTCCATCCTTCATCTCTGCCCATCATCCATCGGCAAGGCTCCTCTTCGTTCGTAATCCCGCAAAGAACAAGACTTGAGCCGCTGTCATCACGGTCCCAAAATCAAGCCCTCACCGATCCTATTCACCCGCCCGTGCCAACTTACCGGAGCCAACTCATCATGAATCCCTGGGAAGCCGATGCCCTGCAAGTGAGACTACCTCTATCCTGCCACTGCTTCTATCACCTACTTCATGTCCCAAACCCCCTTGGTAGAGGGCGTACGACACGCAGCTAATAACGTGCTGTGAAGTACCGATACCCCGCCTATGGCGGCATGGCCACCTCGAACGACACCGTTAGCGATCCCATCATCTATCCAGGACTATATGCCCCAAGCGGGTTTGACATGATGGATATCTTTGTAAGTCATATATCCAGCCAGCTCAACATAAGCTTAACACCCACTAATATCCCCCAAGTTTCGGGTGATGAGCAGACCAAGTCCCATGATCGACCTTGGCCCCGTGGATGCGTCGTGTGCTGTCTTGATGTGCGACCTGTGGCAGCCTGACTCTCCGATTGTGTATGTGAACGATGCCTGCGTGGAGATGACCGGATACTCTCAAGCTGAGATCCTTGGGCGAAACTGTCGCTTCATGCAAGCTCCAGGGGGCAGGGTTCTCAAATCTTCGGTACGGAAATACTTAGAGAAGGATCTTGTCAAGAAGATGCGACGCGCCGTCGAGTCCAATAACGAGTTGGCTATCGAGGTCACCAACTTCAAGAAAAATGGTCAGAGGTTCACCAACGTGCTGGCCATGATTCCCGTGTACTGGGACAGCGATCAACCGAGGTACTCGGTCGGTTTCATGGCTGAGAAGCCTCGGGGACATTAGATCCGACGGACGCATGCGAACACGACATTCTCGAGAACGGGCACGACGATACACGAGGAGACCACGGCGGCGGCATTGCATCGATCGTTACACGGCAATATGTTTCAGCTCTCGGTGCTTTCAGGCATCTGCATCACAGCGAGCGTTCTTTTTGGGCAGTTATCTGCTTTCAGGCATTTTATTGATACCCCCATGTTGCTGCATTTAGTCTGACACAGCCGTCACGACGCTCATCGGAACGCATTATTAGACGCATCATTAGGAGAGCAGGAGTCATTTGGGAACTATAAGGATGCACTGGCGCTGGAAGGGCTATGAGGCACCATCTACATTCATGCATCACGGCACGGAACGCTGGAGTTCTGGATCTACGCGCGAGGCGTGGCTTGGTGAAGAAGGGCAGTGCTTGGTCTAGGGCGATCTTTTCAGGGACTTGACCTCAGCATCAGGGCACTAGATACTCGACTGCATAAGAACAGCAGTCGTCAGAACTCTGCTATGACAATCCAAGCATGTCGTGTACTCGGTGTACGTGTGACGTGCCAAGTTTTAACGCATGTCGTGGGCAGCTCGCTGCGTGAGACGAAAATCCGCTTGTGGGACAGTTCTGATCGGACAATTTGAGGACTGCTTCAACACTCCCTTATCCTACCATGGAGTTATTATTGGCAGACATCAGTCTCGAACTTGGACATCACGCCACTACATGACGGTCCTTTCTTCCGTCCCTCCATCCCCTATCTCAAAGATAGCGCCTCCGCGCCTTCATGGAAGCCCGCAACGGAACCATACATAACAAGAAGTCCACAGCACCAGAGCACAGAGGATATGTACTCGTCAGTGGCTCTAATGGAGCCCTCACGAGTAGCACAACTAAGGCAAGGCCCATGCCCCCCCATACGGCACCTCGATAGACAAGGTACCTTTATGTTCATGTAGGACTGGGTACAGTATGCCCCTTGCTTGGCTGGCAGCTTGCAGGTACGCTCTGTTGCGGACACTGCTTTGCTACCTTAGGCTGCGTTTTGCTTCGCACCGCGTCTGCTAGTCTGATCAGACTCCCCGCGTTTCGGTGAGGTGATTGTACTGGTCATGTGGCTTTGGTTGTCTTTCCTTGGTTCCACGTTGTTGCGGTCTTGTGCAAGCAAGTAGGTGTGGGTTTGATGGGATCATGGACATTTGTGAAGGTGTAGGTGGCTGCCCTTTGCGTCTAACGTATAAGAAGCTCGCCTGTGTTACTCAAGGTACGAAAAGCCACTATCGGCGTCTTACAGTGAGAAGCTCGCGTGTGATTTGTTTGTAGTAGTATTATAATGCTTGAGAACAAGAAATCTCCAGGCTAGAGCGACGTGTACAGTATACAGTGAATCCCCGCGATACGACTCACTCACCCAACACGCGGTCCATACCCCCCGAGAGGCTTGCACCAAGCCCGAGCCAACCATCGTGAATATATTCGATACCATCGGGGGTCTTGTGCAGGCGAATACTGCTGTATTGGTGTACGTGTTGTGCGTGGGGGCTGTGGTTCTGAAGGTGGGCTAAACCCCTATATGGTGCCCTCGACGGTCACCCAGGGCAGCAACAGATTCCCGTAGAATCTGCTATGCCCTTCATGATCTTCCAGAGCCCTTAACAAATCCGACCGCAATCCCAACCCACGGCGAGAACCAACACGGGTGTCTGACGGTGTAGAACACGTGGTGCCTGACGGTGTAGAATGCCGCCGTCAGCTTCGTGAAGTAGAGAAGCTCGCGTGCACGTCTGAAGTGTGGACGCCGTCGTCAGTGTCTGAAGTATGAGAAGCTCGGAGTGTGTTGCTCAGGGTATGAAGAGCGGCCATCAGCGTGGTAACGTACAAGAGGCTTGCGCGCGTGTCTCAAGGTGTGGATTACCCGGAAAAGTGCAAAGCACGCTGACGACTCGAGAATGTTTCCTCCTCCGCCGAGATCCTGTTCCGTAAACCCCGTTCGCCAATGCCTCCTTGTTCTCGCACGCTGATTCGATAGGGGTCGCCCGCGGGAGCTCGTTTGGCTTCACCCAGAGGGCTACTAAACCCTGTTATAACATTGATCCGAGGAGGAGGAAGAGGAATCTCCGGAAGAGAAGGACTGCCAATAGGGGTCTAGGTGCGGGTGCCGAGAGGTAGAGTCCTAGGAGCCGAACGCGGACCTGAAGATCGCGGTTGATCGCGTCTTGGTCGTGGAAGTGTATAAATATACTCCTCTAGGAACCGGAGCCGGACCTAAAGATCACGGTTGACCGCGTCTTGGTCGGAATTCCCCCGCCGGACGGGGCGGAAACGGCGGAGGCAGCCGGGTGCTCATCTATCGATGCCGGGGAAATGATGTTGAGGATGAAATGATTAAGTTGTGTAAGATGCTGGGGAAATGATACTGTGCGTGAAATGTGAATACTGTGTAAACTGCCAGAATGAATGTGGCGACGGCGGCGAAGGGAGCCCAAACTCCCCAGAAGAATCCCACCATGATGATGATGCTGGCTCGGGAGAAGAGAGGAACGGTTGACAGAGGCATGTCTTGGAACGATGAAGTTTCGGTGTCTGTGATTATGGCTTCTTCGCGAGGTTTAAGGAAGATGGAAGATTGTGAGATGTTAAGCTAGAGGGGATGGAGCGGACACACACGAAGGCAGCTTATAAGGTAGCTATCCGAATCAGCAGGACGTGCACGAAAGGAGTCAAGAGCGCTGTGGGCTGGAGAGAAAGGGCTTGAACGTAGAAGGCGTGACGGTGTACAGGAAGGAAGTGTATCAGACATTCGACTGACAGAAGCTGCGAGAGCTAGAGCATGGGCGCTTGAGTTATTGGGTAGGGGAGTTACGAGAAGGAAACTGTATTCGGCTCCTGCTCCGAGGGAAGTAATGGTCTTGGACTACCTGATTGATATGCCCTCACATCTGGTTCCTTCTCAGGAGACCATAGTGGAGACAGACACCTTCCAGAGGAAGGCAACTACGAGACAGACACTTGCTGCCACACAAAGCTTGACTAACTCAGCGTAATAGCGGGTGAGCAGCTTTGACCGTGCCCTTCTTTGGGAGGTTAGGTAAGGTAGGCAGGTACGGAGCACCGGGTCGAGCAAGGGGGCGTTGATTCGCGGAAGGCACGTGGTAGACGGTTGTTCAGCCAGAGCGAGCCGAGGAGATGACGTGGGATGAAGGAAGGAAGAAAGGTTCTCATGGGGACTATTGTATTTCTGACCGGCACCCTGCTCACGCGTGGACCAACAAAGCACCATCAGTCTCAACGCACCGATCATGCCGACCCGAAATCGAGTGTACAGATACTTATGAGGGTTTAATGTATTGAATGAAATGTGACAGCTTGGGTCTTCTCATTAGAGTACCTTCCAGGGACGCCGTCTCTCGGCGGGCTTTTATACTGCGTTGTCGAGCGCAAGACGGTTACTGTTTAGAAGACCGCGCGTTGCGGAAATACAGCCGTAAGTACTCGCGACGGCGAGGAGCGAACAAATGACACGGACACGTGGGCTCACATTACACGTTTTGTATTTGATGACGGGATCTGCTCTCATAATTTCTCCTCCCCATGAACCCCTAACGCAGTTCCGAGGGAGCACAGCGGAGGAGCCTTGCTGGTAGGCCACGCTTCTATGCAGGTTTGACTCCGCCAATTCTCCACAGATCCAAAGTCTCATAAGATCTCCCGCGACGAGCAGCTGTATGGGAGCCCTTAGGTTCGGTGACTTCTACGTCGCCACGTGGCAACCCTTGCGGTGCCTGACTATGACCACCAAGCTCAGAGGAAGATTGTGCGCGCAGAGCTGTTCTGTGTGCGCCACTATGAACGCTTTGTATTCTTGTCGGATGCTGTATGGAGCATACATGTAGAAGTGGAATCGTGCGTGCTGCGGTTGCTTCGGAGCTGGCTACGACTTCCAAGCCGGGCGGCAGCTTCTTCTCGGTCTCGAGTAGTGTGAGGAAGGTGGATAACACTCAAGCATAGAGGTGCTCTGTGAGGGCTTTACCAGCATCTTATCGCATCCCAGTCTGAAGTGTGTAGCATCGCGGCAATAATAGCGTGGTGTGTGTCGTATGGGAATGGATATCCCTCCTACCCGGTGTGTGATGTTACCGGGTCTCAATGCCCCCCATCTCCTCTTCAGGCACACCCAGTGACCCGAGCTTGTCATTCAGCCAGCGCGCCAGTTCTTCAGCCTGCCGTCGCATGGCCACCACAGCCGAGGCGCCGGCACTGGCAGTCGTCGCAATGCTCGCCGTAGTCGCAGCCCCAGCACTCGCGACGCTTGCGACCTCTGACGGCGACCCCAGCGGTTCGGGTTGGGCCTCGGTATCAGGTTGAGGCGTCTGCATCGGTCGACCCTGCTGCTGTTGCTGCTGTCCCTGCCCCTGCCCACCGTGCTCTGCTCCCTCGGCCGCTGGCCCCATGCACACGAACAGCAGGCCGCACCGCAGGCGGCGGATCACCACGACGGCCCCGGTGAGCTGGACGGTTATCGCGCTCGATGTCGGCTCGCCGCGCGCGGGGGACGAGGACTGCTGCGGCGGCAGGGCCTCGGCGATGTTGGCGCTGGTGGAGGGCGCGGAGTAGAGGGCCCATAGCGAGGCGGAAACGGTGCACTGGGTGCGCAGGGTGGCGATGGAGTGCGGCGAGGCGTGGGCGAGGAGCTTGCCCGAGAGCGTCGTCAGGAGGGCTGTGTGGATCTGCGGCGTCAGGTTCGCGCGCAGGAACGCGGTCAGGCGCTTCGTGAGGAGTAGCGGTGGCGCGGGCGCCGGCAGCGACATGTTTCTGTTGACCGTCGCTTTGTGAAGCGACTTGTGTTCTCTGCGAAGAGTGTCGTGAAGAGGCTCGCGACGGGAGAGTGAAGTGGAGTGGAGTGCTGTTGCTGGTGACGTCGGATTCGCAGCTTGGTGGTGGTGGACCGTGGACTGTGGTGGGACAGGATCAGAGCTCCACCTCTGACACCCGCTTCAAGGTTAGATCAGGCTAGGTACCTAGGTACCTTCTTCACTCCAACAGCTTCTGAAAAGGATAGGGGGCAAGAGGAAAAAGAGGCAAAAGGGGCGGTTCATCACCTCGAGAGCAACCACACACATCACTATCATTTCACATGCCCCTACAATGGAACGTGATACAGTCGTCTCACTACGCTTTGGTCATTCGAATAACAAGCTACCATTATGACACGTTGCCCCTTTTCTTACCCAGAGACAGACCATGGAACCAGACTGCCCGCTCCACCGACCCTAGACTTTCTGGATGACATTGGCGACCTGCGCATATGATTCCGTGTACTTCTCGATCAAGCGCTTGAAGTCCTCAGAGTCCTGGTCCCGCTCGGCCTTCGTCCCCGGGACCTCGGCTTTGGCCTCGGGCCACCGCTGGTTCTTCTTCCAGTCCAGGTAGGCATCTTCAGCGTCCAAGTGCAGCTCGCGCGTCTTGTACATGGCGTCGTTCACGTACGTATCCTGGCCCTCGACTGGGGCCCAGTGGTCAAAGATCATCAGCTTCATCACCATGTTCTTCAGCGCCGCCGAGTAGCCCAGGGGCTCGAGGACGCGCTCCACCTGGTTCGTGCAAATCCATTGCCAGTGGTAATCCACCATAGGCGGGTACATGAGCGCCTGCATCACCTGGCCGAGCGCGCGGTACTCGCTGCGGATCGTGTAGGGCTGGCCGGCCTGCGGGTGCGTGAGCGAGTGCATCGGTGATGGGGTTACTATGCACCAGCTTACCTGCTGTGGGTGGGTTGCGGTCCACTTCATGTCTCCTGCGATCATGTCTCCCAGGGACATGAACTCTCCCTTAGGTGGTGCCAGGGCCTTCGCGAAGATGGGCCATTCGAACGACTTCCCACGGGGCTGTTGACAGTGTCCAGAGATCCAGGCGCTGCCGAAGTTGCCCAGCTTGCACGCCCCGTACCACTCGCTCCGGCGCGGGTGGCCGATGAAGATGTTCTCCGGGCGGATGTTGCGGTGCAAGATGGGTTGCCAGTCCGGGTTTTCAGCGCTCAGCATCGTCGGGTGGCCCTCCTCTGGGAAGAGTGGGTTGTCTATGAATCTCATACCGTCATGCAGCCACACCAAAGCTTTCAGGACCGACCGAAGCACGTGCCAGCAGAAGCTTTCCGGCAGGTGGATAAACGGCTTCTCAGGAGGCGGAGTGCGCGGGCGCTTCTCGCCGGCCTCGCTGGTATCATCGACGTCCATAGGATCATCGAGATCACCTGGGTAGGTCTTGGCCTTCGGATTGCGGCGATGTTGGTTGACGATCAAGTTCCCCAGGTTGCCGGCGTCGCAATAGTCCCAGACGGTGAACCAGCGTTTCCGGCCGAACCTGCCCGAGTTGGAGAAATGGAAGGTGATGATGTCGACGATGGACATCAGGTTCTCGTGGTTCAGGATGATCATGAGCGGTTCGAGCAGGTTGTGTTGCTCGGGGGACAGCAACTGCCCCGCCAGCGAGAGGTTCAGCTTCCCGGGCTGGTTGGTGACCTCGAAGAGCTTCTCGGTCATGTCGTGGGCGAGGAAGAACATCCGGTCGCTCTTCCGGGTGATCTTCCAGACGCCGGGCGCCATCTCGGTGACCAGTTCATACTTGAGGCCACCGTCGTAGAACGGATCAGAGGCATCTTTGAAGCTGGCCATGATGAAGATGAGCTGGATTGGCTCTGCGAGATGGGACGACAGGCAGCACGATGTGATATGAGCAGGAGGAGAAAGTGTTGAAAAGTCGGACACCTGGTAATACGACTTCTGTTGTTGTGGGCTCCCTTGGAATGCCCGTACTATTGATTGCCTTTGTTCTTTGCGTCTCCTAAGGGAGAGGCCACATTCCACGACAGACGTTACCAGAAACAGCGAATTCCATCTTCAAAGCGCCCGGGCTTCTCTCCTACGTTGTCGTTCTGTGAGCTAATACCAGCCTTGCCTTCAATTTGACAGCTTGGAAATTGGTCGGCGTTCATATATATGAACGAGGTTCGAGGTTGTTTTGATATGTTCGCCAAACGCCTATTTGTTCAAGTTGAGTAGTACTATATTTGCCGCTATTGTATTACCTTCGATGAATTTTCACAAGTACGGACTTACTCTGCGGGATAAGGTATCTTTATACCGCTCGACTCAAGAGTGTTGTTAGGACCAGCTCGAGATCGAGATAATGTAACGAAGAATAGACTGAACCAGTGGATGTTCAAAAACCTCCCAATTGACCAGGTGAGGAAATGTGACCAACCTCGGACTTCACACAGTGTCCTTGTGATACATGTGTTACATATGAAGAGTTGGGTGACAGCTGCTACCCATTTGATGAATGTATCACTTGTCGTGTTACTTGGTGAAGAACAGTGAGAGTCAACTCACTAGCAATCAATGTTGGCGAAGTCAGACATTGAGGTTTGTCATAATCCAGTTGCCTACAGGCTCAGAAGCACTCGTATTCTCTGATCCCGAGCTACCTTGCCAGGAAACACTGTCACCAGAGTGTGACGAGCTACACCCAATGAAGTGGTAACAAGGGAAAAGACATGGCCGGCAGGAGTGGCCAACAGAGAAGTCTCTTGACCGATAACCCGGAATGGCTGACTGAAACAAGCGCTGGCCATGCAGATGTCCACAGATGTCAGATAGAACAAAGACAGGACGATGATGATGGCCAGTCCATGTCGTGCATATAATCGGAACTGCTAACAACGCTACCTGTCCAACGGTTCCAAGCGTCTAGATTATTAGCGGTCTGGGGTTTAGAGGCCACTCGACACATGACGTTTGTGTGTATCGTGTCTCTGGGGACGTGGGTCGGGGCTCGAGGGATGAAGTTTGCGCTCGTGGGATTCGATGTTGGGTGGCCGAGCACACGAGGTTGCTATGTTCGGAAGCGCCAGGCGCGGCCCCTTACATCCAGTACTATATATGTTTGTCTGTTAGACGCTGTGCCTGCATGTTGTCGCGGTTATGTGCCTCTCCCGCGCAGTAATCGTAACCTGTCTCAACTCTCAACTCTCAAGGGGCAGAGGAGCCCATCGACTGCGAGCCGAGCAGCGGTTCGTGAGAGTTTATCACCTCAGCCCCTCAAACGGCGGAAGAGGTAGAAAGGGTGGGAATCGATAGAGCCAGGCGCTAAACTGGAACCAGCAGCCGTACCTTGCATGGCCCAACGCGGGCTCAGGCGGGCGCTCCAATCAGGGCGCTGACAAGCCCCACTCAGGCCGAGTGCTACAAGGTTGTTCCACGGCTCCTGGCGCGTTCCCTCGATCCATGTGGCGCGTGCCCTCGTTGGCCCCCTGCTGCCCTGGACGCACATCCTGGGGCTTATCGGCCTCGTAGCCAATCCCGAGCCGCCATCGGTGCCATCCCCTCGACCTCAAACAGGCCCAAACCACCCCTTGGCGGTCCGTCCTCGCCCATCTCCACGCTTCCCGTCTCCTCCCACCTGTGACCTCCTTTCCAGGCCCTCGCCCATTGACACGGTGAAACTGCCGTTGACTGCCATTGACTGCCACCATCATCATCGTTGAATGGGATGAGCGCGTCGTCCACTCCTTGACCCATTCGTTGCCATCCATTGGACGGTTTGCAGAACAGTAAGAAACAGAAGGGAAAACACACCCGCGCACAAGCACGCTCGCTGAACAACAGGACAATTGCTGCCATTGTCTCTCCTTACTTTACCCAGGTATTACACTTGAGGCTCAGCAACATTTGTCGTTTTCCTCAGGCTCCGGTCTCCCCCTCACCAGAGCCGATCAAACTTGATCCGACGTATGCCAACATTGGACGTGTTTGCCTGCGTCCATGCTGTAACCCCTCGCACTCTTTTCAAGCCATCCGCATTTCACTTCAAACCCGGCCACGAGCTTCAGGCATCAGGCAGAACCCGTACCCAACAACCCGCTGCGCTCATCCAAATTCGAACTTCGAAGCTGGGACAGCAATGACACCGCAATAGCAAGCAGCCACTTGCACCCCTGGGATGCCATTCCGCTGAGGCATCTCGGACTCTTTACCTATCCGACGCTCACTACCTCACGTTCAACGCAACGTCGCGCGCTTGGGCGACGTTTGTTTCCCATTATTGCGCAAGCCTCCTTGGCGAGTCCTCTCAAGACATTTCTCGCCCCACTGCGAATTTGCCTTTTCATCATTTCGAAGCGCAGTCGAGAGCTTCGCAGGCGGAGGACGACTGTGCAACACGGCGGGACCGGTTTGACGACGACGACTTATCTCGGCTCTCTTGATCGATGACGATAACGACTGCGAATACATTCACTCCAACTTCACGAAACGACATTACTTGATACCCCTCTTCTTCTCGACTGCGTCGAACCTTCGTTCCCTCGATCTTGCTGGCCAGATTATTTCCCAATTCCCACTCGCCAAGATGAGCTGCTTCAGCAGAAAGAAAGCCGTCGAAATTCGGCCAGAGCAGAAGTGGGATGCTATCGTAGGTAGTCTCTCAGCGCAGACCATATCTTCTGGCAGTGTACTAACAACGCCACCTACCAGACTCTTCAGGATTTCAAGTCGTCATCCTGCTTTACCCCATTCGCCTATGGTTATCTCTACTTCTCCCTTATCCTATCCATAGTTGTCTATGGTGTCGATATCTTCACCGCTGTCAACCTTCTCGCCTTCGACACTTGGTCGTCGAGTATTGAACCGACCCAGTTGATCACCTTCGACCAGGCGAAATGGATCTTTTCCATATGCATCATCGCTTCCTTCGTGAACCTGGTTTTCGAGCATCTTCGTGCCATGCGAGTCATGAAGCGAGGCAGTGTGGCCGAATGTTACCTCGACCCCTTGGCAGTCCGACTCGAGAGCGTTCGCGTCGGGAGCAGTGGTTCAGGCTGGAGACGATTTCTGGTATTCGCCGAACTGACCAAGTCGAGGAAAGGCGCTGAATATGTGGCCCTTTTTACCTACTTCAGCTTTCAATGTGAGTTCCGAAGTACTGGCGCGGCTTCCACTAGAAGCTAACCAGTTTACAGCTTGGATTAGAGTCATCTTTTGCTCTGGCCCTCGCCAAGGCGTGAACGCCTTGACGCTGTATGCGGTATATACCTCTACCCTCATCCCAACCGATGTTTCTAGTGTTCAGAGCACTCTTGGGAGCTTTTTCAGCAAGCTCCAGTCACTGGCCTCGGAAAACACGCAACAGGCAGTCATTCTGTCAGGTATGCTGTTCACCCTGGTAGTCTGGGTCTTTGCTGCGCTCTTTCTGCTCGCCGGCATCCTCTTCTACGTGTTTTTCCTCTGGCACTACATCCCCCGACAGGATGGTGGGCTTCATGGCTACTGCGAACGGAAGATCAATAAGAGATTGATGAGGATTGTGACGGTCAAGGTGAACAAGGCTCTCGCAAAGGAAGAAAGACAGCGCGTCAAGGCTGCCAAGAAGGCTGGCGAAGAGCTGCCAGTTGGACGACAGGCAACTCTGCCCAAGTTCCTCGACGCTGACGACGACAAGCTGGCTGGCATGCCTACGATGAGTCGCAATGACACCATGGCCACACTACCTGTGTACACCTCGAGGCCTGGGACGCCTGATAGCATCGAATTCAATTCATTCGACAAGAAACGGCCGCTGCCGTCACGACAAGGAACCAATAATACGACCATGTCGACAGCTACTTATTCCTCCCGCGCGCCCCTGATATCAGGCGCAGCGGGAATGGGTTTCGAGCGGTCTGCATCACCCGCCCCGTCGTTGCCCAATGTCGAGTTCAGCAACTACCAGTCACAAGCCCGGCCTGGAACCGCAGGGTCGAACAGGGGCTATGGCCAGGGCCCCCAAATGAACCATTACCAAACCAACGGCAGCAGCTTCGGTGGCGCCTTGGTCGCAAACCCGTCTACATACTCACCGGATGCGTTGCCGTCCATGCCCGAGCCAATTCGCTCTCCCGGCCCTGGTATAAATCCTTATAGCCGGCCGATGCCTCGTTCAATCAACGAGATCAACGGGCGACCAGGACCTGCAGCTCGACTTCCCTTTGGCAACGACGGGAATTCGAGAGATGGTCGCTCTAGCCCAGCACCGTCTACATACTCGAATCGTGGAGCACCCTTCAGCCCGGCCTATCCTCAGATGCGGAGTGCCACGAATCCCATCGCTTCCCCGCAGAGACAGCATTTCCCGCCGCAACGGAACATGACGGCTCCGATGCCACCTCGACAGCACGACGGGTATTCCATGGCGCGTCCCGGAGCTGCTGCGAGCCAGAGATCGATGGGTCCTGGATACGGCTATAATGCCGATCTGGAAGCACAACGCGGCCCGCCAAGATACTGATGACGGGAGGTTGCGTGAATGCAACATGGGTGGGATTTGGGAATGGGAGATACCCATAGCGAGTTACCTTTGGCCTGTATTATGAGCTTCATTAAGCGTCAAACTCATATGACCTTTGATGACCAAGGATAGAAGTCCGCGGAGGTCACCCAGTTGCCATCTGGAACGGGTATATATAGTATACTGAGGGAGTGCCACAGGCAAGGCTCCAGACTAGGATAGCGACACATGAAATGATGATTGAAAACGTGATCATGATCTCTGGTGTTACCCGCATTACGCAGACAGGAGTTGCCTACATGGTTCACCATCGAGGTGTAGGTATCGACGTCAATGGAGGCAGAATGGGTATTCCTTGGTGGCTTGTCAAAGGTTTCGGCTTGATCTCCTCGGGGTTTGTTGCCCTCGGGCTTTGACTTACTCAGACCCGGGCCTAAATCCAGACGCGCCCTTGCGATGTAGTTACCATCCCTCTACATCTGATTCCACATCATCACTCTCTAGCCAGGGAGCCTGAATTGACGACATCGTACCCTGTTATAGCGAGCTATGGTTGCCAAAAGACATACCTGTGGTCTTTATGGTGCATACTTTATATTAGTCACGCGCACGGCACTCCTTGAGTCCACGGGGTCCGAATGCGCATATCGTCCTGATTACAGCATGGTATGAGAGGTTATTTTCGGGTTGAATCAAAGGTCCTCGTGGTATTAAGCCTCTACGTTCACCAGGGAGGGTATTCCGTCTACGCTCTACTCTGGCCACCTTACTTAACCTAGGTACCTTACGTACCTTACGTACCTAATCCACCCGCTCGCAAGAGGCCAATCCAAAAACCACGACCATCCACCATTCACAGGGACTTACTCACACGAGTACTCAACCCCCCTACAACCTCAGACCATCCTACCTACCTAGTTCCATCCAGCAATGGCAACCCACGTAGCGCCCACCGCCGCGGAATGGCACCCCGGCGAGCAGGCCATGCACCGACTGCTGCGCGTCCCGGCGCGCGACAACCCCACGGCGCGGGGCTTCCTGCCGCCCTCGACCGGGTCGCGAATCGCCGCCGCGCCGCTGCTCGCCGTCGGCACGCTGGATGGGAGGGGGAGGCCGTGGGTGGCGGTCTGGAGCGGCGAGGCTGGGTTCTGTAGGCCGGTTGCGCGGGGGGTGCTGGGGGTGCGCGTTGAGGGGACGGATGTAAGATGGGATCCTGTTTTGGGGGCTTTATTTGGAGGTGGGGAGGGTGCAGGAGAAGAGGATGGGAAAGGGAGAGGGGGAAGGCAAGAGGGAGATGGGGACGACGGGGTTGTCCGGCCCGAGGGCGGCAAGGTCATGGCGGCGCTGGCGATCGACCTCGAGACCCGCGACCGGGTTAAGTTTGCCGGCCGCATGCTTGCCGGCTCGGTGGCCAGACGGCAGAATGGCGTCGGCGGCCTGCAGATGGCGGTCCAGGTCGAGGAGGCGCTGGGGAACTGCCCGAAATACTTGAATAAGAAACACATCACGCCGCATCTCCCTTCACCGCGCCTGGTGTACGAGGGCAAGGCTGCCATGCCGCAGTGGCTGCCGCGGAAGGCGGTCGAGCTGATCCGCAGGGCGGACTTGTTCTTCATCGCTAGCAAGCACGGCGGCCGCGACAGCATGGACGTCAACCACCGCGGCGGCGCGCCGGGATACCTGCGTCTTCTGCGCAACGGCGACGACGGAGGAGGTGGAGGAGGAAGAGGGGGCTTGACCCTCGTCTACCCGGAGTACTCGGGCAACCGTCTGTATCAGACCCTCGGCAACCTGCACTCGGACCCGTGCGCGGGAATCGTGGTGCCGGACTTCGAGCGTGGGGACGTGCTGTACCTGACGGGCAGTGCGTCGATCCTCGTCGGTGCGGAGGCGGCGGTGTATATGCCCCGCGCGAAGCTGGTTGTGCGCATCGAGGTTGAGGAGGCCCGGTTTGTGGAGGATGGGCTGGGGTTTAGGGGGGAGGCGGGCGAGATGTCGCCGTATAATCCGCCGGTCAGGCGGCTTGTGGGGGAGGATCGTGGAGGGGATACCGATGCTGGTGGTGGTGGTGGTGGTGGTGGTAGAGGAGATGGCATCGTCACAGCGACACTGGTCAGACGGCAGGAGATTACGCCCACGATCGCGCGGTACGTGTTCCGGCTCACACCCAGCACCTCACGCGTGGCAGCAGGGGCGGCGGCGGCGCAGCCGATGAGGGCCTGGCTGCCCGGCCAGCACGTCACGCTCGGCTTCGCGGGGGAGCTCGACGCCGGGTGGTCGCATATGCGCGACGACGACCCGGGCAGCCTGAACGACGACTACGTGAGGACGTTCACGGTCAGCGCGCCCATCGACCCGGGATGCGTGGACGGGCGGGGCGGTGTGCGCGAGGGGGCGCGGCCCGAGGTCGAGATCGTAGTCAGGAGACACGGGGCCGTGACGGCGTTGCTGGCGCGGTGGAATTTGCGGACGCCGCTGGAGGTCCCGGTGCTGGGGTTTGGAGGGCTGGAGGGGTTTGCTATGCCGGTTTTGCGGGAAGGAGACGATGAGGGTGGGGAATGCGTGGTTGTTGCTGGAGGCGTCGGCATCACGCCCCTGATGGCGCAGGCCGCCGCCGTGCTGGATGGCAGGCGCGGAAAGGGGCTCAGGGTGCTGTGGAGCCTCCGGGGCGAGGACCTCGCGCTTGCCGTGGATGTGCTCCAGCGGATATACGGGCTGGGGGATGTGATGAAGCTCTTTGTTACTGGGCACGTAGACGAGAAGGCGAGGGTGCTTGTGACTGCGGTTCAGGGGCTCGGTGCTGAGGTTTTGGAGAGGCGCGTGGGGGAGGAGGACGTGTTGATGGCAGGGGGGAGGGGGGTGGCAAGGCGCAAGTTCTACTGCTGCACGGGGCCGGCGATGATGAAGACGCTGTTGCGGTGGGTGGAAGGCGAGGAGGTCGTTCTCGAGAGTTTTGAGTATTGAGGTGTCTAAGGAACTGTGTTGCGTGAATTCAGGATCCAAGTCTGGTTGGTGTTCAGGGGTTTGTGGATTAGGGGGATACTTCTGATTTCGACTTCGACCCGGGAAACGACGCTTCGGCATACAGACAGTATGGTGGGACGGTAAATAAATGTACCTATCTAGGTACATATACTGGGTATGTCTCGTTGCGAGTACATCTGGTATGTGATTTTATGCCAATGTTGATGAGGTACAAAGTCATGAACATGCAACGGACGTTCGATTAGCGGCTCTAAGAACTCAATTTCGTCTTTGTGACATGTATCTGAGACGGTCCAAGACGAAGACACTTGATAGTCTGGATCGTGTGAGTTGAGAAATTGTACGAGTCAATGTCACATCGAGATGTCTGGACATTGCTATGATGTTCCTCCTGGACGACGACGGTCAGGGGTCATGGCCGGGGTGGTACGATATAGCAACGCTTGGACCAGCTGGGTCATGATTGCCGCCGAGCTGCAGGGGTTGGGATATTAAAGCCGATGGCGCAGGTCCATGTGCCTTCGTGGTAGCGGAACCAGAACAGAGATCTATCACAAGTCTTGGTTGGGATGATCTGTATTCTGGTTGGTGCTTGGTTACGTTCGGGTGGGAAGGGATCCCATCCGAGAAGTATCTAAATACCTAAATTACAGTGGGTTGGTTCCTGTCACCTGGGGCAGCCATCCCAGGTAACCGTATCGTAGAATGCCCTGGATGACAGGAGATCCGATAAGGTACTGGTGGCTGGATCCAGTGGCTGGGATCCACATCCATCCGAGGCGGTGGTGAAAATAAGCTCCGCGGTGGCCAAGACCTGGGACCATATTTTTTAGTTGTTAGTGAGGCATTGGATATGTTTAGCATATGCTTACCACCATCACCACTATTATAACGCATGTGAGGATTGTGGTAGCAGTATGGTGGCAGTCAGGGAGGCTGCCAGCTGACAAGGGGTCAGGCAGGCACCTTGGCAGAATAAAGGGATGGAAGCACCAGGAAAGGTGGCTTTCATTGGTGATAGACAAGGGATCTTTGGCTGGAGGATCAATGGATGGGTACATCTTTGTATTTTGGTGTGTATTTAGTACTAGATTGGTCCCCCAGACCCATGGATAAAACGCAACGCACTAGACCGATCATCACCCTCATGTTCTGACTCTGATGATCCGATAACGCACATATAAAGACATATTTCCATATAACCCTAACTCTAACCATAACCCTAATCCTAACCCGACCTTAACTCCTAACTAACCCTAACAAGCGTGGTTACCCGTAGTAATATATGCTAAGCATATGCTAAGCATATGTAAAACTACTAAACAGTGGGGCAACCTTCAACCAGGTCTTAGCAGGTCTTGGCCAATGCGGACCTTTTTTTCACCACCGCCGAGCTGTATCCCGTCCGAGGCGAGCGTGGCGGCGGTTGCATGCTGCATGTTGCCCGCCCGTGGATGACGCAGGAGACTGCATGCCCATGTGGACAGCGCACTAGCGCCCAGACGCCATCCACAAGTCCGGGGGAGCTCGCAGCTCGTCGCATTGCCATGTCTTCTCCATCACCACCATCGACCATCGACCATCGATATTCCCACATCTATCCATCAACGCACCCTATAGTTGCATTTGCGGTGCATATCATACTCCTCCGCCCATGCTGGCGCTTACCTAACTTCAACATTAGGCCGCAAACATGGCTCGACTTTCGTTTCTGGTCGCCGCTGGCGCTGTGCTGCTAGCCAGCCACGCCTCCGCTGATGACCTCTACACACCCAAACACGAAGCTGGTAGATGTGCTATGCGAGGACACTGTGGCAAGAAGGGCTTCTTCGGAAAGCCACTGCCCTGTGTCGATAACGGGCTAGCCAAGTCCCCTGACGATGACCTCGCCAAAGACATCGAGGAGCTATGTGGTCCCAAGTGGAAGGACAGCAAGGTCTGCTGTGATTCTGACCAGGTTCGTTTGTCTCATAGTAGTTACACCAGTCTTCTGACTATTTGCTAACCATTCTGCAACAGCTCGCCTCCCTTAAATCCTCGCTCTCTACCCCGAATCAGATCATCGGTGGCTGTCCCGCGTGTAGAGACAACTTCTTCAACCTGTTCTGTTCCTTCAGCTGTTCCCCGGATCAGTCACTGTTCATCAACGTCACGCGAACCCAACAACTGAGTGGAAAGACCGCCGTCGCCGAGCTCGATCAGCTCTTGACTAAAGAGTATAGTGATGGGTTCTACGACAGTTGCAAGGAGGTCAAGTTCGGTCCTTCGAACTCCAAGGCAATCAACTTCATTGGCGGCGGTGCACACAATGCCACCGAGCTTCTGAAGTTCCTTGGCAAGGAACAAGCAATCGGGTCACCTTTCCAGATCAATTTCCCAGCGAACTACTCCGAGCCCAGCATGGCGCCCCAGGAGATGAAGCCGAAGAAATGCAATGACGAGGATCCGAACTTCCGATGCTCTTGTGTCGACTGTCCCGCTGTATGCCCGGAGCTTGCGGATGTCGATCAATCAGGGCCATGCCGGGTGGGCGTGCTTCCCTGCTTGACTTTCGCCTCAATCTTCACCTATGGCGTCTTGCTATTCTCGCTCATTATGGCTGTTGTGGGACATGTCGCTTGGAGAAAGCACGCTCAGCGGCGGAGCGAACGGCTCCACCTGCTGCAAGGTGCTGAACCAAGCGATGACGAGGATGAAGGCGATCTTGTGCGCAACGGCGCCATGTACGACCGGCCCATGAGATACTACAAAATCAACACTTGGTGCGACACTGCTTTCAGCAACCTAGGCCACTTCTGCGCAAGGTTTCCCGCAACAACTATTTCCCTAAGTCTGATAGTAGTTGCCGTGATGAGCGTCGGTTGGTACAAGTTTGACGTGGAAAGAGAACCCGCAAGGCTATGGGTAGCCCCAGATTCAGCGGCAGCCCAAGAGAAGGCTTTTTTCGACGAAAACTTCGGCGCGTTCTATCGAGCACAGAAGGTCTTCCTGGTCAATGATACTCTTCCGTCTGGACCAGGTCCAGTGCTGAGTTACGATACCCTCACTTGGTGGACAGGAGTTGAGAAGGACGTCAGACAGATTAAGGGACAAAACTTTGGCACTACCTTCCAGGACGTATGCTTCAAACCCACTGGGTCAGCTTGCGTCGTCCAGTCGCCCACCATCTTCTTCAACGGCAGGAGGAACTGGGAGTCAGAATTTCAAAGCTGTGCCGACACACCCGTGGAATGTCGACCCGACTTTGGCCAGCCGATTGAGCCGAACATGATTCTCGGTGGGTATAAAGACGACAGCCAGGTTACCGAAGCACCCGCCATGACGGTAACATGGGTCGTCAACAACTATCCGCCGGGAAACCCCGAGCTTGCACATGCTAAGGACTGGGAAAGGTCGCTGAAAAATCGACTTCTGCAGGCGCAAAGTGAAGCAGATAATCTCGGCTTGCGGCTTTCGTTCTCGACGGAGATCAGTCTAGAAGAAGAGCTTAACGACTCTACGAATTCCGATGCTACGATCGTTGCTATAAGCTATCTGGTCATGTTCATTTATGCCTCTGTTACGCTGGGTTCGTCGACCATGACCATCCGCGAGCTACTCCGGAATCCGGCTGTCGCACTGGTACAGAGCAAGTTTACGCTGGGTCTCGTGGGAATTCTCATTGTTCTGATGTCGATAATCTCATCTATCGGACTTTTCTCTTGGGCAGGTGTCAAGGCCACCTTGATCATCGCCGAGGTCATACCCTTCATCGTCTTGGCTGTGGGAGTAGACAACATCTTTCTGATCGTACACGAATTCGACCGTGTAAACGTGAGTCACCCGGATGCTATGGTCGAGGAGAGGATCGCCAAGGCACTTGGTCGAATGGGCCCATCGATTCTCTTCTCTGCCATTACGGAAACCGTCTCTTTTGCGCTGGGAGCATTCGTCGGGATGCCGGCAGTGAGAAATTTCGCAGTCTACGCGGCAGGCGCAGTACTCATCAATGCTCTACTTCAGATGACGCTGTTCATCTCTATCTTGTCATACAACCAGATGAGGACCGAAGACCACAGGGCGGACTGCTTCCCTTGCATCCAAATCAAGGCAGCTCGGGTTCACTTGAGCAGCAATGGTCGCAACGGCACCCGACCGTACGATGTACCAGACGAGAGCTTGCTACAGCAATTCATTCGCAAGTACTATGCGCCAGCTCTGCTGGAGAAGAAGGTCAAGATTGCCGTCATTGCTATCTTCATGGCTCTTCTTGCCTCCGGAGTCGCATTAATCCCATACGTCAAACTTGGGTTGGATCAACGAGTTGCCCTGCCTAATGGCTCCTACCTCATCGATTATTTCAATGACCTGTACAGTTATCTGGACACCGGCCCACCCGTCTACTTTGTAACGAAAGACCTGAATGCCACGCAGCGCACCGAGCAGCAAGAGATCTGCTCGCGTTTCAGCACGTGCGAGTCCCTGTCTCTTGCAACTGTGCTCGAACAAGAGCGCAAGCGACCGGAAGTCTCGTACATCTCCTCTCCAGCGGCGAGCTGGATCGATGACTTCTTCCTGTGGCTGAAACCCGAGAACGAGGATTGTTGCAGGGAAAATGGCAAGGTCTGCTTCGAGGGTCGGGATCCGGCTTGGAATATCACCCTTGAAGGCATGCCAGAAGGCGAAGAATTCGTGCACTACCTGCAGAAGTTCCTAGCCGCTCCCACCACGGATACATGCCCTCTTGGAGGACAGGCTTCGTACGGTCACGCTGTCGCGGTGGATGCCGAGCATACCAGTATCCCTGCCAGTCATTTCCGCACTATGCACAAACCACTGCGCAGCCAGGACGACTTCATCGCCGCTTACGCGGCAGCTCGCCGTATTGCGAATGATGTCAGCGCGAGCACTGGCAAAGAAATATTCCCTTACAGTGTCTTCTATATCTTCTTCGACCAGTACGCAAACATTGTCAATCTTACGGCCACCCTTCTTGGCTCAGCGGTGGCGATCATCTTCGCAGTCGCTTCAGTACTGCTGGGTTCTGTAATCACAGCACTCGTTGTTACTGTCACCGTTGTGATGATTGTGGTCGATATCATCGGCGCCATGGCAGTCTTCAACGTGTCGCTCAACGCGGTCTCGTTGGTAAACCTCATCATCTGCGTCGGTATCGCCGTGGAGTTCTGCGCCCACATTGCTCGCGCCTTCATGTTCCCATCCGGTTCGGTCATGGAACGCGCTAAGAACCGCTTCCGTGGTCGGGACGCTCGGGCCTGGACTGCGCTTGTCAATGTCGGCGGGTCTGTCTTCAGCGGCATCACGGTCACGAAGCTACTTGGAGTCAGCGTGCTCGCGTTTACTAGTTCGAAGATTTTTGAGATCTACTACTTCCGCGTGTGGCTGGCACTCGTCGTGTTTGCCGCCACGCATGCTCTGATCTTCCTTCCTGTCGCACTTTCTTTGGTTGGTGGTGAGGGTTATGTCGACCCTGAAAGCGAGGGCGGCCTGGTGGAGGATTTGGAAAATCGTCGATACAGAGCACTCGTTCCGGACGATAACAGCGACTCGGATGAATACGATGATTAGGACTCGGATGAAGACGATAATTTTCGGCATGTATTCCATCGCGTGTTCCGTCAAGGGAGGTGAAGCGGAAGAACACTACTATTGTTATTGGGTTACCTACAGCGTATATTGGAGTACTCGGTTATTGTTTTATTAGCTAGAATCACTGGCCGGGGATAGCTGTAGAACACGCAGCGCAAGCATACAATGACAGATAATTTGCTACATCTTTTGTCGCGGAGTTTCCTCCAGTTCACCGTGATTTGCCACATGGAAAGGCTCTTACAAACTCCTCGAATCCCTTCGAAGCTTTGAAATCGTCTGGTCACATGAGATCATGCTGTTAATGTATGTTGATTGACCAACCCGCTATCGGAATGATTGGTGAGATATCCTGAGCTAGGCCTCGGTAGAGCAAAGAAGCTCTTCTTCCTACACGTACGCAAAGCTGCAGTCGTTAGGTACAGTCACCCCTCATAAGTCTCCGTCCGTGCGCTCGAGATTTCTCTCCCGCCGGGATACAGACAGTGGAATAAACATCCTAGAATAGCTATGCAGTTGTTTCTTGATGAGCCATGCTTGATCACTTATTCCAGAGTGCTTGCTCCGCAGATCAAGAAATACCCCTGAATATTCAAGACCTTGATAACGGGGGTGTACGGCGACTTCTGAGTGTCCAGTGTACCGGGCTGCTCCCTTCCCAGTTACAAGATTATATAGTCTTGTAGGTCCTCCATCTCCGTCGTCGGCTGGGCCTCGCGGTGCACAAAGGGCATGCTGAGCCGGTTGTGGCTCGATGACTGGTATATAAGTTAGCTCCTTTGCTTTTCCTTCTCGACAGACTCCACGTAAAGTAGATACATAGAGTGGCGCTAGGGGCTGGAGTTAGGGTTGGGGTTCTTCACATCGTACAGCGCCATCTGGTCGACCAGCACGCGCAGCTCCCTCAGCTGCTCTGTCAGCTGCTCTGTCAGCTGCTTCTCCCGGTTTCGAGCGTCTGCATCTTCGTTCCCGTTCTCTTCGCCTTCGTCGTTGTTGTCTTGGGGGCGGGGGCGTGCGATCGTTGTCGCTGCCGAGCTTAGCCTTCTCGCCTCCGTGCTCGGTACTTCCTCTGCTGAGCTTGGCAACGTTGCGGTGTCTTTCTTCTTCTCCGAGATCCGGCCCTCCCCTTTCTTTTTACTCGTCGCCGTGTCCTTTCCCCCCTTTTCGCCTTTTTCCCGGGCCGTTTCTACCGCCTCGAGTTGTTTTCGTAGGGCGTTTCGTTCCGATATCAGGCGGCGCAAGTGCTGGTTCGAGTCGCTCAGCAGGGCATCCTGCTCGACGAGGCGGTCCTTCAGCCTCTGCCTCTCCGCCGTCCCCTCTCCCGACACGCGCACTCGAAGCACGCCGCCACCACCCCCTTCTTTACCTCCATCTCCGCCCCCGACCCCGACGACCCCCAGGACGCCGGGGCAGTACGTGCGCAGCGCCGTGGTGATCCCGCCGCCGAGCGCCGCTAGCGCCGGCCGCAGCACGTACGCGTCCAGCGTGTTGCCGGCGGCATAGGCGTGGTGGCGGTTGTCGCGCGCCAGGGCGAGCATCCTGGCGGAGACTTCGAGGCAGGTACCCGTGCCGGTGGAGATGGCGGCGCTGAGGGCGTTGATGCGCACGGCTAGGTCCTGCTGGTTCTCGTTGGGGTGGCGGGGCGCGGAGGCGAGGGTCGTGGTGGTAGAGGACCAGGAGGAAGAGAGGGAAGGGGGGTCTTCTGACGGTGGGCTTTTACGGTTGTAGTTGCTGGTCTTGGGAGGCTGTGGGCTTGGGGATGGGTTTATGTTTGTGTTGCGGAGCGCGGTGTGGAAGGAATTGTTGAAGGTCAAGCCGGAGGAGTAGCCTGTGTTGGTGTGCTGCCGCTGCTGCTGCTGCTGCTGCTGCTGCATGGGGGATTCTGTGGCTCGGGGACGTCTGCACGGCTTTGCTGTTATTTTCGTCGATGACGGTTTAGAGGTGACCAGGCCGTCCTCGTAGATGTGCGTTGTGTCATTGTCGTCCTTGCCGCCCATGCCTTGCGATATGTCCAGCGCGCTGATCTGGCTGTCTGCCATCATGAGTCCCGGGAAGGTGATCGGCTCGTCTTCCTCGTCGCCCCATGGGTGCATCATGGTCTCTTCTTCTCCGAGCTTTGCAACAGCGAGCTGGAAATTAGAGTTTTGCTGTGGGAGAAGGGTACGTGGCAGAGTTTTGGAACTGGCGTCCTGAGATCAGACGGAGGACACGCTGCTCTTTGGCTCTCCAGTCGTAGAGATGTGCGGCGAGTAAGGCGGCATCAACTTTGAGCCAGGTCAACGGTGCATCTCCCGGTCACGATGTGTGAGTGAAGTTGAAGTTGGGAGTACGTGTAGCTCGGTGTGTAGCCCTAAGCTTTGTCACACCATGCAGAAAAGCCATTTCACCTTGTGAACTGAAAAGAGCTCGCTGCATTTCGTATAAGGTTTGGGTGACCGCGGCTTGTCCCGTCCGTCGGCCCAACGAACGAGGCTCTGAGCAGGATAAGGTCGCCCTGAGAGACGCCACATGGTTGATGGTTTGCATGGTAGCCTTGCCGGACTGTTGACGAGGCGTGGTACTAGGCTTCTCACCCCGACTGGGCATATCAAGGTGCTCTGGTCGTGACACCAAATATGTCTTTGAAATGTTCTGCGTTTGAAAGCACATTTCGCCTTCGAGACCTAGATGAAGGGCCCTGATTGAGGACACTCAAGGACTCACTCCAGCTGTGCGTAGTGATTGGTCTCTTGCTCTTGAGTATCTTACCGGTATGCAACACTGTACTGCTGTGTGATTCTATCTGCTCGTTGTGTCACTACCCCTCAGGTACGGCCAGATACATCCAGCACCGTGGAAGAAGATTGGTGTGTTCTCCTTTGTGAGCGGAAAGGTTGTTTATTCTCTTCCAAGTCTTGAACCACTTTCACCAGTGAGTTTCGGTTAGTAGACTAATAAGGGGCTGGTCCTCTTAACTCCGATCCCGGCGGGGGATTAGTCATCGATCAAATCGAGACATTCACGTGCACCTGGTCCCCTCGGCTGCCTGGATACCTCCTTGGTGGCATACCCCCCACTTGGTTGGTGAAGATCTGCTTGGGATCTGGTCTCATGCCGTGTAACACGTTACAGGATGTGAGTATATGTAACAAGTATCCTTCAGGAGCACTACGGCTGGTGGAAGGTGGGATATTCTGAAACATTTGCAGTGTAATAATAGCAGCCGCTGCCCAAGGGTTATGTATCCCAGGAAAACCACTACACTTGTAGTCTTGTATACGGTACAGCTGGTGTAGCGTGTTTAACCCCGCCTCTAAGCACATGCACCAACCGATGCAGGTGGCGTGCATTGCCAAGGTACCTACGTATCTGCCTAGTTAGGCTACCAAGGTACATGTAGTACATTGTGTCAGTTGCGTGTAGGTTGGCGGCATGGAAGGAAGGCGCCAGGTGCTGGTGCAGGTGACGATGCCGACGGCGGCCAAAACCTTTGACTGCATGCGCGACAAAGGAATATCTCACTCCTCTCTCCTCTCTGACTGACTGCCTACATTACATGCACACACCACCCACCGCTCCATCCCACAAGCCATAAAACCAGGCACTGGAGATGGGGTCCGTCACACTTATGTAACTTCGACTTCGTTGACCACTTCTTGTCTACACCCAGCTGGCCCACACTACCTTCCAGACGACCGCGATATCTCCTCTCTGTTGCTGTCGTTGTCGCTGTCGCTTACCCTCTCTACCCATCCGTCGTTGATCGCGTGGTTCTGTTGCGCCGCGCTGCGCCTTGTCGCGCTCACCCTCCACCATGACGACTCACCCCGCGGACCCGCCCAAGACGTCGGCCGCGACCATGACGCGCGACAACTACAAATTCCCATCGCATCGCCTGCTTCGCCAGCAGCGTACTGACCGCACCCCGGTTGTCCTTGTCGCATGTGGCAGTTTTTCGCCCATTAACAACCAACACATACGTATGTTCGGACAGGCCGTCAGATACACACAAACCCACCCCAACGCGAACCTTGAGATCGTGGGCAGCTATCTGTCGCCCGTGTCGGACAAATACGGAAAGTCTGGTCTGGAGTCTGGAAGCCACAGGTAACTAACCATCTCTTCCGACGGTGCCGGTTACGGTTACTGGCGATCGCCTGCTAACACCTGTTTGTCTGACAGGGTACGCATGTGCGAACTGGCTGCCGACGATGAAGGCGGCTCCAAACTGCTCATGGTCGATCCTTGGGAGGCTGTCCAGCCCGAATACACCCCCACCGCAGAAGCCTTGGACCACTTCGACCAGGAGATCAACGGAAAACTCGATGGCATTCTGACCAAGGACGGTTCGCGCCGAATACCGGTCCACATTATGCTGCTCGGCGGTTCTGACCTCCTCACATCCATGGCCTCGCCCGGCGTCTGGGACCAGAAGGATGTCGACCACATCCTGAAAGACTATGGTGCCATCATCGTCGAGCGTGTCGGAGAACCCACACCTGCTGATGTTCTGAATGACCCGGAATACAAACTTCACAAAACCCCGCCGATAAAGGAATACGGAGGTAAGAGCGGCGCGGACCCCTCGGTCACTCATAAAATGCTGACTTGGGGCCATATAGAGAGCAGCACGATAATTAGGAGTCACCGGCAGCAGGGCATGGCCATCAAGGCCCTGACCCCGAAATCTGTTATCGACTACATCGAAACACACCACCTTTGGGCCCCCACAACAGTATGAAGTCCAAGGCAAGCGTTTGTCACTTAAACGAACGAGGTTGAGGTCAGAGAAGGTGTGACCTGCCAGGCTGTTGGAAACGGAAACGTGGCGTAGTCACCTGGGCAAAGCGCTTGTCCCAGGCGCGAATGCATCGAATAAGCACACAGTCGCTGCTTGTTCCCCTGAGATTTGTTTCTGCCAAACGCCTGATTGCGACTAGACAGAAACAGCAACACCATCGTTGGTGTATTGATTTGCTTGGGCTTTAGCGTAATAGATACCTCCCATAAAGAAAGAACGAATAAACGAGAGATAGACTGCCAAGCCCCAAACGGCCACCGGCGAAGGGTCTCGAACCTGATTGGCATTATATGCTCACACGTCAGCCTGTGTCAACCCGCTCATCGACAAGATAGAGAGAAGTGCAAGAATCCCTTCGAGTTGATATCAAAAGTCAACATGCACGTATAGTCGCCGGTTGCAATAGATAAACATGTTGGTACTAAAGCATTGTACTTTAATTAAGTCTATTCGCTGTGTACCTAATCTATCAAGACATCCATCATTCATGAAAGACCGATTCACACTACACCCCCAGGATTTCCCAGCCATGTTTGTAGAAATCAGTCAGAGGTAGGAGACCAGCCTATCGCTCCTTCTGTCCCCCATGCCGCGCCATGGCCGAGTTGGTATCCAGCTCAGAGCTCCATCGTAAAACAAATCATTCGTTCGTAGTCATCAGCCGTACAATACAAGACAGCTCGCAGCATGCAGCGAATCTAGATGGTTATATACAAGAGGAAAAATCCTGCAAATAGTATCCAGAGTCTCCACGGCCCAGAAACAGGCCACCATCCTATCTATCGCCTTCGCCCGGTGACGAGATAGGACCCCGTCATGACTTCGACCTTCCAGCCGTCGGCGACGAGGGCCTTGAACACGTTGATGCGCAGCCGCGACTTGCCGTCGGTGCTGTGGCGTCCCAGGCCCGTAACGACGGTGAAGCCATCCCGCGCCTTGCGCACACGCTCCTCCCCGAGGCCGTCGTACCAGCGCCAGACCCGGTCGATGGCAATGTCGGTGCCGTCCTGCACCGTCACGCCGTGCAGGTCGATCGAGTCCCGCGTGCTGGACCGGTCGACCAGGTAGCTGGCCTCGACGCTGGTCGCCTGGTGGTGGCTCGCGGCCTGCTCGCGGCCGCGCTCCGCGTAGTAGGCGGCGGCTTGTCGGAATAGGGGGTCGGATCGGCCCTTCCTGAAGGCTGAGGAGGCGGACGTGAAGGAGTGGTTGCGGTAGGCGGCGATGGCCGCTGCCGAGGCGGTTGGGGACTCTGAGGTTGACGGCCTCGCCCACGCCTGCGGTCCCAGCTGGAGTGATGGCCTTGCGAAAGTGGACTTTGGGAATTGCTTGGGACTCGACAAGCCGGCAGGGGGTGGCGTGGCAGGCAAAGGCTCCAGATCCGAGGCCGAGGCGACAAGACTGTACGATACGTCGTACTTGAGATACGCTGGCTTCTCGAAGTAGTCTGCCAACATGTTGACTACATCTAATGCGGCTTGGTGGGATGGTGTAATCTCGAAAATGGGTGCAAAGTACTCATGAGGGACCCAAGAGACTTTGTTTGCCAGTTCTTGGACTTCGGGTAGCTGCTCGAAGCTCGAGGGCTGCAGACCGACCGCGATGTAGTTGTCCAGGATCTCGACGATGGCAGCGCCGAGGGATGCATTGTTCCGCTCGTATATGCTCGTCGATTCGGACTCGGAGAGCTTGAACCGGTCAGATACGAATGCGACGTTGTCTGCTCGCTTCTTAGCACTTGATCTGCCAAACTGGTGGCTTCCGCTGTTATCGTGGTAGGAACACTTACCGGCATTTTCCTTTTCATTTCGCCTGTTGTCCGCTTCAGATGCTTCGACTGAATCTGAGCTCCTGGTGTTAAGCGCTTTTGATCCTTTTCGTTTCTTCTTCCGGCCCTTCTTCTTTCTGTTCGGTACATCGTCATCTGAAACATAGAAGCCATCGATCCCCTTCGGCCGTTGTCCAGCCTGCTCGAGCCATTGCAGGTTGAGCAGCTCGTCGATAGCGAAGCTGGCGTCACCCTTGCACTTTTGCAATGCTAGTCTGACATCAATCGGCTTCAGCGAAACAAACATGGCGCATAGCTGCCGCTCCTTCTCCTCGTCACTGAGACCATCAAAGACAACTACACGGATGTTGCCTGGGCTCTCCTGGGTCGATGTCTTTGATGACGCTGCAGACACATGGCTCTTGGGCTGTGAGCTCTCAGTTGTGGTGGTGAACCCATCACTGCTTTTGATATCGCTGTCTGCGGCATGTGCTGCCTCGCTGGCGCCCTGGTTGGACTTGTCGATGTCTACAAGGCCATCGAGACCCACGCCACTCGGATTGAAGCCTGTCGCTTCTTCTGCTACCACATCCTTGGATATGGCAAGGAGGACATCGCGCGCAGCTGCAAATTCCTGCGGATCCTGCAGATCATAGTCACTGGATATGGACAGAATGGTCGCCTCGTCCAGAAGCGAGCACAGCTCGTCCTATGTGCATTGTTAGCCAGACCAAATGCTCCATGTGATTAATGTGCTGTGAAGGACCGAGATGAAATAAGCATCAATGGATATAGCAATCTGAGCGCCAGTGAATCATTCATGCTTCTTGTTGCTTACTGTCCATTTTTTTGCAAACTCTGCCATAACAATACAATAGGTTTCACACGTTTCTCAAGACGCGCGCGCTCTCGGGGGCCCCCTTACGTGAAGAACAAGCGAGAAATGGGTATTGTGGGGTGTACAAGTCGAATACTCTGACGATGCATCGTCGAATCGGTCTGGGGCAATCGGGACGTGAGGGCTGACGTATGCTGTCGGTATCAATGTCGCGACGGAGGATGTAAGAGACGGGCGACGCAAATAGGACAAAAGCGACAGATGTATGTAGTGGTAGCCGATGGAGCTTGGGGGATGAATGAATCATTGAACAGGTGGTGCCTCGTGCTAATCATGGAATCGCAGTCGCCCGGTTTTCAGCGCTGCCTTGGTGGCCTTGGTTGGCCTGTAAGATAGGCGGTCCAGGGCAGCAGGGGCAGATGGCAAACACGTGGTCCCAGCGCCATGGTACCGGTCCGCACCAGAACTTGCAGGTCTCAACCAACGAATGCTCAAGAGCTTCTCATGACTTGAATACCGTTCATGAACTGGGTGTCGAAATCAATGAATGTTGATGAATCCAAGCTTTATGGTGATGCTTTAGCCGTTTGTTCGCAGTTCATCAATAGATAACTGATTGTTGTTGCCCGGTTGGAAAACTCGTCAATGTTGAAAGTTACGAACTCTCAGGTCTTGAGCACTCGTTCACTGGAATCGCCAAGACCTGGTACGGCACCGGTATAACCAACAAGATGGAACTCTGACTTCCTTCATTTTCTTGCCCTGTTTTCTGATGCGCTTCTCTTTGTGGCTTGTTTTGAGATATCATCACTGTCAGGTGAGAAACGGAATGAATGTCAATAACTTTTGTATTAGTTTGATTATACCCGTCATCAAAAGTGAACCTCAAACTCCTAAACCGCCGGCTATGCTATAACATTACAGAGTAGGGACTAAAAACAAGAATGTTATCACAGGTTCTCTATTCTCCTTCAGAACTCGCGGCTTTCTCCAATATCACAGATATCGAACACGCCCGTCTCCCCCATCCTGCGCCGTCTCAGCGCCTCCCGAAGCAGCTTCGGCGGTTCCAACGGATCTTCCGGGGTGAGGGCCCAGGTGCCCCAGTGGATCGCCATCGCCCTCTTACACCCGCTGTCACGGAACATCTCCACCGCGTCAAACGGGTTGGCGTGCACCGGCGAGAATACGTGTCGAGGATCGTAGGCGCCAATGGGGATCAGACCGAGGTCTATGGAGCCGAGTCGCTCTCCGATCTGGCGGAACTGGGGACACACGGGAAGGTGCTGGTATTCCGGGCCGTAGTCGTCGACGCCCTCGGCCACCTTGGGGACGGTGCGATAGCCCGTGTCTCCTGCGAACCAGACTGTCTTGGCATCGCTGCCGGATCTCACGGCCCAGGACGCCCAGAGCGTGTGGTTCTTGTCGAATGCCGTCCTGCCAGAGGCATGCTGGCTAGGCAGACAGATTATCCTGGCCGTGATAGGCTGCGCCGCCGCCGCCGATGTGGTGGTGTCTATGGCCGAGTCCCCCTTCGCGGCTTGTGGCGTGAATGTGACATCTGCCTCGTCCCACCAGTCCATCTCTGTCACATTCTGCAGCCCGCCCTGCCTGAACCACTTCTCCAGTCCCAGGCCAACAAAGAAGTGCGCATTGGGGTAGTTCCTCTGGATCTCCCGGACTGACGGGTACGACAGGTGGTCGTAGTGGCTGTGGCTTATGACCACGGCATCCACGAACGGCAAGTCGGATATCTTACACGGCGGCTCGGTATACCTCTTGTAGTTCTGCGACTTGATCGGTGCGCAGTGGTCCTGGAACACCGGGTCGAAAAGCACCCGCAGGCCTGACGCAAACTCAACATAATAGCATGCGTGCCCGAGCCAAGTGGCCCGAAGTTGGGAAGACGAGTCCCTTGTGGGTAGGAAGTGCGGCTCCACGACGGGCACCAGCTTCTCACCTATCTTTGGCTGTGGCCAGTTCATCAGGCCAGTGTGGGCTTTACTACATGGTATGGTCAGTTAACGCCGTTCTCAGCATCGTATGAAAGACATCACTCAGCGCTCTGTGGGCGAGGGAGGACGAACAAGAGCAGGCTCATCAAACCCCAAATCGGCGGATCAGCATGACTGGGGTGCGGATTCTGGAATTTGACAGTCTCGCCATTTCTGTTTTTGACGTGGTGGGCTCTCGCATCGGGGATAAGGTCCTTGTCTGAGGATTGGTGTGGGCTAACATTGCAGGCGTAGGCCGCCATCGAGAGCCCAGCCGTTGCTCCAGTTGCTGAGGCCATCTTGGTGTATTGTCTTGCAGGCGGTTGACGAGCGTGCGACAGGAACTGTCGAAGAAAACGCATTGTGACAGCGGAGGCCTCGCCGTGGAGGCAGATGGACATCAGAGGAATGTTATATGTGCGCCTGGATTCTGCAGCAGCGTTCCAGACTCGTATAATTAGATGCAAGCCACAGGCTCACTGCAGGACTGCCCATCTCGGATTTACGGACATACTGAAATTAATAGACGAACTACCGGCGGCTGATGATGCCGTTTTGAGTTCTATGCGGGCCACCGGCGCAATGCGTAATCCGAGCGTGATGGATCCGATGCGAGAGCGAAGGCCCGGCGGAATCCGAGTGGTGCCGTCATCGATATGTGAGACCGCATCAGCTCACCTCAATGACTCTTGACGGGCCGTCTATTTTGGTGGTATTGTCATTCATTCCAAGGACCGCGTCTTTTCCCCAGACGGCTACTTGAATTACCTCGGGCAGTAGAGTGCCAAGTAGCAAAGTTTTTATCATAATGAATTTCAAGGAGTAGTATCTCTGATGCATCTCAGCCGCTGCCTCCGTCACGCCAGGCTTCAAGAGACGATACGTAGGTACTTACATCTCGCCCGCCCAACGATGCTTTCTATCCATGTACCGTGGCAAGGTGACATATCATCACCTAGGAACCCCATGCGCGCCATCAGTGCTTTGTTTGCCACGTTCCTAAAGTGTAAGACCATACTCAACCTGAAATCATACTCAATCGATTTGGTCGCCCAGTCACCCGCCGCGCAGACCTGTAAGAGCGAGGACGGACCGACCCGCGGCAAAATGGCAAGACGGCGAAAGAACCATGCATCGGTAACCACTCGTCGTGTTAAATGGCAAACCATGGATATCACACTCAGGTGCGGATAGGTAAGGACTGCGGTGAACAACTCTTGGGCGCAAGAATGGATGGACGTCTTCCGACGAGGAGAGCGGGAATAGCAAGGAGTGAGTGGCAGGCAATACCTCACAGGCAGTGAAGACACGCCGGCATCCCACTTGTGTCACTCGACTGTCAGCTGATGGCTGGTTACAAGAGGTTGGTGTTCGTTTGAGAGACGGCGTCTGTCTGGTAGAAACTCTACATAGGTAGTTATTACCGAGGTAGTAAATCAAAAACATCAAGACGCGAGTTCAGATGCTTCACATGCCCTCAAAGTGTCACATGCAGTAGGGCCAGCCACTCGAAATAAAAAGTCCAAGAAAACGGCTCTAACGCGCGATGCATGTGACCACACACTCAAGCCAGCCACGCCGTTTTACAGATGAATGGTAATTTCCTACAACTCAACGCATGCTCGTCCTGTAAACCTTTCCGTGATTCATACCCTCAAACACTGCGAACGCCTGTCCGCGGCTATCACGATTGGCCTTATCACCACACAATACCAACGTACAATTTATCATACATATGACAAGACAGGAAGGCCACACACCGTGGTGGCCATCGAATACACATGCAAAACCCGCTCGCTACTAATGTCGCCAGCCCCCAACGAGGGCCATCAGCAGCTCGCATAGAGCCGCAATGCAGCTGCCACTTTCAGACTCGCATTCAGAGCATGTCGAGACGCAGCAGTCAATACCGCCAAGGCAAGATGCATAATACACCTAACCACAAGGACGAGGATGCCTACTGAAAACCCCAACACAGTCCGATACGCCGGCAGTCAATTCATGTCGACCAAGCGACGGTTCTTCGCCTGAAGTTGGCGGAACTTCTTGTCCAGGGCTTCGTGTTGTTTCTTGGATTGAGACCACACCGTCTCGGCGTCCTCGACGCTCATGAGAGGCGTGCTGCCAATCGCCGGGGAGGCACCACCTTCGGGGTTGTCGTAGCTTGCGTACACGCCGTCAGCAGCGTGGCCGCCCGCCACGCCACCGAAATCCTCCCCAGCTCGGCCAGAGAACATCTTTCTCTGATCCTCGACACTATCAGCCGAAGGGTAGATCCAAGGCGCCAACTGCTGCAGATTTACATTCTTGGTGAAGTTGGAGTTGGGACCCATGGTCTTGTAACTGCCTAGGTTCAGCGAAGGGAGAACATGCTGATTGATGCAGCTGATCGCCTCTTCTCGATGCATTTTGCCCACGGGATCGCTGGGATAGTTATCGGGACCTCCAGGGAAGAACGAAGGCGTGCCATTGGGTACTGCGCGGTTCTTAACCAAGCTGAAACCATTCGCAGGCGCGTAGCGAGGTGCCGAGAAGGCGGTTGGGCGAATGCTGTCAGCCCTCAAGCGATCTTGAAGCTCGAGGAATAGATCCGCCTCGTCCTGAGTCAAGTTGAGCAGACAGTCCCCGTTAGGAGTAAGCAGCACGGGGTGATCGTTGACCGACTTGCGGACAGGCTGGAAAGCGTTCAGCTTTTCCTCGTCTTCCTTCATAACGATCGCTTTGAGGGTCGGCGGAAGAGAGACTGCCGTGCTGTTAAATGATTCGAACCGATAGCCCGGCGAAGGTTTGAAGAAATTCATCTTTTCGGGGTCAGGAAGGGCGCCGGCCTGGACGAGAGCCCTGAAGATGTCACGCAAGCTGGGAACTTCGCCGACATCCTCCTCTAACGACTGTACCTGCATCGAATCCGGAGTATGACTGACATAGTCAGGGGTGAGAACCGTAGTCTTCGTCGATTCGTTCAACCTAATAGACGTATCGATTGCAGCTGGGCTCCTAGGTGGGCTGTTCAAGTCCTTGCCTTTCAACTCCTTGGGCTTGGACGACTCTCCTGTCCAGACGATGTCCTCGGCACACGCTCCGGGGTCACCGCTCACGTCTGCAGCCGGCATGGTAGTGCCCTTCTCTGTAGTAGACACATCTCCATGCGAGTCGGGGGCTGTAGGGGTCCCAGGCCTGCTCGGTACACGGCTCGTTGGTGCGGTCTTCCTCTCCTTCTTCTGCTTCTTCTTCCTCCCAAGGATGGGTGCAATCTCAACCTCTTCCTCGATAGACTTGGATTCGGCAATCTGTGCGGCCGCTTCCTTCGAAGCATCTTTACGCTGCTTGCGTTGCTGACTCTTCGTTGTAGCACGCACAGCCGCAGAGCCAACTCTTGAGGGCGGCGGGGAACTAGTCCGGGAGGCTGAGATGGAGGCGCTAACAATCGAAGCCGTATCCGAAACAAGATCACTAGCAGGAGTCGCCGGACGATGTGCTGAACTAGCCGCCGCAGCGGAGCGTATCGAAGCGACGGCTGCTGGAGCTATGTTGATGGGCGGTGCTTCGGTCTTCGGAGTCTGCACCAGACGGAGCGTCTTGGGAGCAGCCTTGGCGAATGGTGAGGATACTGAAGCACTCGTTGGAGTAGGCGTTGGTAACGCCGAGGCTCCTTGAATTTTGTTCAACTGCACAGCGCTTGCAGGTTGGGCTGAAGGCTTTTCCGACGTGTCTGTGGTTGATCCAGAGGCACCTGACTGGTTCAATGTCTTCGTGGCAGCTGCAATGTCAAGCGCGCCCGGCATCGGACGTTTGTCGGATTTATTGGGTGTTTTTTGCGACGAGGCCTTGCTTGACGACACGTCTATCGCAGTCTTCGCGGAGGGCGTCTTCGCCGAAGGCGTCTTCACATTCTGCATCGGTTTAGACGGAAGAGCAGGCGTTTGTCTTGAAGGTGAGCCTGTCTTGACGGAATCAAGCGCTGGGAAGTCTTCATCCTGGAGTAGTTTTCCAACCGGCGTCTTTGAGGCCTGAGCAGCGATATCTTTCGCCAGTCCACTTGTCGTGGCGAGCTCCTTGATGCTCTTCTTTGCATCATTGTCGACGGTAGGAGCCTCTTCTTTGCCACGCAATGGGGTAGACTTCACAGCTGACTTTGGTACAAGTGGGGTGACTGGTCGTGGGACAGCAGGGGTAACAGGTCGCGTCGTGGCCGTACCTGCATCCAGCCGATCCTGTGGCACAGGGCTCGGGTTTCTCTCACCAAACTGTACCGGTGGGTGCGCGTGACTCAATCCGAGCCCAGGGGGCAAGGACGGCGTGGTAATACCATTACGCAACAACGGCTCCTGGGGTTCGGGTGAATCCGAATCCGCAACCAGCGCATCCACGGAGAAGGACGCTTCGTCGAGTGGTAACAGGTCGTCATCTAGAGGAACACAAGTACGTTAGCTGCCGAGATAACAGAGAGGATGGGCTACAAAAAGGAACGAGCATGCGTCACGTTACAGGCTTCCAACGTCATCTTCCACAGATTTTACATGATGGCACCAGTGTACTGGGGAAATGCTATATTAGCCAGCCGCTCAGGCGTAGGCCTGAGGCTCGCTCGGCGTGTTAACGTACATGAAGAGACTTTGTGGAAGACGACGATGGCTTGCCTGACGTGACCATTTATCGAATGATGCGTGAAGAAAAATTGAATAATGTGGCAGGAAAGGAAGTGTGTATCTTGTGAAAGGCAAAGCCGTGGTCGAGAAGCCCCGTCGTTTCCAAGAGCAAGCGGACGCCTATGCACCCCTGACCCGTCCTGGGTCATCATGCCTCTGCAATGCTCGCTCAAACAGATGTGGTGGAACATTCCGATCATCTCATCTCCCTGGCCATTTCCGAAAACCTTGACGCCCAGGCGCGATCCCTTCCGGAAACCAAAAGAAATCAAGTGTGCCGTCCTCAATCCACGCGCTCTACAGAGCGGCTACCATCTGCTGTATCCGCCACCGCCGCCACCACCGTACATTGTGTTGGGATTGTACCCACCTTGAGTCTGGCCACCAAAGATGTTCCCCTGTTGCTGCTGATGATGCATTCTCGCCTGCAGGATACTCGGGTCCGCAAGATCTACTACTAAGGCACCTCCCCCAGAGGAGGAAGTGTTAGCGTGCCTGTGCTTCTTCCCCTTCTTCTTCTGCTTGGGTCCGTAGTCCGGGAAAGCTCCAGGCTGAGAAGCATAGAGCGAGGCCAGGAGGCCGAGAGCCGAAACAGGAGCAGTGGTGGAGGAGGTGGATGGTGGATACTGGTTTTGAAAAGAATTAGAAAAGAACTCACGCTTTCCTGCGTCGTGGGCGTGGCTACTGCCCGCACCCCTTCCTCGAAGCATAGACTGCAAAAGTAGCTCTGTGTTCTCTTTGGAAGTTGCGGTGGCGAGCGGCATTTGCGCGAAAGGCAGTCCACCAAACATGCTACCACCGACAGGGGGTGTACCAGTCGACTTCAGACCAGGCGGAGGCCCCGGTACCGAGGTGTAGGGTTGAGAACGGAATGTTGAAGGCATCATGGCTGACTGCTGAGCCATGTATCTCGGATTTTCACTAGTCTTGACGTTGACCGAACTCGAGCTGTTCTCATTCGCAAAACTGAACCTGGATTGCTGACGGGTGTGACCACCTTGTCCTTGGAAAAGGCCGGATTGCTGAGTCGCTATTCCTGGTGGCAGCATCTGTTCCGCAAAACCGCCCTGCCCTCGTATACCCGGCTGTTGCTGCGTTGTCATTGTCCGGCTGCCGATAGAGCCGACAGAAGCGGCAGCAGCAGCACCTTGCCCGAATCCTGTAAGTGATGGTCCAAACAGATCGTTGGCAAAAGCTTTCGTTCTCTGGATCGGTGGCTGTTGTGCTAGACTTCTCGCCTGATCAAAGCTGACACTGTTACGGCCGTGGTCTCGGTCTTCGGGTTCACCACCAAGGGCTAGACTACCGCTCTCGGGTTCTCCTTCGGAAGTCTCAAGGATGTCGGCTTGGTCCTCATGTTCGCCCGTGCGGTTCTCGTCTTCATCGCGCATAGCTCGTCTTCGTTCGGCTCCATTCACGTCGAACAAGGGCGGATACGAATCTTCCGCATCCTTCGGTGGTACGAAAGCGCTAGGCGAAGAAGCAGCGAGCATTCTCCAGATTGCGCTGAATTCCATGTCAGACTTGCGTTCAGCATGAGGCCTAGTACCCGTTGCACTGGCTGTATTAGGGGTGTCAGTCGCGGGCTGCTTCTCAGCCTTCCGACTTGTCAAATCAGGTATTTCTGCCACCGGGGCGTTATCAACCGCTTCTTGAGCCGACTCGGCAGTGACAGGCAAGGAGTTCGAGATGGCGGGGCTTGAGGTCGCACCACTGGTTGCGTGACTACCACGTCTGCTTCGCTGTTGGGTAGTACGAGCCCAATTTGCGGATGCTGGCAATGCGGGCCCGTCACCAACATCAGACCCTTCTTTACTAGAGGCGCGGACCATAGGTTGCGAAGTAGCTGTGGAAGGCGCAGCCGAACCCTGTTGGCGTGAGACAGACCGGGATGATGAAGCTGCAGTAGAGAACGGGCGCTGCGTGTGGACGCTGTTCAGCGATGAGAGATCCTGCCGGGTGTAACTATCCTCTTCGTCGCCGAGCTCATGTAAGAACATGCATTGGCGATTGCCGCACTGCTCATGCCTAAGCCACGCAGAGCAGTACTTAGTCGTTCCTAATTGTGCCTTCAAAACACGATCGCCGTTCTGAGAGCCGTGAACAGCCTGGATACACCGTGCCGCGTCGTCTTTCTTCTCGAAGGTAACGTAGATACCGAGTGACTGTTGTTGGCCATCAGAAGACTTTCGATTACTAATGGAAATCTTCTGTATGTTGCCATATTGACCAAAGAATTCGGGTTTTCGCAGTGTCTTGAGTAGCTCGTCCTCGCGAACGGTCGGTGTCAAGCCGGTTACGTATACGAGATTCTTCTGTACGACGCGGACGCCCTGGAGGTTTTTGCGGTTCTCCTTCTCGGCCTCGCGCTTCTGTACCTCTTTCTGTCGTTGTTCGGTTGCGCGCTTCTTCTGATTCTTCTGTATGTTGGCTCGGAATTCCGCCTCCCTATCTCACATTAGCCAGTGATACGCAAGATGTGTTGTATCGTTCAACGCACTCTTCGTGAGTCACAACCTTGAACTCTATGTCTTTCTCGTCGTAAGGCCGTCGACAGGCGGGGCAGAGTCCACTCAGGTTGTTCTTTAGGTTATTGAAACAAAATTGGCAGATCTGTGATGCAGAAGCGATGTTTAGTTGTTGGATGCCCATGAAACAAGTTGGTGATATATGCTCCCCTACCTGGTAGCCGCATGGACATGGACGGAAGTTTCGGTCGGAAAGGTCGAACTCCTCTATGCAAAGAGGGCTAATGGAGCAATGTCAGTATCGAATCGGCAGAGGACGCCCTGAGGAGGTAAATAGGCTATGTTGGTGTTGCTGGGTAACGAACCAAGTATCTTCCTCGTCATCGATGAAGCTATCCTGAGGGGCCATTTTGCTTTTTGGCAGGCTCGCGAGAAGCTCGGGCTGCTCAGAATGCGAGTATCAAGGCTACCCAGAACCGATGGGGGGAGTGAGCGACGCTCCGGGTTACAAGTAGAGGGATCGCGTTCGTGTAGTCGTATGCCGCAGCGATCGCGAAAAGATGGGCGAAGGCTCGTGGTCGTAGCCTCAAACGCGTCGTCGACTTGGGCTAAGAATTAACGTCGGGGTGGTTATGCAGGAGAAAGGAAATGGCTATATCTGAGTGAAACCATGCAGAAGTCCTTGCCAAACGCCAGGGAAAGTGACAACGAGGTGGGAGAGCAGCTGGATCTCTTTTGCTGATTGTGTTCCGTCAAAGGGCAGAAAGATTATGTCGACAAGCTGGCGCCAGAGGGTGATTGATGTGAGGACTGGAGATTGAACGGATGAGAAGGCAAAAGAGGCAAAGGAGGTTTGGTTGGGTGTCTGGCACTCTGGCTGCTCAGAGCCTGCAGTGATCAGAGTGGTCAGAGTGCCCCGTCAGAGTGGTCCTGACTCCTGTGGAAACGGAAGTTACTTCTGTGGCGCTAGAGCTGCGGAAGGCCCCAATTGGTTTAGTGCATAATTCCCAGTTTTTGCCTCACCCGCAAATCAACAGCTGCCACCTTCCGGGGAGCCACACCTGCCCGCACTCACTCCTGTCACTCTGTCACTCCAATTCACTGCTGCTGCACCGCAAGGGGGGATTACGCTATTCATTCGCAGGAGAGCGGTAATCTACAGTTATGTTCGGCATAGCACATCTGTAAAATGTGCACACGTAGGGGGTTAAACAACCGGTTTGTGTGTTGGACATCTCGGTCGACGCTGATGAGAGGTCCGACGAGCTTGAGAAGTTGAGATGAGTGCTAGCCACCTTGTGGGCTCTGCCGTGGCGCACCATGGGCCCTTATTCGTATACCTGATAGATGCATAGAATAGTAATAAGGTTTCGTGCCCTGTCTGACGGGATGAACTTATGAAGTGCAAGAGCGGGGCCGGGCCTCACCCGCAGCTGGAGTGCTCATCTTGCATTATTCGGAGCTCGCCCTAATATTGTTCCTTGTTCGTCGCAAGTGCAGCATTGACCTACTGTCTAACCTCCCGGGTCAATTGAGTGGTCATACAACTCACCCAGAGGCCAATCCGTCCGCGATCAATTGGTCCGCCAGCCATTGCCCACCAGCCATGGCGACCAAGTTCTGTCGAAGTAGAGCTCTTGCTTCAGCTCTGCGACCCGCGAAGCCCTCGTTGCAGCCGCGCAACGACCAGGTAGTCCGCTGCATCGCCTCGACCGCCCGTCAAAATGTCGCCGTCCCCATCCACGCCCAGAACATGCGGCAGGCGCCCCGAGACCACCCCCGGGAGCTGAAGGCCCCTATCGTCAACCCGGCCGACAAGTACTCCTCCAAGGCCGACGACCTGCACCGCTATGGCTCGTGGCTCATGGGATGCATGCCCAAATACATCCAGCAATTCTCTGTCTGGAAGGATGAGCTGGTCATCTATATCCCGCCGGCCGGTGTTATACCCGTCTTTTCCTTCCTCAAATGTGAGAACTGGCTCTGACGCCACCTCTCGAGACCCTGTGTTTTGCTGACTACGAGACAGACAACACAGCTGCAGAGTTCACCCAAGTCAGCACCGTCACGGCCGTCGACTTCCCCACCAAAGACCAGCGATTCGAAATCGTATACAACTTGTTGAGCGTGAGACATAACGCGCGAATTCGAGTCAAGACATACGCCGACGAGGCCACGCCAGTCCCCAGCATTACGCCTCTGTTTGACGGGGCCAACTGGTACGAGCGGGAGGTCTACGATCTGTTTGGAGTCTTCTTCGTGGGCCACCCCGATCTTCGCCGCATCATGACGGATTACGGTTTCGAGGGCCACCCTCTGCGAAAGGACTTCCCCCTGACCGGATACACGGAGATTCGTTACGATGAGGAGAAGAAGCGCATTGTCACTGAGCCATTAGAGCTGACACAGGCCTTCCGCAACTTCGAGGGGGGTTCCACTTCTTGGGAGCCTGTCGGCCCTGGCCAGGACCGCAAGCCGGATACGTTCAAGCTGCCTACGCCGAAGCCTGAGGAGAAGAAAGAGGAGCCCAAGAAATAGACGCCTGCTGTGGGCCTTGTACATAAGTGTGATACAATCGACATTGATATCTTTGCAAGCTGTTCTGCCAGTATGTTGGCATTGTATTTCTTACGGCTGAGACCACGGAGTGCGTACGAGACCATGCAGCTACGTTGAGTACTCCTTGTTATTCCTATGGCGCTGCCCAATCCCCGCAATTTCGATGTATTACCCGCACATGACTCCAACAGCACCAGCAGCCAAGCACGCCTATGGCTGTTCGTATTCCTCGAGATTCTGTTCTTCGAGGGCCGCCTGCTCCTGCGAAGTGGGATCAGAGCTAGAACCAGAAACAGGTTCTTCATCCCATACCTTCTCAGCAGTAGTCTGCTGTTTCGCGCCGGGGGTCTCCGCAGATGCCGCAACAGGATGTCCATCTAGCCCGGCATGCTCATGGTGAGCTGTGTGTGTCTTCTCAGCTAGTGTATAATCAGATATAGGGTTCGACCAGACGAGCTCTTGTAGACGGGGGACAGCTAACCACATGTACCGCGCTCTCCCGTGCCCCCAGAGTCGGTTCGCGGGCGGGATGTAGACATGGCGGGATTCAGCGGTCTGGTGGTGTTGCGTGCGGCACAAAACTGGTCGACGTGCCCCTCCCAGTCTTATATGTATCATCTACACACGATTTCCCATGGCGTTCCACTGGCATGAAGGGAGGGCGTACCAGATTTGGGGTAATCGGATTCCTGCATTCCTGCGCCTGCAGACGGCCATGAGTGTCGTGCCGGTGACATCATTCTTCATCGTCGGTGATATCTGGCGCTTGGCGATATGAAGGTGGCGAAAGAGTCTCAAACAAGGCGTCTCCCGATGCGACCAAGTGTCAAAGCTTAAGTTGAGTGACAGTTGGCCCCTGCATCTATGTCCAGTTCTGGCGTCGCGATCGAGGGCCGCGGGGTCACACCCTGTTGCTCTTGACCGCGACTCATTAACCATGCAGACTATGCAAGAGATCGCTGACACTGACTGAAAATGGTATCTACCCATCGTGGCCTTCACAACCGCAGCCCTCGACAGTGGTGTTTGCATTCTAGGGATTGAGTGAGCACCTCACCCAGGCCTAGACTCCTAGGCTTAGCAAGCACGTTTGCATTTGCTATCAAGAACGTTGTTGTGCGCCAGTATGGGTTTCCAACTCCCCCGAGCTGCCGACTTGTATGGGGGACCCAAAAGCTTCGACTGGAAGGTGAGGCAATATGACAACAAACCATCGCGCGCGGCTCACGCGAGAAAGTATCCAGCGAATCAGATCAGGAACCAAAGCTTCCTCAAAGCTTAACCACCGTTCCGGGACAGACATGTGTTAACTCTCATCACTTTTGAGACAGCAAGGTGCTCGGTCTTGCATCACGCACAATCTGTTACGCTTCTCCTTCCAAACCACGATGACCTCGTCTTCGTGTGATCCCCTATTCCCACCCTGCCCCTGCACCCACCTAGTCACTCCAACATGTCATCCGAACACCCCATGAAAGCGCATAGCAGCGCCGGCTGCATCATCGCCGTTCCCAGCCCCGACGGCTACCTGAAGACTCTCACGTCGAACCAAACCCTATGCCAGCAGTACATCTCGCCCACCCCATCCCCTTCTACCCCCCTTTTCCGCCTCTCCCCTCCCCTCCCTACCCTACCCTCTGTCCTCCTATCTTGACGCCTGGCAGGCTAACCAACCCCCAGATATTCCGCCGTGGGCAAAGACTTCTGCCGCATGAGCACGCAGCTGCGCGCCTACTGGAACACGACGAGCTCGTCGTGCCCCCCGCAGATGATCCAATGCCACCAGCTGCTGCACCAGGACGCGACGTCCTCCTCCTCCGAGACCCCGGTCGTCAGCCACGCCTCCATGTTCTCGTCCAACGACCCAATAGGTGGTTCGCCCGCGGGAATCGACGGCGAACTCACAACCGCGGTACTGGCCGTGGTGGCGGGCCTCGCGGTATTGATGAGCGTCGTGCTGTACGTGTACATCTGCCGCCGCCGCTGCCGCAGCTGCCGCAAGGAGGATGAGGAGCTTTATGATATGGCGAGACTGTTTGTCTAGCTGGAAGGCTCGTCTTGTGTCCCCGCTTCGGCTGCACGAAGGCTACAGGATATGACAAGGCGAGCCGGCGAGCAACTCTCAGGAAAGGGGGATCCGCAGAGAAAAATCCAAGACTCGACGGGACGCCGGCATAATGAGAGGTTTTGCCACGTTTTTTGCGATATTCTAGCAGCTATAGTCAACCCTCCCATAAGTTTCCGTCTGCCAACCTCCAGGTTCTCTTCCGGACAGGACACAAAATGAGCACCCTGGATCAAGCAATTATAATTTAATAAGCCATGCCTTAGTCTTTTCCCAGTGTGATTATCCCACAGATAAATATGTACCCCTAAACATTGTAAGAAGTTGATCACGGGGTGCGCGGAGACTTCTGGGGGTTCAGTGTACCAGGACATGGAAATCTCAGCCCGGACTTGGGTGGAGAGCATGGGGATTCAACCACAGCGCAACAGCCTCTTAACCTGCTAGGGTGTGACGGCGATCTACCAACTATGATGCCGTCGGCGACGACGAGGTCCCGGCGTGGCCCGAGTGCGGGTGCAGGTCGAGCGAGCCCGGGTGCGGCAGACCTCGTCCCGCTCGAGTACCGCGCAGGGGATGCGGTGCAGGTGCAGAATGCGGGAGGGTCAGGCCGGCGGGGCCGGCTCCGATGATCGCGATTTCGGGCGTGGTCATGTCTGTGGTGGTGACGAAACTGGAACCTGCAATGCAAGACCTTATGACGTCCACCGTTTTCCCACCTTCTCGCTTTTGTACTATACGTCATCATGAGAACGCTCTTTGAAAAGGGCCTTTGGGGCCGTTTCCACAAAGGCAGCTACAAGTATCAATCCCAGTCTCCCACGACTCTTCACCATGCTTCGTCTCTTTACCAGAACCGCAACTGCACCTTCCGTAAAAAATTCTTTCGTAAAAAACTCCAGCTTCACAATCGCACGAACTATGTCTTCCGGCAAGGCCAACAACGACCAGCTCAAGAGCTCAGACCTCTTCGACGTCTCTCATGTAACAGCCATTGTCACAGGAGGAGCCACGGGCATTGGCCTCATGATAACTCAGGCCCTTCAATCCAACGGAGCCAAGGTTTACATCGTAGGCCGGAGAAAGGAGAAGCTCGACGAGGTCGTCAAGCGCTACAGTACCGGTCCAGGACAGATTATCGCGTACGTACCACCCTCCAAAATGACCCATAGCTATTACTGACAGCTTGTCAGACTGGAAGGCGATGTCAGTGACAAGAATGAGGTTCAACGCCTTGCCAAGGATATGTCCTCCAAAGAGCCCAAGGGCATCCAGCTCCTGGTCAACAACGCCGGCATCGCTCGTGACGACGCAACTTCGTATTCAAAAGCCGGCCAGCCCGACCTCTCAGACCCCGTCGCCATCTCGGAACACTTCATGAAGACTCCCCCGGAGAGCTGGGCCGACACTTTCAAGACCAACGTTACGGCAGGTTACTATATGTCCATGGCATTCCTGCCCCAACTCGCCAAGGGCCGCGAAGCTACGCCTGGCTACACGAGCAGTGTTGTCAATGTGTCGAGCATCTCGGGCGCCATGAAGGGCAACAGCGCTGGTCAATTTGCCTACGCGTCCTCGAAGGCGGCATTTACGCACCTGACACGAATGCTGGCGACGACCTTTACGCAAACCAAAGTCCGTGTCAACTGCATCGCACCGGGGATGTTCCCCAGTGAGATGACGACAGGTAGCTCGAACGAAGAGAACAAGTCCGAGATGGATATGAGCTCGACCAACCCGGCTGGTCGAAAGGGCCATGACGCGGATATGGCGGCCACGATCCTCTTCCTTGCTGGAAGGGGAGGTGTCTTCTACAACGAGCAGATCATGTACCCAGACGGCGGCAACACGATTACGCAACCGGCGGTCAAATAAAGTTGCTTCGGCTCGGTATGCGTACCGTTCCCGCATGGCGGCTTGGGCAGGCATGCAGGGTAACCTGAGGATTACCTATGTATATAGCATCAGTAACACAAATAACGCAAAACCAAACCTGGCAACAAAAAATCTGAGGGTCCCTACCATGTAATCAATGTGAGATAGAAGCTGGGACCGTTTTTAAAACGACTGCAATGCCATGCCACCATCGTCCCAGATCGGAGTGACGTAGAAGGATAACTATCAGGTGGACGAGCCTGAGGAAGAGCATCTTGACGAGTAACTATGCAAATGTGCCTCTCCTTTATCAGAAAAAGATAGAGAGCAAGCGAATCAAGGGTGGCTACGTCTGGCCCTCAAGCGAGTACTGTAGCTGGTCAACAATTCCACCCATTCGTCCGCGGTGCTATGCAAACGACAAACGCGGAAGAACCGGCTTGTGAAAACTGACGTTTGGAAGACTGCTCAACGTAAAGCACTGGCCGAAAGTACAAAGGGTATTATCTGCTCTAGACCGGGATTTCTGCGGAAGGTGGAATGGTGAGCATAGCCGCTGCATGCTCAGCCCTGAAGGCTTCAGAGTCCAGCAGCCTGCCGTGGCTTATACACGCTGCCCGTTCTCTCATCGCATCCTTTCGCACGTAGGGCACTGACACTCCACAACTTCCAGACCAAGATTTTCTCACACTGACGATACCACCGAGACGTCGTTTTGACTGCCGCAGCTTCTTCCCATCCCTTCGAGACGGCAGAAATCGTCGGTCTTGTCATCGGGGTCATGGCCCCTCGCCGGCACGTTCGAAGACTGCGTCGACTACCCTCGTACATCTCTGCGTCCGGCTGCTGTCGAGCAGCAGACATACTGCAGGGACAGGTGGCCGGTTAGTTATACCAAGGTCGACGCCGCCATCAGACTTCAGTGGCCCACGATGGTGTCAATCACAGCCATGAATACGACGAACTTCAGATTACGTGTCTCATCTAGGCGAAAGGAAGCAGTTACGAAGAGCTGCGTCTGGCGGGTGGCCCAAGGCAGAGAGAAGTTCAAAGGACTGCAAGAAGCACATATCCTTAAGGGCGTAAAAAATTACATAAAAAAACCCCCCCCATTATTACACAAATGCCATTTGAACTGGGGACCTCTAGAAAGTGTGCCAAAAAAATCAAAAAGAACAGCAGTCCGCCAAGATCAGCATATACTGTCGGAAAACCTGACGGCTAGGTCATCTAGCCCAGTCACTCCGCTTGGTTTGTCCTGGCGACTACTTTACCCAACCCGGGGGGGGGCGGGGGGTGGACTTCTAATACTGGTTTGCGCTCGTATTAGGATATATATCCCCCAATCCCCCATCCCCTTGGTCCCACCAAGCGGGAAGCTCACACAACAGCTAGTGCCCTTTCAAGCTGGCAATCTCTCGCTGGCTTATGCAAGCATTTCTGCAATCTAACGACCAAGACCACCATAGCTGATATCTCATGCTCATCCATCAGCATCCCCAATATATACTCCAGTCACCACGCAACCGGTATCGGTACCTTTTCCAGATACCTACCAAGTACGTACTCAAGAAGCTGATATCCGAAAGATCAGGGGTCTGTCCTCATTCGCGCCGTTCTTGCTTGCCGATGCTGATGTCCATACATACATATCGAGAGCCAATTGGCGACGCTGCTGGATGTGGACACAACGAAACGGCTTCTTCACTAAACTCGGCTACAAAAAGGGGCCCAGGTGCACCCGCGGACTGGCGACGAGGCGCAATCATGTCCCTGTGGGATGACTGACCATAACCAGGTAATGACATGAAGGTAAGCTATGGATAGGGGTCTGATGAATATATGCAAAGCAAGCGTGGCAAGGTTTCCTGAATCGTGACCTATGCGCACAGGGTGTAGGAGCACATAGCAGCGTTCCGTTGACCATCAAGTCACGTATTAAACCCGAAGCAAGGCCAGAAACCATAGTACCCGTCGTCATCATAATTACACTAGGACGCCGTACACCGCGGTCGACCCTTGCAGACATGAACTTAACAGAACTACCTACGAACCCTCAACAAGTCCCGCCTTGCGGCGTTTCCTACAACGACACCTAAACTCCCAATCTATGCCACCCAGACCCAACAATGCCACACAATCAACACAAACTCCTAAACGAAATGTCCCGACACACTTGGCCCCATCCCTCATGAATGCCGTACAATTAGTCCGACTCATCCGCCGAGTCCCAGATGATGGGCGGAGGTTCCTGTATCTCGTCGTTGACCAAGCTGTCCGGCAGCATCTGGCTCCTCGTAGGGAACTGCGAAGATCGCAGAGAGTGTGTATGATGAAGGACGCTCGGACTGCTGCCGCGTAGCTCGCTGGATCGCGACTGGCTAGAGATGGTAATCAGTCGAGGGGCCGACTTCTCGGGAGAAATAGCCGGACTCGACACTTGGCTCGCCGTGGTAGCCTGAGAAGGCCGCACGAAGGCGTGGGGTCGCTGGCTGGGAAGCGGTGGCAACCCTTGCGTGGAAGAGCCCGATTGTGCCTTGGGTAGAGCGGGCCTGACAAAGCCGCTGCCAGCCCCAGTGCCGTTGCCTTGCTTCGATGCCGGTTTGCGTGGCGTCTGGCTCGAGGAGACCACCTCGTTCACACCTTCGGATGAGTGATGCTGAGTCGAATATTCCACGTCACTTTGGATCTGAGCCTTGAGCTCCTGCGATTCTGTGAGGTTGGGACTACTTCCCACAAATCCTGCTACCGCCTCTTCGCCGAACAAGGCGCATCTCAAGTTTGCCGTAAGCTCCCCAACTACCGCCGGCGGGATGAAAGTGTACTTCTGCGGCGCACCAGCTACCCAGCCCTTGGTTTTCATATCCTGCAAGGAGACCGGATTGTTGAGTTGATATACCTGAAGAATCTCGTATGCATACTTCATGAACCTCCTTCCCTGGTTGAACTCAGTATTTCCGATGCCTCCTTCATCCTCAATCTCACCGGGAGTTTTTGCAGGTCCAAAACGACACATGTATTTCAATTCAGACTCCGGCTTTGTGATGTAAATCCAGACACGGGAGACATCAGGCGGTATCTTCCAGGCTCTGAACTCATGGTTTTTAGTACCATCGACGATCTTCGCTACGTGCTCTGGATGAAGTGAGACCATGATGTCGGAGCGCGGAGTTTGCGGACCGAGAGAGTGGATGACCTCGAGGGGTACACGTTGACTGTCGAGACCTTGAGTGTACGCGGAGCCTTGCGTTGCTGGTATATTCTCATCCGGTGCCTCCGCGAATGGCGAGGAAGCTGGTGTCTGTTCTATAACAGAGGCCGAAGAAGGCCCAGCGCCTTCTTCCTCTTCTCCTTCCGGGACAGGTTGTGGAAGTTTAGCTTGGGGAGGTTCAGGCATGATTGTATCGTCTTCCTCTGTGTCCACATCAGGCTCGTGGCTAGGTAGGTGCTCTGACGAGAGAATCTCGGCTTGTGTCTCATCACCCAAGCCACCATAGTAAGTCTCCGGTGGTTCTGGTTCGTCTTCAATAGCAGCTTTGTCTTGGTGGTCAGATGGTACGAGCTCTTGTTTCTGGATTGTCACATCGCCTAGTTCCTCAGCCTCATCCCCAGTGTCGTCTTCAGTGTCGTCGAGATCTTCGTCAGAATCGGGGACCTCCTGTAAAGGCCGTCGTTTTGAGGACGTTGCAACGGGAAGCTTTGGAGACTTGGGCTTTGTCCGTCCCGGTGTGATGTTCTCCTTGTCCTCTGGTAAGTCGAAACGTATCCTTTTCGACGGCGTTGCCTTGACAGTGGACTTGGGAGTGGGCGTGGTAGGAGAGCTGTGAGAGGTGCTATACGAGTCGGCGATCACCAGATTCCTCGGGGTCTTCTGCAGCTTCTTGAGTATCGGAGAGGGTGCTCCGGCATTCGTGGACTTGGACTTCAAGGGTGACTGACGCGGTGCTGGGCTGTAGCGCATCAACATGGGCGTGGCGGGCGACTGGGAAGACGGGATCTCGGTTCTCTTTTGACGGTTCGAAGGGGTGACCGATTTGATCAGGGTCGGCACCGCGGACATGGGATCTCCTTGACGACCTTCTGATGCATGGTCATCTTTGCCTTTGTTGGGAGGTTCCATGACCAGGGCGAGATCTTCGTCATCCTCCGAGTCATCAACCTGCCAGATGTCCTGTTTCTCTTCTTGGTTGGAAAGAAACTGGGTCAAGGTCTGCGTATGAAAGCTGCTCGAAGCGCTTGCACTGGGAGCATCTCCTAGAGTCTTCCGTCGCTTCGAAGGCTTCTGCTTTTCCTCGCCATCCAGCTCGTCACCCGCGGTCTTTCGCCGATTTCCCCGGGCCTTCCGCTTCGGGTTCGCACTCTCGGCGAGCACAGGAACCTCGTTCTCTTCCTCGTCATTGTCGAGATCGACGAAGTCCTGCGTTGCCGAAGAGGTGAAATCCATCTGAGTGAGGGTCCCTTGTCTTAGGACACGTGCAGGGGTGGATCGGCCATAGGTCTTCTTGACTGATCGTCGGCGGTGAGGGAACTCTTGTTGTTTCGGGGCTGCAGCGGTAGACTTGAGGGTCTTACTTGCAGTTGCAGTTGCAGTTGCAGGTGTCTTCCCGCGCGAGCGTGTCTGTGCTGGCATGGCTACAGCAGCCGAGTTGGCGTTTACCGTTGGCGGGTACGTGCCCTTCCTCCGAAAACCGGTGTCTCCCACGAGAATGTTTCCAACTTCCAACAGCAACAGACTCGATCGATATTCCAATGATATCGGTACTGTGAGTCACCAAGATTTCAATAGACTGTTTTCAAGCAGCAGGCGGCTTTGCTGGCTGGTCCTAAGTGAGTTGCTGCGGGTTCAACGAGTAACGAGTAATGACGTTCGTCACTACTGTAGTGGTGAGTGGAGTGGAGCGAGGGAGGTGCGTCGACGCGGTGTTGCATGTTGGGTATCGCGTCGAATGCATATCCCTTAGTGGAGACACTATATATGCATAACCCCTACTATGGGCAAACGCCGTTTCCATGCATTTTACAAGCCATGATAACGGCATAATAATCACGATTCACAATTGCCGAGGCATCTTGGTGGTGACATCGGCCAGATTCCATCTTTGACGGCATGCAAACAACAAACAACCTCTAAATACAACCTACCTATACTTACCATATTCACCCTTCACTAATGACATAACAGTCCGCCCATATTGATTTTATATTGAGTTGTTTGTTCTAAGACCGGCTTCCCTCGAGCGGCGAGCAAACAACTGACGCGCGGCTCAATCCAATCATCATGAAGAGCGGCGTCCACGGGTCCTAAGGTACCATGCTCATACATACCCGTTCTTATCATGAGAAAGTCCCATGAAAGGTTCCTATCGCGTAAAGTTCTACCTATTACCATTGCCAAACACCCGTGGAACCGCTAACCATTACCATCCTGGACACCTGTAGTTACGCAACTCAGACTGGTACACGGACGCAAGGCAGGACATATATCCGGTGACAGGGCACGAGCCATTCTTACACGATCTGATTCGATCTACCTGTCCTGTATTGTCCGGAAACTGAAGACTCTGTGGCGGGCCGTACTCGCATTGTCATCTCAGGGGCATCTCATAAAGTCTCACCTGCCCTCAACGCACAATACCTCACCTATACCATCACCATCGCTCACCATCAGGCTCAAGCCGAGCCTCACCCACCCACCATGGCCTTCCCCTTCAGCATAACCGAGCACACGATTCCAACGCAGCACATCCGCGAGCACCCGCGCGCCACAGCGCACTCGCAAGAGGACGTGCTGCACCTGCACATCAAGCAATACACGCCCCTCGACAACCCCAACCCGCAGCCGGGCGACGTGACCATCATCGGCGCGCACGCCAACGGGTTCCCCAAGGAGCTCTACGAGGCGCTGTGGGCGGACCTGCACGCCTTATCACACAAGCACGGGTTCCGCATCCGCGGCATCTGGATCGCCGACGTCGCCAACCAGGGGTACAGCGGGACGCTGAACGAGGGGAGCCTAGGCAACGACCCATGCTGGCACGACCACGCGCGCGACCTGCTTCACATGACCAACGTCTTCCGCGCCGCGATGCCGCGCCCCCTCGTCGGCGTCGGCCACTCGTTCGGGGGCAACATACTAACACAGCTCGCGCTGCTGCACCCGCGCCTGCTGACGACCCTGATCCTGCTCGACCCCGTCATCGTGCAATTCGGCTTCGACCGCAGCGGCCCGGGAAGCAGCCCGACGCAATCGTCCACCTTCCGGCGGGAGACGTGGCCGAGCCGCCAGGCCGCCGCCGAGGCCTTCGCGCGCTCGCCTTTTTATAAATCCTGGGACCCGCGCGTGCTGGCGGCGTGGAACGCGCACGCCATCCGGGACACGCCAACGCCCCTATTCCCGAACACCAACACCCAACAGGACAGCGCCGGCGCCACCCTCCGCACAACCAAACACCAAGAAGTCTTCACCTTCTTCCGCCCCCTCTGGCCGCACGTCCTCCCCGACGGCAGCGTAGACCCGGACCGCGCGCCCGACTTCGACCCAACCCATCTCCCCCATATCGACCCGCATAACCCCTACCCCTTCTACCGCAGCGAGGGCGCCATCGTGCTGCGCCGGCTCCCCGAGGTGCGGCCCAGCGTCCTCTGGGTCTACGGCGGCACCAGCGACCTCAGCCCGCCCGCGGGGCGCGCGCACAAGCTGGCCGTCACGGGCACCGGGCCCGGCGGCAGCGGCGGGGCCGCGAGGGGAGGCCGCGTCGCCGAGGTCGTCGTCGAGGTCAGGGGCCACCTGTTCCCCATGGAGGTCCCCGCGCAGACCGCCGCGCACGCCGCGGCCTGGATCGGCCGCGAGATGGAGCGGTGGCGGGGCTTCGAGCGCGAGTACGACGACTGGGTCAGGCTGCCCATGCGCGAGAAGTCGACGCTGAGCGAGGAGGTCATGGAGAAGGTCGGGAGGCCGCCGGCGCGGCGGCCGAAGAAGGCCAAGGGCACGGATGGGGAGCCGAAGCTGTGAACGGATGGTCAGACGAGAGAGGTGCTGCTAATGGCATTTGCGAGGGGATGAGAATTGGCCTTGCTGTGATGCAGGGCGCACAGTGCTCAGGTAGAGGGCGTTGGGGATGTATATACGGACATATATACAACAAGACTGTAAGGGCTCAAGAACATAAATCAAGACCGTCCTTAATACTTGCCCCCCGAATCGGAAACGCTTCGAGTACCTAGTTAAGAGAGTCTAATGCGTAACCCCATTGTTTGTTAATCATGCATGAAATACAAACAGGAACATTTAACTCACACCTGCTCACTGGACTGCGGACGACTAGTAACCACAGGGTAAAGAAACGGAGTAAGCTGTATCATTAAGAACGCCGTTAACGACCTCTGACACATTTAGAAACGAGACACAAGCATGTCACAGAACACGGGTTATTTAATAGCACACTTTGACAAATTGGCCTATCTATCTACTCGATCTGAAGCTCCGTCCGTTCCGCGAGAAGGAAAACAAAGCAAGCACAGGCCTCCGAGGTGAAGCATCCGGCCTGGGAACGTGGATCCATTCCGACGCCGAACAACCCTCCATGCAGTAGAACCAGCCCTCTCGCAACTTAGTGTGTCCTTGCATCCCACGCATTCGTTATTCGCAGGGTGCGGTGTACGGTACGTTTCAGAAGGCAGACCGTCGCGACAGGTGATGCTGAGATGGAAGAAAAGCGCTCGTAACCGAGATACGGCGGCTATGACCAAGAAATGACTAGACCCCTTGCCTTGTCATGTATCAATTTTGCCAGCGTATCTTCATATTTATGTGCATCGTGAAACCTCGCTCGTTTATCACCCCATAAACCTTCCGAAAAAGGTTTAGGACAAATGGAAGGCACCCTGGCCCTCCTTGATAGCAGTGAAAAGCTGACGCTTCATACTATCGATACTGGTGTAATCGGGAAGTTTCAGGTAGTTGACACACGTCATAACGCTTGGGAGGTAGTCGTCGGACGCGTAAGGGGGTTCGCTGGGCTTGCAGACCACAGTGAACATCGGGGTTAAGCTCTTGAAGCCTAGTGTAACATATTAGCTTACTATCAAGCAACGTAAGGGTAACAATTGAGCATACCTCCAATTGGGAGCTTTGGGCTGCCCGTAGTGAACTGTAAGAAGTCGCGGCGTTGTGTTGGTGTGAGCTCGCTCATGGTCTGGAGCAGATTCTTCACGCTTTTGCTGTCCATATTGAATCCATGATCTGCCTTGATGGAGTCCATGAGAGCTGCAATAGTTAGCTCCTGCTGTACATATAAGAAGCAGTTGAACTTACTTTCAAGGGACCAATCCTCGTCAACGCGGCCAAAGAGGGTGACTAGCTCATCGGGGGTAAAAGCACTCAGAGCAGAGTAGGGGAATACTTGGGAGAATCCGGCCCGGAAAGCATCTACCTGGCGTCTGACACCACGGCCCAAGGTCATGTCAACGACCTTCTCAAGGTAAGACTCGACATTGTCGATAGTAACTTGAACGTGAGATCCATTGGGAACGAGATCAATGTCAGGGAATCCAGGCAACGTGAAGTCCAAAGCAAGATCTTCAAGTCTAATCTCATCGATGACGATCTTCTCCGTGTCGGCAACCTTCTGTGCGGGTGTACGTTTCGGGTCTTCGTCGATTGCCTTCTTTGCCAGAGCGAACTTCTTGATGTGCTTGAGCGAGTTCGCCAGACCAGGGTCCACGATCTTTACGGCGCCAAGGGATGGCTTTACCGCAGAGGAGTCCTCGCCAATGCGGAAGAAGGTAGAGTTGAAGTTGAGGTCAATGATGCGTGAGTCGATCATAGATCGGGCAACGAACTTGCCCAGTATCTTGAAAAGCTGCAAGATGATAGCTGCAGACGGATCATCGTCACTGAGCGGGCGAGGGAAGAGCCCGTTGGGAGCTGAAATGAACACCTCTGAGTCATTAGAATCCATCTCTCGCCAAAGCTTGAGTTTCTTCTTAGAGAACTCCTTAGAGACATTGGAGTAAAACTCCAGGGTGGGTCCAAGTCCTGTTCCAACCTCCTCGAAGTATTCGACTTCCAAGATGCTCTGTGAGCTGCCGTAAAGTTCCATCACTTTCAAAGCAGACTCAAGAATCTTGGCTCGCGAGATGCGCACTTTCTGTCGCTGAAGGCGACCAAGGAAGGGACGCTCGTCACGACGGTCACGACGCGAGGTCTCCTCTTGGTGGGCATTCTGCCATCGACTCATAGAACGAGCATAGCCAAACGATGTCGACTGGAGGAACAAGTGACGTGTCTCGAAGGGGAATAGGAACGGGTACAGTCGTGCTAGATCCTCGCTCCAGCTCGGCAAGCAGTTGCTTGCGACGATCAGAGGCTCTTCAAGCTGTCGGTTGAGCTTCGCGGTCAACTTTGTGTTCACGAACTGCGAAAGCGGCTCCACATTTAGCTTCAAAGTGGTCTTGTTCTCCACCATAATGTCGTCAATGTGCGCGTTCATGTCGTGGAGGATGTTCAGCAGACGGAGTATAGACGCCGTGGTGGGGTGATTGGCAAGTGAAGCGGGCACGCCGTTCACATCTGAGGAACCATCAGAGGTCGGCGCAAACCCAATTGGCTCGGCAGGCGGTGGCCCAGGTACACGACGGAACTTGACAGGGTGCACAGCAGACCACACGCTGCGACTCAAATGCTCCTCAGTTGGAGGTGTGGTGTTGTGGACAGCTCGGTATATGGTTGTCTCATTGGGGATCACTCGCGTGTCAAGGTTGAACTCGATGTGCCAATCCTGCGGGACAGATTGTATAGCAGCAGCATACGAGAGTGGCCGAGATGCCGTCGCGGGCGCCGGCATCGGGGTGCTTTGTTGCAACGCCGAAGGTTGGGGAGGAGCACTGCGACTGGGCAGATTGCTAAGTGCACCAGTCTGGGCTGGAGTGGGCACTCGCGTTCCATCCTCCTTTCTAGCCGTGATTTTACCGCCGGCAGCAACTTCCAAATTAACGGCGGATGGCTCTGGACGAGGCGCATCTTCCATGTCTTCATCCAGCTCCCCGACTATGGCGTCAAGAGCGCTGCTGTCACCAAGTTCGGCTTCTTCGTCGTCATCGGACATTTGCTTCTCATCGGCACACTCCAATGCGTTCTGCAAGTCATCTTCGTCTTCCGGCGGCGGAGGAAGATGGGCTGGGGTTTCATTCGGTGGCGCTGGCTGCCGACGAGTCGACCTCCGAAGGATGGCTTTCTCTCGGCCAGACCCTGATGTCTGACCCGGGGTTGAGGGGGCTTCAGTATGACCGGGCTGCTTTGACTTCGATCCTCTTGTTGGGCGAGAACTAGAAGCCTGAGCGGGTACAGGCGGCGGTGCGGGCGGACTGGAGGAGAAGCCCGAGCCAAATCTGTCAGCCAGACGGTCTGCGAGTGGCAACCCTGCTGACCCAGCCATTGCAGCTAGCGCTCTAGACAGGCCGTCTCGGGGTCTTGCACCACGAGGCCGCTCGTACAGACTGATTCGGGGTCTAAGATAGTCATCCAAGGCTTTGAAAGTAGCAATTGCATGAATAGATACCATGATGTTCCGATAGGACTTAGGAATATCTGAGTCTTCATCAGCTACCAGCTTGAGTCGAATCTGTTTGGCTAGCATTGATGCTGCACTACTGCGGTTTCCATCGAAGGCGTTTTGGTGAACAGTCATGACTTCGAAATGCTCCGAACGACTCAGCAGGTCCTGAAGTTTGTGGGCCATAATACTGAACGGTGTCGCCGGGGAATCTGCAGTTGCCGTCTTTGGCCTCGAGCTGACAGACCGGCCCATGAATACCTCGAGGAACGAGGCCCTCGCAGAATTCGCCAGCGTCTCATCAGGGTTACTGAAGACCTCCTCTAGGACACGAACCAGACCGGAAGCAAGCAACTCCGCGCTAGTAACACTTTCCAGGACGTCAGCATCGAAGTACGACGATAGTCTCTCGAAGAGGGAGATGCCGTTCTTGGGACTTAAGTCCTTCGCCGTCCGTAGAAGGTAGAATGCCTCAATGTCGGAAGCAAGAGCTTGAAGGTTGTTAAGAATCTTCAGAGCCTTCTTCTTCATAGACTTGCCATGCTTTTCAGTCTCATGAGTCTCCACGAACTTCTTTGCGGCCTCAGCGATTCGAGACTTCATGGAAGGAATGTCTGCAACGAAGAGACGAGGTGGTCCATCTAGTGACATCGTAGATCCGTCGGAGCTAGCGGGTGATCCGGAGATATCGTCGTGATGGTCGTTTTCTTGATCCTCGTCGTCCTCGTTCTCGTCATCATCTTCGTGGTCTTCATCGTCGTCATCATCCTCAGAGTCATTGTGTATCGACACTCTGTCGGCTTCAGCTTCAGCTTTAGCGTCACCAGATGCCATGTTCACATCTGCCGCAGCTGGCTCAGCTGCCTTGATCTCGGGCTCCTGGTACTCAGCAGCCAGTTTGGCTATCTCTATAATCACACCTTCGCGGTAGATCTGGTACCGGTAGATTTCGTCCAAACGACTCAGGAGGAGCTCCGTTATCTGGATAGCAGACATGACGAGTGACGGGTGATCCTGCTGTGACAATATAGCGGCCAAGAAGGAGGCGTATGGGACGGACTTCAGTGCGTCGACGAGAATGTCCTTATCCAGGTTGGAAAGCATCTTCAACTGGGCAGTTAGCACTTTCTGGCGGACGCTCAGGTTCACCGTGCTAGAAAATGCGTCGGTCAAGGTGGGGAACAGGATCAGTGCAAATCTCCGCACTTGGTCCTTGCACTCGTCAAGGAGTTCAAGTCTCTTCTCCGACGATGACTTCCTCCGAGATCCAAGAGACGACGGAGTGATTGGCTCAGCAAGATCAACGTCGGCGGCGACAGGTGGTGCTGAAGGATCTGTGCACTTCATTCCAGGGAGCAATTCGCAGACGACGTTAAGAGTCTCGATGATTTGCTCCCGAGGTCGGTGGATTAATGCTTGCATGATGACCACACTGTCAAGCTTCGAGGCGACATCTTCCGTCTCACTAGGAGGAGAGACGCCAGTCAGGATCTGATACAGTGTCTCCACGACATTCAACTTGAAGAGCTCAGCTGATAGACAGGGGCTGGCTTTCGCGGTGATAGCCAAGACCCGCAAAAATTGCGTGTGGATATTGGCGCTGATAAGATTCGTTGTGCCGGGGACCAAGAGCCGCAAGATGGCCTTGAGGAGGTCGACACTAACGAGTTGCTCCAGTTTCGACGACTGATACTTAAAGCTCTCAATGATACGTGTGACGCAGAGGGAAGCTTGCTCCACGACCCGCTGGTCACTGCTTCCCAGTACGTTCAGAAGAATGGGCATAACATCCTTGATGACGCTGAAAGAGTCTTCCGGGATATTGCGACAGCAGTTTGCGGCGGTGGTGACGGCTGTTCGTTGGGTACTCGTAGCGAAAAAGTCCAGGTAAGATAGGCAAGCGGTTAAGCCACCTTCTCGGACAATACTGGTGGGATATTCCACGGATATTTTCTCCAATGTGCTTAGAGCTTGCTCGGCAAGATCGATAAACTGGATCTCCAATAGCTTCTGGCACAAAACAGGAACAGCTCCTCCATAGACGACGTTGGCAGCGCTGGCCGGGAGGGCTTCCATCAAGTTTGCCAGGCATCGGCAGGCTAGAAGCATTATCTCAGGGCTCTCCTCGCCTGTAAATTCGTTGGGCTGCATCAAGACCACCAGTTCCTTCACGAAAGCGTCGGGGGAAAAGTGCCCGGACAGGTTGTCCTCGTTAGATACCAAGAGGATCTCTGACAGGTCCTGCAAGGCTATCAGTTGTACCGATGGGTCTCCCTTCTGTCGAAGGTTGTTCAGGTTTTCGCGCAGCCGTGAAGAGAGGCCTGACATCATGCCAGTCAGTTGTCTAAGTGTAGTCGACAGTCCAGAACCAGGAGGCCCACCGAATCCACCGAAAGGGTCGTCGTCGTCGTAATGGCGATGCGGTTCGTCGTCATCATCGTCTTCATTATCCTCGCTGTCGTCGTCCGGATCATGTGCCGGGGGTGGGGGCGGGGGCTCTTCTGTGCTCTTCCCCTGCTGTTCGGTCCCAGTCATGATCGTGTCTTCGTCTAACGGTGCCGCATTGTTGCTGGATGTCCGCTTTGAACGTCGACCCGAGGTAAATGAGCCTGCTGTAGCTGTCGTAGAGCCTAGTCGAGTCCACTTGTCAGTCAATGCATTTCTTTTGTCACGAAGTGGCCGATTTTTACCTGGTGCTGGTTGGCCAGTTTTCTTGTGACGACTCGATTTCCGGCTCGACGTGGCTGAAGTGGTGGGAGGCTCTTGCATGGCCGAGGATGGTTGAGGCTCCGAGCTACAACGAGCCGAAGATTAGTACCGACAATGAGCCAAGGTGAGGTTTCGATTCGGAGGCTTACCCAGATGGACTAGACATGGCTGCTACTGCCTTTCCCTTCCGTGTGCGTGGGAGGTTCGGTGTTTGAGTCGCCTGGGGAGGCGGTCCTTCGGGGTTGGTAGCCGGAACCTTCTGCCGCTTAGACCTTCGAGTAGAAGATGATGGCTCGCCTGTGGAAGGTTGAGGAGAGTTGCCGTGTCGAGTACCCGCCTTTCTCTTTCTAGCTGATGGTTGAGGAGGTCTCGAGGGCGTTTCGCTTGGATTTAATGCAGTGGAATCGGCAGGCGGGCCAGCCGAAGGTTGACCAGAAGGGAGATCTCCCGGAGAATTGGCCTGGCTCGCGGCGTTACGCGCAGAGGACCGCGTGAGTCTGGAAGACATGAGTATTGGATCAATACTGCATACAGAAGTATGTGGTATGCAGAAGTATCGGAGGGATACTCGAAGAGGAGGTCGAGGAATGCAGGGGGTCAAAGAAGATGGCAGGTCGAGGGGCAGCCGGAGCTCGGTGCACGGGGTGGCCTTGAGCACTTGGGAACTCTGATCGATATCTGGGTGCAAGTCACTGCAGATGCCTGAGCATTACAATTCCTGTGTCGGCGGTGACAAGGCGCAGAAGGACTGCTGGACTGGGGGTGAATGCACAGATGTGTTGGGAGTGACTTGGAGTGACAAGAGCTTGAGGCAACACCTTGTCCGTCAAGGTAGGTGGGTTGTAACTACAAATGCTTGGGAACTGGACCTTGTGCCCCTCCCTCCTCGAACACCAGGTGCATGCGCAAGAGGCGACAACGGCGGCGGAGCAATACAGGCGGTGACTTGGGACTTGGGTACTGCGAGGAACGAGAGACGTGCTGATGAATGGGAGATGCAGACGTGAGAAGAGGTGAGAGAGTTTGGGGGTTTGCTCCAAATGAGTGACGAATTGTGGGAAAGTGGCATAGGTAAAGTGGTGCAGGTGCTGGTGCAGTGGTGGTGCTGGTCGGTACCAAGGTATTATCTCAGTGCTGGATTAAGGTATGGATTATCTGTATCGTACCTGGGGGATAAGGATAACGCAGGCGTAGGCGTAGGCGCAGGCGCAGACGGCGTGGAAGGTGCGACCGGCCGCAGATTCAAGTCCAAGTGGCCACTATTGTTCGTATTGTTGCTTTTCGACTTCGAATTCGACGGCAGTCGCGGTGGAGGATCGCTTTCGGCAACCGGTTGAGAGCGCGGATTCGCAGCAGGTGGATTGCGGTCTGCCATGGATTACGCCATGAGGCAGACGGCGACAGATTGCCTGACGGTCCACGGATGATCTCGACGGGTGCGGTTTCGATGGGCTGTCTCGTCTCGTTCACTTGTTGAAATGGATCGATGATCGGATGATAGATTCAATACTCGGCGATGTTCTTGCGGGATGGCGGTCGCGGGTGCATGACACGACGCAGACGGAGCGATGGAAGGAGGTGACAGCCGTATGTCGTCGCCTGAAGCTTTGGGACTCAGAGTTGGAGGTGTACTTAATTATCAGAGTGGGAGCGGTTCGGAGGAGGTTTAACTTCCACCGTCGGGCTGCTTCTGGTTGGAGGGACATGGCACCATGGACAGACGGGGTGGATTTACCCGATTTTGGCACAACCGACCCGCGGGTGTGTCTCTATTTTCGGCAGCCGTGACGGGTCTGATAGGCTTCACGGCCTGGCTTATGTGGGAAAGTGGGCTTGATACGGGTGCGTTGGGGGCATGTCTAACACGAGAAATGATCGGGCCAAGAACGTTGGTATGTGAGTTGCCGCGCAGGGGTCTGCTATCTCGGAGGTGTTATTGGGATACATCTGATCTGATTAACTATCTCACGATCATCATTTTCATGCTTTGGATAGCCTTCCTCTCAACTACCTACACACTCAAAATCTATTACTTGTATCCGATGATAATCATCCAGATGTTAGCTCGCTAGCCATCTTCATCACATAATGTGTTGTGTATGTCGTGGCATACTTGTAAGTCACTGAAAGTTCTTAACGATTACATGTATGCCGCTAATCCTTAACACCCCTCCATAATCTTCAAAGTCAACAAGTGAGCTTTTTGCTATTCTTTCGAATACTCGGTGAAGAACCTCTGTTAAGCCGGCCTAATAACAATTTCAAGTCAATACCAGTACCAATACTGCATTATTGTGTGACTTGACACTTGTACAATGCAGTTGTGATGTTACATCCTTGTTGATGCCCAGGAATTGATGAGGCAGAGTGCACCATTAGTGGCACAACGTGTCAACGATTCGTGGCACCACGCAGCGTTTGAGCATTCCCTACCTACCTCCCCCGCCGACTGGCATAATTTCATGTTACGCGAAATGGTACTGCCCATGTTCACCATGGCAATTGGCTATCTGTATCAAATTGGTGTTTTCATTGGGTATGTTCTACTTGTCGAGGCTACTCTTCCCTCCCTCGAACTCGCCTAGGTCGTATTCGTCAGGATACTTCTCCAAATGGGCACTCAGCTCTCTCATCTGCGCCTTCAAGTCAGGCGTCAGCTCTTCGTAGATATCCTCGAACATGGCGCGGATCGGCGGCTTCTTCTCCCTTTCTGCCTCCGAGAACGCCTTCAACACATCTCGCCTCAGGCTTGCTCGCGCTTCCTTCTCCTTGGTCTCGTCCCAGAAGCCCTTGGCCTCCATGTACTTCCGCAGTCGGGAGATGGGGTTGTCGCGCCGCTTCCAGTCCTCGACCTCGACGCGGGCGCGGTAGGCGAACGAGTCGTCAGATGTGCTGTGGTGACTGACGCGGTAGCTCATCGCCTCGATCAGAACCGGCTTGCCTCCATCTTGCAGAGCCGTTTCTCTCGCCTTCTTCGTGACCTCTCTTACTGCCCAGATATCGTTGCCGTCTACTCTCACTGTGTCAATGCCGTATCCTATGGCCCGGCTGGCAATGCCATCGCCCCTGTACTGTTCCAATGTGGGTGTTGAGATCGCATATCCGTTGTTGCGACATATGAAGATGACTGGGCATGACCTAGTTGCAGCGATGTTCAGCGCCGCATGAAAGTCGCCCTCGCTTGCAGCACCTTCGCCAAAGTACACAGCGACAACACGAGGTGGGATGGAAGGGTCGTTGATGCGCTGCATCTTCAATCCGTACGCAGCACCGGAAGCCTGCGGTATCTGTGTTGCTAATGGCGAGGAAACAGTGTGCTACATCACTGTTAACAACCGCACTTTGAAGCCCGAGCTAGCCTCGACTTACAATATTCAGCTCCTTGCTTCCATAGTGGACCGGCATGTTTCTCCCTTTACCCGTGTCTTTGTTGTTGGCAAACAGTTGGTTCATGAAGTCGTTCAATGTGAAACCACGCTGCGCAAACACGCCTTGCTCGCGATACTGGCAGAATATGACGTCCTGCTGGTCCAGCGCAGAGGCGGACCCCACGCTGAGGGCCTCCTCGCCCGCAGATACCATGTAGAAGCTGAGTCGACCTTGTCGCTGCGCATCGAACATGATGAGGTCCATGATCGAGATCATCAACATGTTCCTGTATAGCTTGACCACCTCTTCCTCGCTGAGATCAGGCTTGAAGGCTTGGTCAACAATGCTGCCATCTTGATCAACCACTCGGTATGTCGGCAGCGCAGGGTAGTCGGAAGGCAAGGCGAACTTGAGATCGCTAGTAAAGGCACTCTTCACTGCGCCAGGGAAGGAGACATGGTTCGATCCAGGTCGTTGCGATATGCCGCTGGCAAATCGAATGCTCGTGGAGGCGGCGAAGACAGGGGAGTGGTTGGACAGGGAGCAGGCTACTCTCCGCAGAGGTGCCAGTGGGAGCAGTCGTGCCTTCATTGTCAACTTATGTTATGCTTCAAGAAGCAGAAGATAACAACGCATTGGCAGCTCCAATGAGTTTCCTCAATGGAAGAGTCCAAAGGATTCATTCCGATGGTTTGCTGTCTGACATTCCCGGGCCAGGACCTTTGGAGGTTGGCGACGTCACTTAAGCCGCCGTAAAGCGATAAGCCGAACTCACTCCTTGCACTCGTGACACCGCATCGTCTCGATACGGTAGATGCTTATCTCGACCAAGAATATTATTCTGTATCAATAACGATGAACTCTGTAACCAAGAAAAATGGGCATTTTATCGAGTCATTATGGTGATGCATTAGTGGCCTAAATCGCTTCCGAGTTGGGGGATGTCGCTCTGCAACGACCAGAAAACCGGAGGTCCCGTCCATTGGGACTCGGTCTCTGCGTCAAGACGACGATGATACCACAGACATTGGTATTGAACCTGATGCAGAGGAAAGTGACACTGTTTCAGGTATTATCTGTACCAAGCATCACAGGTATGCTTAGAGCTTCGAGAACACGTAGTGAACATGAACAGTAAAGTGAGAAGACGGCATACGGTTGATGTAGACCACAACCAGAACGACTCGACAAGCAGAAGCTGTGTTGAAGTGAATGCATTTGGCAGCATAAACCAGCATATCAACTTACCTCGCAACCACTGCACCCGCATGCAGTTCCTACCAGCTCCCTCGCAATCACCCAGGCGACAGCACATTTCCAAATCACAGCACCACCAGTACTTGCACATCACCACCCACCATCCGCACCCACGACCAAGCCCAAGTACCTCCTACGAACCAAGCCAACAAAGAACAAAAAAAGACCAGTCAAGCCAACCCAAACCGACCCGATACAAGCAACAGCAAATTCAACCAAAATGGCCACCGGCCCCAACGTAGCCATCGGCCTCACGGTCATCTTCCTCGTCGCGCTCTGCTGCTGCGTCGCCTACAAGGGCAAGGTCTGGGTGAAGCAATTCGCCGTCATGATGTTCGAGTCCAAGAAGGCACAACAACAGGTAAACCAGCGGCGCGCACGGCGAGAGGAGCGCGAGCTGGCGGAGGAGGAGGAGTCCGTCTAGGTAAGTCGAAAATTATACGGTCACAGAAAAGACGGAAATATGGTTGTGAGGAAGAGAGATCTTCTGCGGCTCCTCCAGTTTATTTTGTGACGCGCTGCCGGACCCTTGCCGCATCAAATGCCCGTCGGCCCACGGGCAAGCCCGGGGCCCTGCTGCTGATCGTCCCGTCGCAAGCGCCGACCTCCGATCCCCCAGAATTATTATTTTCCAATCTTGCCTCGGCGCCGGTGCGACTACGACGTTAACTGACTGACCGTTACTCGCAGGACCTCTCTCCCTCCTCGAACCCTCGCGGCGGCCACATACACAAACTGCGCAGCTCCAAGACAAATATAAAAACCATGGCCGTCCACCCAGCAGGAACAGGAGCCATGCGCGCAGCTGTACGAACAATAATATCATCACGACCCGGCACTACCACGACACCACATAGCTTCATCTCTCGCCCCCGCCATGTAACAACACCAACAACAAAGATCAAGACCTTCTGTACGACTACACCGGCGCGAGCGCCTATTCCCACTTCTTCGACATCGTCTCCAGCCCAGCCGTCGGACAGCAGCAATGGCCGGACGACGCACTTCGGCTTCCAGGACGGCCTGTCCGAGACGGAGAAGACGGAGCGCGTAGCGGGCGTCTTCCACAGCGTGGCCGAGTCGTACGACCGCATGAACGACCTGATGTCGTTTGGGGTACATCGCATCTGGAAGTAAGTCGCCTAGCCCTTTCTCCCCTGAGAAGAACTCGAGGCCTCCCTCCCCATCACCGTGATGAATGACCCAGCTAACCAACCAACCCTCCACCTCCAGAGACCACTTCGTAACCTCCCTCAACCCAGGCCTCTCCTCCGCCACCCCGCCGACCCCCCAGCGCATCCTCGACATCGCCGGCGGCACGGGCGACATCGCCTTCCGCATGCTGCACCATGCGCACGTCCTAAACCACAACCCCAACGTCCACGTGACCATCTCCGACATCAACGCCTCCATGCTCGCAGTCGGAAAATCACGATCCCAATCCCTCCCAGCATCCCAACAAGCCGCACTCTCCTTCCTCAAAGCCGACGCCACGTCCCTCCCCCCGCAAATCCCCTCCGCCTCCATCGACCTCTACACCGTCGCCTTCGGGATCCGCAACTTCGCCAACATCCCCCTGGCCCTGCGCGAGGCGCACCGCGTGCTGAAGCCGGGCGGCGTCTTCGCCTGCCTCGAGTTCAGCAAGGTCAACAATTTCGTGTTGGACGCCGCATATAAGCGCTGGAGCTTCGGCGCCATCCCGCTCATCGGCCAGCTGGTCGCCGGCGACCGCGACAGCTACCAGTACCTCGTCGAGAGCATCGAGCGCTTCCCGAGCCAGGAGCGCTTCCGCCGCATGATCGAGGACGCAGGCTTCGTCGTCGGCGGCAGGGGGTACGAGGACCTGACGGGCGGCGTGGCCGCCATACACAAGGGGATGAAGCCTCTGTGATGATCGTTGGACCGTCCGTCATAGGCTGGGCTGGATGGCCGGCTGGATTTGTACATTGTGTATTGATACTGTAGATAATGAGCACGAGCTTTACGGGGAGCATAGAAAAAGCAGAACACATTCAAAGAGTCTCGGGGTGCTGTACATCGAAGAGCGCCTTAGTGCGTGGCGAGGCCGGAATTATACCACTCCAACCTCTTCCCACGTAGTGGATTATTTGATGGAAATTGATCGTCAGGTGCACACAAGGTAGGGGCCCATTTTGCAGTGTACTGAATCGGCAGGCATTCCGCAGCATTAGACTGCACTCAACCCCCTTATATTTACACACAATCTTATCTGAGCATCGCAGCAATGTACACAGCATAATCACACAAGAGAAACGCCCTTTCCGGTCAGTACCATAGAGTCTATGAGACCTAACCTAGCAGCCTATCTTCCTATCTCGAGTATCCGTACAGGACTCAGAAGTTGCAACGAAGTTGATCCATTTTTCGGGTGATTAGTAGCGTTGAAAAACGACGCAGCACAAAAGATCCGGGTCGTAATGGTAAAGGGTTCGGGAGGAGAAGCCTCCGCGACCTGCCTTTAGCAGATTCACTTTCTCCCCTGTCCCTAGATGAAAGACGACTGTGTCCTTCGGACTCCCTTCGCAGGTGGGCGGCTTTCTAGAACGCCACCCTACCGGCATAGCGTCGGGAAGCTGTATGTAGGGGAAAGTACAAGCAAAGTGTTGTCGGGAAAAAGATTAGTAGAACATCGGTGATGGTGGGTCGTATCGGTGCATCGAAGTATGGCTCGTTCACGCATCGCCGCCCGCCGGGGCTGGTGAGGCAGTGCCGCCTTCTCCCTTGTTCATGCCTCCACGACCGCCTCTGCCACCTCGTCCGCCCCGATCACCTCTGCCACCACGCGAACCGCCTCGACCACCGCGTTGGCGACCGTTCTCGGGTCCGCTCTCGCCGCCGCTCACGGTTCCACGGTCACCAGCGCTACGGTAGCCGCTGGTACCATCTCGGCCTCGGCTACTGCCCCAGTTGCCTGCTCCACCTCGGCCGCCGAACGGCTTGTTGTTCTCCCGCGGCTGGAATAACTTAACCAAGGGCTTCGATCGGTCCTCGGAATGACGGTGTCTGTATTCGGGATCCAGACTTTCGAGAGCGGCATCTCTGTCATCAACACTCCGGAAATGGGCAACCTTGTTGTTGCTGTTGTTTCCCCACTTGTCAATCTTGACGATCTTCGCCCGTTGCTCTTCAGGGAAGAGGTCACGTGTCTGTTCATCACTTTGAACGTTCATAACGAAAAGGCCAATGATGCTGTCTGCGGTAGGTCGTGGTGCCGGAGATGGTGCAGATTCAGGTCCGTTAGCCGTGCCATTAGTACCGGCGGGCTTTTCGTTCTCCTTGCTAGCTGCAGCGCCAGGAGCGGGCGAAGCAGGCTTAGGTGTGGCAGGCTTAGTCTGTAGCGGAGTAGCAGCCGCGGGTTTGGGAGGCTGCGAAGTCGTAGAGACATTTCTCTGCGGGCCAGAAGGAGGCGCCGCGGAGGATGCGGCAGGGGCAGTAGGGGGCAGACCACTGGCTACCGGAGCCGGAGACTGAGAAGAGCCTTGTACGCCGGACTGTTGCTTGGCCCCTCGGTGCGAGAAGTTGAACCCTTGGGCCCGCATTTCGGTGCCTATGCGGCCATCTTGAATCTCCAGAACCAGCCAGCCGAAAGCTGCGTCTGCCAGGTTGAAGTTCCACATGTTCTTGAACGCGCTCTCGTCTACCTGACCGAGGGAACCCGGGGCACCGGCTGGGCCACCGAATGGGTTGCCACCCGCAGCAGTCGTCGGCATTTTCTCGACCAAGCTCAGCGCATTCTTAAGCAGATTCTGCTGGGCGTCGTTCTGAGAAATCGCGGGCTCGACCTCATTCTTGACCGTATCCCAAACGTCATTGAATGACGCCTTCGAGGCGGCAAGTTTTCCGCGGTAGTGATCGAGGGTGGGGTTCACGCTGAACTCGTTGTAGGAGCTTCCATATCTGAAGTGAAGACCAGCAGAGACAGAGAAGTCTGCTTTGAGACTGACAGACAACTGATTCAGGATACCCTCGCGGGCTGGGGAAGCGTGAGTGACGAAGACGCGAGTCTCGGTCGGGTCGTAAACGCGGTTGGCAGTATCGACTAATTCGCCCATCTGCAGTAGTGTCGTCCACATGGTACCTTGTCCACCAGCGATCGTGGTTCTTCCTTCGCCATTGTCGAAGAGCTTGTGCATTACAACAGCACCACCGAGACCGAGGAGTCGGAGCTTAACGCCACCAATCTCCAGCAGCATGGATCGGTTCTCGTCGATAATGTGCAGGTTCGGGACCTTGTACTCGCCAGATCGGAACTTCTCCAGCACGCGGACGTCCTCACAGGCGCCCCACACGGTATAGACAGGAACATCGAGGTTGACTTGGCCATTAATGAGCATCGACAGCTCGGACAAGGGCAACTCATGCGGGGCGAATCGCGCCTTGACGGGACCGGGGCCGCCCTGGCTGATGGACTTCTTGACGTGCTCAGGAATCAGTGGGGAGTATTGGGCAACGTGCTTCAAGGTCCTGTTCGCAGCGCGGTCAGCTTAGGTATCCTAGAGTTTGTGTGTGAGTGACGGAAATGCCATGTGCTTACTTTTCCGCAATGCGCTCCAAGGACGTGTCATCGTAGAAACCGAAATCACCAGTATGAATGATATGATCCGCTCGGGCCTGTCTCGCAAGATCGTTCAGGGATCGCAGGTTTCCTATCGCAAAGCAAATTAGTTACGCCTCACTAGCAGTTCGCTCGGTCTATGCGGTCCTACCTCGTACGTCGGCTATGCACAGCACTCGAATCGGACCGCTCTGCAAGACTCGGCCTTGGTTGGGTAGTAGGGGTGTAGCGCCGGGGACAGGACCGGGGTTCTGGTGGCCACCAGGAGCGCCGTTCGGCATGTAGCCGGGGCCGTTGAAAGGTGGGCGAGGTTGCTGGAATGCATGCATGGTCAGCGCAGGATCCTCCAGTCTGATATCGCCAGTGTTGAGGCGAGAAGACATGCTCATGCTCATGGGAGCGCGGCGGAATTGCGGGTGATGCATCATGAAAGGCGCAGGATGGTGCGGCATCATGCCTGCCTCGGGTGCCTCAAGACCTCGGGTTGGCATCAGGGTGTCCTTCGGGTGAGGGAACATGATGGGAGTTTGCTGGAGGGAAGGGGAGAGAACAGGTGGGTTTGGAGGAGGGAAGAAGATGGGAAGACCACAACAGGTTGGCGAAAGTAAATGTATGTGGTGCAAGTGAAGGTGGGCGGGTGGGATTATTGTGATTGTGGAATTGGTGCACAAGTGGCCAGGTGCCTCGAGCAGAAGCGGATTGCTCTCAGGCAGAAGCTCGAGGTTGCTGGGCTACCTGAACTTGTGCCTGATTGCGCAGAAGATTGAACAGAGCGGGTGGGTGAACTCACAGCCATGGGACACTTTTGAATACCTAACCTAACTCTCTAACACACAACAAACACAATCAACCACCTAGGTAGGTACCTAGGTATTATTCGACGGTATTGACGGTATCGACGTGCACGCTAATCGAAATCGACGACGGCCGTATTCGGGTATGGCGACGATGCCTTCGGGGAGAGCAATCACAGGCGCGCGTAAAAGATCGAACCTCGAGGTTCGGAGGGCCAGGTGGCTCGGCTCGACTCGATTGAACTATCACAACTGGCGACTATGGACGCGGCGGGTATCAATAAAACGACAATTACGAGGAGAGCTGACGGCGAGCGGGACGGAGGGAGACACGATGCTCGTGATGGATCGTTGCCGTCTGCGCGTGGATGGGTAGGGATGGAAAGGTCGGAGTATTGGATGTGTAGGTGATATGAACGAGGATAGCTATGGCAGAAGGCTTTCTCAGCAGTTGCCTTCGGAGAAAGATTCGCCAGGGTCAAAAAGTTGTATGGAGCCCGACTCCCGTCTGAGCTCGAGCGCGACAGTCACAGTGCGCGCTAAGCCCCGTCCGGACTAGCTGCCTCCAGCCTCGACCCTTCCTTCAGGCTTCAGGGTATTCGGGTACGTACCTGCCAGAGCAAGCCTCATCCATTCTCACTCCATCTCATCTCACTCGGGCTGCGTCTCATCTCATCTTCGCGACCCGGACCAACGTTGAGCACATTACAAAAGACTGACAGGATTGTTTGTCTGATATACCAATCCAATACACATCTTATATATTTCACTGGTTCGTATATTTCCTTCGCTTGCGTGAACGAGGATGTACGCATAGTTCTGGAGGTTTAGTGTGTGGACTGGTGGTGAGTTGCGACCCCGGTCTGTTGCTTTGGGCTTGGGGGGATTGGGTTCTGTGCCCAACGATCCGCTGGCGCCCCGGACTTGTCTTCACTGCCTTTTTTGCAGTCTATATGACCAAGTCCACCATCTGCCTTTTTCACCTCTTCGTAGGGAAAGATGACACATCTGTTATACACACCATCTTCCTCTTCTGTACCCTCCTCGCCCTCCTCCTCGCTTTCCCCCTCGCCCTTCTCCTCCTCCAGTTCTTCTTCCTCATCCTCCTCTTCTTCTTCTTCTTCTTCCTCCTCCTCCTCTTCGTCCCATCCTTCACCCTCGTCACCATCCTCTCCCTCTTCGTCCTCGGTATCATCGTCCACTAAGCGGTATCGAATTGTCTCAATCCGCTCTAACGGACACAGGTCAGTAGGCAGCTTGCAAAACAGTACCTATCGCAGAGACTTGTGACAGGGCATACCTTCAGCAACCGACACCTCCCCAGATAGCATTGGGTACCAGCCGGAACTGGTAAGCGAATTTTGCAGACCCTTCAGCGCTTCTTCCATCTCGCTACCGACGTAAGAAGCAGCATAAAACGTCCTGCCGTAAATCATGAAAATCAAGCCGGATGTCGTATGGCCACCCCCACGATTTACATGCTCTTGCGGATGCCAGAAACAAACTTCGCGCATAGTTTCACTAAACTTCGGCAACGCGTTGATGAAATCTATCCACAGCTTGGGTAGCTCCTTTTCATACGGGTGGTTGGAACATATCTCGGTATAAAGTGTCACCCTCGAAAGCTTTAGAGCTCTGAGTGTTGGTGAGAACTTCTCGACAACTGCTACCATATCGTTGAAGTCAACTGATGTCTCGCTCAGCTCGAGGCGAGCCCGGTGCGACAGCGATACTGGAGGTGGTGGGTGCAAGCCGTTCGTCCCCAAAATAAGGGTCTTCGTGTGTTGGTGATGCCAGCCAGGTGAAGAATCCCTCATACTGATCGAACATGTTCGTGAAGTTGAGATGAAGGAAACGAAGCCGCGCAGTATGCCCAAGGAATATACGCAGGTTGTTGGTTGCGATTCGGCAGCGTCTGCCGTAATTATAGGCAACGGGTCTCCGGCTTACATCATCGTGGCCAATGTCAAGGTGCAGTTCCTGTAGCTGCCCCAGAACAGGCACGACTGAATGCTTCATGAAAAGAGCAAGGTGAAGCGCATCCGCATCTAGCCTGCCATCCCGCTCAAGTGTTACTTCCAGCTTGGCAAGCCTGGCATTTGCGTCTCCGAGAGCAGAGAGCAGGATAAGGAAGCACCCAAGGATATCGTCGCGGACATGCCGCGAGAAAATACTAAAAGATTGACCGCGCTTCGGTACCGGTCTCCCAAAAGTATTCGGCCGCTTCCAACTCGCTGGGAAGTAATCGCGAATACCAACAATTTCTAGTTCCAGACTTTTGAACGCTTCTATTAGCATTCGTCGACCCTGCCCAGTCGAATAGAGAGCTCGTTGGTCGGCAGCGTCCTCGTCAATCTTGTACAAGAATAGTTGATCTTGAACCGGTACATCATCTCTGTGATGGTACACTTCTCGAGCAGTGTCTCTATACCTGAGTGTAGGGCTGACAGGAACGCGCTTCACGAAAGGGGCTTAGCCGAGACTTTGATATGTCGATCAAGTTCTGGAGGCCGGTCTCGGTCCGTAGGACCTGTATTTCTAGGAGATAATCCTGGGTGAACGAGCTGAACAGGACATCCTCGACGTGCCTACAACTCGATCGCAGTGCTTTGAAGTCCCGAGTCTTGAGGTGTGATGCAATGTTAAGCAGAAGCTGAGTGAGGTTAAGGTCAGTGGGAGGCCAAATTTTTCTTCTAGACACCGGGATTATGCTTACCTCAACAGGCAACGAAAGCAGCTTAGCATGTGCCATACTGGCTTCTAACGGTGTTGGACACGCGAGGATGGGGTTTCGCTTGACCAAGGTTACCATGGACTGGCGAGAAGATGAAGCTCTGGTGTGACAGTGTAAACGCGTCTCGAATTGGGAGTCGCGCTATTTTAGTTGCACCGTGTGAGCACATCATATCACTGTCCCCTACTGTGCGATAACACACTATAGGCGTTAATCGCCACTGCCTGCTGGTGCTGAGTTTCGATTTGCATCTTGGCATGCGCAGAGGATTTTGAGCGACTTCGTCTCATAGACTGCGACACGGTCGGGTCCATCGTCACCAGTGACATCGACCTCCGGCCCGCAGAGTCCCATCCAGCCCTACATATCTTATTGGCAGCTACACGATAGGCAAGGTGTCTCAACCCCATTTCAAGTGGTGAGAAGAAGTACTGCGACAGCATGAGATCTGAGAGGTCATCGGTGTGGTAGGTACTGTACGGTACCAGATCTCATCTCCTTGGTGGGAAGGGTGGATATGCGTTGGGCACCGAAGACGAAAACCGCATGAGTGCCACCTGATGCTCCGAGCATCCCTGGTTCTCTCACCCCGATGATGCACCATTGCCATCTATCGTAAGCCCGACAGTGCTGGCGATTATTCGCGATACAGTTCTCACTCGTACGCAGTGTAACAGCCGAGTGTGATCCTGTATCTCCTGGAATCATGTGACGGGGCGAGGCTTGGTTATGATGTTTCCCCGCTCGGAACTGCTCGTGTCCAGATGTCTCTCAGACTCATCCGCCGCTTCACGGTAACAGCACGACGACCATGGACCCTGCCTCCATTATTGGCTTAACCGGCTCTTGTTTGAGGCTTCTCACCAAAGTCGTTTTGACTTCTCGTCAGCTCAACGATGTGGTCAAGGCTATCAAGAATGCCGACAAGACCATCGTCCACCTCGCCGCACAACTTCAGCTTCTGGAGGCCGTTCTCAGCCAGCTAGAATGTTGGCTGAAGCAGCGTCAAGACATGGCACCGAAACTTGCGCAAACCCTCCGAAAGTCTCTGGCAGCATCTGCCATTATCCTTGAGGACATCAACAAGCACCTTCAAGGTGTTAAGCCTAAGTCTGGGGAAGACTCGACCACGTTTGGACGCAAAATTCTTCTCAAATGGAACCAGACCGAGCTCGAAGAGCACGGGAGAATGATATCCGACCAGTTCCAGGCATACGCATTGCTCGTGAGCATCGTGAACCTGTAATCCAACCCTTCTCTTCGTAGCTGCTTGTCAGCTCTTAGAGTATGTAATTACAAGAGCATCTCGTTAATAACACTCGCAGGCCAAATCCGACTACGTTAATCGATGCCGAGAATACCCGCCAGCTCCTTGACAAAGGCGAGGCCGATGCGATGTCCATCATTACCGCGAAAGACGCTGCGTCTCGAATTGGGACACTCGCGGTGGACAGTGGAGAAATGCTGGACAGCGAACTGGCGACAGACGAGGAAATCGCCCGCTCCGGCCCCTATCTCCAGAATTACCGCAACCTCATGCGCGGCGTCGTAAATTTTCGTGAACAGAGCTTGGCAACGTCCTCGTCACTTTCTCTGCCAAATGCGACAAACCGTCCGAAAGATTCCTCGAGGAGCCCTAGCCATACGACTCCGAATTCGCGCCAATCTAAGTTCGGTTGGGCGCGGAAGCTTAGTTCCCGGTACAGAGAGCTGTTAGATACCTTGTGCAATGCTGTCGAATATGCTGGCATTGATCAGGTGAAGAAGCTCGTTTCTGAGGGTGCTGATATCAACGGCTTGTCCAGCCGAGGAACACCGCTTCTCTTAGCTATTTCCAGAGGCAGAACCGAAGTTGTGCGGCACTTACTCGAGGCCGGAGCGAACACTGAACTCGGCAACAAGGGGCAACTACCAGTCCATCATGCAGCCTCCTTACTCGAGACACACATCATGGAGCTTCTCTTCCAGCACGGGGCCAACCCACAAGCGTTGTCTTCGTCGGGTAGCACGGCTTTACATCATGCTGCTACCGAGGCAATGGTGGATTTGCTGATTGAACACGGTGTAGATGTTATGGAGGAGGACACTGATGGGTACATTGCACTCATGCGTGCGGCGTGGCGAGGCGATGTCGGTGCTCTCAAAGGTCTACTGCGGCACAGTTCGCCTGCCGCGTTCGTAGTGACCAAGAGGGTGAAAAATGAAGATAATTATTTGGACACGCCGCTGTTGGTTGCCGTCGTGAAAGGATCAGGCAGACATTGCGTGGAGATCGCCACGTGGCTTATTGCCCATGGGGCTGATGTCCACCGCCGATACCCGGCGACCAAAGTCACAATTCAGTACCTCAAGGACTCCAACCCGCCGATGAGAAACTTCTGGGGCTCTTGTGCTGCAACCACATCGATAGAGGAGCACCGTGTGTGAGCTTGCTGATCGAGGCGGGAATTCGACCGAACTTCGCCATGCTAGAAACACTGTGGAGAGGCACGCTAACGGCCTCCAAGAGATATGCAGAGCGTATCTGCCTCCTCAAAGAAATAATCCAGGCCTCACCTAAAACTCTGGATTTGTCCCCGGACAAGAACGTGCCATTGTGGATTTATCCCATGGGAATCTGGCAGACGATGAGGCCGGGGCAGGACCCGACTCTTGACCACTTCAAACACGCAGTGGAAGCCATGAACACTATCGCGAGAGCCCGAATTAGATTGCCTGAGTTTGATAAGGCACGAAGCTATATCTCGGAGAGAGCAGGGAATGGGGAAAAGCTTGCGACGGAGATGATATTGATGGTACTGGAGAAGGGGCGAGCACAGTTTACTTCCAGTGGCATCTTGGACTTTGACATTGAGTCACTTGATAAAGATCCAGAGTTTGGGAAACTATGTCGTAAGTATAGGCGAAGCGCGTAGGAAGAAGACGCCGTCGTTGCATTCCAAGGGTGTCATGGTGCTTGTACACTTAGGCTCACCTCGTTGAAAATTTCCTTGCACTGGCAACACAGTATCTGCCACAATAAAGAGTTGCCAGGCTTGCGCAGTTATGGGTCCTGTTACAGGGCTTGAACTATCGAGGCTACGAGAAGAAGTGATAGCCAGGTCAAGAAGATGCGAAGACCCGATATAACGACAACAACCGATTTGCATGTCCTTCAGCGAAGGGAGATGTTCGAACACTGCTGGTGTCCGGGGACATGTGCTCAGCAGCCCCAGGTTATGAGCCGCACACCTGTCCTGAACACACCTGTCTTCCTATCAGCTCAGAGCTGCCACAAGATTAAGCCAAGACATGCAAGACATCTAGGGCTTGCAAATAACCTGGTTGCTCAGTTTCATCCTGCCTATGGTCATGGGTGTGTGTTCAGAACAGAAAAATCACTGTCACATCATGCGAATGCCCTCAGTTTGAACAGGAGAACCCTGTTGTTGCCCAGGCCCTGAAATATCAAGCTGACAACGGCTGCGAGGTAGTCCTAAGCTGTTTAGACCAGTCCATATCTCCTAAACGATTCCAGGACGCCTAGGCCATGGCTTAGTTATGGGAGACACTGTAACAACTCGATACGAAATCATACGACCAGCTCACTCACATCGCCTCACCACGCGCCCCGTCAAATCATAATACCCAGTACTGCAGCGTCACATTCCGTGCCCAGTTACCGTGACCAACATCCCCAATTTCGGGATCATGAGCGTATATGGCGTATGGCACCAATCTCATCAACACGTAGTCCCAGATCCAATAGTGTGATCTCTAGTATCTCTTCGTCAAAGCAATGGTACCTGCGTGAAGGCACTGTACCATTATCGTAGCCGAATTCCAGTCTGACCAGTTCGTTCACGGGGAGGTGCAAAGAACGTCTATTCGGGCTCGTAGACAGCACCGGTGCTGAGCAGGGTGCCTTCGAGCGAACGCTGCTCGGGTCAGCGAAAAGCTGGAGGGATGTACGGGCACCGTCCATTTCGAGCTGATTGCTGAGGAGACAGCCGCACTGGCTTGTAGATAGGGAAGAAGGGCAGGGCGGGTGGTAAGGCTGCGGTGAGTAACGGCTGAGGTTCCGAACGATGTGGTCTTGCCGGTCTGCCGCCAACTCCTAACTTCCTCTGCTTTCCTACTTCATCCGAGTTCGGAAGACGACGGCCCGTGGCTTATAGGTATGCATCATCCGAACTCTAGCAGGATCTTCCCTTGTGCAAGAGAGTTCTATCTCCCACACTGACCGATATTTGCGGTTATAGTCGCAGAAAGTCATCACGTCACATGTTACTATCACAAATGACAAAAGTCCATCACTTGCTTCAAGGCGTTATTTCTTGTTTAATTATGATCCTGGAAGGGCCTCGGTGATTTCCCAACCAAGTTGCCAGGCGCGCTATGTTCTGTCGATGAGACACCCTAAGCCAGGAATGTCCGTCTCTCAAGTGTTGCTTTCATACACCCTCCACCAAGTAGCAGCAGTCAGCTGTGCTGAACCCATCTGCTTGCCTACCTCAATGCCGTAGGCCTAAAGTTGGCGGGTAATCGGCGGTGGTCCGAGTGAAGCGGTAAAAGGAGGAAGGAGAAAGTCTCAGAAACCCCCGCTGCCCGATGCCGACAAAGACAAGACGATGCAGAGATCAACCCGTTGGCACCATGCTATTTGCTCCATTGAACGAAAGAAAATGTCCCTCTGCGAGATGCAAAAAGGGTAAAGCAGCTCCCATACCTCCGGTTCCCTGCCGATAACTCCCAGTAGATGCACTGACTCGTCATCAGTAAGCAAGTGTTCTTGTCGTCGACTTCGTTTCATCGAATACCCCTGTCACCACATCTCTTCCTCTTCTTCCTGACCGCGGCGCCCGTCCTGGTGGCCATAGTAGTAGTCCTTACCACCATCATGGTTGCCGTAGTCGTCCGCTTCCTGATACCCGCCGTCCTGGTCCATCTGGTCCTTATTATGATCATAGTCATATATCTCGGCAGCTTCTGGATAGTCTCCCGCTTCGTGCTGCATACTAGGGTCTTCGTATTGACCGGTTGACTGGTTTCGGTTAGCCACACGCGCCTGACCATGTTCAGAGGTCGACTTACTCGATGGTATTCAAAATTGTAGCGGTCAATACTATCCTGAGATTGCTGCTGCTCCATGTACTGCTGCTCCTGTTCCCGCCGCCTTCGCTCTTCCTCTTGGAGCCTCTTCTGCTGGGGTGATTGTGGGACCTGTATCTGGGGGTGCATCGCCTGGACTTTGGCGAGGTAGGCGTACATGAAGTTGCTGAGTAGAACTTGACTGTATAAGGCGCGGCGTGGATTGGCAAGTTTGATATGGGCCATCCGGTAAATGGCCCTTTCTTCGAGGATGGGGAACCTTGTCCAATGGTAATCGACATCGGGTCGTAGCGCCTGGTATGGAGCAGGTTTTGGTGAGACAGGCCGTTGGATCTGAGATTTCCTGCCGCCCGAGTCTCTGTCGCCCTTCTTCTTGCTGCTGCTAAAGAAAGACGCGAACAGGCCATCTTTCTCCTTCTTTTGCTCTCCGGATTTGCGACTGCTTTCCTTTCTTCTCTCCTCTTCCAGCTTGCTGTCGACATTGTCCCGATCCAGTAGCAGGCTCTCCCGGCCTTTATGTAGTGCTGTGTCGATCGAAGTCTGAAGAACGTCGAGCCGGACATTGTCATGCGCTTTCTCAACAAAGGTCTTCGTCTTGGACTTCCGGTTCTCCTCGTCCTTCTTCTTCTTCTCCTTATCATCGCTCTTCTGGAACCATTTCCACGATGCACCTTTGGAAGATCCGCCATCAGAGTCACCTTTGTCTTTCTTACTCTTCTTCTCCGGTTTCTTTTCCTCAGAGGAGAACGTAGGGATGAAGGTCAAGCTCGAAGTGTCTGTCCTGTTATTACCACCACCGCTACCTGGCAAGGGTGTGGGATTTTGCTTCATGTCTGTGATGGTCTGGTTTGAGCCACTTCGAGATCCTTTGGTGTGCGAAGTTTTATTTGAAGCTTGTGGTTGAGTTGAAGTTTGAAGCGGCTGGCCGTAATTTGGGCGTCTACTGGAGCGTGCTGGAGGTTCAGCAGGTATTGACGAAGGCGGAGGAGATGTAGGCTGGACAATATTTTTTTGTGAAGAGGACCTTTCGGGGAAGGGTCTTCTATGATCGGTAGACTGCGGTTCGGGCTCTTTCTCTATTGCTGGAGTTTCGATAATCTGTGGTACAGGGATGGACGACCTCGCGGGTTCGTTAGGTGGCTTGCGCCCTGATGCTGGCGGTCTCGAAGGCATGGTCTGGCTCTGCTGCGATTCTTGGATATCTTGTTGTTCACTGCTTTCATAGGGGTCGGTCTTGGGATCCTGTGTGAAAGTTTGCTGTCGCCGTACCGATCTGGTCGGCCGCGAAAAGTTCTCCGCTGAAATTGGTTCTGATTGCACGCGTGACAAACCAAACCCTTTTGGCGCTTCAATAGGTGATTCAGTCACAGTCGATCCACCAGTCTCTTCTTCAGTCTTCCTTGCTGCTATACGCTTCGAGAAAGGCAGACGTTCCTCCGATCTCAAAGCGCTGCCGCCTAGTCGATTCTTCAAGCTCCCACCCTTCCGATATGTAGTGCGCGTCGAACGGCGTAAGCCCACGCCTGGCGCCGCTGGTAATATTGGCATGTCATCCATGTTGGAAGTATCATCCCTAGCTTGCGATTCGAGGGTAAGCTTCCGGACCGCTTTGGTCGGGTCCTTGACAAGTTCGTCGATTGTCAATTCGGAAGGAGCATGTCTGGATTGTCCTTGCGACCTCTTCCTCTCCAGCCGTTCGGCGCCGTCCACATATCCTTCAACCCCCTGGCCTGGAGCACTGTTGATCTGTCTCGAAAGCATAGACTTCTTTCTCCTCAAGCTCCCAGAATTGCTCCTGTCTAGACCGTCCACCGAAAGCGTTGATTCCCCCGATCGTCTCTTCATGGACTGCACCCGTTTCTCGACGAAATTCTTGAACTCGCTCGGAGACAACTCAGGGTGAACGCCAGCCGGGACCCACAGCAACCTCGATGGGTCTCCCTCTTCGTCGTCACCACTGGGCGCCACTGAAGGCATCACCACAAGAGACATTCCCTGGTAGGGAATAATGTCAGGATCGCTGTTATTCGAAACGTCCATGGACATGCGACGCAAGGCCTGCAGGTTGCTGAGCTCCTGAGCTATGTCGTTTGGATTGTCGATATTGGTTAACGGATACTCGGAGGCTTCCCGCATGTCACGCAACGTTGGCGACATAGGCCCAATGGAAGATACCGGGCTAGATCCCCCATCATTTCTTGTACTCCTCTGACTTGGCATCCGCAAGGGAAGTGTATGGGATTTAGTCGGCGGGTTTCCGTTGGGACCGCCGGGAGAGTGAGGAGGACCCTGACTGCTCGTCTTGTCTGAGGTCGACCGAACAAGGCGAAGTGGATGTTCCTCTGGAGAAGGGGGTTCGGGTCCACGACGGTCGGGGATCTGCTCACCTCCGCGAGGGGCAGCGATGAAGCTCATGGGTCGCGAATCACTGTGCTGGTCGTCATCGTCATCGCCGTACATGGTCCCGATGGTCTCGGTAATGTGATGGCTCGAATCGGATATGGACAGTTGGTTAGCATGGCCGCGTCGGCTTGCAAAGCTGCCACCGATATCGCGGGGTCGTCGGGAGGTCTGCAATGAAGGCACGTTAGTCGCGCAAGACTTAGCACCTAGGCCGGCGGCGCCTTGTAATCATGTGACAATTGATAGTTCCTCCAACAAGTGTGTAGAGCACATCTCTGGGTATCCGTGGGTATGCTCCTGAAGTAGCCGAACCTTATCCCAGCACAGAGATGCGAAGAACACTTGGTGGAAAGGGGCCGTACCATCATTGAGAGCGTTTATCGCGACCTCGGCAGGGTCGATACCTCCAATCCCCCTTTGCTATCTTGTCGGGTTGCGCGAAGCAGAGTCTCGACCGAGTTGCGGCAGTACCATGAAGGTGACAATGCCGTGGGGAGTTCGAGATGTTCAACGCATGCAAACGACGAAATCCAGATCTGCCCCGGCACGGTGGCGCTGCGCGTAGGCTTGCGCGTAGGCTTACGCTACGGTGTTTGTGACTGCGACAGCTGCCTCAGCGCTGGTCCGTGGTGGGGATAAGGGGTGGTGTTGAGGTTCGTCGGTCGAGGCTCGTATGCCGTGCTGTATATGGGTATACAGTTGAGTTGTCGAAATGGGGTTGGGAGCGAGTTAGACATGGGTGATATTCGAGATGGGAATCATGATGCCGTCAGGTTCGCCGTGGTCCAATCCTACCCTACATGTACCTACAGCGGTGCTACTGTATGTATGTAGGAAGGATATGTAAGGTGTGCCCGAGGCTGTCAATCCGGTGGACGGGTGAATGAGTGAATGGACGAACGATCAAGGCCAACCTCTTTGCCGGGCTGTCACAAAGTCGACAGTCCCGGGGCTGAAGTACAGATGTACCTGCTACCTCCGTGCAGGCGAGGCAGGTGGGTGCCTCCGCCCTGTGCATTAGCGCAATCAAATGCCCCAGGTCCTTCAGCGCTGCTGCACTGAGCACATGCAGTGAGCACATGCGCCAGGCCCTGTTTGCGCCCCCTAAAACAGGCCGCTGTCACGTGTGTGATAACATGAAGGACCCTCACCGCTGTGAAAGCGCCCGCTCTGCCGCTCTGGACTTGCCCATTTGAACTGCGGGTGGCGCTGGGGAATCTAGCCGATCCATCTTGTCCTTTTATTAATTCAAAGTATCAATTCTGGGACTGTGCCTGTTGTGGCATCATGAGTTGCAATCCACATCCAATCCAATCAATTAGGTACCGAACAAAGGACAGATCAGGGGATCAGGGGATCAGGACGCATCAGGCCTACCTGTCGCCTGTCTGTGTACATGACAAAGAAAGGGTTTGTGTTTACAGCAGTTATTGTCCCTTCAGAGCTGAACTTGGGTCAGTGCGACTTTTATCTTACAACACAACAGTGAAGATAACCTCTTCCATGCCTGCTGGTCACCGGATAGATCCGATGGTGGAGGCCTACGGTAATAAGCACGAACAAGACTTTCGGAGCTGGCGAAGCTTTTATTCGCGACAAATTAGCGACTCATAGTCCCAGCAACAAGCTATTGGTCTCCTGCACCATTTCGTTGCTGACCCTGTCCTTGGACGGGAGATCGCAGAAGATGCGAGGCGGAAAGGCACATCCCAAAGGCTGTTATCGTGGGTTCCCCGATCCAATCTGTCGGGTTGTTCCCACATCAATGATTCAGGCGTGGAAACTGATCACCAACGTCCAATTATTCTTCTTCAGCAGATGAACCAACAGCCAATGTCCATCTGTGATACTTGAAGCACCATTACTTCTGTTGTTGTAACGTCACGTGAGTGAGCCTCTGCTTTTCATAGATGCGCTTTAAGCGCCAATGGTAATTAATAAGCCAACACAATTGCAGAGACTAAAGTTCCTCACGGGATGTAATGCTGAAGTGACAGTACACAGCCCGCAATCTGTCTCCCCAGCGCAGGTAGTACACCAGACACCTACACCTACCTAACACGATCTTCGCTGCAACTTCAGCCTCACTTTGACTCCTCTCCATCATCACCCCTGAGGGCTACCTTGCCACTGCTGCATGCTGACTTTCAAACCCAACAAATCAAACAATACAGGGGCTTGATGGGCTCCGTGGCTCCCAAACTCAACCCTTACACGACAGTGGCATCACGTACTGTAGTAGTATACCTTATCATTAGTTCACGAATAACTAGAAGCTAAGAACACATCATTTCAAGGATAGTCCCACAAGAAGCCGACGGGGTCATTTCGCCCGGCCCGACCTTCGGGCTTCCCGCAACTCCGGCATTGCCGGGTACTATACCCATTTTGCTTCATCGAATGACCTTCGTTTCGATAAGAAGTGTATAAAAGAACAACAAGGCAGGTGAGATGCAGGAAGACCTTGGTATGTTCGCAGTCATCCTTCAAGAAGTCCATTGAAAGCCGCAGATCATACCAGCGGACTTCTGTCACTGTCTTATCTCTCAAAGCAGCGAAGGCCTGCCAATAACAGTGTCATTTGAGCCCTGAATTCAGCCCCTGTTTACTTCCTCACGTCGGTTCTACCTGTAATTATCTCGGGAGGGATTGAGACAAGGACGTTTGCCTTGCGTTGGCCTGCTGCGCACTCAGCTTCCCAGAGGAGGAAATCAGAGAGTACCTGGCCTCTCTCTACAAGATCGATCGAAACCGTTTGGCGTACGAGACAGGCTGACTATCTAGAAGGAAATACACACGTGATACAAAGCCCTGCCAACCCATCAACGGCAGTGTTCGCTGTCATCATCGTCGGATAAACTCTTTCCGGTGGTTCCATTGCTGTCACACATCACGCTGAATGAAGCATCGTCTTCCCCGCCTAACCCCATGGCCAGCGTCTCCGGACCTCCGGTTGAGAAGGCTAAGGGGACACGAAGAGTCAAGACGGAAAGGGGACCGATAAAAGCGACCAGGAAAGGCACCAGGAAAGGCACCAGGAAAGGCACCAGGAGAGGCACCAGGAGAGGCGGCAGGAAGGGAAGTCTTACTTTGATACGCGATGTAGTATCAGTTGCTGGCCAGAGAGGTTACTGGTCTGAAGGGATGATCAGTGTTATCCTCGCTGATATTTATGGTGTTGAGCGAGAAGTGTGTGGGGAGAATGGGGTTGTTACGGAGTGACTAGATGGGCTCTGGACCATCTGGACCTGCGCGTCCGTCTCCGGATCGACAATGCTCGTGACCCCGGCCACGAGCAGGATGCGCGCCTCGCGGCCTTGCTTGGAGACGGACGGCCCCGAAACTCAGACATGCCTGGCAAAGCGCGTTGCAGAGCTCCCCAGGTCGGAAGCCTCGTTGAACGGGTCGAGGCTCGAGCCGATCCCCGCGTTAGAAGAGAATGGAGTCCAAGTGAATGATCGCCATGCCAAGATCGGGGACGGTGGAGACAGATCTGGCCGTCGATCGTGACATCTCCGCCTGAGATATCCGTCAGTCAGAAGAACGTGGATGGTATCGTGCTTTTCCCGACGCTGGCATGACCGACGATACGGATTATTAGGTGTGGAGGATAGGGTATGTATGGAGAAACTGTCGATGGCGAGCAGTCAACTGCGAAGATAACGCATCCGGACCGCCTTGGTGCAGTTGGGTCCCATGTTCCGGCCACGGCGGCTTCGAGGGGTGTTGGGAGTGTCACATGATGGGATCGTCGTTCGGTGTTCGCCATCGCGTGCCTACCCCCCCTTTTCCCAGCCCGCCTCCGGTTTGGCCGGGTTTGAGAGCCACACGACTTGCCGAAGGCCAGGGCAACATGCGTCGGTAATAGAACTGGTTTGCAACCAAACCAATGAAGAGCCGGTGAAGTCAATTCCTGGCTCTCCCAGTGAGACACCGCTCGCATTGACAGGTGAGGCTAGACATTAGCACAGCACATGGATGTAAGACAGATCCACCATAAAAAATAACGGTCCGGAAGGCTTGAACCATCCGGACGGAGCCCCGGTCTGGAGGTCGTCACCAGCCGAGTAGTGGAGCACGTGTCGGAAGGATTGCCGAATCCCAGTATCAGGCGACCTCGCAGATACGCCCTATACGAGTACAGATCTGGAAGAAAAGTCTTAAGATGGCCGATGTATGCACGACCTCAAAGAACAACTAAATCATATCAAGTAGGTATGCCCTTCGACGACCTCTCTGACTAATCAACCATCAGAGAAGCGGTTTTTGTAACACCTACCCATTGCAGAAAACCTACCTATTGCGGAAAGTGATGACAGAAGATCCCGGGTGGACCCCGGAGAAGCGTGAGCTGAGTCTCGGGCGCGTGATCCGAGATGCGTCCCGCCCATCAACCTGCCACCACCCCGCCCGCAGGGTTCGCGCAGGACTTTCGGGGAGCAGCAGACGCACCCCTCGGTGCAAACATGGCTGATGCGCATACGCAGCATGACACACGATGCGGCCACCCATTGGGTATTGGGTGCGCCGCGCATACTACGTACGAGTGATCACTCTTTGAGTTGGCTTGGAGGTGAGAGGACAGAGCGGTGTGGGTGTCTGGCTGCAGTAGAGCGGCAGGTCTCGCTGCAGGACGGGAACCAGAGGTATGCTGTTGATCAGTCACGCGGGGATCACCATATCTGCGGGTTTGACTCGGGACCCTTGGGTGCTCATCAATGGCACCTGGGAAAGGGCGAATACTTTATATACTATTAAACCGACTCCCATCGACTTCCTCCGCTCCTTGCTTTCTTACCAAACCAACATCGTTTCTGGGCCGACTGGCCGTTCGCTCTCATCATGGCATCCTCATACTTGCTTTGCTTCAGCACTATTACCATTTGGTTTATTCTTTGCGCAAAACATGTTTCTTCCCAGACTTGCTGGCGGGACACACCCTGCTCCGACATCATTACAGCGGCATTCCCCGGTGAATGGGAAGCAGATATCTTCGCGCCCGCATCGCGCACCATAAGTCCCGCGACTATCTTCGACCTGAGCACCGGCGAAGAAGTCGGCTCATGGCCAACCACTTTCACACTCGCCAGCAATCAGTCAGAAGTATACCTAGATTTCGGCAAGGAAGTTGGCAGCATCGTGACACTCCAGTATGAAGTCTCATCCGTCAACGGTGCCGGCGCCATCGGCTTGGCCTTCACGGAGGCGAAGAACTGGGTTGGCTGGGACTCGGATTTTAGTAATGGCGACTATAGCAGACCAGACGGTGCCATCTATGGCAATTTCTCGTCGGCCGGGAACTATACGTACGTTATGCCGGACGAGAATCTTCGAGGCGGGTTTTGTTATATGACCCTGTTCTTGGTGGGAGACGCTGCCTCCGCTACGATCACCAATGTCAACCTGGAGTTATCCTTCCAGCCCACCTGGTCGAATCTTCAGGCCTACCAAGGATACTTTCACAGCAACGACGACTTGCTCAACCAGATCTGGTACAGCGGGGCTTATACGCTGCAAGTCGACGCTATCCACCCATTGACTGGAAGGGCTTGGCCTCTCCCTGACGAGGCGTGGCTCAATACCGGGGAGCTCGGCCCAGGAGACACGATCAACACCGATGGAGCGAAACGAGACAGGACCGTTTGGCCTGGTGACATGGCCGTGGCCATCCCGGCCGCTTTCTACAGCACCGACGGTATCGAGTAGGTTGTCTCACTAAGCGCCTTGTGTCACGGCTGACAAACGTTTAGGAGTGTGAAGAACGCCTTGCAGACGTTGTATAACACCCAGGTTCGTTATCTAACTACCCCGGCCAGCACCCCTGGCCGGGGTAAACGACATGACCTTCCGTAAGGCTTGCCCAGGTCGGGTCACTGACTTGGCAGTTGTAGTCAGACACAGGATAGCTCCCGTTCTCGGGTCCTCCACTCAGCGCTTCAGGCAGTGATGCGTATCACATGTAAGAACACCCACACGTGTCCTTGTGCTTCCACCCCTGACACACAAACACAGGTGAACGATGATTGGGACGTATGACTACGTTCTGTATTCCGGTGACGTAGCCTTCATGCGGGAGAACTGGTCGGGTTACCTGCGAGCATGACTTTCCTGGCGACCCAGTTCGACGGGTCTCGGGATCTCGTCGACATTAGCGATTGGCCGAACGACTGGGGACGGTTCAATTCCACCGGATACCTGGCTGCTGCGCAGATGCTGGCATATCGCACATTGGTGACTGGTGCTACACTGGCAGAATGGGTGGGAGACAACACCGGGTTGAACACCACGTGGCTCAACGCGGCAGCAGGTCTTAATGAATCCGTCAATGCAAAGTTATGGGATCCGGATTTCGGCGCTTTCAAGGACAATTATGGGGATTACGCGAACGGGTTGTATGCCCAGGACGGCAACTCATTAGCTGTCCTCTTCGATGTGGTAAACGCCTCGTCGGAGCAGGCCCAGGACATATCCTCGTGGCTCACCCAGAACTGGACGCCCATAGGAGCCGAATCCCCCGAGCTGCCGGGCGAGATCTCTCCGTTTATTTCCTCCTTCGAGATCCAAGCCCACCTCGTAGCCGGACAGGCGGAGCGAGCTCTCGAGCTGATCCGTTCGAGCTGGGGCTTTTATTTGGCCAACGAGAACGGCACGCAGTCGACCATGATCGAGGGCTACCTCACCGATGGCACCTTCGGCTACCGACACGACGCTGGATACGAGGAAAATTACTCGTACACATCGCACGCCTACGGGTGGTCGACGGGCCCGGTCACGGCGTTGACAGAGCACATCGTCGGGCTGAGCGTGACGGGCATGGCTGGCTCGACCTGGCGGCTCGCGCCGCAGTTTGGAGGCTTGACGCATGTGGAAGGCGGCTTCACAACCAGCCTTGGCAAGTTCTCTGCCAATTGGACGGTGCAGAGCGACGGCAGTTACGTGATTATCTACGAGACGCCGCTCGGTACCACGGGCGAGGTGTTGTTATCGGGCCTCGAGCATGGTAACGCCGTGAAGGTGGTGGTTGATGGCCGGGTCGCCAAGAGGAGCCTCGTAGATGTCGTTCAGGGGAGTGGTGGCAGGCAGCTTTTCGCATTACGCGGCGAGGGCGGTAAGCATCGCGTCGAGGTTGGTTGATTTGAGGCAGAGCTGTCATTGCTAGAAGGTATGTCTTGATCGAGCATTGGCATATGATGCCACGTTGGAGAGCTTGGCGTTCTATAGGATACCCGGTATTGCGTACATGATGAGTATGACCAACGACGTAATTATATGACTCTTATTAGTATCGCAGCCATCTTCTTCGTGCTGTCCATTGCCTTATTCTGGTGAGTGACTCATTGGTGACATGCACCCTTTCTGTCTGGTGTAGCCATTCAGCCTGTTCGTGGGAAGTGAGTGAGTCAACCGGATGATGATCTCAGGCAACGACACCCACGAATCTGTATTCCCGGTCGCAAGGTACCTAAAAGGGATTCGTAGAGCTGGACCTCGGGATACCATTCTTGGGTGCAGTAGCTTTAAAGTTTGTTTGTTGTTGACGCCTGCGTACTGGTAGATTGCCTCGGACCGATCTCATTATCGGGGTGTTTAAGATAATTATATTCATCTAGACCCCTGTCTTCAATCAGCTGACCGCGACACCCAGTTCGCGACAAAGGAGAGTGGGGACAGCACTAAAAAACGGCCTGCCAGACGCGTCGAAGCTAAAGGGCCGGTGGAAAACAATTGGACTGATGTCAGGGCAGCGATACGCGCCCTAGGCAACTAACACGGCGGGACAACTACCTGAACCTCGACCTCCAATCCACATCCTCAGGCCTACAACTTTACCCAGCAACTTAATTCGAGAATCTGTTGCCACCTCAACCTGTCAGACTGCTTTTTCTTCCCTCTCAAGGTCTCCCTCTACATCGTGTCATGCTTTATATCAGACCTTCGTGATTGTCAACACACGTGTTTTACTAGCTATGGGGGAACAAGGAGGCTCGGCTGTCTTCAGCACCTGCGCGTTCACCTTGGTTCCCAGTCGCGACTTGACCGAGACTGTCATTGAAGAGGTACGCAGCCTTTGATGTCGCGGCCTTCCGACGCGATTTCAAACACAATTACTAACCAACTGCCTCAAGTTATCCCAGAGCATCATCCGATATGGCGGCCAGGTCCACCCCCAAAAGCGCGACGGCTCGCTGCCTCTTGCCCAGGTCACCCACATCATATCGAACACGATCGACTTCCCCCAGTTTACCGAAGCGACGAGCATGATGATCCCAGTCGTCAAGTCCAAGTGGATCTCGGCGTCACTCGCCAAGGGCAAGCAGGCCCAGATACGCCCCTTCACGCCCGACCCGCGCATGATCTTCTCCGATGTGGTGCTATCCTGCGCCGACATTCCCGACAGGGACAAAGACGCCATTATTGGTGCTACCATGGCAATGGGTGGCATGGACTCGGAAAACGTCACCAAGCTCACCACCCACATCTGCGCGCTCAGCATGAACCACAAGAAGGTGTTGACGGTCCAGGAGAGGAAGCACAAGTGCAAGATTGTCCTCCCGCACTGGTAAGGCTATCCCACTCGCGCCGATGGGAAACACAGGGTCTAATTGGCTTCAGGTTCGACGACTGCTTCAAGCTGGGAAAGAGAATCGACGAAGGCCCATATCTTCTCCCTGACCCCGAAATACTCCGTGTTCGACCCGAAGACCACATCGAGCCACCCTCGAGTTCCCACCTCGAGGGTGCGACATCGGCTCGACCCGACTATCTCCCAACCCCAACCGACTCCACGGCGGGAGATCGTCCAATCCCGACCGTCTTCAACGGAAAGAAGGTCATGCTGTCCGCGGACTTGTCGATTAGGGATCGACTGAGGAAGATCCTTCTCGACCTCTTCAGTTCAGGTGGCGGCGAATTAACCGACGACGCGGAGGAATGCGACTGGTTCATTTGTCACTATCGTGAGGGACCGCAATACATCCACGCTTCACAAAACGGAAAGACGGTTGCAAATCTGTCTTGGCTTTACCATCTCATCACCACCAATGAGTGGACCTCGCCACTGCGACGCCTGCTGCACTACCCCATTCCACGCGGCGGCATTCCCGGCTTTCAAGACAAGGTGATCACAGTATCGAACTATGGAGGAGAGGCCAGAATATACTTGGAGAACCTAATCACGGCCGCCGGTGCCACTTACACCAAGACCATGAAGGCCGACAACACCCATCTCATCACTGCTCGAGATAACAGTGAGAAGTGCGATGCCGCCCGGGACTGGAACATCGACATGGCAAACCATCTTTGGGTCGAGGAGAGCTATGCTAAGTGCGAGATGCAAAGCATCTCGGTGTCCAAGTACACCCATTTCCCTCCTCGGACGAATCTTGGCGAGGTTATTGGCCAGACATTCTTGGATGAGTCAAGACTGCGGGAAATTTACTATCCTGGCGCTCCAGTGAAGGCCACTGCGGCAGCCAAGAGGAAGCGAAAGATCATGGACTTGGCAGACGAGAGTACCATCGCGGACGGTCCGGCCGAAGGTGTCACCATTGGGCGGCAAGCTAATAAGGATTTCGATGTCATGAAAGACACTGAGGCAGAGTATACCGAGAAAACTACCGAGGTCTTCGGAGTTCCGGCGCCGTCGAAACGTCGCGCAACCGAGTTCGCCACTCCTGCCCGCCCCCGCTACGTCCGCGCCGGCAAGGAAAACGACACGCCGTCTACCACATCGTCCGTTAGCCGAAGCGCAAAGGACAAGGCTTTGAGCCGGCTATCTGACATCGCGCCTGATGTTGCCCTGTACGAGAAGGAGAAGAAGCGAGGACTCAAAGACGGCCATGGTCCCTGGGGAGGGAAGCGAGCAGCTGATCTCATCGAGCGCGAACACCTGAATCGCCGCAGCGTCTCGAGTCTGACCACGGCAGAGGAAAACGACGCAGAGTCCAAGGTTGAGAAGCGCCCTGCCAAGAAAGCGAGGCCGACACTTCCGGATGTTGAGATGCGGGTTATCCTCACTGGCTTCAAGCGTTGGGTGGACGACAAGTCCAAGGAAGACGGCGATCGGGTAAGTTTGATTTTCTGTATCTCGGGTGGTACTTGTGCTAATATCAAGCCTGCAACAGAAAAAACTGCGAGATATGGGTATTATGGTGGTCCAAGATGGCCAGGCCTGCGATTATCTCATTGCTCCCCAGCTGGTGCGAACCGTCAAGTTTCTCCGCAATCTGTCCAAGGGCGCCACGGTCCTGTCCTCCAACTGGATCGAGGAATGCCTGGACACCAAGCAGGTTCCAGATCCGGCCAAGTACATTCTGAAGGACAAGGAGAACGAGAAGAGGTTCGGCCTCAAGCTTGAGACTTCTATCAAAAGGGCTCAACGCAACAAGGGCAAGCTCCTCTGGAATACCCCCATCTACTGCACCTCCAGCATTAAGAACGGCACGGAAAGCTACAAGGCGATAGCCGAGGCCAACGGCGCCATCTTCATGGTATACGCGGCCCGAAGTGGCACCACGATCAAACCGACGCAGCCCGATGAAGACGAAGGCGCACCCGAGCCCGTGTACCTGTTGACTACAGCAACTCCCGAGGAGAAGAGACTGTGGAAGAAGTTTGAGGACATGGCGCGCAAGGGCAACATGGAGCCGCGCGTCGTCGCTTCGGACTGGTTGCTGGATGTGGTGATGCACCAGGAAGTCAGCTTCGACAGCAAGTACCTGGCGAAGGATTTCTTCAGCTAGTGCATTGCGCCTCCGGTGTCATTTCCCCCAATCTTTCCTTAACTGTTTCATCCGTAATCGCATAGCTCTGGGCGTGGTGGGCGTTCCCCGGCATGGTAGCTGGGTTTCCTTGATTTTGTGGTCTTACGTATGAGGGGAGGAGAGCCGTTGTCGGCTACCGCGCACGTTTCCGTGTAGCGTTCATGTGGTAGTTGTCGTAGATATAGCAATCCACACCCTCTGTTCACTTACACGCAGCTGATGAAGTCCTTTTCAGAAGAATTTGACACCCTGGTGGTCTTCCTGTCCGAAGATCTGCGCCTTGCCTCGCTTGACGAGCACATGCAGGGCTTTCTGGAGTAGTTCTGGTTCGAGGCCGTGGAATTCTGATGATTGGAGTCAGTTAACGAACAGTCTCCCCCTCCCCTTTTCATGTTGCCCATTTTCTTCATCCGTACGCACAAGCCCACCTTCAAGCCAAGCAAAAGCAAACACCAAAGTATAATAGATGTCAAGCACTCACCAGTCCCCCTCGTCCCCTCCCCCTCGGTGAGCTCATAAAGCGTGAGCACCATCCCCTTCTGCGCCGTGCCATCGACCCAGGCCTCGAGCAGACTGGCCCACTCCTCGGGCGTGCGCCAGTACACCCACACCACATCCCCTCCTGCGTCATCATCTCCTCCACTCCCGTTCACATACTCCGCCCGCCCCTCCTTCCGCATGAATTCTAGTATTTCCCGCGCGTGGGCGGGCGAGAGACGGCGGTTGATGCGGCGGTTGTGCAAGAGGTCGTCGGTGTTGATACTTGTGTTGGTGTTGTTGGTGTTGTGGTTGTAATTGGACGAAACCGACGGCAAAGTGAGCCGGAACAGCCGGTGCCAGGCGCAGTACCCCAGTATTAGCGCGGACCACTTCTCCAGCTGGCTGTGGCGCGTCGTCAGGTTCGGCTGGGGCGTGAAGAAGGGCGGGAAGTTGTATTCGCGGGGGAAGTCGAAGCGCGGCGGGGGTGGGTTTGTTGGTGGGTTTGTTGGTGGTTTCGTGGATGGGGTTGAGCTGGTGGTAGCGGTAGGGGCTGAGGTCGAGTTTGACATGGTATTCGGGGCTGGCTGCTGTGAGGGTAAGGGTATGGGCGCGGATGTTGATGTCGATGGAGACCGAGGAGGCGTGGCTGCGGTGGAAGATGCGCCCGCGGATGTCGTACTTGTCGTGGTTGAGGGCGTCAGGAGGGCGCCACTGGAGGTCGATGTCGGGGTTGCGGTCGTGATGGATGGTGTTGACGTTGCCATTATCAAGCGTGTCTGTACTCTTCTTGTCCGGTCTTGTCTGGTCTCGTCTGGTTGTTTAATGGCAGATGGAGGCTAGAGGAGCTTCGATCTCGAAGTGTGCGACTACGAAAGAGGTGACGTTGAAGCAGAGTAGCTTGGCCTTGAAATGCGGCATGCCCCGCCATGGTAGGCCTCCGAGTTATACGCATAATGACTGATTATACGCGTATATATTATACTACCCATTATTATACCGTTATACCTATAGTTAAGCTATATAACAAGCCGTATAACCGTGTATAAAAGGCAAGTTAGCTTTTTTTTGGATGTATAACGCTGTATTTTACATTTACATACTAGTTGTGACGGCCTGCATGGACCTTCCCACATGACAAGCCGATACTTCCCAATAAGGGAAGGATCTGACTAGAGGATCCCCTTAAAGGGGCAACCTCACCCTGTACCTATCTCTCTCTCTCTTCCTTTCCTCTCTAGTCTTGATATTCTCGTCAATAGAGTAATAGCTGCTTGCTTCCGGCCATGTCCCAGCTCTTCAGTACGCTCGCTGTGACACTAGTTATAACTACGATTAAAAAATAATAAGTGTGAAAATTCGTCGTGCAGAATATTCGGTTCAGGATCCTTGCTTGTTTGTTGTTCTAAGTCTACCTGGTACGGACGGATTCACACCTAAATACGTGTGCAGCGCGTCTATCCGCGGTGGTAGCGGAGCTGTGGGGCAACCATCCCACCCACAGCGCACAAACCACCTTGGGACCCACCCTGAGCCACCACCACATCCGGTAATAAGTCGTTATTGTCAGATGTTGGATCCCAGATATAGTGCCCTTAGGCGCAGTACCCACTATGGGGCTGTCAAGGGAACAGTGGATACACCTTGGCATGGTGCAGTATGGTATATAGCTGTAGATTAGCCCTGCCGAGCATACTTGAGAATGACAACAACATTTGCAGCGACCGCTCACACCCAAAAGGCTTGTGACCCTTCTAGAATCTCACAGTTATTAACTTATTGTCACAATTCAGGGTCCAATATTGGGGTGAATTGTTTGCGTAATCGTCTATCGGATCTGGGGACCAAATCTAGTACTAAATACACACCAAAACACAAAGATTCGCCCATCCATTGATTTGGCAATCAATAGAGCCTTGTCTGCCACTCTGAAAGCTACCACTTCTGGTGCCTTCACCCCTTTCATCCTTTGACCATCTATTTTGGTCAGATACAGCTGCCTCAACAGCTGTTGAATACACGGATGCTGAGGGATTCTATTGATTGTGTTCTTATTTCACGTACAGAGATTGATTATCTATCTTCTTTGTGGATCAGATGCCTCATGTGTCTCTGCCCTACTAGAGATCTTCCGGTATTGATTTCCGGCTCTCATTCAATAACAGCTGCCAACACACCTGTACGGCACCCTGTATCCCCTACTTATTATAATAAAAGTTATATTTAAATATATTAGTATAAACTTATAAGATTTTTAACCCTATTATAATTATTATAGCCAGCTGATTAAATAAGTAAATTTGTTGGATCCATGCGATTCCAGACTGCAAACCATCTATACCAGGACCCACATGTATGATTAGATAAGATAAGATAGTGGATTGAGAGGGCACTTGGCCAGACCTTCGAGTCCAGCTAGATTCCTCTCAATCCAACCATCAGCAACATCATGACCTTGACCCAATACTCGAGTATTATGATTGATTGTTCAAGCCTGTTCCAACAAAATTAAATAAATAAAAGTACCTTAGTCTAAATATACGTTAAATACGCTAGTAAGTATTACGAATATAAGTTATTACTTATACGGGCATAAGATTAATAGTTCAAACACTTTAATACTTAAATTACCTTTTGTTTTTAAACTGGTTACCTCGTTTCGTTATATGTATAACTAGCTATTATACGGTCATTATATTTATATTATACGTATAATATATTATGCGTGTAATAAAAATCGGAGCCTTTCGTTGAATACACGGATGTTGATTGATTCTATTGATTGTTCTGCTCTGCGTGCAGAGATTGATCATCTGTCTTCTTGGTGGGTCAGATGTCCTGTGCGTCTCTGCCCCACTGAAGATCTTCCGGTGTCTATCTCCGGCTCCCATTCAACACATTCGTGCTAGTATCTAACACCTTACGCCATGGTTAAGACGAAGATGATCCACTTAAACTGGGCTGAGTCTACGAGCTTCATTCATCAATGCCGGCGCTACACACAGTCAAGGCACATTTCCGTCTATATCGAGCGTGAATTTAGTATCATTGCAAGGTATACAACATCAGTTCATAGACGAAAACACAGTCAGCTATCCACAGTGTGTCTATCATCGCCGGCATCATCATAACCATCATCCAGTCAGTCCTGCCAAACGCCATGTCATAAACAACAGTAGTGGGAATCAATCACATCTCCTCATCCAGGGTATCATCTCTCGTCTCGTCGCTACCGAGCTCCTTTACCATCTCGTCGCTTACGAATTCCTGGTAGTCGTCGAGCTGCTTTTGGATATGCACCTTGAATTTGATCACGTCGTTCAACATCCTCTCGATCTCAGTGTGTAGCTCCTCTCGTAGAGCATTCGCTCGAAGAGTCAACTGTTCGTACCTATAGAGAGAGAACATTAGCAACAAAATAGGGGGCATCGGCAGGGTGTGATGGAGACGTACTCGATGTTGGTGTTCATCTCCCTTTGCTCCATCAGCTGCACCGATTCGGTGAGTTGTGCTCGCATCTTGGCCAGCTCCTTTTCCATCTTTTCGATCTGCGCATCAGATGCCAACTTCTGCGTGGTTGTGACCTAGACGATGGTCAGCTGCCATGCATCCTACACCCAACCACAATCCTGTTTATACGTACCTCCTTGGTCTTCTCGTACTCCTCCTCCGCGGCTCTCACTCTGTGTTCCAGAGCCTCAACCTCATTGCGCTTGTCCTCAATTGCCTCCTTAATGCCATCAAGGAGGTCGTGGTCCTTCATCATCACGTCCATCGCCTCCGTCCGCCTCTCCGATATCGCCCTTCGAAGCGTCAGGAAATTGTTCTTAACTTGCCCGCGCAGGTCCAGGTTCAATATGTGAGCTGGCTGGTAGCCCGTGACCGGATCCGCCAGAAGGCGTTCGCTGCCCGAGCCGCCCGAGTACGATCCCTTCATGATGGAGCCGGTGAAGTCCGACTCGTTCACTGTGACCGCCAGCTCGTAGTCGGCCCCCTTGGCGTTGACAGCCGACCTTGGGATGAGGTTGATCTGGTAGGCCAAGGTGTTGTACTTGTCGACCAGCCTTTCTAGCTCGTCAAGCTTCCGGCTGGCTTCCATCTCCTTTTCTGCCACTCTCTTCTTGCCTTCTTCGAGACGTTGAGTGGCCGACTCGATGCCCTTCTGCAGTCTTTCACGCTCCGAGGTCATGCGGTCGATATCCTGCATGCCAATCCCTTGGTCATCGACTGCCTTTTGTAGGCTGCGTCGCTCGTCATCAGCCTCTTTCAGCTCTTGCATCAGCTTGTCGAGCTCCTCTTGGAGCACCTGTATGCGGGTTTCGTATTTGTCAGATCTTGACTGGGCGAGCGCATTGTACTCCTCGAATTTGACCTTGTCTTCTTCCATGATCTTGAAATGATTGTCCAAAACACGAGGGTCTGGCGTCGATTTCTCGAGGTCTTCGATCTCCTTGACCAGCCTAGCATTCTCCGCTTCGAGCATCTCAAGTTCGGACAGGTACTTCGAATTCGACCGTTCAAAAGCCTGCGCCATGCCCGCAACGTGCGGCGCAAGCACCCTCTCAGCATCATCATCGCCAGCATCGTCGTCCATAGCGAGCCAATCTTTGTATGCTGTGCTCAAAAAGTCGAAAATGATATGATCGCCACTGACATCGACTCCGCTCTCCAGGGAGGCCTCATCGTATCGATTGCACGCGTAGCCATCGAGCATCTGAGCCAGCTGCATCATCCAGTGAAGCAATCCAAGGAATGTGTACCAGTTCTGACCACCCACCGCGGCAATCTGCGACTTGGTAATGCTCTTCTCGTAGGGGTATCGCAGCTGTTTCAAGATCGGGGGCACTTCTTGATCGATGTTCTTCTGGAATTTATAGCTCGGGTCGATTCGGTGGTATAGCCATTGGAACATGTAGTTGAAGTCCTTCTGCGTTGGTGACTTGATAATGTTGTGCGACAGGGTGTGCTTCATCTCCATCTCGAAGTTATGCTGAGATAGGTAGTCTAGCAACTCCTGTCCGATGCGCGCCTGGAACGACCGATCCCTCAATGGCCTTGGGTCTCGTGGTACACCTGCTGCTTGTGGCGCTTGCTGGAAGAAACTTTGATGGCTCATGGGCCCGCCGTTGGAGGGTCGCGCGCGGTATATGCTGCTTCGTCGTTCGCTTTCCGAGTTCCTCGATGGAACACCGCTGGGGGCAAAGGTCTTCAGCATGGAGCCGGGATTGTTGTTGAACGAGGATCGCTTCACCGAAGACATGCCCATATCGGCCAGGTTCGTTCCTGATGAGGATCGCGAGAAGATAGGTTGGCTTGGGCGGCCGAGGGCCAGGGAGTGCCTAGATCCCGACATTGACCGCGCATGGCCGCTCGTGAATCCCGCACCGCCTGGTCCACTGGTCGAGTTCGATCTCTTCATGGCTGAGGCTGGCTGTGGGATCGCGGAGTTCAGGCTGATTCCGCCAAGGGTCTGCATCACAAATGCGTCGTCAGTTACGGTCAATCCATTGCGAAGGGCTCAGGGGGCGCGTCGGCGCATTGATCATCGTACCTCTCGTGGGCGGCGGACACTCCAGAGTCCCGTCTCTTGGGACATAATGACAGAGTTGGAATATCAAAATGGGGGTCGGAGTTGAGGATACAGAATTGTAGGTCTGCGCGATAAGGTGCCGGTTCGCGACGGGTGATAGAGACAGCCAATCGTGAAAATGGTGGTTGCGCCCGTTGTCCCCCCCTGGTCGGTTTCGATTGGAAGTAAACAAACCCCACAGTGTTTTCTGATTGGCCCAAGCGTGGCCGTGACAACACATCTGCCAGGCAATCGCGAGTGGGCCAGCCAAGCGGCTGGATCCAGTCACTTACACGGCACACCAGACCAGCTGCACCACCGGGCAACACTCGACGGTGCACTCACTCCAACAACCATCGCAACGACGTCTACCAGCTACATATACGGACAACTGCTGCCTCTCTATCTGTCTTCAGTTCTGCATTGCTACATCTTGCTCTTCACACCGTCACGTGGCTTCTGCATATATAGTCAGTTGCCTCTTCATCTCAGTCTCGCACAATACCATGCCCACACCTCTCTTGCGTCCACATCACCACAAATCACGATGGCGCCAAAGATCATAATTCTTGCTGGGGCACCCGAGAGTCATTCTCTGGACTGGGAGGAGTCAGGCCTCTTGAAGCACTTCACAGAACCTATTGCGCATTTCACCCGGTCGGAACATCCATTGCGCCAACCAGTCCTGGAGAGCAACTCAAGCCCGACACCAGACCTACCTGTGTGGAGGTCAATCCCACTTCACCGACAACGACTGCCGACAGGCTTCTCTCAGATTCTCGAGTTGGGAAGCGATTACCACGGCTACAAGGGCTTATTTACCACCTTAACCCAGTCTCTTGATAACACATCGATCTTGACGGGAGACGACCAGAGCCAAAAGCTTCTAAACGAGTTTTACGATCGCTCGTTAGCTTTACATGAGGAGCTTCCTTCATCGCAGTTACCAGGCTCTAGCTTCGGTACCGATATATCTTCTATCGATGAAACCCGAGAAGGAAGCACCGACTTCTCTACCCAGGGCAGTGGTTCCTCTGGTGAACAGTCCCATGTGCGCGCCATTGAATCCGGTCACCTCAGTGACCTGGAAGACCTACCTAAAGCCTCATACTTGCAGAGCATCTCGCCACAGACCATCACTGTCAATCTAATCGTCGGCATAATCTCAGTTGCAGAACCGCGAACTGTAAAGACGAGATGGGGCTCGACCAAATCTCTGGTCGAGCTCCTCGTGGCCGACGACACTAAATCTGGCTTCGCTATTACCTTTTGGTTATCATCAGATCTTACCGAATCGGACCGAGTGCTCAAGGATCTCCGGCGGCAGGACATTGTGCTCCTTCGAAACGTGGCCTTGAACGTATTCATGAAGAAGGTCTACGGACATAGTCTCAGGAAGGGCCTCACAAAGGTCGATCTGCTTCACCGTCGGAGACTGGACACAAAGGACCAGCCTGGCCTGTACAGCATGAAAGATGTGGTATCGAAAAGACCCACACACCCACAGCTGGCGAAGACGAGGAAAGTCCGTGAATGGGTCCTGCATTTCGTTGGTGGTGGCGCCACAAGCCTTCGCAAGAGGAAACATAATGGGAAGCCTGTCAGAACTTGGGACATGCCCCCGGAAGATACGCAATGAACATCGACCGCCCGTTTACTGCAAACCTGTTGGCTGTGGTTGGCTTTCTTCGTTCAAGTCGATGCCACTTTAAGCTCTTGGATTACTGGTGGACAATGATAATGGGATATCGATAAGGCGGATGTAAGTCATCTGTACCTCCTTGCGGTTATATTGTTACTGACTTTTAAGTACAGTTCACGTCGGTCCTTGCATTCGAACCGATGTCTATCAGGCATGGAAGGCCAGTCGAGACTACACGCGAGGCCACTCTGGCACCAAGCATCTTTCCGTTCGGATTTCGATTGTCTTTTGGGGTCCTTCAATAGCTTGCGTCACTCTGTATGTGCCAGGTAAGCGCAAACCACATCCCGCCATTGAAGTTAATTTGGCTACGTTCATTCCTGACTTAATAACAGGAGACGCATCTCGCTGCAGCGAGAGTCCTGCATGCTGGTGGCGAGAAGAAAATAGTACTGGCGGATGCTCCTGAATGCTGTTGGACTACGGGGTATGAAGAAGACGTGGTCCGCAGTGGAGATATTTGGGATGTTGTGGCCGATGGTTGGCATAGTAAATCGTGGCTACTTACCAGGGGGACCCCCCTTTTAGAAAAGAGTGCCAGTAGCCTTTTAAGTGCTTAATAGTGTTATTAGGTCGAAACATGCTGCTATATAGCTTATTAGTCTGATTTCGTGATAATTTTAGTGCGAATAATGTTTGAGATAAATAATTAGACTATTTATTATTATCCCGACTGTTAATGATAACTAGTACAAAATAACGATCGCGTACAATTGTCTTTTTAATCACTTTATAATAGCTATTATGGAAAAGATCGGTTCAGTGGTTCAGGTCATCATGTTGCTTACATTCTGGGTGCAGATCTACCCTTGGGTCTTGGGACCTGTTCAGGTACTAAATACACATACCAACTTCAAAGCAATGCCCAGCCTTTGATCCGGAGGGTAAAGATCCCTTGTCCCAGATACACTAAAGCTCAAAGCCCGCTTCTAGGCTGTTCCTTCCTTTCAGTGCTGCTGTCAGCCTTGTCACCCTTGTCACCCCTAGAAGCGTGCTACAGCACACCTGTGAGCCACCCGACTGCTTACAGCTATATTATATAATAACAACTAAACGTACGGTCGTATATAATTACTGCTTGATTAGCCTTGTTATTTTATTAATATTAGTTACTTTATTAAGCCGAATATCGTAACTTTAAATTAAAGGGTATATGAACACTTAAAATAAATGTTTTTTTATTTTTTCGTAAAGGTTTAGAGCTTGATAAATATAAGTAAGTAATCGATACGTGTCACCAAGGGGCAGTGGTGGAGGAGACCCACTGTAGCAACTAGATAGATTAGATAATGGCTAGGGGGCCGCACAATACCGTAAGTATGTGTTGCCCCAGCCCTTCTATTTTGAGATCTCCAACCCGCCCCCATGTACCACTATACACCCATACACACACGCTTCAGTAATATAATATAATCTCGTAATTTATAAGTTTTATTTATTTAAATCGTAACGTGATTTTATAAATATTTATAAAGTAAAGTAAAAAGAATAAAGCTGTAGAATTATAAGTTAAAAAGTTTATATATGTATGTAGCTTTTATAAAGCCTTAGCTTTAACTTTATAATACAAGATTTTTTTAATCTTTTTTAATTTAAAGTGGCTTGTTTTAATAAAGTGGCAGTATTAATAAAGTTTTAACTATAATATAATTATTCATACTTAATATAATAACCCTAGTTAAATAGTTATTTAGTGCTAAGAAGATATTTATTTTAACATAGTTATTAAACTAATAGTAGTGGGAGCGCTAGCTATAATGTTATCTATTTTTTATGTTTAATTAAAATTGGGCTTATAAGAGCGGCCCGTATCCACTATGTTTACACTTGAAAAGGCTGTTGCAAGGCTGTTGCAAGGCTGCTGCTAGACTGTTTAGAAACGGGGGTCCCCCGCGTAGGAATTCGCAGTCGGTCACATTGTATCATATACCAGCACTGAGAGGCACACGGGGTTCTCACTTAACGTGCAAGCTGTTGATGACGATTAATGACGATATGTGGAATGTCTTATGTACAAGACCTATGCGCCATAGTCACCTTGAACAGCACACATTGCAAGCCAGAACTTTCCGATCTCCGCATAGCCAATTAACACGTCCCGAAATGCCCCGGGGACAATAATATAAATCGTATAAAGAGGTCAGGGCCGATGCTTCACGGCTCCGACTCCACATCCGGCGGGAAAGTCCCGAACAACTCCATGATATGCAAGTTCTGTTCCGGCGTGAGCTTCTGCCCGGAGCTCCCCATCTTGCTCATAGTCCTAAAATCTGCAACGAGGGTCAGTCAAATCAAGTCAAGTCCAGCCGATCCAAGCCAGTTCATCGCGGCTTCCTCCCACACCAGTTCCTACGAATCGGATTATCACGGCAACAGCAACTCACAATCCATATAATACCCGGGCGTAGCCGTCATGAATAACTCCGCCGACTCGGTCTCACTAGCATTCCTAAAAGTGTGCACAGCGCGCGGCGGCACCGTGACCATCTCGCCTGCACCACAACGCACCTCGCCCTCGGGCGTCACGAACGCCACCGCGCCCTTCGTCACGAAAAAGCACTCGTCGTGGAAGCGGTGCCAGTGCATCGGCGGCCCGGACGCCCCCGCCGGCAGCTCGAGCAGCATGCAGCCCACGCGGTTGTCCGTGTTGGCGCCGTCCTCGTAGATGTAGATGGTGCAGGGCCCGACTTGGACTTTCTCGCTGTTGGCGCGCGTGCAGTGCTTCACCGAGACGGGGCCGCGGTTGGTGGGCATGTTGTCTAAGGTAGTGAGAGATGGGAGGGTGGGATGGAGGTGCGTAGTCGGTGGTTTATGAACTTGCTTGGATGCTGAACGACGACGGAGGTGAGGATGATTCGGTAATGAACGAGACTTAGACAGGAAATACTTGAATACGAGATACCGTCACTTTATACGACATGAATTACTGGTAACATTTCATTGATGTGTAAGGTAGTCAGACAGCCACATACATGTCCCCTCGGTCCCGAATGATGTCGGTGAGTCGGGGCTGGGGGGCTCGGAGGTCGGCATGAGCGCGCTTCCGCGCTTAGGACTCTCTTTGGCCAATATGACTAATGTATCATGATCTAACATTTGGTTGCCGGCTCCTTCCCAGTGGCCCGCGTGTTGGGTTTAGTCCGGCTGTAGCCGATGTGCCGCTCTGAAGCAGCCCCTTTTCGAGGGCACTTGTCAAAATTGTACACCGCTCTTGATTATAACTCCATTGGCATTTTGGCGGGATTGGAAGAAGACAACGAAGAACCTGGAAGCGACGAACAACTGAGCACTAACGAGGTGAAACGCTGGTGACGTTGTGAGTTGTCGGGCATGGTGGCCTCTGGCGCTTCCATTCCGCTGCACGTGGGAAGCAGAGCATTGAGAAGGGAAGGAGCGCTGTCTACGTACCTACATCGCGCAAATCGGGCTAGTCGAGAAGCAAACTCCTGAGCCTCATCTTTCCCATCTTTCCCATCTTTCCCATCTTTCCCATCTTTCCCATCTTTCCCATCTTTCCCATCCTTCCCATCCTTCCCATCCTTCCCATCCTTCCCATCCTTCCCATCCTTCCCATCCTTCAAAATGGACGAAAATGCAGCCGTGACGAGCTGGAAAAGACAACATTGAAGCGAGTTGACGCAGAGACGCGAGTTCAAATGACTATATGTGTCCTTGCTGCCGATGATTCGGCGTCGGCCGAGTTGGGCACTCTTTTGGTACAGCAAGGCAAAGTCACGATGTCGTGACAACGCAGTGCCCGCAGTACTATACTTGTTGCGAGGCGACCACTGGTAGGCTGAGTGAGCACAGATGCCTCGATCTATCGATTCTGTGCGTCATCCGAACTCGACAGACCAATAAGCTTGGTTGCGTTGTCAGCCTCATATAACCATCTTCAAATGGCTTGGGATGATATGACTGGTGAGAGCGCCTTGTTCCGTATCAGCCGTTGGGGGCAGTGCATGGGGAGGTGTACTCATTTGCATGCATGCCGACCCCAACGACCGCCGCGAGGCTGGCTATGAAAATGGTCCTTGACGAGCTCAGCGTTGCCCTCTCCATTTCCTTTCCTTATTTCTGTCACTACTACTTTGTCGTCGCTATTCAACTTATCGACGGCACATACAAGAGAACCAGACCCCTTGTCGAGGATCCTCTAGTACTGCGGACTTTCCGCCATGGAGCCGTGTTCGATCCTCGAGCTGAGCTCGACAGTGCTCAAAGTCGGAGCCCTATTGTACAGCTTCCTCAAGGCTGTGCACGACGCGCCCGCCGACGTACAGAAATATCTCGAGGTCCTGAGCAGTACCCGGACAGTATTCGCCGATGTCGAGGAGTACGCAGCGCTCCACGAGCGGTCGTCATTCAGGAACGTCGACAAGATGCAACTTGATGCCATCTCGGCAGTGCTGCAGGAGTGCGAGTTGACACTGGCGCTGCAACTTTCGACTGTGGAACAGTACGACACTAGCGACGCTACGTCGAGGTTCAAGCGGCTTCGAAAGAACGTCGAGTTCGTCTTTGGCAAGGCGGCACTGAAACACTACACGGTCAGATTGCAGGCGTCTGGGAATCTCCTTGGCCAGGCGATGGTATCATCGGTCGGGTATGACTTCCTACCTACAAGCATAGAGATAAGACATCCCCACTTTCACTCCCACTGACCTCTTGTAGTAAGAACACTGTGATAATCCGTGACGAGGTTGGATCCATGAGGTCGGAGATGAGAGACGCATTCTCCGCCGTCGCGGAGGAGCAGCAACAGCGGCAGCAGTGTCTCCAGGAGACGACCCGGTATACCAAAACGCTCCAGGGCGGTATCTCACAACTGATGGATTTCGCTCAAACGAATGGAATACAGAGCGGAACTCGGCTGGAGTCCATGGCGAATGTCATGGCTGCAGATCTATCGTCCTCATTACAAGACGATGTCTTGCCAGCCGCGCTTGATTCGAGCGACGCAGTCGATGCTCAAGGACCTCCATCGTCGGGAACGCGGACCAACCAGGGACCCCAGAATCTGGCTGATTGTCTACACTCTGATATTCCCACCTCGAAAGAAGCGTCTGAAGAGTATACCACCCCATTTCCTGCAAGGTAGGTTTCCACTGCGGCTTCCCGATCAAGGAGCATAGAGCTAACCCGACGTAGCAGGCCAGACGCTTGGCAGCAAGCCGTCACTTCCTTCCGGCAGAGTCTGTCGTCGAAAGACCTAAAGTTCCTGGGTGAAGTCACGAGTCCGAGCGAACTGGTACAGCGCTTGCACCAAAAGAGCACCGCAGTGGGTTTGGAGCCAAGCAAGCTGAAATCGATCATGTCCAAGATATCAGCTGGATCGGATCATTTCGGAAACCCGCTTGAAATCGCATCTCTGTTATTGCCCAGCATCACGCTTCTTGCAGAAACTGGCAAGGTATGACGTGTTCATCTGCACAAGAGTGGCACAAATGAGGTCCGCTTGAGTCCCGTTGTCTAACTCTGGACGACAGGCAGTATACGGAGACATCGCCGCCGGACTTGAAGAGATGGCCGACGCAATGCACTTGTGCCAGCGGGAGCTGCAGCTGCACCAGGACGAGAGGATGACCGAGCTGGTGGGACAAGCTTACGTGCAACTCTTCGAGCATGCGAAGCTATGCACCAGAACCGTGAGCCGAAAGAACAACACGATCGTAGTCACGGCGGTCATAAGGGACTACCGCGCCGGGCTCGACGCTAGCATGGCCCGGCTGCGCCGCATCTGCGAGAAGATCACGCGGGAGGTCGACTACCGGCACCGCGTGGAGATGCGCGAGGCCGGTCGCAGGATCGCCGAGATGCACGTCGAGCAGCACAGGATGGTGCGGATGCTCCAGGACCAGAGGGCCATCCTGGAGTTGATGCAGCAGGAGAGGAAGCTGATGGATCTGATACGGGAGCAGCAGAAGATACTGCAGATCGTGCAGCGGATACAGTATGGGATGCAGATGGAAAGGGGGACTCAGTCAACCATGGATGAGTCGCCATCTTCTCAGATAAGCACTGCTAGCTAGAGTATTTCATGACAGGAACTTGAGTTAAACGTGTGCAAAGACACGTCTGGTGTGCTGTCTAGGTGCAAAGTTATGAATCTCCCACCCTTTCGCCGATTCTTCTTCTGCTTTGCCTCAATCTTGTCTTCGTCTTTTTAAGACCCAGCGTTCACAGTTGCCGACCTTAAGGATCCTGGGCGGGCAGCCGCGTGAGAGACGGACTCTCTTCGCTGGATCTCTCGACTGACAGGTAATGGCTTCGGCTACCGTGCCTACCATTCTTGGTTGTTCTCATCTTGTACCCATGAGATACACACTAGCAGTGCCTTGAGCAGTGACTCGAAGAACATAATCTCCACCCCCCAGGGAGAGTCCCGTGAGATGTTAGCGTTTGTGCTCCAGTGTTGCTGTAGTGGTGTCGCCGCGAGTCGTCGTGGGAAGTGGTAGAACATGAACAGGTAGGGGAGGAGACGTCGGGTGGATGCTTGCCCCTTTATGCCTGAGACATTAGCGCTATATTGCATCGAAACAGAGATGTATGCCACACTTCTTACTTGCGGATTGATGAGCCAATCGTCCTACCCGCGAGCCGGCGCTATCCAGCGGATCTCGAAGTCGAAACGGCACCTCCAGGCACGACACGGTCGTGTACTCACTCGACTACTCACGGCATGTAATACAAACCTAAGGTCTTATTAGACAACACCACGCAGTAGGCACAAGCACAAAAAACCAACAAGCCCAATACTGCCCGTATTAGGAATATCAGACCAGTGGTCCGAATATATCATTACTCATCAAAGGGTGTTAGACTAATAAAGCTCCACCGTAGAGGCTCTATACCCCCGCGGCCATTAATTTCGAGAGCTACTGGCAGATACTCATGGATCTGATGCCTTGCATGAAAAAGCAGTCGCTGCAGCCCATAACCCATGCTCTTCAAGTAGCCGTCCTGTACCAGTAGGGAGATGATCCCGTAGTAAGACGAACCTTAATTGCACCACGCCGAACGCCAGGGCGCCAGAATGCAATACGCGATGCACGATGCCCATGAGCGTCTCACTCGATGCTCATGCGCATCAAACCGTCGTGCGTGTCCACCATACCTTGGAAACCGATGCGACCCTTAGCGCTGTTGATGGGCCGCCCGCTGTTCGTTGCAGTACCGCCACTGCCAACCGTGCTCCCATTCTCACTCGGCGTGGCTGATGCCTTATCCGCCCCGTGGTTGCTCCCTGGCCGTGATCCCCAGGGTGCCATGTCTCGCTGCATTGGGCTTTGCATGATTGGGGAGTTGTGGACGCTCATCCCTGGGCTGACCGCCCGTCTCTTGAAGCTATGAGGGTCGAAATCGTCATCTCTCCGTCGTTTGTTGTTAATGCGTCGCGTGATCTCGGCGGCAGTCGGCGGTACACTGCTCCCCTGAGAGGGTGGTGCTGAAGCGGTCGGTTGTGGTGTCTCGAATCGTTGGATATCAGTGGCAGAATTACCGATGGTGAGGCCGCTGCTCAGGCCGAACAGACTAGTGTTACCAGACCCGGCTGACAGAGACGGCGAGTCCATGTTAACATCCTCGCTTATACCAGACGACGAGCCCCGGGGCAAGAAAGCAGGTGGCGGCGGCGTTGTTCTACTGCCGGCAATGCTGCTCGTCTCGGAGAATATATCCCAGAAGTTCTTACCCTTGGAGTTCTTCATTGCTTGCTGCTTGAAGCTGCTCGAATCCGTCATCATGTCATCGTCGGGTAGTAGTCCATCGAGGGGTTCCTGGGTAGAAGCGAGATTGGGCGGCGTCTGCGACGTCTGTGACGGAGCCGTGTTCGGGGAATCTAGAGGTGCAGGACCTGAGGGTATACGGGGCTCGAGATCTGTATCGCTTTCACGGACTTGGCGAATGACCTCAGCTTCGCGGCGAAACTCGGAGTCAACAGGAGTGTTCTCTTCGGCGAGGGCAGCACGTATGCGTGCAAAACCTTTCGTTTTCGGCTGTCTGTAATCAGTACGGGGGTTGGTCGGGGCGTGATCATATTGCTTACCAGCAGATTGCCTCTCCGTGTCACGACTCTTTTGACCACGCCTCTGGGGCCATCTCTCGCAAGGGTTATCGGCAAGCCGTCGCTCGTATCCATTGTCTTCTCCTCACTCTCACTGCCGGAAATCTGTAATTGGTTGGCTGCCCAACTGATGCTTTCGCGTCGCGAATGAGAGATGGGAGTATCGCGGATCTCCCTCACCGCGTTATTTGGTGGCGATGGGGCAGCAGCGTTGAAGCCCAGACCAGCCAAGCCCCGTAATTTTCTTTTGTTCTGTTTCCGTGGTCGCGATCGGAAGCTCGAGAGGCTATTCATGGCAGGAGATGTCCCGGGCATCCACGGAGCCGCGTGGGTCCCGTGGGCCTGCCGGTTACCCTGAGCAACCTGTGGTGTGCCGAGGATGGGGTCCTCCATTTCTTCATCCATGAAAGCGTCGTCACCCGAACTAGACGAAGAGTCCGAGGCCAAAGGGTGGTTTGTGCTTCCCAGCGAGCTAGAAATGTTCATGCGCTCCTGGTTGCCCATCATGGACCACAAAGACGTGGGCTGCTGGTCTGACCCATATTCAGCGTTCGCACGGCCGGGTATATTCATAGCGCGGCCACCGATTGTTGGTGATGAGTCGGGTGACGACTGCTCGGCCAGCATCGAGTGATGTAGGCTTGTGGCTGCCCGAGAGAAGTCCAACCCGCGCGACCGTCGGGGAAGGATGTTCGTTGGCGATGCATAGATCTGGGAAGGGTCGAGCTTCGGGGACAAAGGCGCTGGGCGGATATTGGTCGGATTGTGCGAAGGCGAAGCTGAAGGCGAATTTCCCCGGGGCATGTGCAGTGACAAGCCGCGAAGGGGAAAGTCGGGACGACGGGGCGTGACGGGGGTCGTCGTGTCTTGAATGCGGTCCCTCCCCAATGCACTGTCGTCTTTCGAGGTCCTTCTTTCAGCCTCAATGATGTGGGGAGAGGGCGACAGTTGCGATCCATCTCCATCCGATAAACTTCTTGTTTTTGACAGGGGCGATCGTTCAAGTATTCGAGCACCAAGGCCAAGACTTCCGCCTGCCTCTCCGCTCCCGCCCTTCATATCTTCATCCATGACCGCTATCTCGTCATAGTCAGCCCCAGCCATTCAACTGCGACGAAGTTGTCCAATATGATCGGTTGTGCGACTGCGAGGCGTACGCTCTAGATATCGCCGATGCCGTTGGCAGGCGGGCAGGGCTTTGGCTGCCGGCCTGTCCTCTCGTATCGTTAGAGTCGGGCGGGTATCAAGGGATATTTTGCATACGCCAATGCAATGAGTACCATGGATGCGGATGCAGGTACGGATTTGAAGGCTACAACAAGTCCGAAAAACAGTCGGATGGGAAGATATGGTCGTTTAGGAAGGGGATGTTTCGAAGAGCTGTGAGAAATTCAGTAATGGAGGAGATACGGTCGCAGTCGGAAGTGTGACGTCGCCGCGGCACTATTTATCATTTCACAGCGCGCGGCTCTGCTGATGCTCAGTGCAGTCCTTGAACGCAATTGAGACCAATAGGAGCCCGGAATTCGTGCCGTGTCCACTATAGACAGAGCAACCCCGCGGTTTTGTTGTTACCTGAGTTTATTTATAGCTGCCGGTCCTCACGCTGCTTCCAGTCCTTAACACGTGAAAGCATTTTGACTTGAAGCTGCATGATTTGATCTCGATTACAAGCCCATACAACAAAGGCGCTCGGCTAATACCAGAACATGATCATGATACTTTACAATTTTAGCCCTGCTGGTTCTATCAGGCTGGTAGATTGAACTGGGGTATACTGACTAGTGGCTATGGATAAGGAGGTGCTCTGGAAAGGTATACCGACACGTACGATTTCATCACAATAAAAGCATTGTAATTATGTGTACGAAGGGTCGTAGTGCATGAAATTGCGTTTGAGAACAGTCAACAGTGTGGTCAAGTCATTCTATATCAATGTGGAGATATTCTAGAGATGACCAAAAGTGGTGAAACCTAGACAAACGGGAACATTGAAGGAGTTCAAGTATATTCAAGGGGCCTCACATTGGGACTCAGGCATCACCCACCCATGGCAGTTTTGCCAGCTCAGATGCCTTAGGTACTCAAAGCCCAATCGTATTGTCTAGTCTAATGACACCTAAATAGACTTCACCGCACTACCTATAGGGTATTATGCAGAACAGTATACAAGCCGAGCCGGTAGTGCTGCAGGGTTCACCTGCACCATCCTCGAGGATCATCATACCCCTTTGTTGAGCCTACCAGAGCGCCTCCGGCCAGGTTCATGAGGAGGCGCGACAGTCTTCTTCTTCATGTTGTCCCTCCTGGACTTCTGACTACCATTAGTCGCAGGCTCATCCTCTTCCTTCGGCGGCTTTTCCTCTTCCTTCTTGACGGTTTTGGGCTTCGAGGTTCGGGCCTTCTTCTTCGGATGCTCCTCCGGCTCGTGTTGGTCAACCTCCTTTTTACTCCTCTTAGATCTGCTACCCTTCTTGTCTGTAGAAATACGACCCTCATCCCCGTTCTCTTCAGGCGCAGATTCAACCTTGGCGTCCGCTGCTACTCGACCCGTCTTCTTTTGCACGCCGGGGACCACGCAACTGGTGCGTCCACCGACGGTGATGAATGTGAACTTTTCTCCGTTCGGCAGTGTCGTAGCCGCGTCTTTCTTGCCCTTGCCCCATCGATGATTGAATAGCCAGTCTTCGGGGAATTGGTCCGAGTCGCCTAGTTTCTCCACCGCGGTATCACAGACGTGACGAATGGCCTTGTATAATGTGCTGATGTCGGCATCGCTGAAGTCGTCGCAGTACTGTTCCGGGTGCAGCTTCGCTTGATACATGATCTCGTCACCGACCCAGTTGCCGATGCCACTGACAGTGGCCTGATCTAGCAGCAAGGCCTTGATGGGGACGTGTCTGCTTCTCATCTTCTGCTTCAGGAAATCCTCAGTAAATATGTCCTTGTCGACCACGGGGTCGGGCCCGTTCTCCTTGAGCGGAGTGTGCTTCCGAATGTCTTCGCCTGGACAATCCATCAAGCGAATCCGGCCAAATCGTCGAGCGTCTGTGAAGGCCACCTCGACCTTGGGGTCGCTGTCGGTCGCCAGGTGGAATTTCCAGAACTTGGGCGGCCATTCCTCCTTGTCGCCCTTCGTCTTCTCGGCGTAGCGGGTGTAGGCTGTCTGTTCACCTCGGATATGTATCCAACCGGTCATACCGAGGTGCATGACTGGATGCGGCGGAGTGTTTAGCAGCAGCCAGAAATATTTCCCCTGAGTTCCGGCGCCCACTACCTGCTTTCCCGTAAGGGCCTTCATAAACGCATCGCCACTTGTCCCGACCTTGCCGAAGACATTCTGGTCATCTTGGGCCCAGACCTTGCTGATCTTCTTGCCGACGAGATGAAGGCGGAGGAAGTGGGTGACGCGTGCGACTACAAGTAATCAGTCAGATTCCAACATGGTGCCTGGTATACGTGGATATGCTAACCTTCGGCAATCTCAGGCATGATCAGGCTTCTCAAGAACAGGTAGGCTTGCACACTGTTCGGGTATTGATCGTATCTGCAATGGGCAGTCTTGTTGTTTCGACCGCTTGGCTGGCAAATAGCAGTGAAAGGATCTCGAATCCCAACTCGTCAAAGTACAAGGTCAACAATAGTGGCAGGGATTGTGGTGATCGATGTAAGGCATTACCGTCTGGGGAGGTATTGAGATATGGTGACGCGTTTCAATTTACGCGTGTCCACCGGATTGGTGGCCTCAGCTCTGAGCTGAGCGATTTCATTGCGACTTTGCGAGATTTTGTAGAGCTACGACAGCTACCCTGCAATAGTGGACAAATCCTTTCAACGAGGCTGAACGCTCTCAATCAACTCTGACTGGCAGTGCTAGGTTGTGCATATGTGCAACTGCGTCACTGGCTGCACCTGCAGGTGATCGTGAAAGACGTTCAGCACGCAGTATGGCATCATACCTGCAGTCTGACGGGACAATGCATCACGAAGACGGACAGCTTCCCCCACAGCACAGCATCCAATCCATGGATCTGCCCTCTGCTTATCGGATAGCGGCTCACGATAACGGTCTGCACCAATCATCATTATCAGCCCGTCATTAGCGTCGCTGCCCACTGCAGACCGCTGGACAAGGCCCTGGAGCGACTACTGGCGCTCAAGGAATTTGCACTGCAGCAGAGTTTTTCCTCTAGTATTTCCATCCGCCACGCGAGCCCCGCGGTCACCTGCAATTGAACCCGTCCCTCCTCCAATTTTTCCACCTTCCCGATGTCGAGTGCAGTTTCGACGCTTTTCGCCGTGCTGCGAATGACTCTTCCTCTGTCTCCCGCATCCTCAACCTCAAGCTCCAATGCGTTCGCCATGAAGCTGCTCTAACACTTCAGGGCCCTTCCTCTTACCAACCTTCCTATCCAGCTGTACGTCTGGTCCCGTTCAACCGTGAAACGCCGCTTGTGCCCACTCCTTCCTCCTTGGTCTCCACGCTGAGGTTAAGCTCGGTAGTGAAAACTTGACTTCGGTAAACGCAATCGGAGCAAATAGGGACTTTCCACCACCAGCACCGACATCTTGCAAGAGCTTCGTTCGCCCGCAAACCCTCGTGGCATCTTACACCATTGTGGGCTGCTCGTGCGAAGTTCCTCTGGGCCACCTCCAGCCAGCCATTTCCCGTGCGTACGAGCCTGTTGCCGTCATCACCACACCCGTACCAATACCGACCGTTCTGCAACGCTATATTCAACCGTCGCCATGGTCCGCAACATCGTCATACTTTCGGGCAACTCCCACCCGGCCCTCACGGACGCCGTGTGCCACATTCTCGGGGTCCCTCCTGGTAACCGGATCTTGACCAAGTTCTCTGCGGGCGAATCGCGCTGCGAAATCCAGGATTCGGTACGAGGCAAAGACGTCTTCATTATCCAGTCGGGAGGTGGATCTGTGAACGACCACTTCATGGAGCTCTGTATCAGTATGTCATAGTTTCTCGAGTCCTTGAAATGCCACGAGCACCATTGACCCGAGTGAACAGTGATATCGGCATGTAAGACTGGCTCGGCCAAGAGAGTCACGGCAATACTGCCATTGTTCCCCTACTCCCGGCAACCAGACCTACCATACAAGAAGAGTGGAGCGCCGCTCTCCAAAGACTCGAAGTCCACCTTGAATAGTGTTACCGCAACTCCGGCACCCGGCATAGTCAAGACGCCTAGCTTCAACAAAGAAGTCGACTTAACGAAGGCGTTGAGCAAATCATCGCTTTCTGATGGAAACGGAGCTGGTCCTTCTCGTCCTAACGCCAATGGCGACTACTTCGTTACAAACGGCACAAATGGAGACCACTCAGTAGCCCGGCCTGGATTATCCACAATGCATGCCCAGAGCTTTACCACACACGACTTGGAGGGCCCGGCTCTTGTCTCCACGTTCGAGGCCAAACCTGGATATAAGAGATGGGTAGCACAGGCTGGGACACTAGTGGCAGATCTGTTGACTTGCGCCGGCGCGGACCAGTACGTGTTTCCTCGTCCAAGGCCACGTCTTATAACACTTAGATCAAGAGTCAAACGGAATGATGTTCTCAGACATATCCATTGCTCTGGTGTTCACACAGGGGAAAGGGCTAACTGAGTCTGCAGTGTGGTTGCGATGGACCTGCACGACCCTCAGTACCAAGGCTTCTTCGACATACCGATGGACAACCTGTATGGCCGGCCGCTGTTGAAACGCTATATCCAGCAGAACATCCCGGACTATAAGGATGCGGTGATTGTGAGTCCGGATGCTGGTGGTGCAAAGCGGGCCACTGCTATCGCGGACAGTCTGGGCACGGAATTTGCCCTCATCCATAAGGTATGGCGGAATACTTTTCTACATGTTTTCAAACTTAACCAATTGAATCCAGGAACGACGACCTATTCGAATCACGGATCGCCAAAGCTCAACCATGATGCTCGTAGGCAACGTTGCCAACCGTGTTTGTATTCTGATCGACGACCTTGCGGACACGGCGCAGACCATCACGCGAGCGGCCAAGCTGTTGCGAAAAGAGCGCGCCACAAAGGTCTACGCTCTGCTAACTCATGGCGTTTTCAATGGGGACGCCATCCAGCGCATCAATAATTCGACGTTGGATAAGATTGTCGTGACCAATTCGGTTCCTCAGGACGAAAACAGAAAGCTGTGTCCCAAGCTGGAGGTTCTGGACGTTGCACCTGTCTTCGCTGAGGCGATCCGTCGCATTCACCACGGTGAATCGATTAGCGTGCTGTTTCACTACGACTGAGTTGTCCAAAGCACACAATGCCAGAATCTTGCTCCACATGGGGCTCAATTGGCGACCATTGGGCATCATCGCGGCGATGAGCTACCGAGACGCTGGGGTTGCGGCTTACGAAGACCTATCATCGCTAGTTTGTACCTGCGCGACTATACTTGCGCATATGATCAGAATGGCAACGCCTCCTCCTGTTCGAAGGGGTAATCTGAGAATTGGGTCCCCACTTCTGTGGTTGAAGCATCTCCTTTTGACAAGGGAGTATCAATACACAAGACGGTCTTTCCTAGAGGTAAGGAAGCTTCGTTCTGTGGCGTTTGATCTATTCTGTGCCCGGGATACAGTCAAGGCGTTCAGGTCGTCTCGGTTGTGGGTCACGCAGAAGCGCACGCATCTCGTAGAGGCAACATCTAGATCGGGGAAGAGACACGAGGTTTGGCAACAACCTGCCTCAATGAGACCAATGTAAATGACATGCCGACCTGCCGTGAGTCTGGTTTCTGTGAGGTGCAGCAGTCTCAATACCGGCTGCTGTGGGGTTCCAGATCCCAAGTCGATCAGTCATGCGACACTGGGTTTTGAAGGGCCAGTATACTCTGGCTATCTGGAAAAACAGATGCATAGCAGTCTGCTCAGTGCAGATCGATAGAAACTCACTCCCTTGGGATCAAATCCTATTTCAATGCATGTATTGGCTTCTTGTGTGAGAACTTGGTGCCTGGAATCTTCCATGTGGTGGAATGAGTCAAGGTATGTGACGAGTACCTGAGGTAGATTTGAGCGGAAGGATTCATGGAGTTCACTCAGGCACTCACTCATATATAAGATAGCCATTGAATAAAATATCTTGGCTCAGTGAGAGGTTCAGCAGTTCAAAGCCATGACTGACAGCTCCCTGTTTGTTCGACAACGTGGGGCGGACGGGAATCGCCGATGATTACCCCGGCCGCCCGCACCTCCGGCAATTCTACCGGCGCGGGACGTTTCGTTTCTTTTGAGCCTCGGCATGTGCTTTGATCCACAGTTTGGCTTAACACTTATGCCGTCACCTACTTGACCATTCCATCGGCTGAAGGAGGGATATCTATCATTATTCCCTAAAGCCGTTGATTAGAGGCATAGTTATTTTCTATCCTCATCAGTGATCACAGTCAAGCATCTACGTTGCGTCTACGAACCCTACCATTCGCAACCACCCGACCCGAAGGTCGAAGTCCGAGAATCGTAACCAGTAATTGAAAGCGAGCGTCCGCCCATCCGTCCCTCCGTCCCTCCATCCATCTATCCGCGAGACCACCCACCAAAAACTCGGCCCTCGATCCGTCAAGACCACGCACACATACCACATAATCACAGAAAAAGAAGAGCAGCAAGCAGCAACCATGGTCGCCGACGCAGTCATCTACCACCCGACGGTGGCGCACTACCTCAAGTTCGTCGCGACGACGGTGGGGCGCGACAAGCTGCTGCGCACGCTACAGTACTTCGCGCGCTTCTACGCGTGGTACCTGCTGCGCACCAACGGCACGCGCGCCGAGATCGCGCCCTTCGACGCCATCAAGAAGCAGTTCGGCGCCGCGCGCAAGCTGCTGCGCGCGGGGAAGAACGTCGAGCACTTCAAGGCCGCCGCCGTCGCCATGGACTCCAAATCCTCCGCCGCCTCGGGCATGGACCCGGTGCTGCGCTACGCGGCTGTCGGTCGACAGCTGGGCTATGCGGGGTACTTGACGTTGGATCTGATGGCGCTGCCGGATGCGCTGGGCGTGAGGAAGTGGGAGGGCGCGAAGACGGTTGGACGCGAGGCGTATCGGTGCTGGGCGGTTGGGCTGGCTTGCAGTGTTGTGGCGCAGAGTTATACGCTGTTGCGCCTGAGAGAGCGCGAGGCGCGTGTTGATCGGAAGGAGGGCGAGGGTGTGGTGGAGAGTAAGAGGATTGCTAAGTAAGTCATGTCGAGTCGAGTCACCTACCCACCTACCCACCTACCGCCGTTGTCTTGCCTGCCTACCTATCAACTATAGATATGGCAGCAGGCTTGGCCCGTTCTTTGCTCGAAGCGGAGTGGGTACATGGATGGATGGATGGATGCACGGATGAAGTACATGATGGCTGACAACACTTCACTTGGGCACAGGGAGCGCACCACAAGCCAGCTGCAGCTGCTGTCCGACCTCTGCGACCTGACGATCCCCACGTCGGCGCTGGGCTGGGTCGGCTTCGACGACGGGTTCGTCGGCCTGGCGGGCACGACGAGCAGTTTGATCGGTGTCTACAACCAATGGAAAAAGACGGCGTAAATGGGTGCGTGAGTCTGTACACGGCTGTTATCGAAGACGGCTGTGGGACGGGACGAAAGGGGGTGGGTGAGTGTGGTGAGCTGGTACGGACGGTCTGGATTGTGATATACAGCCGTAGCCGTAGCTCGTACGCATGAGGAAAAGGATGAAGCCGTGATGAGGCGGGCGAATGCGCGAGGACTACTGAGGGAGGTTCCTGACTCGCATGTGGTGTTGCGCAGTCGCTACTATATCGCGCTGGAGTTTGTTGTATCATGTACAACATAGGAGTTTTCTTCAATTACGACCTATCGATGTTCTAAAATCTGAGTTTTTCGCTTTTACGGTCGATCGACTACCCCTCGGAGTGGACATACAGTAGAGAGGCCTTGAGGTTCAAGGCAGACAGGTCTATGGAGTTCGGCACTCTGACACATCGTGGGTCCTTCATCTACACAGCTAAAATGAAGCTCTCAATGTGTCCTCGACCGGCAGTTGAGATGATTACTGTTGTATATGCTGAGAAGTCCCCGTCTATGCCACGAATAGGCTCGGGTCGTAGTGGGAAACCCCATGTTATATGGTTATATACAACACACGGTGCCTTGTGCAGTTGCTCTGCTTTTCCACTACCACCATCCTGATAAGAGGCACCGATCACGAGGACGCCTTCCGTGCTTTACGTGCTATTCCGTTACCGCATTATTGAAGGTCCAGACCACGCTTCGCCTTCACATTCCTGAGTCGGCGCCTCAACGAAACCACAGCCATCACGTGCACCCTTTCCGGGCTTGAGTCACTACCTACCTAGCCCCTATCCGCAGGCAGATCAGCCATTTCGCCACCTCGTACTCCCATATCTCTCGTCTATCCCCCCGAACATGATCGGAACAGACAGGCGCCTTATGAAGCCGTCACTCACAGCTGAAGGATGTATGATCAAGCGCAAAGCGTGATGAGCGCCCTTGCAGTCGCAGTCTCGCGGCAGGTGTGAGTGATACGGTGACTGGGATTCATCACAGCCTGTTCCGTGGATTGTCCTCTGTATATCGGTCAAAATGGCAGCAGAGTACATGGTGCCTATACATGGATTCCTCTCATACGTGCATGATACAATGGCCGGAAACCGCGAAGATAGTGGGTGAGTGATCTGGGCAGCAAAGAGAAGCGCACATGTGAACAGCGGGGTCGCGCTTCCATCAGCCCATGATGCTTCCGTACGTATCAGCAGGCTGTTTGATCTCACAGCCTGGACGGTCCTTTGCTTCAGTTACGGGTGAGTGGTAGATGGTGGATTGTCCTCAGAATGCTAGGGGAGTGGCACTGTGGCTGTCAAGTGACTTTTTGTTTTACTATACAGCCTTTCCAGGGCGCGGGTTTTGTTTTGTAGGGCCTACCGAATGAACGCCGATGTGAAACTTGCTCAAGCTGGTGCGAGGTCATACTTAGAGTTGTTATGAACGAGATGCATAAAGAGGCTGCGCGCCTGGGAGTAAAGGCGCTAATGTATTACAATGTGACACATACTGGAGGAAGCCACAAAGTATTTCCGTTTGAATCCCTGAAAGAGCGTCTAGTAATCGTCGTCCAGAGATCACAATCATCGCTCTCGACTGGGTTGGGAGAGAAGAGAGGTCGCCAGCTACAAGGAATCGAATCCTTCGGCCTGCCCGTGGATGATTTGTGTTCTAGGGGAGCTGGGAGAAGGGACTTGCATATCAAGAGAGGACATGGACCCAATGCAGCAAGCAGTGAGGTTACACGGCAATAGTATATTGGCAGACCGTATCTCAATTCGTCTGTGTCTGTTGCGTGCCACGTTTTCATCAGCATGGTGTTCCGGATGGAGAAAAGAGGCTATCCCTTTCTATCACTTGCCCATGTTTGAACTCTGGCTGTCCTCTGACACGTGCAAGATTACCACATCTACATAGAGCTCACTGCAGCCAAGACGGCGGCCGAGCCTCTTGTAAATGCTTGTCCCGTCTGCACGCTAATAATAATAACATTGAATACTAGGTAAGGTACAGACGCAGAACTGGCAAAGTGCAGAGCCCATGGCCAGCACGTTTCCCGGCCTTGGCACGAGGTCGAAACATAGCCTCTGATTGGATGATGATGAAAAGCTTATCTCTCGATTTTTGAGGGGCCGCGCAAATACACTTCCATAAGTACCTAGGTACCTGAGTACCTATGTACTAGAGATGAAGCTGGAACATTGAAATTCAAAGGCCAGAATAGGTAAGGCAGACATCCGCTCCGTCATGGGCAAATGCCATGTTTTGGCTATCAGACATGCCTCCAGAGTGCTGTGTAATCTTGGCCGAGATGACTGGCCGAGGTGGCAGGCCCTCGAAGCTGGGACGAATCAGCAGATGGCATCACGGCCAACCATCCCAACCTGCAGAACAGCCGCAGATAGGAAAGGCCGCCATGAATCCATGATGAGAGAGATCCGCCGCGCCTTCCCTCCTACAGTCGGCGCCGGAGGAGGAACCCCGCAGTACCCCGAGAGTGCAGGTGGACTGGGGTGGACACCTGCGCATGTTCAACACATTAGTCTAGTCCTAGAAAGGATGGTACTACAACCTTACCTAGAGAGGTACTCTTACATACTTCCTACCTATCTGCGCGTCTTGGGTATTTAATATTCCCGACCTCTTCATCCTACCTAAAAGCTCTCTCACTACTTTAATAATTAATCCTACAAGTACCCAGCCTCTCATTTGCGTCTTGACCTAGGACCTACTTCCCCCCCCCCCGTCGAAACTATTCGACGTTGCTTTCTGTAGCTATATCGTTGCATACCTAGCTATCTATCATTTCACTGTAACCAGAACAGAGTGATCGCGACGACGGGAAACATGTTCTGGCGCAAGAAGCAGGCCGTCGAGCCAAACGTCTCCGAGACCACGGTCGACGCCGAGACGGCCGGAACACCGCCCATCACCCAGAAACCCTTCCTGCAAGCTATATGGCCCGTCCTCGCTTGCGGCGCAGGACTCTTCTCTGACGGCTATGTCAACAACGTGCGTGTGCCCGTCAGCCTCGACATTGCGACTCCTGTTAACTAGGTCGTCATGTGTAGGTTATCGGCTCCGTCAACACGACGCTGAAGTACGAGTATGGCGACGTTTACAAGAACTCAAACGCCTACAGCGTCGTGCCGGCTATCGCCTTCGCCGGAACGGTAGGAACCCCTTGGTGCTATTGACCACACGATTGAGCTGACAAATGGGTATGCGACAGGTCGTCGGCCAACTTGTCTTTGGATATACCTCCGACAAGTGGTCTCGCAAGGACTCCCTGCTTGTGTCTACCGTCATTCTGATTGTCTTCACCGCACTTGCAGCCGGGTCTTACTGGCATGGCGAAGCTCACGGCTTGTTCAGCATGCTGACCGCTTGGCGGTTCTTCGTAAGTCAGTTCCATGGTCTCGACCTGTATGGTACTAATGAGTTGCTCTAGGTCGGTGTTGGAATTGGAGGTAAGAGAAGTTCTGTTGCTTTACTAAGACTCGACTAAATGTGTACACAGGCGAATACCCAGCCGGCAGTGTAAGCTGCGCCGAGTCCACCGGTGAGCTGAAAGGTGGCACCCGAAACCGCTGGTTCATTCTGTTCACCAACTCCATGATTGACTGGGGGTTTGTCATCGGTGCATTTGTGCCCTATGTCGTCGCGGCGGCGGCGCACAACACTAACTACGGCACCATATGGCGTACAAGCTTGGGAATTGGCACTGTCTTCCCGCTCATTCTCTTCATTCTGCGTCTGAGGCTCAAGGAACCTGAAGAGTTTCAGAGGAACTCTATGAAGCACGTCAAGACTCCATACTCTCTGGTCCTTAGATTCTATGGGTACCGTCTGTTCGTTGTCAGTCTGATCTGGTTCATCTACGATGTGAGTATTGTGCCCTACCCTCTACAGATAAGCCAGCTCACACCTGTCAAGTTCTCGGCATACGCCTTTGGAATCTTCTCCAGCCCCATCCTTGCTAGTATCTATGGTGAGGGTGCTCCATTGACGACTGTCTTTGGCTGGAACACCGTCATCAATTTGTTCTACATACCCGGAACCATGCTCGGCGCTCCCGTCAGCGACCGCTTGGGGCCTCGCCTTACTCTTGTTATCGGTGTGCTTTGCCAAGCTATTATCGGTTTTATCATGGCTGGCTGCTACCCCCAACTGGCTCAGCCGAACGTTGTCGGTGCTTTCGCTGTTGTATACGGCATCTTTCTGGCATTCGGTGAATTTGGACCGGGCAACAACATTGGTCTTCTGGCGGCCAAGACCTGCGCCACGGGGGTTCGCGGACAATATTACGGCATCGCCGCCGCCGTTGGAAAGATAGGCGCCTTTGTAGGCGTTTACGTGTTCCCCTACATTGAAGCTGCTGGGGGCACAGGGGCAGGTTTCTACCAATACCCCTTCTACGTTAGCTCGAGCTTGTGTATTCTTGCGGCGGCGCTGGCATGGTTCTGTCTCCCCAACATTGACCAGGACACCATCACGCTGGAGGATGAGAGGTTCAGGAAATACTTAACGAGCAAGGGCTGGGATGTCCGACAGCTGGGCCTCAACAAGGGGGAGAGTCTCGATTCCATGCCGGCGGAGACAGGGGTCCAGAAGGCTTGATTGGAGAACAAGATTGGATCCGACTTGGTTCGAGAAGGTTGCAAGTCAGTCGTTATGCTTCGATACCCCCTTTCCTGGATAGTGTGGATATGATTAAGACAGTATCAACCACTTTAAACCAAGCCTAGGTGCACACTCGCTCATGTGACCGGGATTGGAAGCAGTCAGCCATTGACCAAAGACAAAACCGTAGCCCAGTGTATTTGGCCAAGAGTGATCCTCCTGGAGGTGGTAGGGTAATAATACCAAACAGTGCTTCAGCCGCTAGCTGTGAGACAAAGGTACCTGAAAGGAGAAACTGGGGTTAATGACTGCTTGAAGGCGACTGCCCCTATCTTTCCAACTCACCGGGACGCTGGCCAACGCTCCTTAACGATTCCAGTACGATGGCTGTGCACCTTGCACCCCTAGCGCTGACAACGTGCTTATGGGTGAGCACGGGATGGGCTTACTGCGTAACTATGTGTGGTCCCGGGATGGACTCCTATTGGCAACATGGCAATCCACAGTTCCGCACATCGAAGAGTTCTGGAACCCTTCGTGTTGGTGGTGGCTGAGACTGAGAAGAAAACCCCGGGAACCCTGTGGTCGTGACTAAGAGAAAAATCCTGGAGACTTTCCTACCCATGTGCCGTCCGTGCAGCTGATCCTCCCCAGCTCTACGGTTCACGAGCATACAGCTGACCCGGGGTTCTGGTAAGCCACGAGGCACCGGTGCATCGGTTTGCGGTCCGTCGTTCCAGGCAGGAGGCTCAGTTGACTCGGCAGCCCTACGCAGATTACGCATAGATGAAATCGCTCGGGTCCGCTCGCTACGGTTCTTCACTGGTTAGTCGTTTGTCTTTGGCTTCTTTGAGCTCGACCGTAGGATGTGTTCGATCATGAGATGTGCTCCTCCGTGAGATGTGTTCTTTCGTCCAATAGTGATAGGTTTGTGGTCGAGTTCTATTTTAACTTACTCCGCGTACTCCGATAGAGTTTGGACCACAACTTCCACTCTGACTTAGTGTGCGTGGTCTGATGAAATCCAGACCACAACTTCTAGCTCTCCATTACCGTCTTCGACGGCTGTGGAATGCTAGTACGACGACGATCGATCAGTAATCTCACCCCGGATGCTCAAGGACATCATCAGGGATTCAACGGCTCGGTGCTTACTGACTCTGAATCCGGCCGCTGCGATGACCTAAAATGATGACAACTCTGTTCACCTGACCGAAAGGACTCACCGGCTCACCGCGTAGCCTCCTCGAAGCGTGTTGCTTGTTGGCTCTGTCATTGGCGCAGTGGAGGAAAAGTCTTATTCACACCCAGGTCACGATTGAGGATAGCGTTCATGCTAAGAGACGCTCTGCCCTCACGAGGACTTCCGGCTGGGCCGTGTGGTGAGATGAGACCTTCTGCTAGTGAGGCACAGGTAACGCCTCTCAGATCTCATCACACCGACTAATGGGAATGTAGCCGAAATTCCGTCGGCAGGCCTTCTTAGAGGACAACGAGGATACCAAGATTCGCGGCCTGAGCTGGGATGACACTACCATCGCCGAACGGTACACTGGCGAGGCCGGCGAGGAGTGGAAGGAAAGGCTGAGTGGCAAGGGCGAGTGCAAGGAAAGTGACAGGCGCGCGGTCGGTCCTAGAACTAGTTCTAGAACGAATATAAAAAGGAGCGACATGCCTCTCCTTCTCATCCATTTCCTCACCACGCCTCACCACACCTCCCCCATACCTCCAGCACCTTGTCCAACCCCAAAACCACCAGTCCTTCTCCAGACTCCTCCAAGCAAAAGCTCCAAGCCAACCAACCACCACCATGCAGTTCGCCACCAGCCTCGTCTCCCTCGTCCTCGCCGCCGCCAGCGTGCGTGCCGCTCCCGGCACCTCCGTCAAGGCCGCCGCCCGCCAGGAGACCCCGCGAGTCTACGTCAAGTTCTTCAGCGACAACGCCTGCCTGGGCACCTGGGTCGAGGACACCGTCTGGGTGCAGAACCCCACCGACACCTGCCTGGACGTGAACATCCCCGAGGGCTACAACAGCTTTCTCGTCGTGGACAACTACGACACCACTACCCGTAAGTAACTACTTAACTCATTCCCTCATTCCCTCATTTCTCGATGTTGTGGTGATGATGAAACCGAGGACGCCTGACGCTAATGATGATGTCTCGTATACAGTTCGCGTCTTCAGCCTGAACGGCTGCAACACGAACACGGGCAACTACGTCGACATCGCCCCTGGCGTCGAGCAGTGCTACGCTCAGCACGCCGGATCCGTCGAGTTCCTCTCATCCTAGATCGCTTCAGCGGCGCATGGCGTGGTGCTCACTCAGTGAGCTGAGCGTCGTGTGACTGTCATGCAAGAGCAGGCAGGGAGATGAGATAGATATGGAAGGATACAGAGTTGGACTCGCGTCATGGACATTCTCTTCTGGTCGCTTTCTCTTCTAGTTGCTTTACACAAAATAGGGACTTGTCCCTCATTTTTCTTCAGTACATGAATGCAAATATGGTTGGCCACCAATCCTACATCGTTTTGCTGCTACAATGATGAACGAAACTGTCTGGTTACCAATACTGAGGAGTCTCGCATCCAGCCTTGGATGAGGCAAATTTGAGCATTGAACTGGTTCACTGTAGGTACTGACCTCGTATAAGCCACTGGCTGTAGAGATACAATTGTATTGAGACCAGGAGATATAATCTCTCGGGTATCCTACATGACAGTCGGGCGAGGGGCCCCGGGGTATACTCCGACCTGCCCGCGACTTCAGTGCTCGACACTGGTACCAATATCACGTTTCAGAATCATCAATATGCTGACTTGCCCAAGGGCTCTTCTGGCGTATCGCCGGCCCGTAGCGTGCAAGCACGAATGGTATCGGGATCAATGCTATTCCCAAGAAGGCCAGCAGGCTTGCTCCCCACTGGTAGCCGAGGTTCGCGAACAACTGCCTCCCGAACAAGGGGAAGACGGCACCGAATATGTTACGAACCAGTCCAATGCCTGCGAGTGCAGAGGCGGAGAAGACCTATTATTTGTCAGCAAAAATACCGGTATGCGGAATGATGCGTCGCTAAGCTTGCCCCATAAGCATCTTCAGTGTACTGGAACGTCATCAGGATGAGCGTATAGAAGGACCACCCCCAGAACGCCGACGCGACGATAGGTACTAGTGGATGTATGCTTGTGTACGTTGTCCACGCGAAGAAAAACATCGACAAGGGGAAGACTGCACCGCATCAGTATTGTCAGGGGCAAAGAGTCATGGGATACTCACCCACGGCAGCCACCATGGCCAGATGCAACCTCGCCTCAGGAACAGTAGTGTTTCCGGCCGCCGAAAGACGTTTCTGGTACTGCCTCTCCTGCCAGATATTGGTGAACGGACCCAATGAAATGCCCAGAGCAATCCCCAGGAATGCGCATCCAACTCCGATCTTGGAGAAACCGTGCCCTTCTTCTCCGAAGACCATGCCAAATGCCCCATTGAAGAGGAAACTTAGCCCATATAGGTACCCATTATACAAGGCAGCGAAAATGACGATAGCTTCCGTGAACAGGAAACGGAAAGGTCGTGTCAGAGCGACACTGAATAACTCATTCGCACTCCTGTGCTTAGGGGCTTCAGCTGCCGCGGCCTCTGAGTCGAAAACCTCATGTTTCGCCAAAGTCCTGGCTCGCCTTCGGAGGATAGTGGTATGTCTTGTTTCTCGAAGTGTCAACGCCATGATGAGCCACAGCCCTCCACATATGCCCAAGAGGGCCCAAAAGACTTCTCTCCAGCCTCTGTACTCAGCAACGAAGGACATGGCGAGGAAGCCCGAGGGGCTTCCACACGTTGCGGCCCAGAGATATATCGACATGGGCCTACCGGTCTTGTGATGTGACCACATGTCGGCGATTGAGCCTCCAAAGTTGGCTGCTCATCGGAGATTTCGTTGATTAGCCGTCATCTCCAAAGGCCAGGGAGACACGGCCGACTAGGTAATCTCACTCACCGATAGTCACAGCGGCGAACATTCCACTGAAGAACCTCAACACCATGAACCCAGGCACACTCTGAACAAGAGCCGTCGCCGCCAGAAAAAGCAAGAAGACAGCATATGACCCAATATAGATCACGCTGCGCCCGAAGAACTCACTTAGCGGCGCGAGCGTCATTGGTCCGAAAGCCAGGCCGAGGATGTACAGACTCAGGCCGAGCGTGGCGACCGTCTCGGAGACGTCGAAATCGGCACGGAAGCTGGCCGCTGCCGGGGAGAAGCCGGATGCGCCCCACGACACTGACAGGTCGATCGGAGTGATGGCGGCCACGATGAGCCATTTGCGCCACGAGGGCCAGTTTCGCGGGTTTGACGGGTCGTTCATGGTGAAACGGTCTGCCGGCACTGTAGATGGAGTGCTTCTAGAGGAGGCGAGGAGGGGAGTTGAAGCCGACGGGGCAGTCCCGGTGGCCTCTGCCACCCCTCTACCTCCTGCCGACATGTTAGGAATTTGCGAGCGAGAAATCTAAGGTTGAAGAAGTGTCCTGGCCGAGGCAAAGCTTGCGATTACGGTTGACCTCACCGCGGATATCCTGGATGTCCAGACTTCCGGAACCCCAATTTGCGGAGAGGATGGAAAGGTGCCTCTCATCACTGATGTAGCGTGAAGTCTGGTGTGATAGAGACAGAGACCCCTACCCGACGGCGCCAATGACGATATCGGCACACGGCTTGCGGAGACGGCTTATCACGTGCCAGCGCGACGCCAGCCTCCCGGCGCTCAACAATCCGCCCACGGCACTGAACTACATGAGCCCAATAATCCTCAATACAGGTGAAGCCATCTAGTACTTGGTTTACCTATAGACGGATTACCGAGGGCATCCTGGCATCGGATAGGCGGATACCCCAACACTGGGCACGACGGACACCTACACCCAACGGGGCCTAGTGACGACCTTCCCAAAGGACAGCCCTGGTACCTGAGTAGCAAAGGGAATATGAAATTGATGATATGAGGGCCGTGGTAGTATATGACCATATGCGATTACAAATGGAGAGGGAGAGTTAAGAATGCGATAGAGCTGACCAAGGCGATCACGATATTCGACATGCTGGGTAGCTGGAGGTGTCACCCAGCTAAATTGTTACATAGTGGAGAAGGGACGTCCCGCAGCTAAGCAAGCTCCGGAGTCCGATATCTAGACCCACTTTGGCTAATGACGAGAAAGTGGAAGTTCCCGCTGTGGTCGCATGTTCTCTCGTATGACATGCCACCCAGAATCGATGTCCGGGCCAATGCCGTCCAGTCCTTTACCAATCCACCCTGCGAAAGCCCAGCTCAGCGCAAACACTCACGCAACAGATAAAGACACTGCAACGCTCCCAAGATGATGGAATCCAGACGACGGCTGCTGGAGCGACCTATCTACCTCGCCATCCCCATCCTCATCGGACTGTTCATCACGCGATCTCCATTCCTCATGTCAGCCGTAGCACCCACCGAGGGCAAGCCGTGGGCTGATGCCCCGATGAAGCTCATCACCACGCCGCAGTACGAGACCAAAAAGGTACCTATTTGATTTTGTGGGCTGGAGCCGTGAGCTTGAAGTTCCCATCGACGCTCCTGCTCCGGACGGAGTCCGTCTTAGTTCCGAGTGGTAGTCCCGTAGCTGACCATGGACGGCCCCGGCGCGTTCTAGACGGACATATTCACTACCGGTGCCACCCACATGGCTTTACTGCACAATGCGATCCTCCGCGGCTACAACTCCATCTCCCAGCAGGCGCCTCACATCAAGCCCGCCGACAAGGCCGACTTCATCGGATATTCCCTGACATGGCACAAGTTCGTCAAGACGCACCACGATGACGAAGAGGCGACATTATTCACCAAGGTAGAGGAGGTGCTGGACGACAAGACACTCTGGGAGGAGACGCACAAGGAGCATGGTGAATACTGACGGACCCCTACCCCATGGCATACGCGTAGACAATGGTGTCCTTCAGAGCTGACATCCGACGTCGCGACAACAGAATCCTTCCTCGGCGGCCTTTCCCAATTCGAGAAATACCTGACCACGCTGAAGTCGCCTTCGGACTTCTCCGGCACCGAGCTCACACGCATCATGTCGACATTCCAAGAACCGTTCGAGTCGCACTTCCACTCCGAGATCTCGACCATCGCCGCGCTCGCCGACCACCCGAAGGCGCCGAAGCCAGGTTCCGAGGAGGAGGCCGCCGCGTCGCTGACGTTCAAGACCTGGGGCAAGAGCACGGTGACCAAGGCCGGGACGCTGGATGTGGTGCCGTTCTTCCTGCTGAACCTCGACGGCACGACCGAGGACGGCCTGTGGGCTAACTGGCCGCCGATCCCGGCTCCCATCAAATGGGGTCTGACGAATATTGCTGGTGCGTACTACTCGCGGTGGTGGAAGTTCAGCTCGTGCGCGAATGGGAAGCCGAAGCAACTGTATGCGTTGCAATAAGAGAGGTGATCCATTACGAGTCGCAGTCTGTAAGCGTTGGTGATGCGAGTACTGTGCTTCTTGATGCGACTAGACAGGAGGAATGAAGCGACCTTGGGATACTTGTTGGTCTTTGTAGGAGCTCTGGGCGTATTTCATGGTTGCCTGATCGACTTCAATTTTTGGTGGGGTGTTCGGAGGCTTTGACGATCATACCCACTTTATTGCACTTAGTGGGGTGCGACGACGTGTAAAGTACTTCCATTGTGGTAGTCGCGCCAAACTTAAGAATATTAAGATCCATTCCTCCCCTCTACACCCACCGAAGATTATCGTGGACAACCTTCGTGCCCCAACAGCACGGAACGCCTCGAGACCACGTGCAGAACGGACCGTGAAGCTGGAGACACAAGTACAAGTATCAGATTGTACCGACTCAGGCGCACCTCCCAAGTCCTCCTCTCGAACTTAGCGACACCGACCGCCGTCCCTCGAACCAAACACCCACCACCCACCACCCACCAAACACCCGAAACCCCCTCCCAACCGCCCACAATGCAAGGCTTCAACATGGGCCGGTACGTCCCGCCGGACGTCGAAGGCACCATAACCAGCGGCAACAAACTCCACAAGAAGCACGCCCTCGGCGCGCGCGCCTCTAAGCTCTCCTCCCACGGCGCCCTGACCGTGCGCTTCGAGATGCCCTTCGCCATCTGGTGCGCCACCTGTCCCAAACCGACCATCATAGGCCAGGGGGTACGATTCAACGCCTCGAAAACCCGGACCGGGTCCTACCACTCCACGCCCATCTACAGCTTCCGCATGCGCCACCCGGCCTGCGGCGGCGATATCGAGATCCGCACCGATCCGGCTAATACGGCGTATGTGGTTACAGAGGGGGCGCGGAAGCGCGACACGGGTGAGGGGAAGTCGGATCGAGTGGTGTTGCCGGGCGGGTACGAGGTGCAGGCCGACGAGCTCGCGGAGGGCGGGGTGAAAGTCCTCACGGAGAAAGAAAGAGAAGCCGCGCGCGGCTCGGCGTTTGCGCGTCTGGAGAAGACGATTAAGGACCGCGAGCAGGCAAAAGGGGCGCGTCAGCGCATCGACGAGCTCGCGGACGAGAGCGCGCGCTTGTGGGAGGACCCCTACGCGCAGAACCGGCGGTTACGGGACGCGTTCCGCGTGGGGCGCAAGACGCGCGAGGGCGAGGCCGAGACGACCGAGGAGTTGCGCTACCGGATGAGTTTGGGGATCGAGCTTGTGCCCGGTACCGCGGAGGATGCGCAAAGGGCGGCGCTGGTGGATTTTGGACCCGGTGAGGGCGCGGAGGGGAGTTGGGGCGCTGAGGCGCTTGCGAAGCCGTTGTTTGGGGCTTTGGGAAAGGAAGAGAAAGGGAAAGAGAAAGAGATGGCGAAAGCAAACGGGCAGAAGAAGACGACCTCGACGTCCTCGAAGGAGAAACACGGCAAGAAGAGGCTGAAGTCTGAAATCGCCGCCTCCCAAATGCGCGAGAGTCTTGTCTTCGAGATCGTCACCAATACGCGGGTCGCGCAGGATCCGTTCCTGTCGTCAGATCATCGAAAGGGGGATACTGGAGTGAACATGACGAGGATACCGGGTATCAAGAGGAAGAGACGAGAAATAGAGGAGGAGGCGTCGGTAATAAAGGGGCCGGGTCCTGCGGAGGAAGAATGGGGTAAAGGGGCGGTAGCCTCAGCGGCGTTGGTCGAGTACGACTCGGATTGAACCGTGCCATTTGCATGCAATACGGCGTTCGGGGACTGGTTTACATGCTTATTACAGAGATACCCTACAGAAACTACAACTTCCACATTCATATTAGCATCGTAGGCGCAATGGGGATTGATCGAGAGTGCAAACAGCTCCAACACAGTGGTTAGTCTGAATTCATCATTTGATGGGCGTTGTATTACGATAGAAGTTTGACGCCAAGAAACAAAGTGCGATGCAGCCTGCCACCCTCACATGGTTACCAAGAAGTTCACATTAGAAGTTCACATTAGAACTCTTCCAAGAAAGCGGTTCCAAAAAGCAAGAGGGGAAGAACACAACCAGAAGCCATTCAATAACGCAGAAACCCAAACATCAGTGCCTCTTGGAGGGTTGCCCTGAACTCGATATGCAAACTCCGCTTCATGACACCGTGCACCTATACACCACCAGGGAAAGGAGAGCGGATCCGAAACTCCGCGGATCCTAAAGAACGCCATCTATTCGAAAGAGGAGAGATTGCCCGGTCGCATCACCTGCGGCAGACTACTACTCGTCCTACACGTCATCCATCTGGCCGGCGGGTTCTTCCTCCTCGTCGCCAAAGCTAGCGACTGAAGACATGTCGTCGTCGTCTTCGCTTTCCGCTCCTGCTTCGTCCGCGGCTTCCTTGCTAGCGTACTTTTGCACGTACTCTATGCAGATGTTAGCAAATGCAATGCTACATTGCTTCCATCGCGACCAGGGAAGATAGGCATACCCTTCACCTTAGCATCGTAGCTCTTAGGCTCTCGCATAAGGAGCGCGGCAGCTTCGCCGTTCAAGGGGTCGGCGGGGTTTGGGTATCGGAGCAGTTGCGGCAGAAACACCTCGAAGATGTTGATCATGTCGAACATCGGGGACCACGTCTGGTTAATAACGTCAAGACAGACCGAGCCCGACCTATCGTGTAGTACATCGTTTTAGTCCCCAAGTGAACCGAGAAACTTGAAATCTCAGATCTCCACCTCCCAAACTTACAGCTCATCGATATTTGGGTGAAAGACTCGATTGACGAAGCCAATGCTCGGCGACTTGTAGGGGTATTGGTCGGGCAACTCGACATGGACCTTCCAGACGCCGCCCTCGAAGGGAGCTGTACCAGGTAAGTGGGTGGATCGACTCGAGTGCATACGAGGGCTACTCACTCTCTGCGGGACCCTTAAACCGAACGTAGAACTCTTGCCTAAGATGATTGGTCAGGATTTAGGTTTGAGGTTGGAAACGGCGCTGGGGATTACACTGTAAGCTCAGTTAGCAACTCGTCTACCAACGCAGATAGGCTGGGCCAGTACTGTTGTCGTTGACCAAGGTAACCTCATAGTCACTCATAAGCCTAGGCTCGTTAGTTTAGGGGGACGAGAGCTGATTGGAACTAAGTCTTCCTACATCCTACACGACTGTTAGTAATAAGGGCAGACTGAGACTTTGGAGGAAGCGGGCATACTTCATCACCTAGATGGTTAAGTTAGTCGCTTAAATTAACAAGCACAAATTCATGAACTTTGGGGGACATACATCCGTCTCGATGCGTCGGCGAGGACTACTCATGTTGGCGGTTGCTGAGCCGAGCTCCCGGTGAGTTCCCAGTTGGCACCCAAGACCACAACGTAACAGTCCTTTCCGCCTGGTCTTTACTGGGAGATTCGAAACTGTGATTTCCGAATCGGAAGATATACCGCAAGATGCCGCCAGTCCTTGTTATTCTGGCGTTTGTAAAGTAGTCGGCCCCGGTCTTTTCTTCCGTCCAATGTCGTTGGTGGCCGGTTTGGGCAAAGTAGGGCTTCGGGTTCCGAACTCTGGCTGGGCTTGATAGGTTCGTCGATTGTGGTCGGATGTCTCAAAGCTCTCGAAATTGATAGCTTGTATTGTTGGCCGTCTGTAGGTAGGCTCGGGGATAGCTTCGTGACGGGAGTCCTGAGGAGGTGATGCTCAGTGCAGAGACCAGGTGGGTTCGTTGTTGGTGGCGTGTGGGAAGGCAGAGCAAGATTTTCTTTGTTCGGAGAAATAGATGCTTTCCCAAGAAGGTCAGGTCATCAAAAAGTATGGGATGCTGTGGGTGGTATGTGGAATGGTGAAGATGGGAGGTTGTTGGAGGGCGGGGTGTACCGAGTCGTTGAATGCACCAGGGCAAGTCGGTGAATGATGTCGCTGATGATGCTGGGAAAGAGTTATTCGATAGTTGGCTTGCAGGAAGGAAGGAGTCAGACTGGAGGAACGCTATGCTGTAGGGATGCAGTTGGAATAGAGGGAAGAGGAGGCGTTGTCGCTCGGCAAGGTTGACTCAAACGAAGGTAACCCGCAGCTGTCGGGTTGTCTCGTTGTCACAGCTGGAGGTCACAAGGACCAACATGGGCGGCTTATGACGAATGCGGGATGGACCGATAAGCAACCTGGCACGCCACCGGTACCGGATTGAGACTATCGATAGCGTCTGATACGCACGGGCTTATCAGTGCGGGTGATAAATCTGCCCTATCAGCTGCCTGTCAAACTTTCAATGGTGATGCTTTTATTACGGTAGGCGCGACTCATTCACATTCATTCACCTCTGGGCAACCAACGAAGCGGCTTGAAGATGTCATGTCCGGTGACCAGGCAGATTGCCACTCTGAGTCATTGTCATCTTACTAACTGCTCACATGTATGGGATCTGGACTTTTCGATCCAGCAGATACGAGCAGATGCGTGTAGATTCGCGCCCCATTAACCTTTGCCCCTTTCTACCAGTATCAGCAACACTGTCTACCTAAGTATGCGAGAGGTCCTTCGACGTAGAGTCATGACGGCCCTCATCAACCAAAGCCTTGGGGCAATTGCATCCCACATCCCGCAAAGTCGTATAACCTGAAGGTAGATGCCAGCCCCAGCTATCTCCCTCTCCTTCTCCTGAGGCCATCTCTAACAGGTCCAACCTAGCTTCAACACCAATGAAGCTGCTGCGTGGGTTTGAGCCACACCAAGGTCACGGACTGAATCAACTCTCAACTGTGCCTTGTGAATTTCCCCAAGACATTCGATCGACTCTTGCTCAGCCTCGAGTGAAGACTTGAGCTGGAGATTCCCACGGATATTCAGCTTGTTGGTTCGTGTAAGTTGAGCTCTTCGCAGGGCATGCAAGATCCAGGTTTCTCTTTACATCATGCACGGTTGAATCTCTTGATGCCGGTAGCCAACACCACGGGATCTGTGATCTCTCTTTGACAATAGCCCGAAACCACTACACTGAGCAATACACCCAGTCAGCCAGCTGTACTCACACAAAAACCTCATGCACCGAGGAAAAGGACTCACCCATCAGCCTCCTATCCGAAAGCCTGCTGTGCATCCGGCGGCAACTTCAGCCCAGGCAGGTTCAGTGGCGCCGGGGCCTCACCCACAATCCCGCACGCGATCTCCACGCTTCGTATGTATCCCCCAAACGCCTTCTTCTCGGGCGTAAAGGCGGCCACGTTTGAGAACGTCAGGCAGTTCGGCTCGCTGAAGACGCGCGCCTCGCAGCCGTCGCTCTGGTTCGCCACGAAGTTGCCGCACTGCGCCACGCCCGGCACGTTGTAGCATGTCGGTGTCGTGTGCGCGGACCCAGGCTTCGGCAGCGCGACGTTTACCAGTGGCGTGCCGCGGCAGTCCTTTGGGCCCGGCGAGCCGGCGAAGAGAATCGCGCTGATGGGCACGATGCGGTCGACTTCCTCACCAACTGCCGCTGCTGGGGGCGTCCAGGCCGTGTTGGAGGGGGCGGCGGCGGCGGCTGGGACTGCGGACGAGACGGTTTCCTCGGTCATTGCTTCGTCGGGCACGCAGCTGCCTTCGCTGGCTTTGGTGTGTCCGTCGACGAGGCTGGGGTAGGTCGGCTCGGCTTCGAGGCGTAACCGCTGGCCCCAGACACCGGTGGCTGACAGCCATGATACACTGAGGCCGATTAAGATCACTGCATGGTGTAGTTGGATCCTCATTGTGGTAACACGCGAAGAGCTGAATGAACGAAGTGATCGATTAAGAGGGAAGATGATTTCAAGACTTCCGAAGGGCGCGATGGGTATCGGACTGTAATACATAGCCAAGATGTGAGGCTGTGGTCGTGCGCCTGCTTGGCGTTTCATATTCCGAGGAACGACGTTCATTCCGCAGCACACATCTCCATCCAGCATCGAAATTGATGCGGCGACGTGCTGTATTGATCCGGTCTTCATCTGCCTGCGGCTCGCCACGACTTATGTGTATCAGACATACATTTCGCCACTGACTTCCAGTGAGATACCGTCCGGCCCCATGAGCCTCTCGCATTGCTTATGTTGTCTCGAGCCGAAGATGTCACGAGAATATCCCTTTACTCGACATATCTTTGCGGTCCTGCAGCCCTGCTGATCTATTGTGGAGCCCTAGGATGGAGTTAAGGGCCGCGTAGGCAGTCGATCAGAAGAGGTCTCCGAATTGGGAGAGGGCGTTGGATTTGAAAGCGTCCCTCACGATCCTGGTCTCGACTGAGACCCTGTCTTCTTCGTGTTCCTCCATGGCTCGCCCAACTCATGCCTCTATAGCGTGCACCAGCTCTACATCGCGCTGCCCAACAAGCGAGATAGGAACACCTCGTCTGCCAGCGCGTGCTTGCTGATCTTCGCTGGTCTTCGTACTACCTGATGCAACCACCCCTGGTTCTCTGTGCGGCCGCTCCGTAAGCCTACGCGGGCGCTCCTAAAAACAAGCGCCCGCTCCAGCGCACTTGTAGACTCGCCGCGCAACAGACGACCTAGGCTCACGAGATGCTGGCTTCCGAACGGCAGGACGTAGTGAAGCATACCATGGGACGGCAATAGTGGGAGATCAGGCAGGACATCTTCCAGTTCGTGAACCGTACAACTATCCTTTGAGGTTGAAGACGCCGACGCATCTTCGGCAGCCTGGGCCATTTCGGTACCACTCTGGAGGTCTTCCGACACCCGAAGAGAACCTTCAACCATGGGGACGTCGACCGCACCGAAAAGCTGCTCAAGTGCACCGCATTCAGCCTCTTGCCACCGATCACACCAGTACTCGAGGCCGACCCAGAGGGCTGCTTTCCCTGAGTCACCACCCTCCGTCTCAAGCACGTCCTCTGCAGTATTAAGATCCCGGTCTAGCTTACTCTGGATCGCTCGTTCGACCAGAGCAGTCACACCTCCATCCGGCCAGCTGACTCCCCACATCCTGAGAATACACGCCACATCCCACGAGCAGGCCCGCACGTATTTGTGGCCTGATACGGGAACGTCATGCATGATACTAAGGAGTTCCTCGGCGACCTCTTGAGCAAAGGTTCTGTAATGAGAGATTGGACGGCGATCTGTCTCTGTAGCAGGCCAAAGGTCTCCATGGCGCTCCTGCTGACCCATATACCAGACGCCAAACTGGCGTAGGCCTTCCATAGCGGCAGCGCGGTCGGATGCCCGGCCAGATTCGGACACGTCAAGTTTCATGTCAGACTCCATGGTAGGAAAGAATGCCTCACTGAACCTATTGACGGCCGCGAGGATGTCCAGGCCACTGAAGTCTAGCTCCGCGAGGGTTGCGACCAAATGGGACCGGCGGCCGTCGATGATGAGCTTCGCTAGAGCAGCTTCGTGATTTCGTACCAGGATGTTGAAGTGCGTGCTGGTCTGCTGAAGCCGGGTAACATCGACGATGTCAAGGTACGAAAGGATTGGAAAAGTGCAGTTCAGAGGGTAATGGGGAGAACGTATCGGTCGGTTTGCGGCGGTGAACAGCCGTGCTGGAGTCGAAACGCATTGGTGGGTTCATAGCTGCCATTTGCGGGTGCATCGTCCATCCGTTGAGACCGTGGGAGGCGTCGACGGTGTTTGAGATCACTAAGCAGTATGGCGGATCTGCTATGCTCGCTTTTGCCGTGAAGGGCACTCTCTATTATCTATAGTCGTGCGGAAGCGCAAGGTGATGTCTCGTACTGGCCTCATAAGTGGTGCGTCAGATGTGGTGAGTCGTACCATGGAGCAGGACTCAGCCACGGAGACGGACAAATGAGGGTGCCGGATTTCGTACCGCCGTGATAGACAGTGTTGATCACCTGGGCATCTGCAGTAAGTAGGGATACATTCACGGAGACTGACTCTTCGCGACGTTATGCGTAAGCTAACCTGGTTGCAACTCCGTCGTCTGGTGTGGCAGTCTACGAATCTTCGAAGGCTAGACCCATTTCTAGAGCACAATCGCCAAAGTCTTCCAAGCAGCCACAAAAGTTCATAGCCCAGCCCCCTATTCCACCTACATGATATATATATACGAGTTTAGAAGGGTTCCCTGTTAGCCGGGTTGGCACGGCCTAGCGAATAGCGAGTATTCATATTCTATATCCTTAGGCACAGCGGTTCGATTCCTCTAGCGGTTGATACATTCGAAACATTCTCTTTTTGTTTTTAGCCCTTCCCTACCACCCTACCTACCCCCTTTTGCAGATGTCAAATGAGCTAGCTTCCTCCTCCGGCGAAACGAATTTCGCATTATTTAGGTACAGAGACGAACAGCTCATAAGTCTTCCCAGGCTCTATCTTCCTGAATCTCGCTTCTGGCAATTCCTGACCCTCGTATTTAACAACAACCTTGTCCACATCTACCTTGCGGACATCTACTATAAAGGTTGCGCCGCGGAACAGCCGCGTGACCTTGATCCCGTCCCAGTCCGACGGCAATTGCGGTTGGATGACAAGGCCGTCAGGGTCACCTCGCAGCCCACATAGACCCTCGATGAAGCAGCGGTACGCCCACGACACAGTGCCCGTGTTGAATAACTGGCTGGACCGGCCTGCCGTCCGCGGGTACTCATGCCACGCTCCACGGTAGTAATTGGGGATATACACGGGCAATTGTCCGCGCTGCACATAGTCCTCTTCCGTCGGGCCGGGGATCATCTGCCGCAGCGCCTTGTACGCGCGGTCCCTCTCGCCAACCGAGTACAGACTATGCACGTAGAACACGGCCGCATGGTTATACACCGACCCGTTCTCAGCCGAACCGGGGAACTTCTGCGTCACGCGGCCGACGTCCTCGCGCATAGCGCTATACGCCGGGGCGAACATGACAACGCCGTACGGCGTGCTCAGCTGCTCGTCGACAGCCGGCAGCATCCGGGCGATCTGCCCGGCGCTGGCGCCGCCGCCGAGAATGGACCACGTCTGCGGGTTGAGCCAGATGCGGCCCTCGGCGTCCTTCTTGACGCCGAAGATGACGTTATCGTCGGTGATGCCGCGCGCGAACCAGTCGCCGTCCCACAGATGCGCGTTCGCGGCGTCATTGACCTCCCTGGCGCCGGCGCGGTATCTCGTGGCCAGCTCTGTCTTGCCCTGTTGCTCGCAGACGTTGGCCCAGATGTTGACGGCGTAGGCCGTGGCGAGGGTGAGCCAGCCGGAGACGCCCTTGCCCTTGTAGCCGACCATGTTCATCGGGTCGCACCAGTCGCCTTGTGCGATGTAGCTTAGGCCTCTTTCGTCTCGGGCGGAAAGTAGCCAGTCCATGGCTCGACTAAAGCGCTCGAAGACGGTGTAGGTGTCTCCGTGCATGCCCTTCACTACCTCATCTAGGAGGGCGTAGTCTGCCGTCTCTGCCAGGTAGGCTTCGAGTGTGACCGGCAGCCACACGCAATGATCGGTGTGTGGGACCTGATTGATGTATTTCAACTCCGCACCCTCTGCCAGCAAGATACCATCTGGCATGGCACCGTTCTCTTCCTGCTGGCCGGCGGCGATCAGGAAGGCCTTGCGCGCCACCTCGGGCTTGATGTACGTCATGCCCATGTTGTCCTGCAGATAATTCCGCGTCTGGGGGTCAGTGGTCAGACGGTTCACGTCGCCGTGGTAGTAGCATTGGCGCGGGAGCCAGTTGTTGACGAAGTTGTCGAGGTCCTTGTCCGGCGTCTCGATCTGCAGGCACCCGCGGCCTTTGAGGATGTATGCCGAGTAGTCCTCGGCGCACCGAGCAAAACCTTCCTTGCTCAGATACCTGGCGCGCATATCCTTTATCTCGGCGTCGTCGAGGGCAGGACCGAATAGGAAGCGGTATTCCTGCTTCTCGTCCGCTTCTAACTTCACGCGGTATTGCACGGCAGCGGCAGGCGTCTCGTAGCGAGCATCGCCTCCCTTGAGCTCCGGCTCCAGCACGGCCGACGGAGCGTGGAGGCCACCTTCATCTTCGAAAGTTTGCTGCATGGCTTCCCACGAAGTCGGCGGCGTCTCACACAGGAAGTATGACTTGTCCTTGAACAGGTTGTTCTTGAAATAATCCTCGGCCTTCTGGTAGGGCGTAATGCTGCTAGCGACCACGGCACCCAAATCCGGCCGCCATTCCGCAGACAGGTTCATCCACGACATGTACCCGAAGGGAAAATAGGGGTAGACGCTGATCCTGCGCGGCCGGCCCGACAGATTCGTGACCCTGACACTCCACAGCTCGACGACGTCGTGCGTCGGGACGCCCAGCGTCATCTCCACGCGGATACCGAGGCGTTCGACGGTCCACTTGATGTCGCTCTGGCCGACGGAGAAGACGAAGCGGTCCGGCGCGGCACGCACGGGCTCATACGGCGCCGAGAATAGTTCGTTCGTCTCCTCGTCCTTGACGTAGACGAAGCGGCCCGGGTGGTGTGCGTAGTAGTTCTGCTCGGGCTGCATGAAGGTCCGCGCCTCGAGGTTCGGCGCGTGCGCGTACTTGGCCGGCTCGGGCTGCATGTGCTGCGCCGTCGCGTACCCCCGGCACGTCACCTGGATCATCATCTGCTGGTTCCACAGGAACCCGCCGGCCTTGGGCAGCGCCGTCGGGCTGGTCAGCTCGTAGCGAGCGCCGTCGGCCGCGGGGCGCAGCAGCGTTGTGTTCGTGTTTTCCGTTTTCGCCATGCCGGTGGTGTTTGAGGAAGCGGTTCGGCTGTCATGGGCTGGTGGGGAATAATGGCTCATGCCCAACTGGAGGTCATGTCGGGTTCGAGACTATAAGGTATATTCTCGGCCCCTGCTCCAAGCGCTTGGAGCAGGGCAATGCCGGCTCGGTCTTGTGTCCTCTTGCATGAGGTTTGGGGTAAGAAACGCGGGTAAAAATGCAACGCTCCATCCTGGCCAATCGCCTACGATGTAAGCAGATCAGGTGACCCCACAGGCTTTGCAGGGGAACCCGAATATCTCCTTGATGGTTGGAGGTACTCCCGATGTATTCCGGTGTTCAATGGGGGTTTTAGTCATTTCGAAAGCTATCTGTTTTGGAACGAAGCTCCAACCTAGGAGAACCCGCAACTAGAGGTGATGTTGGATCCAGTTTGGTCTCCAAGACGGTCCCAACACTTCGACCGCAGGTAGGATGCCAATGGCGTCCAAGTTGTGCTCCGGATATGAAGAATCTTACTTGGAACTGTGACGGGATGGACGGATGATATGATGGGAGCCCAACTCGACAATGAATTCAGGTAGGCAATGTGAGCGTGCTGTAGAACATGCCTCAAGCAGGTTGAAATAACATGGATTGAGTTTCTAGGTACAAACGCCCCCTTCATGGGAGCCTTCCAGACTATGCGCTTGGATCACTGTGCAAGGCTTGATGTCTGCGTTGGATGGGACAAGCCTAGGGAATTAAACCCATCTCAGCTCCATCTGTATCGTTTCCGCGAAGCCGCTTGGAGCCAAGGAACCCTCCCTATCCCATCCCGTCCTCTGTGAGTCCTCGTGGGTTCCAACATGAAATGTCAGAGGCGAACGACACATCACTCAATCTTTTGCGTCTTCCTCGCCTTCTGCAGCAGTAACCATCGGCCCAGCGGCTTTCCTCTTCTCCGCCGCTTTCTCTTTCCATAGCCAGGACAGGGCATGGCGTGCCTCATAAGAGCTGCTGTTAGGGTGGATCCATAACGCAAGTCTCGAGAAAAGACAGCCGAGATCGAAGCGTTTCTTCAATGTCCCGTCGACGCGTATCGCGACGCTCCCCAGCCTCCCGAAGAAGAACGTAGCGAATGGCAGGACATTGTAACTGCACTGCACTAACAGAACCTCAAGGTAACGAATGACCCATTCCCTCATAATGTCGCCGGTGAATAGACGGTTATCAGAAAGAGCGTTCCAGTCCCTTGGCACCCTGTCGCGGCAGTAGTCGTTCAATTCATCCCGTCCTTGCCGATGGTAAACCGCCAACGGTAACACGCTGGGCCACGCGGTCGGTTGGAAGTCGATAACCAAATTTTTCACTGTGATGCCCTGCCCCGCCGAAGTAGAGTAGCAATTCTTCTTTCTCCGGCCCTTCTTCCCGCTCTGTGTTCCGACTCTCTTCCCCTGGGGCCCGAAGCGCAAGATGCCTCGAAGCAGATGGTAGAAAGGCCAGACTATGCATTCGGGTCCGCCATCTCCGCCACTAAATGACCACGTGGCGGCATCCGGCACATTGGAGATCCTGAATTGCGTGTAGAGGGTGTCCACGTTTGCTGAGACGACGGGGACACATAGCCAGGTTGGGTACATGTGAACGTTCCGGCAGTAAAGGACGTCGAGGACGTAGCTCACTGGTTTCGCAGGGGAGCGTCGAAGTAATTCTTCTGTCTCGGCACGCAATTGATGGTTTACCAGCATCAAGGGTCTGAGGGATTTCGCATGTGTCGGGTGGTTCTCGAAATGGATTTTTTCCGTGCCATACCAGGCCGATGTATCGCTTCCTGGTATGGCCATGCGCTCTTGCGCATGGAGTGCGGCATTGTCCTTCGGAGGGTCGACAGAAAGTCTCGCGAGGTCCTCAAGGATCTGATCTCTCAGCTTTCGTGGAAGAGAAAGCAGTGCCGACATCTCATGAGATCCACCTGTTGCGTTTCCGGGATATTCAGTCGATGTTGATGGGGATGGCGATCGTTGTATATGAGAGTGCAGTAGGATCCCTCGATTAATGAGCTGTGGTAGTTTTGTTGTCCTGCCGGGCAAAGCCTATTGCCGAGGCCGACTGAGTCACCAAGTAGTTATGAGCCAAATTTGAATAAGCTTTCCAGAAGCCATTGACGCCACATAACAGACATGTGACACTGGCTACCATTGCTCGAAAATGAGCCTATTCTGCTCCTGATCTTCGGCATATTAGCGGCAGATAGGTTATTCTCTCAGGTTGAAAAGTTTCATGTTTCAGGGATTCAGATAATCCGGATAGCGTCTCAATATCTTGCTCAGTCATGTCGTTCGTATACGACTCGCATAACTCTGAAGTGCCAAATTCCCTATGCCTGATCCAAATCCTGCCCTATCTCAACTCCTGCATCCCAACGGCAGCCTCGCCGTACAATATCTGCCAGAGAGGTATATCCAAGTCCGTTGCGTTCTCCATAGGCTTGAATACGCCGCGCCCTTGTTCCAAAGCTCGGTCAAGTCGGGGTGTCGGGATATCGCTAGTGAAATCTCATGCGCGCGTCCGGATCAAGGATGAGCACATAGTTGTCGGAGTAGGTGATGCCAGCTATAGTGGGCGAAGTAAAACTCAGAGGGAGAAGAAGGGCCGAAGGCCCGAGGCCGAACAGCTTCCCAAATGGTGAATTCAGTGTTGGTGTCGAAGATGCTCCGGCCAGTCGCTGATCTGGACTTGATCTTCAATGGCGCTGATGAACCCCCGGGGGCCGCCCGCGGATGCTCTCTTGCTTCCCGATGTTGGTGAACTGAGGAACGTGCATGGTCTGAGATTGGTTGCGATGATGGCCCGTGGAAAATGTGTAAGATGATCGGACTGTTCTCGGCTTCGAAGTGATGATGATGTCTGATTGAATTGTCTTAGTACGCCACCTAGACTCGAGGATCATGGACTTATATATACTTTTCATCCTACGAATCATTGATTGGGGGCTTCGAAGATGCCCAGGCAGAGCCTCGCACTCATCCCACGTGTGCAGTGGGACGATGACTGGTTCACCGGTCGAGGATGATACCTAGTGCTGACGGCCCCCAAAAAATTAGCCAATGAAGCTATAAGCGAGTTCGAAAATAGCCTCTGCCGTCATACAGGACTAAGGACTGTGCATGATTTTGCTTATGTCATATTCAAGATCAGCCAGATACGAGGATGACTGGTCACCTGATCGCACACTTTGCAGACCGCCTTTTGCGCAGCCAAGGAAAACTCGCGTACGTGAGAGAACATCGTGTCACTACACAGCCCGAATTTTGTCTAGAACGTCATCGCCCTGTGTCTCCGTGTTGAGTGCTTCCGTCATTGAATTCTTCGTAGGATTCCACCCCCAAATGAGCTGTTCGTGGACCCAGCCATCACTTCTCAAACCATGTCAACAAATCGTGTTGTTGACCTGCGGCAAGGCAAAAGATCACGGTCCGCTGGCCCTGACTTTGATATGTAACTCAAAGTCATCTGGTTTTACGAACCATCGATTCGTATGTGACCATGATGATTCGGGGCTACTCAATTTTTCGCTCAACTCGAAATCGAAATCGCGAACCAGCCGGGGAATCAGCTTGGATATCTCGAGAATTGAGACGTGTCTGCCAATACAATTGCGAGATCCCAAGCCGAACTTATAACATGTTAGCACGACGAAGCCAGTTTGAATTGTTGACTGAGCTGGGATATCAGTAGGAGCGGGCTTAAACTTACCGGCATCCAATGGCGGTTCATGAAGGAGAGCCTCTCATGATCATTGATCAACCACCGCTCTGGACGGAACTCTTCCACGTCAGGGCCCCAGATATCTTCATTGCGATGCTAAACCCAGGTATTGATGCCAACGATGCACTAGGAGGAGTAGTCAGCGTTTTGGTTTGCAGAGGCAAAGAGACAGATACAGGAGGGGGCGGGGAAGCACTTACACCCTTGGGGAAGAAGACTCCAGCGATGGTGGCCCCGCCGGATGGGACAACTCGCTCCAGAGGCAACCCCGTCGCAGGATGTAATCGCAATGCCTCTTTGATTACAGCTTGGAGATATGGTAGATTCTGGGCTTGGGCGAATGTCAACTCTTTGCCGGTCGAGTCCACCTCGTCTCGCAGTCTCTGGTACGCCGACGTATTCTTGAGCAGGTAGTACAGGATAGCAGAGAGTGTGATCGAAGTGGTATCCGACCCCGCGATCATATTTGCCCCGCATGTGGCGAGCACATGGTAAGAGGTGAATACTTCGGGGTCGTTGGAGTGCTTCTTCAGTAGCTTGGTCAAGAAGTCCACAGCTCCTTCCCCTCCTTCCTCGTCGCTCGATTCATCAGGCTCTACCTTGGGATTCGCTTGGTGCTGAGTGATCATGTTCCGAGTAAAGTTGATAACATAGGCTCTGCCCACTTCTTTCTTGCTGATGGCGTAGTTGCGAAGAAAGAACAAGTAGGGGTGGAAGCTCGGGTAGAGGCCAACTTTGGTAGCATATGTCATATCCGAGTCGATAGCCATCATGATGTCGCCGATGTCCTCACCGTGGTCCAGAAAGCCCATGCGTCTGGAGTAAGTGATCATGGAGATGACGTCGAATGCATAGCATTGCAGCCAGTGATTCATGTTGACCCTCATTCCAGCCTAGGCGAGACCCCTGATACGCTGGCACAGCAACTCGATACACTCGTCGACATACGGCTCGTAGTTCAGCATCGACGACATGGAGTAGATGTTTTGCACACCTTGCGTGTGTGCGCATGCCGCTGGATATTCCTATCCCCGAAAATGGACCAAGTGCCCGGGTTCATAAACGCGCTGTACCACGAGCTTTTCGCAAAGCGAGATCCCGGGCCATATATGACCTTGTTGGCGTCTGGGTGGCTGATGCTGTTGCGGTTCGGGCCATAACGGACGATTGGGCCTAACACAGGTCACTATCAGGTGAACAACACCGAAAGCTGACCTTCTCCTACCGTATCGATGGTGCAGGTCCCGGTTCAACCGTTCGAATTGGCCTTTGCCTAGGGCCCAGAAATACCAGGCATCAGTGACTTGGGCGGGCCAGGGACCGGGAATCGACCTCAGCGGCGAAGCCAAGTATCGATAAAGGTATGTGAAGAATGCGATGGCAGCCGGGACTACCGCTAGAAGATAAACCTTTGACCCCGAATCCATTACTGCTGCTACTCAGGGGTCAAGCTACCAGGAGGTACGTGAAACAGCCTTAGAGCATTCGTTCATTCATTCAAAGATGAAGAGAGCTTGCGATCACATCGCCCACCCTTTCTCGAGCGTCCTCTAGTACATCTCTTCGTTGCTGGTGTCAGCATACCAACGTCTGACATGCATCTCCTGCAGTTATGTTGAGAAGTTGGTGCGGGGGCGGCGGCCAACCGGCGACGATAAGGCGCATGCGGCTTCCGCTTAAAAGCGGTCCAGCACGTAAGCCACTTGCCTCAGAAAACTCAGACCGTCACCCGCCGGAACCTACCTCATTTCCTTATTCGCGTTCGATAAGCGTCCGATAAGGACATGAGAGTCTGCGTTGGAAAGGGGCAACAAGCCACCGTGGCGTCAGGGAGGTGGCAGTGCACTGATCAGGAGCTATTAGGGCATTTTGGGGCCACCTAACAACAACAGAGACTTCATAGTAACACAATTCTCAAGATCAGCACCCAAAACACATATATGAAGCATCTACGCACTGTTCAACAGTAGTATCGATGTCGTGACTCACGATCCTACCCACATGCATTCAATGACGCCAGCAAACTCGATAACATCGACAACACCGAATCTTTTAGATATATGATGTTCCTAACTATGTACGTGTCCTAGTATGACGAAATGCGTTATTCGTCTCCCTTCATGTCTATTATCTATGCTTCACGAGGCAGACATCGCATCACCAGTCTACAGGCACCGTGACGCCTCCCCTTACATCCTCAGCTGCCGGAACATCATCTCGTATGCATCCGTCACAGCTCCCCAGTGCTTTCCCTCCGGATCTGGATACAGATCAAAGAGATGAACCGCATCGTCCACAATGATCGTGCCCGAGGGGACGCCCCTCGCCTCCAGCGCGTCGCCCACCTTCCGCGTGTGCTCCCACGGGACCAGATCGTCTTTGGTCCCGTGCACGAGGAACGTCGGCGTTGTGTACTCACCTGCCACGATACGCGCATACGGGCTCGCGGCCGCGATGCGATCCGCACTCGGTTGTGGGCGTTCCATCCAGTCGACCTTAGTCCCGGCCCTCGACCCTCCTGCTGTCGCCGACGTCGTGATAGCGTCCACTGCTTTCGCCTTACTGGGCAGCCCATCCAGCAGCGTAGGCAGCGCCTGGCCCCGCCAGTTCATATGCAGGGCGATGCGCGACCGGGGATCCGTAAGCGACATCCAGGCGCCTGTGGCTCCGCGACGGCCCTCGCCCGCCGGCACGTTGTAGGCCGTGATAGGGGCGTCTCGCACACCCTCGAGCAGGTCGTACTCGCTGGCTGCGTCGGCGGCCGTGGTGCCCTGCGGGAAGTTGGGGGAGCGGAAGAAGCGGTCCTCGTAGTCGGTCGGGCAATAGAAGGCGAGAACGCCGTCGGGCGGCTGCAGCCCCCGTGCGGGCGCGGTGAAGGCCGTCGTCATGGCTAGGGTGCCGCCCGTCGACCAGCCTACGACGACTACGCGGCGACCGTCTGCCCGGACGTCGGGCCGTGCTAGGGTCAGTGTCGGCAGTTTGTGTCGGGCCCAGCGCAGCGCTGTGCACACGTCTGCCATTGGGCCCTCGGGTAGGGTTACTTCGGGACAGAGACGGTAGTCGATGCTAATAGGGAGGAAACCGCGGTCTATGAGGAGGCGGGTCTGCCTTGGTCGGATGTCCTTGCGTGATAGCATGATGTGACCTCCGCCATGGACCATCAGAGCTGCGCTCGGTCAGCGACGGGGTCGGGCGAGGTCAAGCTGTATCAGGGCCAGGCTTACCAACAGGCCGCTTGCCACTGGCCGTGTCGTCACTCCGGGGGTAGTATACTTCTGCCTGGAGAGACAGACCATCCACGTTATGATACTCTATGGTCTCTTTGGTGACCCTGGGCGACTTTTGAAGCGTCGTTTGGGTCAAGAGGTGGCCTGGGGCTGAGGCAAAGCCGACAATGAGGCGGTACTGGTCAGACTCTTCGCTGTCATCATCAGACCAATCCACATGTTTGAAGCCAGCCGCCATGAGGGTTTTCTGCCAGAGGAATTCGTCTGCCAGTGCATGGCGGCGGCCATCGTTAAAGAGCCACCAGCCCTCCAGCAACCCGAATACGCAATCCAGCCAGTAGATGTTCCTCGTCAGCTCAAGCAGGCAGACGATGCCGTCATCTCGAAGCAAATTGCGGATGTTCCGACTTGAGGTCACTAGGTCTTTGGTAGCGTGAATGCAATTGGAAGAGAGGACCACGTGGTACTGGCCGCGCAGGTGGGCAGGGGGCGTGGTCTCAACGTCCAAGACTGAGTACTCCACCGAGCGCCCGTACTGCGCAAACTTGCGTTTGGCTGCAACAACCAGCGACGACGACAAGTCAGTGAAGGTATAAGTAAACTCGATTCCAAGCGAAGCCAGCACCTGCAGGATGTGTCGGGTCGTCCCACCAGTGCCGGCGCCAAGCTCCAGGATTTTGATTTTCCCACCGCTTCCGCGGAGTCTTCCAAGCGCTTTTGTGAAGTAGTTGGAAAGCACCTTCGTTCCCGTCAACCACATTGGCGAGTTGACGTAGATATCCTCGAGAAGGTCGCGACTTGCTTTGGTGCCGAAGAGGATCGAAATGGGATCAACTTTCCCCAATAGGACGTCGGCGAGCTTCGAGCCTGTGGAGTTTAGAAGCTTGAGTTCGCCCGTGTGCTGTGGGTAGGCGACAGTCATCTCATCCAGGAGCTTTTGGATGTTCACGTTTGGGATTGGGGTCTCTGTTCTCACCAGTTTGCCGGCGTTTAGGCGAAGCAAGCCCTCATCCTGGAGGATCATGCTATACTGTTCCATTACTTTGTCATGCTTCGGGATATGAGCAATTGGCGGTAAGGGCTCCCCTGGTTCAAGCTCGCCGACATTGCAGCTCATTGCAGAGAATGCCTGAAGGACATAGGCAGATACGAGCTGTCTCTGCTTCGGGTATACATGGGTACGGAAGCCTGCGTAGCCGGCATCTTGTGAAAGTCGGAGATAGTCGCCCTTGATACTTCGGAAATCCTCGACCGCATGCTCCAGGAGGTTGAATTCCAATTCAGCCTTTGGTGTCGATGGTGCTGTTGATGATGCCTCCTGCGTGGCAGGGTTCGGCGCTGGACGTTGCACTCGCGCGGGAGTAGAGTGTGCGGGAGTTGCGATATGATCTTCCGCCGATGAGGGCATGACTAGTTTCACCAGGGCCGCGAACGTGAATCCAGGAGGCAGATTGGTCATGTCCACGTTGACACCGAACTCGTCCTCGATTGCTGACCCCAGCTCTATGCCCAGCAGTGAGTCTACGCCGGCTTCGGAAAGCAACAGGTTCGAAGATGAAGTATCGGGTATGTCAAGATGATCTCCGACGATCTTCTGTAACCTGGCCGCCACATCTTCCATTCCACTCGCCGAAGTGTCGTACGCGCTTGTGGCGGAGGGGGATGTCTTGGAACCTGACCCCCTTTCGAAGCTGGACTCCTCGTCTGAAGAGCTGCTACCGCTGTCATGAGGCTGGATCAGCGCACAAAGAGACGCTGTGCTGGCTTCCAACAGTTCATCAGGTGAAACTTGCACATTGAACCTCTCTCCGATGGCATTGATGACCTCTGTTGCCATCAGAGAATCGATTCCAGCCTGACTGAGCAACGTGTCATCCTGAAGCTCATTGAGGGGCACGTCAGCAACTTCGTGAAGCAGCTGGAAAATGGCTGATTTGATGTCCTTGGACGTGTCCCTAATTTCAAACCTGGGTGGTTTGATTGTCTTTGGAACTGTCAGATATTCTTTCTTCTCATCCTTGAGCTGGCAGTGGTCCAGACCCGTGGAGACCTGTTCTGGTCTCGTAGCAGGGGCGCTGCTTGTCGCAGACTTGTTGGCTCGTGCTAACACCTTCTGGAGGGAGTTGACATTGGTTTTGGTGAAACTGACCCCCAAAATTATCATGACTAGCTTCCGACTTGCGACGTCGAACACGTATATGTCATTGACCAACTGCCGCTCGCCCCCAGCCGTATAGTTCGAGTATACAAGCCAGGGCCCATTGCCGATCCCGTCCTGCTTCAGATTTGGTGCAAGACAGATCTCATTGACCTGGGAACAGATGAAGACTTCATCATTCCCACATTCATCTAGACCATTCATATGAAGGCCAGCCACCTGGGTGAAGTTGTCGATTGCGAGGGGGTTGGTGATGGATTCGTCCGCACCCGGCGGCGCGACGTCGTGGACAGACATGGCAACGTAGCCGGCCACCTCTCGATCCCGGGACACGACTTTCTGCACACCCCTGTAGATGCCCGAGTAATTGACTACCTTGTCGAACATCTTGTAAACAAGAGATCCCTGTATGGCAGCCGACGTAGGATCAGCGAGGATGGATTCGCATTTCTCTGCACCGATGAGCCGTTGCGTTCGCTCAAACGAAGCCCAAGCTTTGCGATCGGTGTCAAGGGTGAGCGCAAGTATAGCGCTTGCATGTCTAGTCTTCTTCGAGGGAGCATTCCCCGGAGAACTGAAGACCGTGAACAGCCACTCCTGCTGTTGCCCAGGTGTCCTTTCCAATGTGACCTGCACATTTCGAGCGGTGTCCATGCCGAGGGGTGTGTATATCTCAAGCTCGTTTACCTGTGCCGAATGCGTGTTCCTAGATAACTTCGGCGTGATCAAGGCCACCGCGCGAGTGGCGATCTCGATGTACAGTGACAGAGGGCATAATGGATGTCCCAGAACACTGTGGCCTCGAATGAGCGACTGAAACTCCTGCGTTTCTTGGGCGACATGGAAGACAGCCGTTCCTTGGGACACACCCGCTGAGTTGACAAGTGATACCATGTTCAGAGGCTTCACGCTGACTGTTGACGACTTTGTGTTGGTGGCCGTGCTGTCATGACGATCAACGTACTCTAGCCAATGATGGTGCTTCTCGAATTGGTATGGAGGCAAATGCAAAACGGCGTAGCTACCTTTCTGTAGCGTGTGGAACGGCCAAAAATGAACGTTGACCCCGGAGTCCCAGAGGCTGAGCGTAGTGTCAGCGAGTGACTGAGATGGTCTGGACACATGTGGATTGTGCAGGCTGAGTTGATGGAAAGAATGGCTCGACAGGTTATCCGCCTTTTCAAGAGCATGGCGAACCAAAGGGATGGCCGCTGTTCCGGTGCCCGCTTCCAACCAAACACATGGACCATACTTGGACTGTATGCGGTTGATAGCTTCGTCGAAGAACACGGGCTGGCGGAACTGCTGAGCCACCAGTCCTGCGGTGACGTGAGACCAAGAACTCCCCGTCGAACAAGTCTCGACATGGGTGTTGGGTATTTTGAAGCAAATATCGTTGACCAGCACCTCGTACTCTGGCATTATGTTGTCAACGAGCTGTGAATGGAACCCATGCGTGACTTCAAGTCGCTTCCGCTGGATCGAGTCTTTCGTCCCATTCTGCTGCGTCAACAGCTGTTCGAGGGCTGTCACTGCCGACTGCGGGCCAACAACTACATGAGAAGTTGGCCCATTATAGCAGGCAATTTGCACTCGAATCTCGCGTTGCTGTGCCACGTGTACGAGCTCCTCGGTCCGCATCCGATCAGCCTTGATGGAGATCATTGCTCCTCTGTCTGGACCCCATCTGTCTTGGATGAGCGAAGCACGTCCTGCGATCAGCTTCAACCCGTCCTCGAGAGACATGGCCCCAGCAGCGCAAAGTGCAGTTAACTGACCGAAGCTATGGCCAACCATGGCCTTGACCTCGAGGCCTGAGTCAATCCATGACCTGGCACACGAATATTGTAAAGCAAACATCGTGCAATGCAACTTGACGACGTTCTGAATTGGCTGCGGACTGAGGACCTCGGGGAAAATGCCATCGTAACCAAGGGATTTCAGTGTTTGGTCGCACTGACTCAGGTGGCTTTGAAGCAGGACTGAGCTTCGAAACGCTTCTTCCGAAAACTGGACTGTGTTGCCGGTCTGTCCTGAAAAGACCAACACAACTGGCCGCGGTTGGGTCTTGGATACCAGTGACGTTTCCGGATGTGGTGAAGAAACATAGGTTCTCAGCTGCTGACGGAGGCCATCGAGAGAGTCCAGCCTCCCTCTCCAAACGTGTGGCAAATCAGGGTTATGGCGATGCGCTAACCAGTATGCGACATCCGCGAGTGTAGGGCTTGGGCTCATCTCTGGCAGGCGGCCTAGGAATGCGAGCAGAGCCTTACAGTTCGCCACAAGGCTGGTAGGCGAATTGGCTCTGATCTCTGCGGGACAGCTTTCTGGAATAAGATACCGAGCAGAAGCCTGGGCCGCCATCCTTGATGTCGTCAGTGTCGGTGGCTGGCAGATCAAGATCGCAGCGTTGCTTCCAGCTGCACCGTAGTTATTGACACAGCCCGCCATGAAATTCGAATCCCAAGGCTTGATGGTTCTGGAAATTTCCATGTTGGAGGGTTCCAGGGGAGGGATGTTCGGATTCAGACTTGTGAAGCTTGCCTGTGGAGGGATTTTCTGATATTGCATCATCAGGAGCAACTTGATCACCGCCGCAGCCCCAGACGCCCCTTCAAGGTGCCCAATTGACCCCTGCGCGGTTGTGGTTAGCATACACTGGGCCCGTGAGTTACGAAGAAGAAGAAGACCGGCTTACTTTGACAGATCCAAAGTACAGCTTGCGCGAGGGTTGGCAGCCGAACACGTCTCGTATGCTGGCACACTCGATCGGATCTCCTTTCGGTGTGCCCGTCCCGTGTGCTTCGACGAATGAGACCGTTTGCGACTCCATCTGCCCCCTTCGAAGAACCTCTCTATACAGAGCGGTCTGCGACTGTGAGACAGGGACTGTTATCGGGGCAGTGTTGGCGTTCTGATTGACTGCCGAGCCGGCAATAACACCAACGATGTGATCTCCGTCTGCCAGGGCCGAAGAATACTTCTTAAGCACCACCAACGCAGCGCCTTCCCCACGGCAGTAGCCATCAGCACGAGCATCAAATGACTTGGAGGCTCCAGTAGGGCTCAGGAAATTCGCAGCGGCAAGATTTTGGTGGAGAGTTGGGCTCGTTATCACATTCACACCCCCAGCAATCGCCATGGAGCAGTCGCCGCTCTTGATGGCCTGGCACGCAGTATGGATTGCCACCGACGATGAAGAACAAGCAGTATCGAAAACCATTGATGGACCACTCAGCCCGAAAAAGTGACTGATCTTGCCACTAATAAATGCTCTAACGGTACCAAGAACGGAGAACGCAGTCGGGGCATGGGATGCCACGTTATCCTCATAGTCTGATGCAGCCACACCCACGTAGCATCCTACGTCCGTAGGTCGTTTGGTTTTGCCGAAATAGCCTGCCGCTTCCAGAGCTTCGTATGCGACTTGAAGGACGACCTTGTGTTGCGGATCCATTGAGCTTGCTTCACGAGACGACTTGTTGAAGAACTTGTGGTCGAATGCGTACCCGTCACGCAGGAAGTTCCCGATAAAAGGCCGGTTGTCTTTCGGCGTCCGTCGAAGGCCCAGGGTGGAAAACCTTTCCGGGGGTAGTTCGCCAAGTATGGATGTCCCGTCCAACAAGAGTTGCCAGAATTCCTCCAATGCGTCGGCGCCTGGGAGTCTGCAAGCCATTCCCACGATGGCTATAGAATCATGGGGAAAGACGTACTCGGATATATGGCCTGCCACATCGAGACGAGACGAGGAGTGAGTTATGTCGATGCCGTATTCGGAGATGAGCGAGCGTGATATGCTGTCCATTGGGCCAACTGAGACGACTTGAGCTTTCCTTGGCGAAGCGGACTCAACAGCCAGCTGCAACGAGGCTTTGATGACAGTCTTCCATTCCGATCGCTCGAGCAACATAGATCGGAGAATCACCTCATGAACGAGTTGATCGGGACCGATGACATGGCCGCTGCCGCTCTTTACCCCAGACAGTAGCCGATTAGAAGTTGGGAACCGAAAGCTGGCTTTCGAGTTGCAGACGGAAACAAGCTTGTCATAGGCACCCTGATGGCAGTCGGTGTGAAAGCGACCCTGCAGTTGAATCCTACGCGCTGTGGCGCCAGTTTCAGCAAGGCGCCGAGATAGTTCGACTTCTGAAACTTTATCGACAGTGACGGTAACCGTTGCATCATCCGAGACGACCGAGATATATGCCTAGAGTGGAGACCTTAACGTCAGCTTGTAACCAGGCTTGACCCACGACTCCCCAGAGCGGGTTCAAACAAACCTCGGGAAATTGTTCCAGCACTCGAGTGACCGCCGACTCGTTTACAGGATGCTTCCATCTGACAGCGAGACATGATGCATCCCTTGGCGGTATATGCTGGTGACCGTCGAGGTCGACGTACGCGCCAATGCCGACAGAGAGCTTCAACGCGATGGTAGCCATCTCGACCACCTGCGCTTCATGTGCTGAGAGTGCAAGAGAAACTGCCATAAGCAGACCAGTGCACATGCCCTGGATACCGCCGCCTTGCACAACACGATCGAGGATTTGACGATGGCTATAGCCTCCATGTTTCATGTAGTCGAAGTAGTTGACCAAGTGAATGATGACTGTCAGAGGCGTGAGAATGGCATTGGGTAACGCGGAGGAGTCTGACAACTCGGAACTGTCTCCGTTGAGCCACTTGGTGAAACACTGAAGCCTTTGCGTGCCTTCGACCTGGGTCAGGAGAGGATCATGGCTAGTCAGGTCACTCCAGGTCTGAGGCAAGTCGCGGATAGCTGCAGCAAACGAGTTGAGTTGAGCATTAGCCAACAGGGATTGCCGGAGGAGAGTAAGGCTCTCCTTTGACGCTGTGGCCACCTGAGGCCCGAAGACTACAAGTGAAGGCGACATAATCGCGCTTGAATCGGGGACAAGTTGAAGTTGCGTCAGTCCCGAGTTGATTTCCTAGTAGGTTGAAGTTAAGCCGAAGCAAGAGATGAGTCGCCTGCGTAGCAATCAAGGGAGGCCAAAGAGTTGACGGAGTCAGACTTTTCAGTGAAACCGCGGTATACCATCTGAGGGGTAAAAGGGGAATACTCTGGTCCGATCTGCATAGGATGAGCGAGGTGGAAAGTTTGGTCATGGACGGAGCATTGGTTAGCTGCTGACTGCATACGCCAGTGGTAAACGAGCCTTGGCCGTTGACAACGATTCTCTGAGCCTTACAAAATATTTCAGATTGATGGGTTGCCTGTGGGACAAACCAGAGACGAACGCGGCAAGACTCAGTTCATGGGGTCAAGATATGTTCATTTAGGAGCCAATGTCGGGGCTTGCGAAACAGAAGAGGGCATACTACTATCGACAGTCATGGGGCTGGGAGAATAAGACAGCATGTAGGCATTGTGCGTCCGAGGCGGCGACGTACATGGAGAATTGTCATGAATGCCATGCTCAAACGAGCTTGCATTAAAATCTTTTGACGTGTTGTGAGATTGAGTTCCCTTCCATCAAACAGCACCACCAAAGGTCGAGTTCTCTCAGTACCGTTACTGTAGTCAATATGCTATACGAGAAAGAAATACGCACAAACACGTAGTGAACGGTAGGTACAAGGGCATGTGCTTTACTCTTCTCATGTGCACTATGCAGGTCGTCTTGAGAATCGAAATCTCTCCTCAAGCATTGCCGTTGGTGTACTCATTTCTGTTTCGGTTCCTGGAGAAAACCGCCAAAGTAATCGGCAATGGCCTCGGGACATTCAGGCCAGGCGCTCATACCCACCAGAAGATCAGGGCGCACTACAACCACTGCTCCACGAGCATGGTTGATCCCATAACAATAGTGGGCATCATCGTCAGGGGCTCGATCATCGTACACGAGAGTCGCCTTATCCCTGAGGCTCGCAAACTCTGGCGCATCCAGGGACTCCTCTACCTCGTGCTGCAATGACTTGATGATAACCACAAGGTTGAACAGTTCACCGCCGCCATAACGACTCCAGAAGCCGCTCGGACCCAATCCAGTCTCGACCAAACGGGCCACTCTCCCTCGCACAGAACCTTTGAGGTCCGACACGAAAATCAAGATATGGAATTTGCCAACCCCCTTCATGCGGTCGTAAAGATACCCCGTACAGTTCCTGTCAAGGCAGACGCGAGGGCTTGGCGCGCGCCCTCCATTGACAACTGATGTTGGCAAGGATGAAGAGGGGTTTGAAGCGGTCGGGGCGGTAGAGAAAGTCGATTTCATGGCGACCTGGGGACAGATTGCCGACTGCACAATCGGTCCCTCTACACCAAGCAGGAACATGGCATTCCGGCTGAAGAATGAGCCGAGCCAATGCTGGTCGACTCCCGCTGTGCCATCCAGAGTAGGCAGGTTTTCGTCATGAGTTTCCAAGTCATCCCCAAGTCCGCGCAGCTGAGCTAGTGGGAGGTTGAGGTTGCAGATAAAGCGCAGGTAAGCCCCGGAAGCCCGGATGACACGATTGGCAAATAGACGCCGCTCGGCATCGTAAGTCGGCAGCAATACATCTGGCTTTGCTACTCCCTTGACACTGAGAGTGAGTTTCCAGCTGAGATTGGCAGCGTCGTAGATGGACGAGTTGAGTCCAAACGCGCCGAGAACGCTGTGGACGTGGCTGTGGCAGCTTTAACCCTTTGGCTCGAGGTTGGGCTCGAGGCTCTTAATGTGACGAGGTTTGACTCACGAGGCATCTCCACCAATGTGCACCCTTTGATCGGCAGTGGAAAAAGACCGAGCGACTCGCTCATTCACTGAGACGTCAGTATGCCGACTGTGGACAAGTTTGAGGGGCGGGGCGAGGGGGCAGCTGGGTTACACACCTCTCCAGACAGCAAACCAGCTCATGGCAGACGCGAATTCGACCTTCCAAGGTGTCATGATTTTGTTTAGGTGCTCTAGAGCCTCTTCTGGGGTTATGTTGTGCTCATGGACTTGAGTCTCTCCGACCGTAGACCCATTGGCCCGTCGGATGCGGTCACGGGCTTCCGCCATTTTGGCTGCTCTCTCACCCGTCACTTGAACGTAGAATCTGTCCAATTTCAGTACCGTGATCGCTATCGCTTCAACCAAGTTTAGTTGGCTTTGACTGGGAAGAGTCCACTAAACTGACCTTGTATGACCCTGTTCTCTAGGTATAATGATACACCCACCATGCTCGGCGCTGATGACAATGCTGTTCGCAAGTCAGAAAAGCCCCAACCCTTACACAGCCAGTTTACTTACTTGAAGCCCAATATGTGAGGATAATCTGTCTTGAATTGACAGTCCAGGATGACCCAGAAGCAGTCAGTGGCCAAGCCGTCAAAGGGAATTTGTAGCTTTTCGCGGATGCAACTAGACGCCCCATCAGCACCGACGAGGTACTTCGCACGAACAACCTCCGTCTCCCCATTCTTCAGGTCCTTGAAGGTTGCGGTGACGGGATGTGAAGAAACACCATTGTCTTGGACCACAAAACTGTCAACCGTCTTGCAGCGCTCAACCAAGGCCTGGTGCCGCAGAAGGTCGCGGATGTAGACCCGCTCGACTTGCCCCTGGGTAAGGATATGAATACCCTTATACCGCGAGTCACATATCGAGCTCTCACCGTGGAAGAGTTTGACGCCGTTGCGAAAAACCACGGTCGAGTTCAGAATGGGACCTTCTTCGGCGGCCTCGGTACTGACGCCCCAGGACTCGAGGTACTCAAGAGCACGTGGATGAAGGCCGTCTGCTCTGCCCGTGAGACATGGTGACTCTGACTTGTCTTGCGCCAGTTTTTAGCTTGGAGAATAGCGCACGTGAAAAGGGATCTCACCAACGATGCGAAAGCTGATGCCTTGTCTAGCAAGGTTCATGGCAACTGCCAACCCAAAAGGGCCGCCTGATAAGATCTCAGTAAAGATGAAGAAAGCATCGCTTCTATTGGTAGTGACGTACCACCACAGATGATCACATCGACTTCAGTTTCTGGTTTCCACCAAATATGAGTGTCCCCGGGCGACTGAGTGCCACTGTAAAGGTGCGGCCAGCTGCGGAGCTCACTGCGTCCCAAGTTATTCGTAGCTGATGAAGTTGGCTTCGCCGCCTCGGCTCGAATCTTCATATGGGCCTTCTTTCCATCCTCCGCAGTGAAGTACCGATCATCGGCCCAAAGAGGTACCGACTCGGTAGCGGGTGCAACGAAGCCGTGCTTCCAAGTGCGTGGAGGCAGAGACCGGGCCATTTTGCTTAAAGTACCACAGAAACCTTCGAGTATGGTATTTCTCGTCTCCCTCTGTGTTTATGCTGTTGAAGAAGTCATAGGCACGCGACTGTTGTAAGTGGTGTATCATCCAAGCCTCTGGTACTCTGGTCCGAAGCGCCACATCATACCACAATAGTCCCACCCAGTCGATCAGCTGGCATATCACTGATGATACACGGCACAACAATGGGTTGTAACTTCGATTTGGCGAAAGGTGAAGACACAAATGAAAATGCCGCTACGGAGAGGCCGGCATTCGCAGAGGCCGGCATTCGCAGAGGCCGGCATTCGCAGAGGCCGGCATTCGCAGAGGCCGGCATTCGCAGAGGCCGGCATTCGCAGAGGCCGGCATTCGCAGAGTCGAATGTGCCCGATTTGATGGGCCCCTGATTCGCCCTACCAAAAGCAAACCTGGTCACATCTTACGTGTTTCGCACTTTACCCTCAGATCTGATACTGGTGATGCACTTGGACGGGATTGAACATGTAAGTGGTCTCACGCTGCAGTTTCTGTTGGGCACGATGCTTTATTACGACAGTGATGGTACAAAAATCTCCGGTGAATCTGTAACCAGTCTTGCTCAAGAGTTAAAACCATGCGATATGGCATAATCACCGTATTATCCACACTCCATCAAGCTCGCCATCAAGCAGAACCAACCAGCTTAGTCAACTAGCCGAGGTCCGCGCTTAGTCTTGTCGGACTTCGTAGAAGATAGTGAATGGTGCAATATCGATGCCGGTGTGTTTGCCAGCAGCAGCGATGACTGCAGAGGCATTGGCGATGCCATTGTCATGCGAAGATGCAGCAGCTATGATGTTAAGGATTAAGTCAGCAAAGCGTGTCAGGCAGCCCGACAGAGGTACAGGTCCCGGTTGTTCCCATAGGGTAAGCAACGAAGCAAGCCAGGCGCAAAGCCGTACGCGTCTGACAATAAGTACGGCTTTATGCCTATAGAATGGAGTACTGTGTTTGAAACAAAGAGGAAGAATCGTACGGAATGTCTCTCCTGTTTCACAGCGCCAGTTTCGCCACGCCACAGTGGTCTCGTTCGCGATCAGTGTCTGCTGACCGATGATGTTGCTCCATTGGCCCATGTACGATCCCCCACCGGGAATGTGAACCACTGGGGTATCTGCGGTGTTAAGAGGCGGTCAGTATGAGACTGGAAATGTAGAAATCCCCTCACTTACCGGGAGACTGCTGGTTGACTTGGATGAAAGATCCATCAGGATCAGTCTTGTACTTCACCAACTGCAGTCATCGAGTCAGCTTCTGTGACACGACGTGCATGTGATACTCTGCCATGCAGGTGTTGTGTTGCCACATTGTCTCCGGACATCTTAGTAGGACGACCAACCTCTTCGGTAATCTGATAGTAACCTCCAGCCGGAGCGCTGAAGTTGAAGGTACGGGTAGCGCCTGGGACGTCCTCTTTACCTGTGGTCGATGCGGGGACTAGGCCTCCCTGATAGCCAATGTCAAGGACTATCAGGGTACATCATCGTCAGCGGTACTTTGGAGGAAGTTGCAGTGCCAGAACTGTCAGTCTGTCTCATTGTGCGGTATGAGGGCTTACATTTGCCCATGATCTGCTGCACTTCCAACGCAGGCGCTCCAATAACGCCAAAGGAAGTAAGATTCTTGAAGGTGCTTCCGGTTGGACACAGGCAAGGGCAGTACTTTGCACTGCATGCCGGGAGTTTGGTCCGGTCGGTTGGCGAACCCAGCGCAAGTCCTAGGCTGAGCCAAGGAACAACTAGTGAGGCGTGCATGGCGATACAGAATCGGACGAGGTTTCTTGCAGAGTGGTGAGACGGTGCCCGGGGCGATTTTTTTGAGTGAGAAGCTCGAGTTGCTTGCCCCTTGTGTCCCATCGCACCAGCCAACTTATATGTACTTCGATAGGACTACCATCATATCTTCAATCCACACTCAGCTGATCCTTCAATAGGAAATCAGACGCTGGTCCCAACACCACGAAGAACCACGGCAGCCAGAGCACCGAAAGTCTTCCCAAGATGGCGTCGGAAGGATGGGGCGCAGCGCAACCCTTCCCAGTGATGGCCTACTTCATGAGAGCTCAGGAGGCGGAATCAAACCAACCAATCAACTACCAAGTCAACCAACAAGCTGATGACCGTAAGCTTTGCCACACCCTGTGGCACCAGAATATGCAGATTGATAGGCAGGGGCTTGCGGTTCATTAAGTTTACTCCAATGGCGTTCACGAAAGGAGCCTCAGCCTCTGCAACGTCAGTCGGCGGAGGATGACCGCGTACGACTCAGATCCCAAATTTGCAAAGCTCTTGCAGAACAATCAGAAGACAAGTGCAGTTTTACGTACCTTAGACCGTCTCAATTACTCAAACCCGAACAGACCTATGGTGAAGATTGGCGGTGTCTAACGTAAGCTCTAAGGACTTAAAGCGATATCGCGTCGGAAAAACGCTGTAAACCGTAGTAAGCATAGATCCTTAGAGAAATGAAGCAACGCTAGCTAGGTAGCTATTTAGGCAAAACGGATGCCGTGTGCGGGCTTACGTTTAAAGGTGGAGGGGTTGGCCGACGATGTAGCCGTAGAGACGTAGTTGAAGATTGTTCATATAAGTTGTGTTAGGTTCGAAATCCTAATAGCGCTAATGCGGCTTCACTCTTCTGTATCATCCATCTAATGCACCCAGCGTACCAACCGAACGTCTCCGGAACAAGACCAACCTATGAAGGGCAAGAAACGCAGATGGACAGCTCAAGAAGACAGAGTATTACTTGAGAGGTTTCAAATCCAGCAGGCTAGTAAGTATCGAATGACTCTGCCTATCCTCTCACCTGTCTCCGGTGTGTCACCAGGCGCGAGGCTTCTTCCGATTCTGAATGGTCCCTAGGTCCTACCGGTAAAGGGGGCAGTATCAACTGGAGTGAAATAGCCGAGTCACTACCCGGCCGCAGCAACAAGGACTGTCGGAAGAGGCACCTTAACGAAATGGACGGAACATCGAAGAAGGTAGCCAACACATTGGTTGCTGGGACTCTGCTCAGTAGGTTACTAACTGACACAACAGGGACCATGGTCGAAAGAGGAAGACGCTCAGCTTGAAAGTCTCGTAAAGATCCACGGACCATCATGGGTAGCAGTATCGGAGGCAATCGGGAACAGGAGTGCAGATCGTGAGTTGCTTAGAAAGCAAATGCTCCCTACCACATCTGCTAATGCGATTTTCACTGGGAAAGAGTGCTCCAAGAGATGGCACCATTCCCTTAGTCCAGAGCTTGATCGTAGGCCATGGACAGAAGATGAGGTCAGTCACCTTCCACTACATTCCACCACACGCAAGGCCGACAGACCTAACAGTATCCTGAAGAATCTCCTCTTGTTACATGCGTTTGCAAAGCATGGGAGTTGTTGGAAAGAGATGCAGGATAGACACTTCCCTGCTAGGTCGGCCAACAACGTCAAGAACCAGTAGGTGACACCTCAGACCTCCTCTATCCCAGTCACAATAAGGGACTGCGACTAGCAACGTGAAACTTACAGTGACATGGCAGATTTACAACACTGATGCGGCGCGGAGCGCGAGCATCGGATGAGCCTATCAACTGTTGCCCCGATGGGAGTTCCACAACAGGCTCTGCTCACACACAGCTGTCGCAGTTATCCCCGGAAGGCTCTTCGAAGGGTTCGACAGTTCCAAATATATCCCAATCAGATTCACATGGTAGGAACCTGCGTCACAGCACCAAGCCCCTGCATGGTCCAACGTCAATGGCACCGGAACCTTCGAGTATCGATGACGAGTTCAATATTGATTTCAGCACCCATATCACTCCAACAAACAGTGAATGGAGTGACGCACTGTCCACCCAGGCCTTCGAGTATTCCAGTCTCTCGCCGGTTGACATGTTCCATGATCTTTTCTCGATGCCGGCGATTGATCAGGACTTCTCCGAAGGCGAGATGACTGGGTGGAGCTTCAATCCAAGTACGGCACCTGGCTCAAGTACGGCAGCGCCAGCAGAAGCTCTGGTGGTTGGGAGTTTCCTAGCCAGCCCCTCTTCGTCGGTCGATGAGGGAAGCCGCAGAGATCAATCGACGAGTGCGGGAACTCGTATGACCATTGTAATTGATGAGGCAAGGCCAGACACGCTTGTAGAGGTGATGAAAGTACTTATGGAGTCGAAAGCTCGCGTTGAGTTCAAGCGAGGGTGAAAAGGGGAACCAATTTCGCAGATGCTTCCACAAGTTGGAGCTACAATACAGAGAATATCAAATGTTGTGTAATTAAAGCACACGGCAGTGTTACCCAGAATTAGTCTCACGACATGAGAGATTACTGAAAACCTATGGTAAAATTCACTCGCGAACAACGCAACCTCTGCACATACATGATCGGGTGACGCTCTCTGGCCGTTCCTTGCGACGGAGATGGCGAGACGAATATTGGCATCTCTGCCCTGCGATGACTCGTGAAGTAATGGATGAACTGAACGCCCCTTACGCATAAAACATAGTTGCTGATCAGATCCTGTACCCAGTGTCCATAAGGTGGCGTACACCATGTTAGATGCCATGCAGACAACAGACCCTATTGTAGACCCAGCTGATTCCAGCTGTCAGGTGTCTTGTCGGTTGGGCCGGATTGTTGCCCAAGGGACGAGGTACCGTTTGCACTGTATCTAGATTAAAGAGACCTTTCGGATGGGACAAGCTCCCATCCTTCTAGACAGCACGCAGAACATCCAGAATACTAGTCATCGTAACATGGTATTCTGGGCCCCTGCCAGAAGGCACACTATTGTGTCCACGCATTGATACTTGCATATTACCCAGTCCAGGTATACTACCTGTGTTTGTGCTTATGCATGCATAAATGCATACTCTTGGGGGTAATCAGCAGACAGTCGATGATAATACCTCACACCGGCCGGTAAGCGACCACGGGCCCGTCCGGGCCGCCGCTGCAGTGTAACGGGAAGTAGGGGCTGACTTTAGATCGCAGATCCGTCGGGATGACCTGCATGCTGCCTAATTCCGAGAACTCTGGTCCCAAATCGGAGTTCTGGAGCCAAACATGTCAGTAATTCCGATACCTCAAGGTGGCTTTGTTCCAGGCTGGTGGTACAACTGAAACCTGATCAAGCCACCGACCACATTGCTTACGAATACTGTCTCGTGGTCGACGCCGAATAAGAGACGGCTGGGGCAGGCGGCGATGAAGCTGAGTTTTGACGAATACATCACGCAAGTCTGCCCTACGAAAGGGGATACACTCATCACTGGGCATACATTCAATACCTAAGCTAGAACACAAGATCGTCCAACTGCCCCCGAATCATTCCCATCATGCCTAACGTTCTCATTCTCGGAGGATCTGGATACCTCGGCTTCGCCCTGGGCCAGGCCCTCATCCGCTCTGGGAACTACACCGTCTTCGGCACAGTCCGCAGTGACGAAAAGGCGAAGACCCTGACACTCAACGAGGTCACCCCGGTGAAGGGTGAGGCCACTAATCCCAGGTGGCTAGCCCAGGCCATTGCGACACACCACATCGATGTCGTCGTCGACACAACCCAGGCTTATGAGCAAGCCGGCACTATGCTAGGTGCTGTCGTCCAAGCCGCCAAAGACCGTGCCGCCACCCTGGCCAAAGACAACGCTACCGGCCCCAAGCTCGGCTTTGTCTATACGAGTGGTTCGTGGGTCAACGGCTCACCCAGTCGCCGCATCAGCGATCTCACGGTCCCTGGAACGTCAGTCTCCCCCAGCAAGCCTGCCACCGCCGTCACCTGGCGTCCTGCCCACGAGCAAGCGATACTCGCCGCACGCGGTGTCCTGGATGTCGCCGTGCTGCGCCCCGGTACCATCTACGGCCGCGGTTCCTGGGTCCTGGGCACCCATTTCGGCCCCTTACTCGAGGCGGCGAAGTCAGGGAGCGCCGATGTCGTCCACGTCCCCGTCGACGCCGGGTCGCGCGCCGGCTACGTGCACGTGGACGATTTGTCCTCCGCCTATGTCACGGCCATCGACCGGCTCGGTCGGCTTGGCTCGTGGCCCATCTTCGAAGTCGCCACCGAGACGTTGCCCATTGGGGATGTCCTGTCTGCCGTCGCTTCCATCCTGAACGTCAAGGGCAAGATCGCTTACGACGGCACTATCGGAAACCCATTTCTCGAGGCGCTGGCTCTCGTCACCAACACGGACTTCTCACGGGCCCACTCGGTGCTCGATTGGACGCCTCGTCGTCGCGACTTCATCCAGAACTTGCCTGTTCTGGTCGCGGCGTGGAAGGCAACCCAAGCGTAGGCGTGATGTCGGAGAAACTGATGACCAAACAACGTAGAAGGAAGCTTTTGTTCACATGATACGACAAGAGTGGACACGGAGGAATCCAACGCAATCTATTTCCCTCAGATGGGTTCAGTTGTCGTGGAGGTCGCGAATTGTCTAGGGAACGCTCAAGCCAAGAGTAGTTTTATAGTAAAGTGTAGCTCAATTGAAGGTATTACCTATAGGGCTTTCCGATGTGTTGATTTTGAAGTCGTGGTATTTGCACCTTGTCAAAATCCCTTACTTGCACCTTCTCTCCACGCCCCACCACCTGCCAGCCAGCTGCTGTGCAGCCCCCTTTCTTAGCACACATACACCAATGCCAGGCTCAATGGCGACCATGATCGGGTTTCGTTTGGAGACGATCACGATCGGTTTTCGTATGGAGATGCCATACCATTTCAGATCATCATGCCCCTAGCAGCTACCTAGGTAGGCTGGACATGTTGGTGAGCTTGGTGATCAGTCCGCTGCCAGCAGCCAGGCAGGTGGCGATGGAGACAAGGTGCAAATAGCAGGACTCGAAAGACATTGCGAAAGACATTGTTATTAAATCTAGACCAATCTATATTGACACCATCAATACCACCACAGCATGATGATCCGAAGACAGCAACAAGGTGCTTAAGTGTCAGTAGCGAGCAACGATCTTGACTACTTGTCGATGGGTGCTGCCGTCATCCTATCCTTCAAACGCACCATCAATCCTTGCTGCATCACGAACCAACGGTTTTGGACAGTCCAGCCGCTTCCACCTGGACTCAACAGCTCAAACTAGCATCCTTGTATCAGCCTGCCGTCCAGCATACCACGCCAGTGCCGACATGTCATCAGGGGAGACTTACATCAAACTGCTTCAGCAATGTCGGCACAATCTTGTAGATCTCGAGGTGGGCAATATGCTTGCCCATGCAGGTCCGGTGACCTGCGCCAAACTAGACACAACCCGTTAGCATCGCAGCGAAGCAATACCTCTCGAGCCACGATACTTACAGCCATTGACGCCCCCTCCATCTCACGGAGCGTCTTCTCATCCACGCCGACCCATCGCTCGGGCCGCCACTCGTCGGCGTCGGCTCCGAAGAGGGCCCGGTTGCGCCCGACGACCCAGGCACTCATGCCCACGACGGTGCCGGGCTGCAACGTCTTGCCGCAGACGACGGCCGGCGCCGGGCCGGGCACCACCCGCTCGTAGGGCAGGCCGAACGGCGGATGCATCCGGGTGGCCTCCTTGACACAGGCGTCCTGCAGTTTTCCACTGTGAGTAGCCGCCCGTTCTCGTCGGCGTCGTCTACGGCTTCCCCTGGGGTAATTGCTAGGTAATTACTCACGAGGTAGGGCAGCTCGGCCTTTGCCCTCTTCCAGGGCACCTTTTCTGGAAGGTCGGCGGCGTCAATTTCTGCGCGCAGTCGAGCGAGCGTGGGTGGGTTGCTGAGGAGGTAGTGGAATAGGGCGCGCAGCAGAATCGCCGTCGTGTCCGAGCCGGCCGTGATGTTCGACGATGCCCAAGCTGCCAGAGCGCTGCGATCGGGGAGGTCAATAGATATGCGCACGTAACCCTAACCCTAACCCTAAGCGTCATATCGTCCGAAAGCTCTGCATGTTGCTACCCGCAAGCACATATTGGATTGGAAAAGAGGAAATGGAGGAAGGTGTTCGTCCGCAAAGAAGTACTGTGGAAACAATGGACTCACTACGGCGGCAACGCCTTCTCCTTCGACTCTATCTCCAGAAAGAGGGACAGAAAATCTCGCGTGTCGCGATCCCAATCGTTTCTCCCCTTCGCCAGGAGCTCTCTGCGCTCCTTGACACGAGCCATCGCGAACGCGGCGCCGGGACTGGCCCCGCGGCCGCGGAAGTACCTCCGGACCGGGTTGTTAGTCCAGAGGTTGTCGATCCACGGCATTTGCGTGACCTAGGTGGCAGAAGGTCAGTCCGCTGGCACCGATCGACACATGATCCAGCCCCGAGGGTGAAGAAATGGCAGTGGCTCACGAGTCGCGACTAGGTAAACGTACCAGGGCAGTCTCCTGGAACATCTTCCAGATCCCGGCCATGACGCCGTTGACATCGTTGCCGGACTCGAGGAAGCCCAGGCGCTTGGAGAAGGTCAGCTCGCCAATGACGTCGAAGGCGAACATCTGCAGCCACTGGCCCAGGTCACAGGCTGCTCGGCCGTCGTTGCTGCCCGCGAACCGGGCACGCAGCTCGTCGGAGAAGACGCCCATGGTCGTATCGACATAGGGCTCGAACTTGACCAGCGTGCTCATCGAGTACGCGCCCGCCACAGGCTTCTTCAGTGCCCGGTGGATCTCTTCGTCCTGCGTGCCGAAGATGCCCGGGATCGGCTTGCCGTCGGGTTTCATCAGCAGCGCGTGGTAGAAGTCAGACTGGAAACCGATGTCAGCGGGCTTGCCTACGACGCGGATAAAGTGTTTACCTTGGGCCACGGCTTGGAGTAACGATAAATATTGGCTATTTCGGCCGGATCGCTGACCGACACCATGTTCGGTCCGAAGCGCACGATGTTGCCATAGCGTCTGTGGAGGTTGACGTGGATGTCGTGTGCCCGATTGCTGAGCACCCACAAGAGACGAGGAAGGTTCGTGAGACGGGCCAGGAATGGTCCGGGAATGTGTGAAAGACTCCAGTACGTCTTCGAATGCCATAGAAACATGACTGCTGAGAATACAGCCAAAGACACAGTCCAGGGATGCCCCTGGACTATCTCGAGCTGGACCCATGAGTCTGGAGACTGCCCCATGGCCGTTGGATCGATGTATCAATGTAAACACTACACACCTAAGCCGTGCTGGAAGATGGAAGTTTTATGGTGGTCAGGACAGAAGTCGCCGGATGTGGCATTGCTTTCCTCCCGGTCGTGTCTGACAGCCGGTCTGGAACCTTTGGGCTGCATACTCTGGTCCAATGGGGCGAAAAGGCTTGTGGTTCGGTCTTACATGCGCATGGATACATGATCACTTATCCATGAACGATATTGATAATGATACTTCTTTAAGAATCAGACGTGTGAACTAGACAAGTACGGAGTCAATTTTATGAGTTTGCTTTTCACTAACACTAAAGTCGCCATCCCAGCCAGCCCACGGCATGGCATATCATAGAGTCCCCAGACGAAGTTCAGGCCATGCCACCGTTGACCTTCAGCGTCTGCCCCATGACCCACTGACTGGCATCCTGGCACAAGAACAATATCGTATCTGCAATCTCTTCTGGCTGCCCAATGCGGCCATTCGGGTTGAGTGATGCAGCCATCTTGAGCGATTGTTCCGTCTGGTTGGCATTGAACCCCTTAGAGGTGGTAGGCCCAGGAGCGACGCAGTTGACGTTAATGCCCTTCTTTCCCAGGTCCTTCGAGAGGACTCTGGTCGCCTGCTCGATTGCCCCCTTGCTCGATATGTAGGCCAGATAGTGCGGCATGACGGTGGATGCATGGCACAGTGTTGTTGAAAGCAGGATGATGCGAGAGCCGGCGGCCATGTGCGGTGCTGCTTTCTACGACAGAATGGTCAGATTATTATTCGAAGCAAGTCTTGCTTATTGGACTAACGTACCTGGACGAGGAAGAGCGGCCCCTTGACATTGATGTTGAACGTCTTGTCGAAAGCCTCTTCAGTCAGACTCTCCAGTGGCCCAGTGGGCATGATGCCTGCGCAGGGTACTAGAAGGTCGATCTTCCCAAACGCCTTGACCGTTTCATTCACTAGATTCTCAATCTCGACTACCTTGCCCGTGTCGACTTGGATCGCCTTCGCCTTTGTGCTTCCAATCTGAGTTACAACCTCGGCTGCGCTGTCGCGATCAATACCGTAGCCCACGACGACGGTGGCGCCTTCGGCGCCTAGTCGTAGAGCAGTCGCCCGACCGATGCCAGACGAGGCGCCGGTGACAAGTGCTACTTTCCCTGCGAGAGACATGTTCCGTCGATTCCGTTTGAGTTCATTAGGATTGTCTGCTGCAATGCCATGGAACCGTATTGATATCAGGAGGCTTCAAGTAGGGTAGGACAGGAGGCGCTGACTAGGCAGACTGGAGGTTGTCGGATATACAGGGCGCAGATAAACCCGAGGCCGTTGTTTTGCAGGTGCAGGTTGTGTGACGCAGTGACGGCATGCGCGACGTGGGCAGCTGGAGGCGTTTACTCCGGGCCATTGGGTGGTGCTGTCCTGAGCTGTCCTGGGGTAATGGGAGGTAGCGACAGGCGCACCTACGTCCAAGTGGTAGGTACCCCCTATGTAGCTGCTGACACCATCCAGCAGGGCATAGGGGTGAAAGCTGGTAGCGTCAGAGCACGGCTTTGTGTCGTGTCTTGCAGATAATTCCGAGCCCCTAGACGTAGGAACTTAACCAGTCATTTGAGACACGCAACATAGCTGCACTACTACTACCCCTTACTATATTGGACTCTCGATTTACACCATTTGCGCGTGGGAACTCCTACTGTCCACAGCGCTCATTTCCCCCTTTCCACACCAGCCATGGACTCAGACCACAGCCAAGTTCCCTCGCCCACGTCGCAGCGGCCCTCCCCGGACAAGCCCGAATCTTCCAGCTCATCGCCACCACCTGATGGCGGACCAAAGGCCTGGTCGTCAGTGCTCGGCGCCTGGTGCTGTCTCTTCTGCAGCTACGGCTGGATCAACTGCATCGGCATATTCGAGAACCAGTACCAGCAGAACCAGCTGCGCGACTACCCGCCCTCTACAGTGGCATGGATCACCTCTGTCGAGGTAAGTCAATGCCTCGGCGTCTCCATCAGAGCATCGCCTCTTCCATGAACCGCGTCCAGAGAGAGCCTTGCTGACCGGTCATCGCAGACCTTTGTCATGTATGCGAGCATGCCCATGCAGGGAAAGCTCTACGACACATACGGCCCCGTGCCACTCGTTTTCGGCGGAAGCCTAGTGCACGTCTTCGGGCTCATGATGGCTTCGCTGGGAACCCAATACTACCAGATTCTGTTGGCACAGTCCATCTGTAGCGCTCTGGGGGCTGCTGCTGTCTTCTCGGCTGCCGTAGGTCCGGTCGGGTCGTGGTTCATGAAGCGACGCGCTCTGGCATTTGGGATTGTCGCCTCTGGCTCATCACTAGGCGCCGTCATCTTGCCGTAAGTACCTAATCACCAGGCCTGCAGCATGCGCCCGTCGACTGAGGACTCTGTGATGTCACGTTTCCTGACAGTTTCGAGCCTTTAGTATCATGATCACCCGTCTGGGGCCGCAGATAGGCTTCCCATGGGCGATGCGCATCTGTGCCTTTGTTTTCCTCTTCCTGCTATGCATAGCCTGCCTAACCCTCCGGTCGCGCAACCCGCCCAAGCCGACGCCCTGGAGTCTCATGGCGTTCATCAAGCCCCTGCGGGAACGCGCTTTCATCTTCAATGCCACAGGCCTCGCCTTCTTCTCCGGCGGCATGTTCATAGCCTTCAACTTTCTCGTACTGGAAGCCCAGCATCGAGGCATGGGCGCAGACCTGGCCAATTACCAGATTGCGATTCTCAACGGTGTTAGGTACGTCTAACCCAACGACCTCTCCTCTGTTACTAACTTGGAACCTGCCAGCGTCTTCGGTCGCATCATCCCGGGGTACCTGGGTGACAAGCTGGGGCGGTTTAACGTCATGATTCTCACCACTTTCCTCTCTGCACTGCTGGTGTTCGCACTCTGGATCCCAGCACCCGACGGCAGCACCGGTGCCACTATTGCATTTTCTTCCTTGTTCGGGTTTACTTCTGGCACATTCGTGGGGATGACACCGGCCTTGGTGCAGCAGATATCGCTGAACGAGGAGATGGGAGTCCGACTGGGCACCACGTTCGGGGTTATTAGCATAATGACCCTCATCACCAACCCCATAGCGGGAGCGCTTATCACGAGGGATGACGGCGGGTATCTGTATCTGAAGATTTTCTGTGGCTTGTCCATGGTTATAGGCAGCATTCTGATAAGCCTGAGCCGTTCCGCTCAGTGCGGATGGAAATGGCAACGCATATAGACAGCGCGTGGCCAGCTCTTGGTATATTGCGCTCCGATGGCGTTAAATCACGGCTGCTGCCACTTTCACCAGCGGCTGCCAATTTGGGGTTCCAGAGCCCCAGAATTCAATGCGTTAATTCGAGATCAGAGTTGACTAGTAAGTAGACATATCGATGTCAGCTATGTTCGACGTCAAGTCTATAGCAACTTAGTATCGTGTGCGATCAGGGACCGGAGTATTGCGGAGACTAGATGTAGGTAGAGAGAACCAATTAGCACCGCCATCGTGTCAGGCTGACGTTGTCTTGCAGATGACGCGAGGCAAAAAGCTTCGTCAGGTAGCCATTCCAGAGACCCTTGAGCAAAAGAGCCGAGTCAAACTGTTCTCGAACTGGGCATCTGTTGAAGATTCGTGGACTGACGTACCCCAATACTCGTACTGCAAGGCTCCCGATCAAGCCCCTGCAAGCACAGCAATGCGAACCCCAGAGAGCAGCGACAAGGCGTTCAAGCCAGCCCAGATCGACCTCTACGGGCCCGAGCACGGTGATAATATTCGAACCATTCCCGAGCTCATACAGTACAATGCCGAAGTGAATCCAGACGCCCTGTTCTGCCTCCAGGCGCTGAAGCCATCATCCCCTGTCGTGGGTGACGATCGGACCAATGGCCAATCCCAGACCACTGTTACGATGCGGGAGCTGCGAGATGCCATATGGAGGTGCTCGCAGAGGCTCAAAAGAGAGTTTGCGAATCCCCAAAGCGACGGGGGCGATGGAGGAGAGACGATGAGAGATGCACCGGTCGCACTCTTCATGGACAGCGACCTGGATCTGCTTATCCACCTGTTCTCCCTTATGTCGCTGGGGATCCCCGTACGTTGACTCCCGGCGCGACGCGATTAAGATTATCGAGACCAGAGCTGATGATGTGTGTAGGTTGCGTTACTTTCTGCTCGCCTGAGTCCTGTGGCCGTGGAGCATCTCCTCGGGTCCATCCATGCGCAAGCAATTATAACATCGGCCCGTCTGATTCACATCGTTGACCGTGGGAAAGAGGCAGAAAAGGCTGCCGCGGTGAAGATACTCATCGGGGCGTCTTTTCAGAATGACCTCGGTACTGCCGAGGTTATCAGCCCGCCTGCGGGCATCAACATATGTGCGCCGGGCCACTACGTCGGCCCCAAAGACCGCAACGTCCTCATCCTGCACTCGTCCGGCACCACGGGCCTGCCGAAAGCCATTCGGCAGCCTCACAAGTATCTCGTGGGCTTTGCCAAATGCCACGCACCGAACGAGATCGAGGACATCGGGGCGTTGAACATGTCAACCCTCCCCTTGTACCACGGCTTTGGGCTCCTCGTGCCCTGCCTTGCGCTAGGCGTCGGAAAGCCGTTCTGGGTGCCCCCTCCGCACGTCGTACCGACCGGACTATCGACGGCGACAGCCCTGAAACAAACGGGTGCCAGGTCACTGATGACGGTCTCGCATATCCTAGATGAGATCTGCGAACTGGATCGGGACCAGGGCATCTTGTCACTCACGCCTTTGCAGTTCGTCGCGTGCGGGGGCGGGCCCCTGAAGTTGGAAACGGCCGAGAAGCTGGCGGCGGCGGGCGTCAAGTTGGTCGCTCATTTCGGTACAACAGAGACTGGGCCACTGGCGCCGCTCTTTGCCCCAACTCCGGACGACGACTGGCGATACTGGCGGCTGAGGACCGATATTCGAGTCCACGTTGACACCGTTGGCAAAGAGTTCTCGGCAGACGGTACCGAGCTGACAATCCACCAGCTGACGATGACTCCGTTCGGTTGGGAAACGCCTTTTGTGTTGCAAGACCGGCTTATCACAAGCCAACGACGTCCTGGAAAGGAGTTCAAAGCCATAGGTCGCACGGACGACCTCGTTGTCCTTGCCACAGGAGAGAAGGTTCAACCACGTATCCTCGAAGCAGCGCTGGAAGAAAACCCCATGGTGAGAAGCGCAGTGGCATTCGGCAATGGGCAGTTCGAGCTAGGCGTTATCGTCGAGCCGACCACATCACCGGGCGATATTGGCGCATTCAAGGAATCCATCTGGCCCGCGATCGTTGAAGCGGGTAAGCAAATGGACAGCCACGCGCAGCTGTCGTCTACTGCTAGCATCGTAGTACTCGATCATGATCAGACTCTCCCGCGCTCGGACAAGGGAGCAATCCTCAGGAAGACCGTCTACGAGAAGTTTGAGCCCGAGATCAGCGCCGCGTATGAGGCCATGCAGAATATATTGGTTGATACCCCTGGACTGACATTGGATGCTGACGAACTGGAGGCGGGCCTTCTGGATATCATCCGCACGGAGTTCCACAGCGTGGTTGCCGCCGGGGACTTGGGGGTGGACGATGACCTCTTTGAGCTGGGCATGGACTCCCTCCAGGCCGTACGCCTTCGGAGGGCCATACAAAGGTCCTTGGGTGATGGCACGAACCTCCTGAGTCGCGGCCAGATCACGAAGGATTTCATTCACCAACATCCCACCGTGACTCGATTAGCAGAGGCACTCCACGGCTCGAGGTCCCGAGGTGTCCCGGATGATAATATGATCGACCAATACGTATTTCGATACAGGCTCCCAGAGTCTAGCAAACGTCAAGTCATTCTATTGACTGGGAGCACCGGGAGCCTGGGCTCATATCTGCTCGCCCATCTTGTCACACTGCCCGACGTTGCCCGAGTCATATGTCTTCGCCGACAATCTGGGCCAGCAGTGATTCACACCGTCAGTGACGAACTGATAGCGGACCAGCTTCAAAAAGCAGAGTCCAAAGGCGCCGTGATCCCACCTGAGTACCGCTCCAAGGTCGAGGTATTGCAGGCAGACCCATACAAGCACCAACTCGGGCTCGAGCACGCAGCATACCTTGACGTGAGCAACAGCATCACACACATCATCCATGCCGCATGGCCAATGGACTTCCAAAGGACGCTCGCCTCCTTCAAGTCGCAGTTCCAATTCCTGCATAACCTCCTAGCCTTAGCACGCGATGCTCACGCGGTCCAGAGGCCGCTTAAGCCCCGACTGCTCTTCGTGTCATCCATAGCCGTGGTGGGGCAGTTCTTCCACGCCCATGGCTCGCACATCGTACCGGAGAAGTTCATGGACGACACGAAGAGCACAAACGACTTCGGCTATGGGAAGGCGAAGCTGGTCTGCGAGCGCGTCCTGGAAGATGCGGCAGAGCGGTTTGTCGACGAGATCGAGGTCGCATGTGTGCGCGTGGGGCAGCTGTCGGGGGCCCAGGGAAGTAGCTTCTGGAATACCAAGGAGCATTTCCCGGCTCTTGTCAAGCTGTCGCAGAAGATAGGGGTCTTACCTCGTCTCGAAGGGGTACGTGACTGTCTTCTAGCCTTTATCTCGTGGCAGAGGATATGAGCCTCGCATATCGCCAAACGCGTGCACCATAAGACTAACCTGTGCATCTAGACTGTATCATGGCTGCCAGTCGATCAGGCAGCCAAAGCAATGTCCGAGATCCTCCTCTCAGCCAACCCGCTACGTCCTGTGTACCACGTCGAGAACCCAGTCCGGCAGGACTGGCAGCCGATCATGGCGACAATTGCTCACGAGATGGGCCTCGCGCCCTCTGCTTTCGTTGCCTTCCCAGAGTGGGCGGAAGACGCAGGCAAAGTAGAGAGTGACGGTCCCGGGACTGAAGAGACCCAGCTGCTCATCGACTTTCTCAAACAAGACTTCCGGCACATGTCGAGCGGCGGCGTGATTCTGGATTCGTTTTGGTCACGGCAAGTATCGCCCACACTGCGGGATTCTGCCATTGTTGGGAGCGGCCTGGTGGCGCAATACTTGCACAATTGGAAGCGCATCGGGTATCTCAATTGAGAGCAGGTGCCAAGTTACGTAGTACATGGAGTGGGCATTGCGTTTGAGATGGTGGAATTCAGAGGAGGTAGTGAGAGCATTATCCGTGAAACGATAAGTGCAGTATGAGCGTGACAGCGTTGTTGTATTCAGGAAAAGGTCTATGGACTGTTTGTTGGTGGTAGAATACACTTAGAGGCCCTGTGGGTCCCTGTACGACCCGACAGCGTGGCTGATCCCCACATACCGCTTACATATACAGATGGGTACTGCTCACAGGTAGTTCTAAATGCTGAAGTTCTTGGAAGACTGTCTTCCCAGGGTTACAGTGCCCGAAGTCGCCCGATTAGGCGGCACAGCCACCCCAATGACTTATTCAGCCACAATGTCAGCCACTTATCCTATTCAATCAAATTCATCAAGTGAACATGTGTTTTGGCGTCTCAGCAGAGCGCTGCCAGACTGCCCAAGAGGGATGTCCCCCGCTCAGGTAGACGGCGTCAGCATACTAATAGAAACGTCTACCTAGATAACTCTGTGTCGCATTTCGTGTCGCATTTGCCGCAGCCGACGAGAAAGTCGAGCCAATCTCGCCCCATTTCAAGTTACTAAACGTCACTTCAGGGTGCGGTTCAACGACCGTGATCGTATCCGGGTTTCCCTCCGTCGCATTGCAAGGGCCAGCACCATCCGCCGCGCCATCCAGCCACGACATGTTACCACTTGCATCCCACCAAATGCTGAACGTCAGCACCATGCCCCTGGTCAAGGCATCGCCCATCGCGGCCATCGCGCCAAGCTCCATGAACTTCGTCGAGCCCGTGGCATTGCAGTACGCGTCGTTCTCGAAGTCGACGGCGGGCACGCCCTCCTTCTGGACGACCTCGGCCTTGATTACGGCGCCGTCCTGCACGTACAGCCGGTGGATCTCGGTCAGCTGGCCGTCGGCGTCGGCGGGGAACTGCGTGACGACGGTGAACGGCTTGGTGGTGTCGACGTCGAAGCCCGCGCCCTCGCCGTAGTAGTCCGGCTGGTTGAGCCGGTACGGGTTCCACCCGCAGCCGTTCTTGTCGCACACGCCATCGGCGCCGCACTCGCCCGCGTCCACGTCGCAGAGGTACGGGCCCGTCTGGTTGCACGGGTGCGGCGCGATCTGGTTCGCGCGCGCGTTGGCTTCCCAGATGTCCATTTCGTTGCAGCAGGCGCCCTTGCCCTCGATGTTGCCCTATAAGTCCGGTTAGTCAAGGATCGTACGGGAGCTGAGTTGGCTAGGCTGTTGAGATGGGTTTTACTTACGACACCGTTGATGAACGGGGTGACGTAGCACTGCGCATCGCAGTACCCAGTCCCCCAAGCAGCGCCACCGGTGTTCAAGTCGCTCTTGCCGCCGTCCGCCAGCATCTCGCCGAGGTAGAGTGCGCTGTTCATGCCGCAGGGCAGGTGGGTGGCGTCGATGTCGAAGGCGAACTCGCCGCCCGTGAACTTGACCATCTCGTACTGCTCCTTGGTCTCGTCGAGAAGGTAGATCCGCGGCGAGACGACGTTGTCGCCGACGATGAGCTGCATGCGCACCGCGTCCGTGTCGGTCGTCACCCCGACCGTGCTGTAGTCGCTGACGGTGTTCATGGCGCAGTTCTCGGCGCACGCCTCCTCCGTCGGGCAGGCTGTCGCGTTGGGCGCGCTGCCCCAGGAGCCGCACGCGGCGCCGTCGGCTTGGGTGACGCCATGGGCGTCGGAGTCGAGAACCAGAAAATTGGTCGCCTCGATGCAGCCGCCGGCTACTGTGCACCGGTATGTGGTAAGCTCAGGGTAGGTGTCCGGGGTGGCGGCGGGCTTCTGAGCGGCGGCGAGCCGCAGCAGGGCGGTGGCGAGCAGGAAGTTGTTGTGAGCCATTGCGTCTATAGTCGCTGGTGTTGCTCGTGGTGTGGTGAGTCGACCTTGGTATGTGACAGGGTGGCAGACAACCTTCCTTGACCGCAACACGTTCACTTACACGCCGGGATATATATGCCCTCTCCAATCTGTCCAAGTCAGGTAGACGGAGAAACTATAGTACCCCAACTTCCCCAATTTTCGTCGCCTCCGGAAGCCAAGCCATCGCAATGCCTATTCTGTACAATGGAACATAGATCGCCGCCCTGGGCCCCGTAGGCAGTGTTGGGAACGTGGCCCGCCGTCCCGCCGCAACCGTCCATTCGCTTCTTGGGTCCTAATATGAGCTGCTCGTGTCCATCTTCATGCGCGCTAGACTCAAGCATGGTGCTACCATATCTGAGATGAAGTTACTCTAGCACACCGACCGTGTTTGGAGTTGATTGCAATTCATATACTATACCAGCTGTCCGGGTTCCTGCATCCATATAGGCTCTATTAAGTCGCGGTGGCCACTTGCATTGGGTACGGAACCAGCCCAGGGGCGCCGACCGGCTCTCCTGCCGACAAGCGAATCGTCAATCGATGCGCCAAGTAGCAGATTGATTAATGAGGCAAAGTTTGCCGCCGGGAGAATCTCATCTTCAGTCTATTGCTACTTCATCGTGCAGAGTAGATGGTCAGCGAGTGCAATCCAGATTGGCGAAGGCCGCTCGATCCGCAGCGTGGGCAGGTCCCCAAAAATCGAGGGAGCCTTGACTACCAATTCGTGACCGCTCTCAAAGCCGTCCAAGTTCCTAATTTCAGAATGCCAGTCTACAAACATCACCGGTCTCTACATGGGCATGTGAAAGTATTGCATCCAACTCCCATCCCCTGTGCTCCGCGCAAGAAAGGCCCCAAAATCAAGAAACCCAAGATCTGAATATACAGAGAGAATAAGTGTCAAGGACACCGACCTCCTGGGCCCATCATCCGCCCTCGTCCTCGTGAAGGGGATGTCGAGCACGCCGGCCATGCGACGACCGTGCAGCATGTTTCTTCCAGTGCGCCGCGCCCGTGGGCTCACGAGTCACCAAGGACCGTCGTCGTGACAAAGGTCTTCTCAATATCCCAAACGGTGACGATACTCGCCTCGGGCGTCGGCTCGCTACACACCGTAATCGTGACAGAGGTAGTCACGAAGTCCCAGACGGTGATGGCGCTCGCCTCGGTCGATGCCGTTTCAGCAGCGGACGTGGACGCGTCTGACGCCTTGGTCTCCTCGCCGCAGTCTGTATCCGCTGTGCCGGCCACGATATCGGAAGCCGTCGTCTTTGCCTCAGTGTTGTGTGTACTGACCGTGGGGGCTTGGGTAGAAGTCGGATATGTGCTATCCGGACCTGGAGCGACGGCAGTCGTTGAAGGCTCTAAGGTCGGTGATGAGCTCAAGGAGTTCGAGTCGACGGGAGAGCTGTCGACGCCACCCTTTCCGAACCCGGTGACTGGGTTATCGCCAGGCAGTTTCGTCAGAACCTCGTTTAGGTCCAGGGTCTCGATGACGGGCGAGGGAATTGTGCACATCTTGCCGTGGTTCAGCCCGCCGGGAATACCTGTGCACTGGTCCATCCCCTCACCAACCAAGCCCGTACGGTCGCAGGTGACGATAATGTGGCTGAGGGTGTCATTGCCCCACCCGGCGATGATATCGCCATGCGAGCTGAAGCCCGTGGCGTCGCCGTTGGCAAATACATACGGCTGGGTCTTGCCATCGGGAGTCCACCGGTTGCCGTCGTCCCACTTCTTGGTGTCCCAGTACACCTCATAGTAGAAGTGGGGAACGTGCGTGTAGCCCTCGGGACAGTTGACGTACCCGTTGCTATCGGTCGACGGCCAGGCCATGTTGTTCTTGTAGTCGTCTAGGCCGGCTTCGGGGTTGTAACAAGAGGGGAAATGGACGTCCTGGCGGAGATACCAGGCGTCACATGGGTATAACGGGAAGCCCGTACCATAGTTTGGTTGCTGAGGGTCGACGATGCCCGCCGTCGTGCCGTCTGAGCCTGGTGGGTAGGACGGCTTGTCGTAGCTGGTTCGGGGGCAGTGGGACTGGGATGGCGTTGATCGGTTTGCCATTTCCGGCGTCCAGGTTCTGTGCTCCTCCCGTGGCCGGCGGCGACCTCGTCATGCCATCTCCGCTAACCATCTTCATCCCCGCAGGGAATGGTTCGATGTCATCTAGGGTTCTCTCGAAGCTGGATGTAAGGTCAGTCAAGATCCACTGTTCCAACCGTATCCCGTCTCCACTTACAAATAGTACACCAGCATGTACGAAAGGGGGACTTTTTCGAAATGGCTCGAGCTTGTAGGGTCCTGAAAGAAAAGCTCTGGGACCCAGTAGTTGCTGAAGTCATTGGCGATCACCGTGCTGGTGCAGTTGGAGCTCAACAGATCGTCGTTTTCAACGTTCAGGCCGAAGTTGCTTCCTCCCATAACGCCATGTAGATGCCCCGAATCTTTCCCCGGGCTTACGATCGGGTTGACGCGTCCTTCGGTCACGAAGCCTGGCCTGCTGAAACCGAGAACGGCAAACCCTCCCTTTTCCCCTGCGGCCGCTGCAAGAAGGGGTAGACAGGTAGCAGCCCCAGCAGAGAGGAGCTTCATGATGACAGCTTTTATCAGTGGCGGTAAGGACGGTTTTGTGAAGATCTAGCGCAAATGATCTGCTTTCGCGTTGGAGGTGGTCTTGGTGTGGTGCAAAGATGACACGAAGGGATGGTTGAAGAAAGGTTACACTAAAAGTTCCTTGAGAAAATAAAGGTTCGCGCCGTCAGGGTTGGATCTAACTGTAGCTGTCACTGGGAATAATGGGTGAATAGTGAATGGTGATTGAACGATATGCTCGCTGTCTAAATGAACGAATGAGTCAGACCAAGCCGTTGAATGGATAAAGGAGGGTGAATAGAATGAGTGACACAAAAACCAGTCTGCGGCGAAGCACCACATTGACAGCGACTAGATCCAGCATTCTGGTAAAGGTATCATTGGCGACCAGCGGGCATATTTGCAAATCATGGTAAACTAACCAGTCCATTCTTTCGAACGCGCCAGGGCCATGCCCTCGCATCCCACCAAGTGATCATAAACGCTTTTCAATTCTCTTATAGTTTGAACTCCTAGAGGATGCTGTGGTTATGATATGTCGGCGCCAAGTAACTTGGTACAGTCCTCAGGATCGTGATGCTGGCTTATACTCAGCCCGCGCCACGCTCCGTATTGTAATCGAGCCTGTTTTTGCCCGTTGCAGAAGGGTGACTTGAACGCTGAATAATGGGTAGAAATCAAACAGCGGCTCTAAGAGCATGGTGAAGTGCTTCCAGACTCGACCTCTCACCAGCAGGGTTCCGACCAAGTCAACGGATACCAACGGTTGACGTGGATTGATATCAATATCCACACCAACTCAATCCACGAGGACCCTTGTAGCCTTAGCAACCAACTTAACTACGAGGCCTTTATAAGTTAATATTAACGTTAATATCGTTAATATCGATTTTTTAACTATATTGAAATATTCGCGTTGTAATAGGTTATATTAAAATACTTCTGATACTATGGAAAAGATCGGTTCAGTGGTTCAGGTCATCATGTTGCTTACATTTTGGGTGCGGATCTACCCTTGGGTCTTGGGACCTGTTCAGGTACTAAATACACATACCAACTTCAAAGCAATGCCCAGCCTTTGATCCGGAGGGTAAAGATCCCTTGTCCCAGATACACTAAGGCTCAAAGCCCGCTTCCAGGCTGTTCCTTCCTTTCAGTGCTGCTGTCAGCCTTGTCAGCCTTGTCACCCCTAGAAGCGTGCTACAGCACACCTGTGAGCCACCCGACTGCTTACAGATACTTTATAAATCCTTATTATTTTTTAGTATTTTTTTATATTAACGTAGCTGACAAGCGAGTTGGCACTACAAGCGAGTTGGCACTTGTCATGAACTTTCCAACCAACACGGTTCAAACTATTATATCTCCACCAACATCAATGGCACTGCGTTATAACAAATCAGACTTACAGCTAGCTGTTTAAGCTAAACGACGTGACCCTCATATTTCTATATTTCAGCTTGTGAAACGCTTTAATATCCCTTGTTCCACTTTAAGCAATAGAATCAAAGGAATGTTATCACGACGCAACAGCATGCCCAATACTTTGAAACTTATGGTTTCTAAAGAGAATAACATTCTTTCCTTTATTCTTGACCTGAATATGCGAGCATTTCTACCCGGCACAGTTATATTGAAGATATAGCGAATCAATTGTTGGCGGTATGTGGGGCTGGACGCGTTGTAAAAAACTGAACACAGAACTTCATTAAACACACATCAGGCCTCTGGACGCGTTTCTATTGGAGGATGGATTAGCAGAGGGTCTTCAACAAAGATCCAAACGCGTATTGCGTGTGGTTTTACCAAGTTGCGGCAGCAATCACAAAACATAGTATCCAGGACGCGGATTGTGACGGCCTGCACGGACCTTCCCACATGTCAGATTTAAGCCAATCGTGAGGTTGAAGTGTGTGTGTGTGTATTCTGTCTCTCTGGAGTGTCCTCGTGCGACCGTGGCAGTTTTATGACAGAGGGGGCTGGATCGGGACGGAACAACTAGGCTCCGGTGTCTACCTATCAAGGTGCCTTCTGGGCTCACCTTTAATCCAACACACCCCCTCAGCCAGGCAGGCAACGGCTCTGGCTGAACTAGTCTATAGAGTAAATTACTTCAGGGTCTTGACTCAGAATCTCTTTTCTCTTCTCAATGGCTCCCTCCTGTGACCTCAAATCAAGCTGCCTTGCCCGAGTGTCTACCAATCCCAATTGATCCAGAGATCCTGCCCACCATTGAGCCGGCAAGGCCTTGGTCAACCTATCCGCTTTTATCTGTGCTGAAGGCGTGTACTCAATGCTGACAGTTCCTTGTTCCACTTCTTGTCGAAGCCAATGGTTGTGTATGTCCACATGCCATGACTTGGTTTTTAAGAGGGCAATTTCGGCGGTCACTAGCTTAATTGTCTGTGTATTGTCGCATTCCATTTTGATCTTCTTGCATTCGAGTTGAATACCAAGTTCCATAACCAGCCGGCTGATGTACAGAGTCTCTTTGACTGCCTGAGCCAGTGCGAGTAGTTCTGCTTCTGTAGTAGATATAGTGACTGTGTCTTGCTTGTTAGCCCTCCAGCCGATCAATCCTCCGAAGAGAGTCATGGCAAATGCCTGAGAGCTCTTTCTGTCGAGAGTATTGTCAGCAAAGGAAGCATCACTGGCCACCACTAAATCGTCTCCTCCTCCAAACTGGAGAGAGTAGTATCTTGATCTGTATAGGTATCGGATGACTTGGTCGGCGGCATTCTGATGGATCTGACTTGGGTTTGTGAGGAATCTAGTGAGGTGTGACGTTGCGAAGGCTATATCTGGTCGTGTAGAAACAGAGGCAAATAAAATGGAACCAATCTTTGGTTGGTATTTCTGGATCTCGTGAGGGGCGGGCGTGATCTTGCCGGGACAGTAGTTCTTCTGTACCTATTGGGACCTCAGGGACTCTGTCGGTCAGGTTGATTAGCTTGGTTACTTTCTCAATATAGGAGGTCTGGGAGAGCCAAATCTTTCGCTGGGGCCGGTCCTGAATAATTTCCATTCTAAGGAACCATTGAATGTGCTCGCCTCCAGTGATCTCGTATCTTCGTTGAAACTACTGAACCACGTCTTGAATATCTTCTTGTGCGTGTCCTCTATATGCGACAATCACGTCGTCCACATAGAAGAATATCATGATTTCTTTTCTTGTATAGCAGCACGGCTCATGTGGAACCGGGTTGAATCCCAAGCTGGCCAGAGTCTTTAAGAACTCTTTTTGCCATAATAATAGAGAAACCCTCAGCCCATAGAGTGCCTTATTCAATTAAAGAATTGTACCTTTCTTGCGATAGCTATGTGGCATCCGCATAAAGATCTTCTCATTGATAGGGGCATGCACAAAGGCGTTGACAATGTCGTACTGGATCATCTCGAGGTCAAACTTGACCGCTAGGGCTATCAAGATCCTGAACAATCTTCCAGCAAGAGTAGCTGCATATGTCTGCTCTGAATGCAGCCCCTTTTGTTGATCTCCTCTGACCACGAGACGTGCCTTGCACTTGATGAACCTCCCATGCTTATTAAATTTGTAGACATACACCTATATGCAGTCCAAGATTTGATGCCCTCGTATAGATGGGTCTTTCTTTCAGATCTCAGTCCATGACCTCATGCCGTCATGACTTTTTAGGTGATTCTTTTCGGCCAATTTGAACAAGTGCCTTATTGAATAGGTTGCTAATTTGTCGCGCCGCTGTGGCGCTTCTTCCAGAAGTCGCCTGTGCAGCTTGAATCCTTTTTGCAAAGCTCTCTCAATGCTTGCCCAATCTAGGGTGTTTTTACCTGATCATTTTATGGCCAAAGCCTTGAGGCCTGTTAGAAACGCCGCTTTCTAAGGCTCGAGCTCTTTTTGTCCTGGGTCTTGGAGAGGATTTTTGGGTTCTTTATTCCCCTTCTGAATACTATGAATTAGCAGGGCAGACAGAGGACTAAGCGGTAGTGAAGGTAATAGGGCAAACTTCGCCGTGGTGTACGGGTGCTCATTCCCAATACTCACATCTATTTCTTCTTTGTTCTCTTAGACTTGTATCCCCGTCGGGACCACCGGGTCTCCCGCACTTCCATCCTCTATCCCCGTTGGTGGAGGATGTTGGTCTGCTTGCAGTTCATTAGGATTTTTTTCCTCGTCCTGGACATAGTCGTCGGACTTGGATAGAGCGTACTTGTTGACCATGGCCTGTATTCCTTTAATAGTTGCTGTCTTCAAGTCATCTCGGAACCGCTCTTTATTCCTATCAAATAACTCATTCTCATTGAAAGCGACATCTCTCGTACTTATCACCTTGTTCAGATGAGGCACTCACACACAGTAAATATTAGAGGACCGATATCCAACCAAGTATCCAATCTATGCTTTGGGACTGAGTCTGTCTAGCCTTCAGTGACCCAACTTTATGTCAGTTGTCATTGCGTAGGCCTTGCAGCCATACACCCAGAGATGTGTCTGGTTGGTGCGCTTGTCTGGGGCCATTTGTCGACCTGTTTTCCTTGTGACTGCTTCAAAAAAGACATCAAAAGGGGTTTTCCACCCATTTTTTTCCCTTAGTGTCTGATTATAGAGATATATAGCAGCTTTGAGTATTTCTGGCCATAGAAAGGTCGGTAATCTAGCACCGATTCGCATCACGCGCGCTTTTGTTTTCAGTACACCCCCTAGGCGCTTGGCACCTCCGTTCTTGGCTTGTGTATTGGGAGCGGAGGGCTCTACCTTGATTGCGCGGGCTTCTAGCCATCTTTCTATGTCTGACTTGTTAATGTATATTTCGTTATCTGTTTTAATTATCTTGACTTTGATGTCATATTGGCGTTCCAGCCATGATAGGTGCATTGACACCACACGGATGATTGTTTGCGTAGTTCAATTCTCAAGAGCATAGTCCTATGAGACACCAGAGTTTCTGCATATAAAGACCATGTGAGATGACTTGTTTGACAGCGATCTCTCGTAATCGTGGAAGTCAAAGGCTAATCTCTCT